ATTTGCACGTTCGACCTTTATTTCTCATGATAGTGTCTCTTTTGATAAGCGTGACGAGCCCGCCAAGTCTGCCAATGCGAGAAAATAGTCTTCTCACGTGGACATACAGGAGAAGTCGATCCGGTTCTCGGCCACTCGACCCGCTGTAATGGGATTTTACGAGGGAGCACTAAAAAGGGCATCTTACCAACTAACTTAGTGATGTGAGTACATGGACTTGGCTAACCAGCACGCTTAAATTCATGCTTAAAGTGAACGGACCAGGCCTTCAGAACAGAGGGTCCGGGGCCAGATCCCTCGTGGCCGCCAAGCCGCCAAGCTTGTGGCCAGCCCCTAATTATCATCAGCCATTGTCAAAAGTGGGATCAATAGCAAGGGCTCGCCCCATTAGCTTCCAACGAGTACCAGAGTTGAGCTGCTTATCACGGATATCAGCGTGACCGACACTTGTCCGCAGTAGACCAACCAGAGAATTAGACGAAGGACGCTTACCTTACGATGTCGACCAGAGAGGAAATACGTATTCTTTTTCATGGGTTGATCGGGTTCAGGTGGTCGCCTGTTCTCCCGCTTACAACCTAACATGGAAGAGTCAGGCCTACTACCTATAGCATAGCATAAAACACTTGTTTGCTTCGTGGGTGGTTGCTTTGACTATGGTACGAGTTATCCGGCTCACCGACAATTACATTCACTCCTTTATGCATCTCCCCTTATTCAATAGCCATATATGCACCCCAGAGCTAACGCAAAAGAAGCTTGAATCCTTTGGGCATCTCGGGCCTCCTGGATGGCTAGACTCCTACATGGAACGTCGACGTAAGTATTGTTCGTATGATCGTGGTCCATAAATCAGTACCTGGAATAGTAGTTGCTATCGGCACCGTTGGTGTCATGTGCTGAGTGCTAGATGCGGGTTTGAGAGATTACTCCATCCGGGCGATCGAATACTACAGGGACTATCAATTACCTACCTACCTAACCTATGGCTGTGCGATTTCAAGCCACCACGACCTTTTGTCTGGCAGCGAAATATGATCGCCGTTCTCCAACCCCCAAAATTGCAATTTAAACAAAAACCGTATGTCGGCAGTTTTCACGATCTGACATATTGCAATGAAACGTAGGGAAGGGGGGGTTGACGATCTTCAGTAATTCATTAGGGCTCATGTCGGCCTCCTCAACGGATGAATGGTAGCTGGATCGCGAATAGCGGGACTCGCTACGCTACGGTGCCGTGTACCAATAATCGGCCACATTGCCGCCGGCATTAGGACGAATTGTCATTCGCATCGGGTACAGCTACATACGTAGATACATATATACTAATACCTACATATGTATGTATACCTACCTAGGTAGCAACTGTGTTCTTCGCTTGTTCCATGCATTGTACCTATTTTACGTACTTACTATATGAACACGGGGGGGTTGCCTCGGGTTCGTCAGCAGCGTTAAAAAGTTTGCCCTTGGTGCCCGTGTTAATGTCCTTAGAAAGAGATAAAAGGAACATTTCGTCTGACCATAGCAAGCAATATATATAGATACTGATATATGTAGGTACCTAATGTTAGATATAAGGTATCTATCACCGTAATCGTTTTTAGCATATACTCGGGAGCGCTCTTGTGTTTAAAGCGATATTAACCTTCCAGATGATATATCTGGTTAATACAGACAGGTGATATCAACTGAAGATCAGTTTCTTTTTCCCTCTCCATATATCTCCTCCCATAAGGGTGGGTTTCCCCTGCCATAGAGCTTTCCAAGGTCGCTCACGGACAAACGAGTTGCCGCAATAGCCAGCCACCTCAGACCTGCGCGATGGATAATGGTGATGATGTGAGGCCTGTGGTTGTGCACGTGTATCATGAGCCCTCGAGGCAATGTTGCTCGGAGATGACATGTGAGACGGATATGAATAAAAGCTTCATTCGAGTCATACGAAATGCTGTGATCACCTCAGCAGCGACGAAAGACGAAAGGGGCAAAGAATCCCCGAAAGCGGTGACGTCCTGTCCGAGAATGACAACACTGCAGTACACGGGATCCCATTCTGGGATTCGAACAGTAGGACACAGGACGTGATTAAACTACGGAAGCACAAAGGCTTGTCGTGATGTGTCTCAGGGTTGACGAGACGAACCGTTCTCGATGACGATGAGGTTAGTGGTTCGACGGTTGAGGCGCGCTATGTTTTAACCTGACCCCGTCATGGCAGGTACTCAAGCTCTCTAGTTTGCTAACTTCACACAGGGAGGCAATTTATAAGGAGTATAGATATTAGGTAATAACAGGGACTTTACACGACTTATGGCAGACCTTACCTAGCGATTTGGTACTGGCAACGCCAACATCCTTTTACTTGCACGTACGACCTATGCGTCGTCTAACCAACAGAGAGTCCGGACCGACCTGGTACGATATCCTGTCTGCTTAGGAGATTGCGAACCGTACTCCCAACGGACTTGGACGTCAAAAGTCTCTTCCATGAGGTCTGCTGAGCGTGGCGAAAGTTTCTTTTTTTTATAGTTTTTTCTTCTCAACTGCTCGTAATCGTGTATATTCTGGGAAAATACCCAGTACCTTACAGGTAGTTACTATAATTATTAACTAACAGAAGAGTTGTTTAAAAGCATGTGCATGCAAGCGAATAGACGGTCGTTTACATTTCCCCATACGGAACATTTGTGCCTCCAAAGGCGGAAAATGGACTGGCTTACACTTATTGACTTTGGATTAGACTTCGGAAGGATTTTTCTTCTGGCAAAGTCCGGTGAACGCCATTAAATATAGGGTTAATTGTAAGCCTCATATCTTACATTTCTGTTCTGTAGGTACTAGGTTAAGTAAGGGTTTTTATTTTACTTTATACTATTTTATTTTAACCCCTAATCTACGAAGTATACCTTTCTCGATACGTACATATATTAAGTACTTAACGGACTTATTCATCTCAGGTACCTACCTCCCAGGTAAATACCAGGTACATAATATGCACTTTTGTACAATACGTATGGTACAGGTACCTAAGGTAATGGATTGTACAACACATCAAATAAAATTCAATATGGTAAGTACTATGTAATGCCTAGCCCACCTAAGCAGCGCAAAGCCTGGCAAAGCCTGGTACTCAAATCCTTGGCCGATTTAGCTGCTGAAGGGAGAGTATTCAATACCGCCGTTGGTACCGGGGACTGGAGCATTTAAAGGTCTTGGCGACGGGCGCTAGCTGTACCCTGTAAAGTGGGTACAAAGTACTTGAGCCGCTGCGAGATGCTTGGAGCAGTGTAACCGTGGGACTTGCGACCTCGCCGAAGAGAAAAAAAAAAAAACGGAAAGAGGTTGCAAAATAAGGTTAATAAGCTTTGAATTAATTGGGAAGCTTACACTTGTTCACATTATTGTGGTAATATCCGTTTTGTATGTACTTTCTTTCCGCACTTTCCCTTGCCTCAAGATTCCATCATCCCGTCATAATTTATTTACTTTTCCCCTAACTTTTTTTTATTTGTTCCTAGTACTTTCCAATAATACTCCTCCTATCTTTTTTCAACATCCTACCCGGAGTGGGATTGATTAATCGACCATTCTCCATTCCCCATTCCCCATTTCCCCATTCACCCTCGAAGTCAAGTACCGCATCAACCCGTCCTGCTTATTTCACACCTCGCCACTACCTACCGGTCATCCCTAGGTCCTACCCGAAGGCTGAATATCTACTTGCAGCCGCAAACGTGGGATAATACCAGTTCGGCATTCCAGGAAATCCACACTGCAGCCTATCTATTCGGCATCCTCACAAATTTAATTCGCGTAAAAGATTGAACGACATTCGGTACAAAGACGGGGGGGGCTAGTGTGTAAAGAAGAGGAGCCAACCAAGGGGCAATTAATAGACCATCTAGATCCGTTAAGTAGGGGAAAAGTAAAGGGAAAAAAAAGAGAAAAAAGTGTAAACTTGGTCGAACACCTCCCATTCCTCTTGGAGCCTTAAACTTTTAAAGGAAAGAAAACCGGCAAGGATCTTTCGATACTGGGGCTACTTTATTACCTAGTTCCAACTTCACACGTGTTCAACCAAGCTTAATTATTTCCTGGTCAGTTCCGTCGAAGGAGGCTCGATAACGCCAACCCAGCAGAGATTTATTTCACCTCTTGCAATTGCAATTAATCCACTACAGCTGACTCGGGCTCGGGTCTCCGGGTCTCTCAACTCGTCATCCCCACCACCAACAGCCATCCTCAAATATACATGCACAAACCTCAAAAAATCAAATCAAATCAAAATCAAAACTTACAAGTCACCTATCAAATCCTGGTAAGCAAAAAAGCTTCTTTTAAACTCTCGGTACCCCCAAGTTTTGCAACCTCATGACTTAGTCACTAAACCTGCTTTTCCCCAATCATTTATATATGAAGCCTTCCCTCGTCTATATCTATCGGCATAGTTATTATGCTCGTGAAATATTCTAATCGAATTGCTTACTTACAAGACGTGTAGACTTCCCTCTCTCTCTCTTGCTATTAAAGTACCTAAATTTCAGGATTAGTTCTAGCTGAGTTAGGGACGAGACCATCTCGTCTACCGCATTTCATATCTCGAAAAGGACGCCTCGGGAGATTTATATGTCCTGTTGGACCGTTTTACTCCAAGCAGCAGGCGTGAAGCTCTTTGATATCCTCTTTTTTTTTCGCTCAGGATCTCTTCTGCGGCATCGATTTTCCGGATAACATTTAGTGCGAGATTACTCCGCCGAGTTTAACTTTCTCTAATTTCATTCTGGTCCTAGGCCGGCTGCCAATCATCCTGCCATATAAGGTATGTGCCATTTCTATGTAAGAGTTTTTTTCTTTTTTTAAAGTTCAATTTTACATTCCTACCCAAAGTCAATCCTGCATCAAGTTCCAGATTCGAGTCAAGCCGATCTACCTCAAAAAAGTCATCATGATGAGAGCATAAATGCGGCATCTGGGCCAGATTGTCAGCCTCTCCGTCAACAACACCGCACCGGCTGAGTTATGACAGCAATGTGAATACTGCTCAACTGTTCCTTTTTAATTATTGTTCTTCACATCCCTATGAACCTATCAAATCCATATGCATAGATATGTCATATACCTAGGTTTCTATATGAGAGTACCTCGGTACAAGGCGGTAGCTTCTCTAATTCGTTGATTCCCAGATGCTTCGATTACCTAGCAAGAGGCTAATACGATAGCTAGGCAAGGGATCCAAGAGTCTGGACACCAAGGTCCAGTTTTGTAACGCCCGGCCCGTCAACAGTCTAGGGGCCCTAACTATCGACACGAGTTACCCGCAATTTAGAAACGCCAAGACAGCACTTACATTCTCACTTCCTCAGCTACCAAGGCCAGGGTCGACCCTAACCTAACCACGCAAGCTTCTCCATCATCCGCAGCAATAGTCTTCAGCCGCTCATTGTCTGATGACCCACCCCAGTTGAAGCCGGCGTGTGGAACTGATATGGTGGAAGGGTGGATAGTAGGATTACAAGACCTAATTGTCTAGCAAGGAGCAAGAACCACCTTTTTCCCCATTAATTTCACAGTTATCGGACATTTATAGCTTCTATTTATCTTTTTTTTTTATCTTTTTTTCTTCTTGCTTCTCCTAATAGGAAAGCAGCGTAACCATGGAAACTTATCGTGGCTACGTACGGACGCCCGCGGACGCAATCAAACTTTTCGAAGCTTGCAGGTTGGGTTTACTTCCGCGGGTACAGAGACGATTATCGGAAAAAGAAAGACAGTCCATTACATCTGGTTCAGTTTTCGTGTGGGATGAGAGGGAAGCTGGTATGCGTAGATGGACCGATGGAAAATCATGGAGTGCAAGCAGGGTTTCCGGCAGCTTCCTCACGTACAGAGAGATGGAGGGCAAGCGAGGAACTACGTTCGGTACAACACGACGAAGTAACGGAAGGACACCTGATAGTGGACGACTTAGTGAGGAAGACCAAGATGGTGAACCTGAAGGCTATAGATACAAGGCGGACGGCTTGATGAAGCAGTCATTTAGCATAACAACATCGCAGGGCCAGCACCTCCATTTGATTTCATATTATTCCCGACCACACGCTGGGGCCGGCGACTTGCTTCAACCAACTACAGATCCCCAACTGCGACATATTATCCCTGCGAAGGGCTTGTACCCTGAATCGAGCCTTCACGAAACAAACCCGCCTGCTTTGACGAGGGCTCCTATGCAACCATATAATACTCATAACGGCGGTCATGAGCAAACACCCTACAATAACTACTTGGGCGCCTGGAACCCACCGGCGTGGCAAGGCCAATGGCCGCCCTCGCCCAACCATACTCCTCCCTTTATGCATGGGAAGCTGACACCAGAGATAAATCCTCAGAGCCGGCCACAACCGCAGCCTCCTCCTCAGAGACCTCAACTACCTCCGTTACCCCCAACCTCGGCGCCTTCTGCCCAAGCTCCCATCTATCCTAAAGGCCTAACCTACGAAAGTGACCGATTACCACCGCCTAGTCTGGTCAGACCTTACTCTGTGCCAGGACGTGCTCCCAGCCTGTCTCCGCAGTCACAGCAACTCCAACTTCAAGCCGCTCAGGCTGCCCATGCGGCACAAACCGCCAAAGTGGCGCAGGCCGTACAGGCCGCACAGGCGGTTATAGATCCCCGCCTAGCAGCAACGAGCGCACGCAATCCACAGGGGCCACTTCCCGCGATACCCGCAGCATCTCGAGGACTGACGCCCCCAAGGAATCATTCTGTTTCGCCGCCAAGGCAAATGACTTTGGAGAGTGGCAACGGCAACGCGAATAAGGCCAGCTTGTCGGCACTTCTCAACCGAACACCGGCTAATTCAGAACCGAATAGCGCGAACCCGTGCAGCAATAACAGCGCAGGCAGTTCACCTCGAGCTCTCCCAGCGGGAGCATCTGGCGTACCAGTTACGGCAGACATGTTTAGAGGGGAGGATAATCGGGCAATCCAATCTCTCAATCGCAAGTTCTACCTTTGAGGGCTCACGGATAATTTAGCTGGCATTGATCGGGCGTTCAAAAAAAAATTGCATTCAAGGCGAGGGGGGTGGGCCCAGTTGTTTTTTTGTTTTCTAGCACGAGTATTTTTCTAGTACTATCTACAGCGGTTCGGAGTTACGGTTCGGCTTCACGATAGTCATGACAGAGCGCAGGTAACTCTCTCGATATTAATTTGGCACTTCGTTAATGGCTTAGTCGCTTACACCAGAGCATGGACGCCCTCGTGGGCCAGGCAATGTCCATGGAGCCTCAGGGCATAAGAAAGGTTGAGATCAGGAGTGAGGAAGGTTTTATGAATGGGGTAGCTAAGGTAGACAGGTTCGCGATACAATATCACGAAAATACGATATTTTAGTCCTGCATTGTTTACCGCTGGTTTCGCCTTGTCCGCTTCGTCCGTAAGTAGTGAGTAGGTAGTGTTTGAAATCTGGTCCTGGCCGAGACTAGGGGGGAACTACAGGGATTAGAGATCGGCATGGTAGACATGATGTGCCCCTGTAGTGCATCTCGTCGTCTATTCTTGCCTGGTTGTACGTTAGGTGCATACATGCTATGCTTATCCATATTAACTTACCCATGAGGTTAAACAAGGTTTACCGATTCAAAGTTAAAAACTTGGTAGTAGTAGTTCATGAATCCAATAAGCAATAACCTGGGTAGCAGATGTAATCTGTAGCTACCTAGGTACAATAAGGACCAGGTGTCTAGGTAGTATATGATATGTAATGTAATATATTATATGGATTATATGGTGTTAGTGGTGCTTAGCTTAACCACATATGCCGCATAATCTAACCCAGGTACGTTAGACAAGTTAGGCAATACGTACCTTAGGTACGTATGTTAGGAGGATACCTTGTTCGGCCACCAGCTTGACATGGAAAGAGATGCGCTTTTCTATTACCCATCTAGAGCGGTTATCGGGCCATGCTCGTGTTGTAATTGTATGATATCTGCGACGCATTACCCACCTATTACCAACTTTTATTAGTTTCCGCGGCACTGTTTTTATTTTTTTTTATTTTTATCTCAAGCACACGGACGGCGGGACGACTGGGAAGAGACTTGAGTATCTAGGTACCTACCTAGGTACCTATCTTTGATCCTCCCTTTCAGGTACAACGACTATTACGTACCTCGGCATACCCATGTTAGGTACGTACATACATGATACGTACCTCCTAAGATACCTCTTATTATATAGTGGATACGTGCATGTAGTGTACCTCTAAATTACTAATGTGGTAAGCTAAGTGGTCGGCCCCACAATCGAGACAGAACTCAAAACCAACCTTGAAGAATGTGGGTAAAAGGCCGTTAGATGTAACGATGTAACGGGTCTAGAGACGTTCCAGAATACCTAACCTTATCTTAGGTAAGGTTATTTCGATTGCGCGTGGCTTATTATCTCAATTGGGCTATTCACCCCGCTACCGACCGGTTTACTAATACTAAAACTAAAATAGGTAAGGATTTCCTAGCCTAATTGGCTATTCCAATTCAATCCTAACTTCAACCCCATTAGTACATACATAGTACATACCTGTAAATCTCCCACCCCCTTAACATTATTTAGACTTGAGGTTTCGAGAAGGGTTAAAAGCTTAGCGCTAGCCGATGAACGGCGATAACGTTGAGTCCTCGTGTAACCTGATAAAGAATATAAATCTTTAGCAACTAATAAACAAGGTTAGGCACTCCTAGGCATTGTACAGTATAAGTACCTTAGGTACCTAGGTAGTTAGGTAATTAAAAAAAAAAAATTAAAAAAAAAGTAGCAACTAAGTTTAGCTGCGCCGTCCACTTATTAGAGCCTAAAAAGCTTACTGCAAATGAACCTAACGGCGTATCCTTTTTTTTTTTTCTGTCCAGTTAGCACGGTCCTCTACTAACAATCTCGTATCGTCCAAAGAACCTTTTTTTCTTCTAAGAAAAAAAAAAAGATCTACCCTAAGCACACGTGTAATAACAATCTCCGATAGGTATCCGGGGACCACCCAGGCCAAGGACATTAGGAATCATGGGTTCCTTGGTTTGAATCTTTTTTTTTTCCACGTGTGATTACATGCAGTACACACACACACAGCGCAAACGGTACTGTCATTTCACGTGATGCAACGAAGAGCAAACTAATCGCGTTGTATGAATATATCTATCAAGCATAAAGCGGGCATACTGAGAGGTAAATAATAATGTTTGCTACGCATGCTAACCAGTATCGCAGTGTTTTTAAATTTTTATAAATTGCTCAAACATGCTTTGGTTTCGGGTTATCCGTACTATGCAAATACCTATACTGTAATATAACACCTACCTGATTTACCTGCTATTACCTATAAGCATGTATCAAGAAAAGGAGAAGAATGAAAAAAACAAGAGGCTGGAAACATAGAGTGCAAGCAAACATACCTGTATCAACAAGGGTTGAAGACCCATCGCGGTACGGGTCCGTATGGGTTGAACGGATGGCCCCCTTATTAAATTAACTTGTGCGCGCCGTACGAGTGTAGCTTGCCGGATGTATAAATTAGGCACCTACCATTCAAACCTTGAAATACCTAACCTATCCCCATGTCCACCAAGGTTGTACATCCGCATTGCATACTGACGGTGTACAGATGAGAAAATATAATAACCTAAGATTTACTTACTGAGCCTCACTTGCCTCGCACGAGTTTCCAACTTGAGTAAGAGGCTATTTCTATCAGACCCAGGCTGCAAAGCGGGTTTAAACCCACTTAGCGAACAGGCGAGTCGGTTGGATGGAAATCATTGATGCACAAAACTTGTAACATAAAGCGAGGTAGAGATTTCGGTTCTGGTTGGAGAAGAAAGAATTTTGTCGAAGTCTCAGGTGTTCATACAGCTTGTGGGTTCTCAAAATGGATACTACCTACCTCTTAGGTATAGGGAGGTATTTTTACCATAACTTACATAGAGGTAGGTACAGGTAGATAGGTAAGTATCATGGTATCTCGTTATGAAGCACCATACTCATTCACTGAAAATTATGGCTGGTTAGGTTATTTATGTATTAACTGAAATAGCCAGCTATTCCAAATCCCTTGCACGATCTTATTTCAACGTCTATCTTGCTTTAAGCCGCAATGCTTCAATTCATATTTATTTATTTATTTAAGTAGGTAGGTAGCTTAGACCATTCCGTCACTTCTCATAACTCGATAAAACCAGGTATAGTGAATGAAAGATGATCGGGCATTGGACACTGCCAAGTTACCTCAGGTAATTCAATTGACCTAATGTTTTTATATTGGAATCACTCTTACCCCAATGATGTTTTCGTAAGAGGTTGGAAGCTTGGCTTGATTCAATCGATGTGCCTACAACTTGTAGATGAATGTCCGATACAAGCACAAACACATATTCCTATCCCTCGAGGACCCTAGGTCTATAGGGGAGTGGCCGAACGAAGCCGCCAGGCTATGATGACGAGAGCATAAAGGCGACAGGTCAGTCAGCACTAGGATCGCTGCTAATCCCGAAGTCAACCCCCAAATCAAGGCGGTCTCGAGGTTCGTCTATCTGTTGTCGCTATTTGAACTCTCGCATGGAAAAAGCACGCTTGCTTTTTTGACGCCAAGTCTTCTCCTCTCCTCGCCTTTGACCCTGTACTCTGGTCTCTACAGATATCGTGGGTACTAGCAAACGGAGCTATCGAGGAAAGAATCTTGAGATATGCCCTAAGCTAAAAGTTTCGACAATTTACTTCATAATAACGGATCCAAGTAGCAGGTTTATATCGTAACTTTCTAAGATCAAATCATCGACCCCGTGGGGCTAGGTAGGGTAGATACTTATACCTAGGTAGCGTTAGATAAAGATAAGTTAGGAATCATCAGTACCGCTTTATTCCATAGTAAATGACCTACATAAAACAACTGGGCTCATATTAATAGACCTGATTTTTTTTTTTCGTTCGACGAATGTTTCTATTCAAGTGAATTGTCCGTGACGATGCTTTCGAAGCCAGAAAGCATATTTCAATGGTTAATGTGATATAGGTACAACATTTCCCACCTGTCGCCGAAGGGGGGAAACTAGAGGTTTCGTGTAAAACATTGTCTGTTGTAGTAATTGTACTCAAGTGCGTTAAGAACGCCGGCCAGATGAATTGTAGTAGCCAGAACAACCAAGACGTGGAAGATTTGGTGTGACGATCCGTATATATCGAATAATCCCGGTTTAATACTCTCGGGAAACCTAGTCTAGATGGCCCATCAAGGTCTAGTTAGTGATCTGGTCGTCGCCTTTCCTTGTGGTAAGAATACGTAGAGTAGAAGAGAATATTTAAAAAAAGGAGTATTCTAGATAGTGATAATATAAGGTTATTATTGGTGGGTTGACTAACGGCATATACAATGGCGCCGAGGAGAAACAACCCTCCTTCAGCTAGGTAATAAGGCAGACCAGACTGCTTCGCCATCTGTGCAAAGCCGAACATGACGATGCCGTGGATAATAGGAGCTAGTCCGGATAGCCCCGTACAGACAAACGTCAGCAGACGTAAGGTGCGCCATCTTGGGCCCTGAAACGTTGGCGCTAATACAATAATGATAGATATCGCAGAAAGAGACCCAATCTGTGAACCAGTACAACAATAACGCGTCAGTCAAATCCCGTGTAAGAAAGTTAAATCATATATAGGTTGCCTGTTATCCACTCGCATCCATTGGGCCTAGGGGTAGTCGGGGGAAAAAGGGAAAAAAAGGAAAAAAGGGAAAAAAAAAAAGTCATTACTTGCCATGGACCAATACATCTTCCTTTCCAAAGACTCGCACCAGAAACTGACGTAGATACCCGAGATGAAGGACCCTAATATTAGCAAGATGATACCGACGAAATCGAGACGTAACCATAGAGCCTCAACTTCTTGCGAATGGCACATTAGGGTATGGTATGCTCCGGAGAGGCCGAGGCATGCTGATGCGGAAAGCAATAGCACCGCAACGACACCGGCGTCGTCGCTACTACGGTGTTGCAGGCGTGAGAATAGGTAGGCTAGGCCACTTATGAGCAGAGCTGCTGCTGGTACCAGATGCGTATATATGTTCACTGTCTCATTGTGTAGATACAGCCAACTTCCAAAACAGACCCGTGCCGAGTGAGACACGGGTCGGTAGCCACGTCGGATATACGGGTTATCCTGGTACCAGTCTGGAATTTCATCGTACGGGACTAAGCAATGGCAGTCTTTTTCTGGCTGTGTTTCGTTTTGAGAACTTCTTGTCCAAGCTTCGGTGCTATTAGAGCTCGGCTGCTGTTTCTCGTCCGATGAAGCCGCGCTGCCGGAACAACTGGGCATAGTATTAATCTCTACTGATAGTGGTATCATTGTGACTTCGTCGTTCTTAAACGTGTAACATGATAACAACAGACAAAATAGTGTTGCCCTTTATCCTTTATTCGTCGCACATTTCAGCATGTTCTTTTAGATAAAACTCCCCTAAAACTTCTTAAGTTGCATGTGCGGAGCAAAAGCAGCGGGGTTGACGATCATTTCCTATCGCTTATGATTCGCCAACTTCTGAAGAGTTGAAACACATAGAAAACACCGGGAATTTGGATCTGGAGCTTCTAATGCAATGCTAAAATGCCTCAAGTTGTTAATGATCATAAAATTATTAGCAATAATGACATCATATGAACTAGAGCAAGAACCCTTTTGGTCAAAATGTGGGGCATCACAACGCTTGTTGAATTCCCGAAGACCTCGGATAGACACGATAGACACCGAATCAAGGGGATAGCTTTGGTATATATAGTATGCTGAGCGTATGAAGGGTATTATTATCTGAAGAATGTGATGCTTAAGTCTTCGACTAATTATAATCAGCAAAGGCACAATATAAGCTCACTCGAGCCCCCCCAGCAATCGACGGGACAATTCGGTATTCCAATGGCATAGTTAGTCTGAAGAGGGAGAGCGTAGATGTAAGCAAAACAAATCAACTGAGCTGGATAGAGCTGTCGCTAACGTAAAATTCCAGACCTAACCTACCCCGAAAAGGTTTATCACCTAGCAATCACGAATCTCCCACTCGACTCATGGTTGAGCCTAGGCCATATAATAGATTTCCAAGACTTATATCGGTCGGTTGGTAGGGATATGTTATATTGCGAACTGGGTTGAACTTGGGAATACCTTGGTGGCGACGCTATCGACACCTCTAGAGCAGTGTGTAGATGTGGTATAATTCTTCGATATTTCACAGGGAAATCCAACCACGACTCCAGCCGGATACTTGCTGTTGGAAGTGATAGATAGGATCAAACGACTGTTCGATTCCGGGGACTGTCCATTCAATAGAATGCCGCCAGATGATGCGCTTGGTGGTGGTAGGAGTATTCTTACCGACCGTTTACCCCCCCTGCGAAGAGAAACACGGGTGTTATTTTATTGCAAACATGGAGTTTTACAGAAACCCGGAAAATAAACTAGATATGCCAATGTCTAGTTGCAAAGATAGGTAGACGGTTCTTCAGTTGCAGAACCCTATAATGCATCAGAAGTTATATGCCAGCATTACGTATCGTGATAGGTAGAATTGCAAATTCGGAATGCTGCTGCTGGTGGTCTGGCCTAGAATGTTAATCTGCGCAATCTTTATTACCATAGCTGTTCGAAGCGGTTGGAATCCAGCGCTGGGTTACCTGTCCAAAATGACCAAGCCAATGATAGCAAAGCCGGAACGGGAACCGCAACAGGAAAGTTGGAGTCTAAGACCGTATATATTGTAGTCGTCGTGAATTCATTGTCGCGGCAATACCCTTAATGTGTCTATATCTGCTCGTACTGGGAATTTGCATCAAGTAAAATCCCTTTCTTCGGATGGGATGGCTTAGATTGGTAGACGTTTGTGACGGAATGCTCGCCAGTCATCCGTAAAGTCAACAAGATCTCATGGTCAGGCTCAATGACTGAAGTGTTGGCAGATCGAATGTGTGACGTGGACATGAAAATGGCGAATCATGACCCCACATCGTAATACCGTTGTCTGCATTTAATCCGTCAGGCACAAATCGAGATAATGACAGTCAAGTTGCCAGGTTCGCAGTGAACCATGTTGAGCGTTGAAACGGGTGTAAGCCCCTTATTCGTGTAGAGCACACGGAGCGGTTCAAGCTTATAGCTTTGAGACATCCTGTAGGAATGTGGTTCGTCGTGACACGCGCCGCGTATGTGTACATATGTGTTCTGGGAGATCGAGTCGTAGTTGCTGAAATCTGCTTCGGATAAGTCGACAAAATAAATAATGCTGGCTCCTTTTCAGACGGAATACCCAGACTGGTGCGAGAATACCAGGTAGGTAGTTAGCCTAGGAGCTTTATGCTGTTGCCGTTGCCGTTGCCGTTGTAATATGCGCCGCGATATTTTGCAGTTCGATAAAATGCATCTCTCACGTGTACTTGGACGCGTTTTGATATCGAAACTGTCAGGTCAGAGCTCGAAAAGAATAGTATTAGAGATTACCTCTTAAAACGCTTGAAGCGCGTTTTTTAGTAGAGAAATCAGCGAGAGATGAGATTTATGTGTTGGGCAGTTGAGATGGTGGTGCAAGATATGCGGATAGCTTCATGTCGTGGGAATGCGAAGGTGAGTTCAGTAGTAAAAGACCCTAGCTAAATTATATCTGCTTTTCTGGAATTGCAAGAAAAACAATGTGACATTAATTACAGCTTGAATATAGCTGGGTAACTCAAGAATCACTTGAAATAAAGCTTGAAAACCAATGCATGGGTTATAAGTCACTATCTCAAATGCGACCGAGAACATCAAAATACCAAATCGGCCGAACACACCAAAAAAAGAGAGGGGAGTTTTTGGGATGAACCAAGATACATAGTTTTGCATTATACTAGTTATATTATTCGTTTTTTCCCCTATTGCTTAAATCGGACTATTCTATAGAAAGTCAATAACTGACTCAACAGATCGTCCGATTAAAAAAATAAAAAATAGTAAAGTGTGGGAGAGAGCATATTGAAGAAGAGAGAGAAAGGGAGAACAGAAGAACGACTGAGAAAGGGGGGGATGGTGGGAGAGTTGGGTGTGTGATGGCTCTAGTTTTCGTAGGCGCATGATTTGATTGAGGTGAGTTAAGAAGTGACAAGAAAAAAAAATTAAAAAAATAAAAATAAAATAGGGTACTTAGTTGAGTGAGTTGTTGTTCGAGCTTCGACCAATCAAAAAATTCGATAGCCCAGGTTAATTTTATCTAACTTGGGGAAAGATTCTGGGTGATGTGAGAGGTCCAAATCAGCATCGAATCAGTCCTTCTAAGCCATTTAACTGGTTGGTGGAGGCTATGCAAGCTCGGACGAGATGCCCCTCGGACGGCGCGTTATTTTGGATTTAAACCCAACGGGGAAAGAGTTTAGACGTTTCAGTGAGATAATGCAACCTTAAATGTTAAAGGTACTTAACGCAAGCAGGGAAGGAAGAGTCGCGATAGGGTCCAAAATTTATGGGCGAAAGGTGCGTATTGTCCTAGGTATATTGTTTACACAGTACTTCGGCCCTGCCATTATTTAAACACACATAGTACATACCAGGTAGGTAAGTAAATGTAGGAGGTAAGTATGTGATAATGTAGGTAATAGGTACCTACTTCCATTAGGATATGTAGGTGGTCAGGTAAGTACATCCGTATTATTTATTTTAGTCCCATAGAAATTTAAAGTGAATCCATTTTTTTAATGGAGGGGGAGAGGGGGAGGAAGAAAAGGAAGCACCAATTCTCCTGCCGTACCTACCTAGCTACCTAGCTGATTGTACCAGCCTACCTAACGTACTTACTGATTGTACACGACCCCCCGCCTAATATATAAGCAAGCTCACCTTTCTCGCTGTCGCGTCCCGACCGAATGCCTCCCTCCCTTCCGTTTCCTCTTGACCATATTCTTCCCGTTCAGTAGAATCATTTCGTCGTTCGATCAATTTACTCCAAAGTTATTACACAGATCCAATTGATCATTTTCAACCGATTCCACCTGCATCCCTCGCAACGCGTTACCAATCCAGCAAATCCTTTCGAAATGGGTCCCAAGAAGGCAGACGGAGCTCCCAAGCCTAAGAGCACTCACGCTTCCTACCAGGTATGTGCAACGACAACTCAACCCGGCATTTTACTGGCCCATCTGGTGTACTAACATGTTATAGGATATGATTACCGATGCTATTGTTCATGTACATATTCCCATTCCTTTGCATCCGGCGCATCGTGTGTTTGGTATGAGTGGTCGGCGCTGCATGCCAGGTGGTCATTGTCTAGCGCTGCCACTCAACCTTATACCATTGGTGCAATCTAATTAGATTTATTGAGTGAGCTTGCTGACGCGTCTTATCGACTGTAGCTCAAGGAAAGAAATGGTTCTAGGTAAGGAAAACCTGTGCACCCTTGGTCATCATGTCCACTGTTTTAGTGGTCGCGTTCACCCTCCGATCGGATCGTGCTGACTATATCATAGCCGTCAACAGCTCAAGAAATATGTTCGAGCAAACAATACCATCAACGTCACGGATAAGATGTTCGACTCTCTGTTTAACAAGGCCTTAAAGGCTGGCGTTGATAAGGGTATCTTCGAGCAGCCCAAGGGTATGCCACGCCTTATGCTCATCTATTTACCATATTTACCTATGTACTAATTTACTATAGGACCATCCGGAGGTACTAAGCTGTCTAAGAAGTCCAAGCCTGCCGCAACTAAGCCGGCTGCAAAGAAGGATACCGAGAAGGACGCTACCAAGAAGGCTGCCCCGAAGAAGGAAACAGCCACCAAGAAGGCTGCTGCTCCCAAGAAGGCTGCTGCTCCCAAGAAAGAGAAGGAGGCTGGCGAGAAGAAGCCCGCAGCAAAGAAGGCTGCCGCCCCAAAGAAAGCCCCTGCTGCTAAGAAGACGGCAACCAAGAAGGACGTGAGTTGTTTACCTATGTTTCCTCGAGGCCCTGCATTAGCTAACGAGATTAGGCTCCTGCTACTGAAGACAAGCCTGCCGCTTTGGCAAAGACGAAGACCGGCCGAGTCGCCAAGACCGCGACGGCCAAACCAGCTACCAAGAAGGCGGCGCCGAAAAAGGCGGCTGCTCCCAAGAAGGAGAAGGCTCCCAAGAAGGAGGCCAAGGCTGAAGCTGCAGCATAAGCACAAGCATAAGCATTTGCGTCTTGATTTTGAGTCATTCGAATTGTGTGTTGGGGTTCGGCGGTTTAATGGCGTTCGGGGAACAGGGTACAAAGTTACGTGTGCGTCTTTACTGCGCCATGGAATTAGGCGTGTTTTTGGAAGGGTCGGTAGGGATTTCGGTGAACGGGGGCCAATAAATAGCCCCGAAGCGTTGCAGATGTGTCCGACATACCTTCAGCGGTGCCAACGGCTCGTGTGCACATCGTCCTTGCCCTCGCGGGATCATGGTTGTTTCGGTTGGATCGCACATATTCCCCCCAAGTCATGGCATCTGTTAGAGGATGGGTATGGAACTGACGACATGATGAAGTATACTTGTAATTATACCAATGAAAACGAGGGCCTCTGCACGGCTTCCGACCTTATATTTTGAAGTCTCGTCGCGGTTGTGATGTCTAAATTCTAAGTAATGGTGATTCCCGTTGACGCGTTTGCTTCTGATCTATTTACAAACCAGCAGACCAGTAAGGGGGGCCGGGGGGGGAGGTACCTATTGCGGGGATCCTCCTAGTTGCATTAGTTGCATAGTTCCTCTTAAATTAAACTGCTCTACGTAGTACGGCGCATCGTGTTAATTTTGATTGGTGCAACTGGTTGTACTGTGCATTACCTAAGGTAGGTATCACCTACATACCTACCTACCTAGTACATGTACCTAATGTACATATGATGATGTATGTAAAACTCTCCACATCTTAAACTTAAACTTATGATTTACAGATTTCAATGACGGTGTGGACCACGACTTTTCCTCCTCCATTCATTACCTAAGGTATAGCTTGTATAGCTTGTAGTATTGTACTATGTAGGTAATAAGCTCTAGGTACCGGGAGGTTTAAGGCACCCGTTGGCGCGCGCTATCGCTATCAATCGGGTTACCGCAAACCGCTAAGCAGCTACCGAAACTTCCGAAGACTTCCCACCCCCCGGCCACTTTCTCCCAGCTGGGAAGCCTTGGAAAGGCTTGATCTTACATTATCAACTTATTAACTTTATCGACTTATCAACGTATATCTAACAAGCCTTAAGACTTTAAAGTTATCCTATCCTATCCTATCAATTAATTAATACAGTATATCTTTTCCGGGTTAATATCTCATTTTTTACTGTATGTCGTAGTTTCTGGAGGGGAATCATACAAATCATACAAACCATACAACCCAACACGATAACAATAAACCTGCCACCGCTGTCATTGCTGTCACCACACTACAACGCCGATACCGACGTCGACCCGACGACTCATGTATCGCGCATCACATATCATGGCCAGCCTAACGTAGCTTCTCAACCTACCTCTGCACAGTCTACCCTCAATTGTGCTTTGTTAGGTCTTCAACTATCGCAACATGTCTTCGCGAGATCAACCCCTCAGCTCTAATAACCCGTTTCGCCGGAAGCTAGGCTATCCTACCTTCTCTACCGAAGGCGACGTCCCCGCCCCGGTACCAGCGTCGAGTTTCGAAAAGCCCTTTGACCCTATCCCACCAACGTCCTTTGCGACTTTCAAGTCTACCCCACCTGAAGATGAGGCACGCGAAGGAAGAAGCAAAGACACAACACCGGTTCAACCTAAGCCCAAGAAAGTTGTGAAAAAAGTTCGAGTTCAGTCGCCTCCTCCATCTTCACCCGAGGATACCGGACCCGTTAGCCGTTTCCCGTCCGTAAGCGATGACGAAGACGACAGCGACGAAGACCACGATGATGGGTATAATAGTGATCATAGTGACCTACCAGAGTACGGTGATCAGATTGACCTCGACACTGACTCGTTCGCTATAAAAGATCGGGATGGTTCTGGGCTTGGTCGACTTGGGTCTCCTGCGAATCCCTTCGCGAAAACCCTGGAGGATTTAGAACAATCGGGACAAGGGCAAAATGCTAAATCGCTAACAAAGGGGGCTCTCGACGTTGACTCGTTTAAAAGACTTTTGTTAACAGGACATGCAAACTTTCCAGGTCGTCCATCCGCGTCAGCGCCTGAATTAGGCGGGGATCTGAGGGTTCAGTCCTCCTCCTTACATGGCCGAGAGACTAGCACGGACGCACGTCCTAGATCACGCCAGTCTATATTTGATACAGTACCTCCTAAAGAAACCTCCCAAATCTCACAACCTATTACGGGAGCGGAAGATTCCGGAGAGAAAAGAGGCGCCCTACTTCCGTCTCCCTTTTCCTCAGCTCCTCTCTCTTCAATGAAGAAGAAACCACCACCGCCCAGCTCGCGACATGGAAAACTGATCAAGATCGAATTAGGCGCAGGTATAGAATCCCATACGACTAGAAGTCCAACACCTCCTATATCTACGAATCTTACCACCATCCCTCCTTTTGACCCGTCACGTAAATCCAACCCTCAGGCTAACACCCCGTTACAATCTCCGCTCCTACCAACTGATGTGAACAAACCCCTCCCGCTAACACCTTTCCGTCCCTCCGTGGAAGAGGCAGTTGATTCCCCATTCGATCGCGAAGCTATAGGCAAGGTCCCTGAACCTTTCACCGATCTTCGGGCGAATCCTGAACCGCCCATGCCTCCCTTAGCTTCTCAACCCCATTCTGAGTCGAATGGCATCACGCAGTCTCGCAAACCCGCAGCCCCGCCACCACGTCGGCATGGAAGAAGCGATAGTAGAGCGCCTTCCATTAACACAACGAATGCAGATGAGGATACCCCGCCGAGATCGTCGATAGAGTCGAACCGGTCCCGAACCGATAGTCTACGCACGAATACCAACATGGCTAATAATCCGAACGTACCTGCTCCGCCACCTCCTCGCCGGCCGAACCATGCTAGGCACGGGAGTTCGTTTAAGAGTCCAAGTCAAGCAAACTCTACGCCGGTATCTGCTACGGCGTCAACCGAAAACGAGCGCAATGTAATGGGAACCAGTCTTGGGTCCGTAAGTAAGAGTGGGCAGATAGAGGCCCAAGGTAGTCCAGCGACTATAATCACAAATAAAGACGGCATATCCAAATTATCCCCGCCGCCTCCGCCGCCCACAAGGCAAGCAAGTACCCGACGTCCACCAAGCGTCAAAAGTGTAGACCTTGGCAACGGGTCTAACACAACTAGGCGAGTTAGTAGGGAGAAAGACGGGGGAGTGCCACCGCCCCCACCCCCTCCAAGGCAACGGGGGAGTAGTCGTGCAAGCGTGGAAAATCCAGCTGTACTTGCTGAGAGCACAGGGAACACAAGTGGTGATACTCAGAAAGAGGCTACAATTACCCAAGCCAATGCCGAGGCTGTGGCTGTGGCCGATACAAAACAAGGGGCGGAAATACTGGCAGATCTCGATGCGTTACAAAGGGAAGTTGACGCCCTAATGGGAAGATATGGAAAATCCGGTGGGAGCTGAAGAGGGAAAAAAAACAAAAACAAAAAGAATAACACCTCACACAATTTTTGGAAACAAAATCAAACTAGGAAGCTCTCGTAATGAGAACCAACAGAGATCCACGAGGAGTGTACGAATACCCTCAAAGGAAGAAGACCGGAAGGTTATTTAGCGTGGTTTGGACCGGTTCCTCCCTCCGTCTGGATATGAGATACGAACCATGCGTCGCACAAAGTATGAACGTTATATATGATTCTTGTACAGTAGGTAATTGTTAATGCTGGGGGGCGGCCAGACATCCGGATACAGCGGCTCCCCGGCCGGAAATCATAGCGCAGTGCAGTGCAGTTGTCCCGGACCATGGGGAAAGAATGAAATGAAGCGTAAAGTTCAATATCTACCTCCTACCCCCTTTCTCTTTTCCTTTTTCTTTCCAAGACTACCTACCTAGGTACCTAAGAGGTAGGTAGTCAGACCAGCCAGTCTAGCGCATGTATATCGGCATATTCACTACCTACCTTAGAATAGGTAGTATACCTTATACTCAAACTAGAACTACACTTAAAGTAGAACTATATACCAGCTTTAAGACTAGACTGATACAGACTGGCTCGCCGAGGTAACAGTAGCCATTTGCGACTCTATGGAACTCGTCCAGCAAGGTTCTCAATCTAGAGTAGTATATGAGTAGAAGGGGTATTGAGCCATAACATACATAGTCCTCCTGATTTGACTTCTCTTCCCTTTTTCATAAGAGGTACCTAATATTTTTTTTTCTCAGTATTTCGACCCTTAACTTAGAGAAACGAATGCTTCCTTAGGTAACTAACCCCATTATATGTTCTATGGAACCCGTCCTTCAGCTACTGCTTTCCGGTCTCTGAACAGATTATCTCTTCTCCTCCTTCTTCTTCTTACGTATATCTATTACCACAGGGGGGATATCGAGGCGGTTCTTTATCAATAATTCGAGGAATTATATCATCTTGCGTTGAGACCTCCCCGGATCCAGCAGGTAGCAACTATCGCGGCTTGGCAATGGAGATCTTTCGTTATCATGGCAAGATTAGAGGTATCTTCTTTTCACCTAACTACCTACCTAGTATAATTACTACTATTAGATCTTGCATTCAATTAACTGCTGCAATAGGAAGAAGTAAAGTTTCTACGGCGATTTAATACGCCCCGAGGGGACGAATAGGCTCGGATGTTTATGATATGACAGCCGTTAAGGTGAATTGAGTCGGCTGCTGTCCTCTTAGAGCTAACCAGTTGCTATCTACCACTTCTCAGGCGATGAGAGGGGGGAATGCTGAGCGTAGATCAAGATGGCAAGGCTCTCCAGGACCTGCCGATCGAGGACGCTGATTAATCGCCGTCTTTGGCTCACATACGTCGACGCAGTTTTGATAGGTGGCATAATCACTCGTTTATCTCGACGTATGCTGTCGGGAAGTACGGGGTCTTTCCGAGAGAGCTTGAGCTTAAGGTGACCAGCGATGGTAACAACGCGCAATGATAGGGGCGGAGGAACTAATCCAATAGAGCAGGTGGTAGTACTAATCGATGTTGTATTAGACTTGAGGCTCGAAGCTAAAAGGCGGGACCTGAGGGAGACCAGGATATGAATTGCCTTACCGCCCGCTTCTCGAGCCCCAAAAGAAGCATTTCACGGCATTTTCCTCCCCGCCCCAACGGTTCCTACTCGTATAAGCTTCGATATATGCGCCAAGCCAAAGGAGCCGATGGAAGTCAAGGAAGGTCGGGAATGCTGTGGGTGACTTTGGACGGCAATTCAATAGGCCCGCATATATCGACGATAGTTGAAAGAGGACTATAGTAGCAGTCTTAGCGAGATCGGGAAGCTCTAACAATTACACACCGGGAAAAAAACCGAGATTTATGATATCTTGGAGATCATGGTAGTCAGTTGCATGGCATCGAATCCTAGCTTCTCGATTCGCAATCCAGCGCTTGTCGAAGATCCGGTCACTTTCTCCCGGGTTGATAAGCATTCTGAGGGCCAAAGACCCGGGCATTTCAGGCCCCCTGCGGCGACGTGTCTTAGCCTATCATACCCAAGATCCGTCGCTGCCGGATAAATTGTCCTGGGTATCTGCAAAACGCCAATGACTGGTTTTCTTCTCGTCGTGCCTTGGAGAATCGATCGATAATTCCATGCGCTAAGGGGACAATTATAAGTGCCTCCCTAAATAAGGGAGATTGTTATTCGTACCTGATGGAGAGGTTACAATCAACGAATGGGGTCGCTAGTTTAGTAGCTCTGCCGTCGTTTCCGACAGGACGACAATGTTGACAAAGCTAAGCGAAAATGCCATGCTATCTTACCTCCCGCCGGACCTGTAACGATCTCCTTCCGAAGTTGGAAGACGGCTTGTTATCGCCCATACGATTTCTCCCTGGACGTGTTCCTGCAGTATCGCCTCTAAAGCGAACGCGTAGGGTCGTTACACTAACGCGGCTCTGCCTGAATTAGGATGCTGGTCACTGGTTATATTGTTAGTGCTGGAGACACATCACGGCGTTACTTCGACTACCGTGTTTATGTGGCTGTGAGTGGTCATATCGCCGTCGAGTGTATGATTCCACCGGCTTGGCGTCTGGTTTCAACACTTGAAGAAGACAGCATTCTCCTACCCTGCTTTGCAGCTTCCTGAATGTGTCTAGAAATAAAATTGTCGTTCTAGAGACATACTTCAGGCGGAATATTCGAGCTCGACATTTTGTACTCGCTGGATATATAAGGCTCCCTTTCTCTCCTCGAAGTAAGAAGAAAATTCGGATCAGCAGGCAGCTCCAACAAGATCTTCCAGCAGCTCATAGCCAGTTCAACGCAATCTACATATCTTCAAGATGAAGTTCGCCACCGGTATCTCGCTATTCGCCTCTCTGGCCAGCGCTCTTTCGGTCGACCTAAACAAGCGTGACTCCCCTCTCGATGTCAAGCTTGAGATGGTTGGCAACACAGCCGTTAAGGCTAGCATCACCAACACGTACGTAGAGACCAAACTCCAGGGAACTCTTCTACTCTCTGTTGAGCTCTAATAGGCTGACCAGAACTAACTCGATATTTTTAGTGGCGCTTCTGACTTGAAGGTATTCAAGACGGGTACCTTCCTCGACGAGAATGCAGCCACTGAGAAGGTTGCTATCTACCAGGGTGGTGAGTTTCTCTTGAATCCGTCACGGTCTGTTAGAGACGACTAACGGAGAGATTCGCCAGGTAACAAGGTTCAATTTGACGGCATCCGTCTGCGTGTGTTGACTACTGGACTTGACGAGGATGCTTTCAAGACAATCGCTGCTGGCGAGACTGTTGAGGCCACCTTCGACGTCGCTCAGGCTTACGACCTTAGCGCTGGTGGCAAGTATGATGTTGTCTCCTTGGGAGCTCTATCATACGCCGAGCTTAACACCACCGACATTGCCGGCATCTATTCGGTCGCTGGAAGTACCATCACCGCCGAGGTCGACGGTGCTGCCGCCAAGGAAGTCCGCCGCCGCTTCCACGCTAAGCGTCTCGCTGTTCAGTCCGACTGCACCGGAACTAAGCGTACCGCTACCACCACGGCCATCAGCAACTGCCGTGCTCTAGCTTCAGCCGCCCAGACCGCTGCGACCTCAGGTTCGGCTTCTAAGCTGACCGAGTACTTCAAGTCGAGCACTAGCTCCACGCGCAGCACGGTTGCTAGCTTCTTCTCGAGGGTGGCCAGCCAATGTAGCAGCACTACCTCGGGCGCAAGACTCTACTGCTCCGACGTGTATGGCGCATGCTCGAGCGGTGTCCTAGCGTACACCCTTCCATCGGCCCAATACGAAGTCAACTGCAACCTTTACTTCACCGCGCTGCCGGCCCTGTCCAGGACTTGCCACGCCCAAGACCAGGCGACGACAACTCTCCACGAATCGACCCATCTTTACGGCACCGAAGACTACGGCACTTATGGATACCAGGGTGTTCGCAGCCTTTCTGGGTCTCAGAACCTGAACCACGCCGACACCTATGCGCTTTTCGCCAACGCCATCTACGTTGGCTGTTAAACGCGTTGCTGCTCATTGGTTCCACTGTTGAATAAAGGGGGGGGAGGGGGTGGGCTTCTAAGGTTTGGGCATGGAAGGATGGGTAACTTTTAGGGGAAGACAAAAAGCAAGAACAGAAAGGAAACAAAAAAAAAAAAAAAAAAAAAAGACGACATCCCTAAAAGAGCTTAATCTTTCTCCTTTTCCCTAGAAGGAGCTTGTCAAAGGAAACATTGTTTCGTGCACTGCCTTCTCCCGATAGTGGGACAAAGCCCGCAAGAAGGCGGGGAGCGAGCGCAAACTTCGCTTGGATACAAAGGCGGAATTCACGTGTTACTCTCTGATTGTTTTGTTTTTAAAAGGTGCAAATAAATGTTTTCACCCAGTATCACAAGGCGATTGTTTCGTCTGATAGGCATCAGCTTTGCAAGTGACGTGGATTAAAAACAGAAAACCACACGTGTTCAGGGGTACGCGAGTAACCATCACACTTTACCTCACCATCGTTACCTTAGGTAGATATTGGTTGGCCATTGCGTTTAATTTAGATTTTACCATCCCTCAGGAAGGGTGTTTCTTACCACTTTAAGTTTTGATCAGCGAACCTCATATTGGGTCCGCTCAAGCAGGACCGGGCTCGGTTTTCTTGCCGTCCTACTTTTTGGCCTGTTAATCCCCTTCTGCTCTGTGCGGTGCACTTACTTTTCGCATACCTTTCTCTGAGGTACATCTAGATAATAATCATGCAGCCTTGGCAGGCATCGACTACACAATACGTACAACATCAGACAGAACCGCGAATATGTCAAGATAATTTGATGCATGACATGCGCGACGCTAAGAATACTGTCGCGCTGTTCGCCGACTATATCGATCGCCTACGGCCTGAGATTCCCCGGCCGCACAGCACTGCCGATCTCCTCGGCCTTTCGCCGTCCCTCGTTAGCCGCCAGGAATCCACCAGCTCTGCAGACGGGTCGCGCAGAGGTTCATCGAAGCGGCATCATAGAAGTGTTGGGAAGGAATGGGCGGGGTCGCCTCAGGGGACACTTTGGAACCAAATCAGCCAAACACTCCAAGACGTCGCGGCCGAATTACCGGACGCTAACCAAACGGCGATACAAGAGTTCATCAGCGCCCCAGAGATATTGAAGCTCGGGAATGAGTTTGTGCACTACTACCGCCAAGGTAGCAATGCTAGGGAGAAGCCATACTGGGCAGCAGAAGACCTATTCTTCGACCTCCAGTCGGTGAAGCAGGGCGACGTGGCGGCTGACAGGTGGACACGCGTGCGGCTAGAGAAGAGAGCAGGATGGGACCTAGCAGACCACCTCGCACGTTTCGTACTGTTGGCCGACAACTTCCGCAGTCAGGCGAACCGTCAGGACTGGAACACATGGGGCGAGGGCTTCGTAAGGCAAGTATCGTTTTACTTGTGCATCTTGCGATGTTTTACGATCAGAGATGCTGAGCAGCAGCGACAAACTGCACGGGAGACTACGCGAGATCGTGACTCGAAAATATTGACGAAACGAAGATCCAACAATAGCGGTAGTAGCAAGGTGTCCGGTCACAGCAAGTGACGATGATGTCGTAGGAAAGAAAGTAGTAGTATGGGATTACGCGTTTACTAGATCCATACTACATTATGTTAGGTAGGATCCAATGCCGGGATACATACTAGGATACATGTACGAAGGAAAGGAGGAGGACCTGAGAGGCTAAGTATCGAAAGCGTTATGCGGATGCCGGTGACATGGTGACTCTCTAATCAAGTTGACTGGCAAATGAGGAAATCTGGCTACCTCCTAAGGAATGCATGTGCTGCTTTCGAGTTGACATTAAAGCTACCTAACCTAACCTAGGTACCTAAGGTATCATTAGCAATGCCACTCACCACGCCTAATGATGCTTCTGATATGCGAGGCGACGAACACTTCCACTCTTACACTCTGATGAGAGGATTAGGTGATTAGTGAAAGGTGTATGTATGGAGGGACGGGATGACGATGGCTACGGAGGTAGTTGGTTCCAAATAGCTCTAAGTAATCAATTGAATAAGTCCGATTGGTTTGAATCAAAATGACCGAAATCTTCATCAGGAGGGAGATTATAGAAATTGTAGAGTAGAAGTTGTAGAGGTGAAAATATACAGAGGCGAAGATTACAGGAGGAGTTTACCTTAGGTAGGCGAGTACATTAGGTACCTAGTACCTAAAGGTAAGGTAGGTGTTGTATGCTTGCAGGTGGTTACCTAACACTAACCTTATGCAGAGGTATATTAGGTACACCATCTCTTTAAAAATGTACCTATTTTAAGAGGCTTCGGGTAAGGTAAGATGCATGCTTTGCATATGGCCTGCGGTAAGGTAGCCTGTAGGTACCTGATCTGACGAGGTAGGAGGTACTTGCCTCTTTGTGGGGGAATACCTATTAAGCCCCACTATCCCATCGACGCGGTTTTGAAGGCAGGGAAGGTTGATCCACGTATTTTTTTAGCCCAGCACCTGCAAAACATCTTTTAGAGGTAGGTACCTAACTGCCCACTGAAGCCATGCCGTAATTTTGGAAGTTTCCTACATGTACTGCATGTACTTACTGTGCATCCTCTTCCTCTAGTTACCTACTTCACCTTCCTACCTCACCTTTTTAATTCTCGACATTGAATTCTCGACTTTCAATCTACTTATTAGGTATTTTTCTGTCCAAGACGTCGTCGCGCCTTTTAATTACGCCCAAGTTTGGCACTCCTACAAGTAAATTAATCTATTCTCGTTATTCAACAATCCCCCGTCATGGAGGAGGAATCTGATATTGAGGACCACACCGCGTCGGATCGCAGTGAGGAGGAATCCGGTGAAGACCTTGGCAACTATGACCCCGACGATTCCGACTCAGAAGATGTCAACAATTTCCTAGATATGGAAGCTGCCGAATCTGAGAACGAGTATGACGAATTGAATGATACATCTACCGCCGCGGAACCGTTTTATTTCCCACAATTCAGATCATTACCTCCTGAACTTCGTGCCCATGTCTGGGAATTCTTCGACCTGGATCTTAGAGAGAAAGCCCGAGTATTTCGCATGTTTGTCATGACAAGCCCGGTGCAGTTCTGGAGAAGCGCAGGTCTGATAGAACAGACCGCCCCCGCAAGAGCAATGCTAGCTACCCATCGCGAAAGTCGCGCCCTGGCATTGAAATTCTATCCCGACACTCTTGACATACATCTAGGGAGTGGTGTTATTCGTTATAATAGCGAAAGGGACATCGTACTTCTCTCTATAAGCTCTATCCTTCGTCCCGCTCACTTGGAAGACCTCTTTTCCTCTCTTGGAAGCACCAAAAATATTGCCTTTGATGGCCTTCGAGAAGCTAATAAAGCCATACTCTATCCGAGGCTGGCGGCTCATCCGACGCTGAAAGCGGTATTTCACTGTCATGGTAGTCATGAGTATCCCAACGATGAGCTAAGATGGTGCGCGTCCGATTTAGTACAGCGCTTCTGCATAGAGCAGACAGAGCACGACCCAACGCTCGGCCCCCAGACTCTGAGGTCCATGTTTTGCTGGCCCGATCTCGAGAACCACCGAAAGTTTGCTGAAGAGCATGCTGCTGAAGAGCATGTCCAAACTCTCGCTGAGAACTCCAACCCTTTGACAATTTGGACCATGGTCGAATTCGCATTTGATGAAGAGCTTCGCCTCTACCAATCCCTCAAGTCCGGAAGGCTGCTGCCTTCAGATTGGGACACCGATGTGCCGTTCGATTCGTCAGACGACGATGAGTATGAAAGCGAGGGAATAGATGATGCGACAATCGAAAGCAATAGCGCCTCAGACGAGGAGGAGGATGACGATGATTTGGTCGTGCAATCTAATTCTGATGAAGATGATTCGTCTGTCTTCAACGGATTTTCTCCCATTCAGGACGATAATATCCATCTCTATCTAGACGGTGAAATGGAAGGTGGAAAATTCTCTAGCCTCGAGCCCGAATCCCCTCGTCGCCATCATGATGCTTCGGAACATGGTCTTTCTGACGAAGAACCAGTCCAGAAGACAGCCCGACGCAAACGTCGTATCGTGTCTTCGGATGACGAAGATGAGTCTGCCAATGAGAATGACGAAGAGGTTCGAATATCGTCCCAATCTGCTAAACGAAGTCGCGTTATACTTTCGGATACTGAAGATGAGGACGGTGATAAGAGTGAGAAATCATCTCGACCTGCCAAAAGAAGTCGCGTATTCCTTTCTGATACTGAAGAAGAGGATGACGGGCATACGGATGAAGACGCCGAGAAAAACCGCAACAGTGTGCGCGAGTCAGAGTCAGAGGAGTCTGGCGAATCCGAGGATGAGGAACCTGTGAAGACGAAGCCGATGTCTCTATTTGAGAAGCTAAACCAGTTCCGCCAGGAAAACCCCATCCCATCGAATTTAGATACTGGCTCGGATGTTGAAGCATCGATGGGCAGTGAAGGTTGGGATGGAAACGACTATGCTGGATTTCCAGATGATGAAGTCGAAGATGAAGATGGGTTACTAGGAAATGGTAGTCAGGTAGCGGAAATGCCCGAAGAGCATCTTGATGAAGATGAAGATGATGAGGGGTGGTAATAGCCTATATGACATGGCGTAGGAACCCAGGAAACAATGGCTACCTTAGGTAGATATGGAGCAGGTCTTACATTCGGAAGGGTAGCACTTACGTTGCATGCGTTGTATGGAGTTTCGAATGGTTTTAACGAGCCAAGGAGTACATACGTCCTGGATTTAGTCTAAATTCGCTTGTTGCTTCGCTACGTCGGGCATTTGCATTTCTAAGTTAATGCGGTTTATTCATTTTCAGATTTGGAGTACGCGCTGGTTTCAAAACGCAATAATAAAAGCCATTGACGGTTATAAATGCATTCCCTCATCAGCATTGGCGAGGTCTTTAAGAGAATAGGGAGAGCAATCGGATTTTAAATATATCTTGTTAGTCATTACGAGGACATGGAGGAGCTAATTAATATAATCCTATCAAGTTTCTCGGAGCGTATAATTACCAGAAGTAGGCGTGTTGTAGAATAGGTAATATCACTAGAAGCCGGCAACTCCCCAAGGGCCTGGTATTTCGGGTGACTTTGCTTTGAATTGCCTCTTCTGTCAAGGACAGCCATCGTATTCCTACTCTATCCTAACTTGCCCTCACCACTCCGCGGCCTCCCCTCATCACGCAGCTGGCCCTCTATCACGACTTCCTCGCCCCTATCTCTCCCATCATCACTCTTCCGGCGATCCAGCAACAGCCACAGACCGAATACGACCGCGGTAGACGGCAGCGTAAACGCCCAATACACCCAGAACCCGGGGTTCTGAACGACGCCGGCGGCGGATTCGGCGTGCCAGTCTAGCGACGGCAGCGCGAATAGCGCGGCAAAGAACGTCGCGGGCAGGAACGCCATCGTCATTATCGCTACCGTCCGCATGCTCGAGCTGTCGCGCCGCGCCGCCTCTGCGATCCTCCGGCCAGCATCTGCGAGCTCGGCATTTGTTGCCGAGTCCTCGTGCGTTAGGAGTGCGAAGAGCTTTTGCGGGACTCGTTAGTTGAAATTGCTTATTTGCTTGTTTCTGTCGCTAGATACCTAACTATATGTCTTGCGGGTAAGGGGAAAAGGAGGGGAACGGGAAGAAAAAAAAAAGGAAAAGGAAAAAACAGAAAGCAGAAACAAAAAAGTAGGAATCGGAGCCTTACCACGGTCGAAAGACGCTCGGCGCGCTCCTTCAGGTATTTTAGGTATTCCTGTGAGGCGTGCATGCGCCTCCTTAATAGAGGTATAGTTGCTATTAAACGCCGTGTGCTTTCGTCCCCGACTGCTGCTGCATCTGGCATCAACGCACTGTCGAGGACAAAGTCCAAAACGACATCTATTAGGCGGAAGTGACGCTCGTTGTTAGCGATGTGGTTTAACACCTCGCCAACGTCCTTGATATAAACTGTAATTGATTCCATCCCTAGACGCTCTTCGATACTACTAGAGTGCCGGCTGTAGCCCGTCTCGCGCTCTGTTAGCCGTACCATATGCGCCCGGTACGAGATTTCGCCGTCGAACATGCAGCACACGCTTAATGCCGTTACGTATGCTAGAAGGAATGGCGATCGTAGGTGTTCCTGGTGCCGCCTCAGCACGTTAACAAACCAGGCGGCAGGCGCGCTGCTACTGAAGCTATGCTGCTGTCGTAGAATCCACAACGCGTGCGTCTGTAGGGTCTGCTGGTTAAACGTCCATACCAGCACGAAATTAGACGTCCCGACATAATATGTGTCGACATCCGCCGTCGCGTCCTCTTGTCCCTCGACCTTGTCGTAAATCGCAGAGGAAGAAGGAAAATAATGGAAACCGTCATATTCGCTGCGCAAAAGCCATAACGCCGCCGGGCTCATGTGCATCGCGTCGACGAGGCCGAGAAAGATGTCTTTCGTGACCCAGAGCGACGGAAAGGGGGTAGACCATGACTCCAGCCGGCTGTCTATTACGACTAGTTTGAGGGAGGCAGCTGGCGGCGCAGCTGTTGCACTTTTGTGTGAGTTCTCACTACCAGGTCGTCCCCTAAAGAACTTGGGCAAGTGACTGAGCTTCAAATCCTTCTCGTCGTACGTTATCGGCTCCTGGGGCGACGCACACATGGAAATGACGCGGAGCTTGGGGTCGGAACCGAGCGCCACGTCGCCATATCGCTGGAAGACCTCGAAGTTCTCGCGGGCCAGCTGAGCAAACTCGTCCATACTGGTGGTAGCACACTAGACCCGGAGACTTCACCAATACTATATCATAGCTGAGATGAGCACTGAGCGCGACGGTGGCTTTGTTATTTTCCCCTTCGCCTTTAATAATGTTGAGTATGGCGGAAATAATAAAGCATAAAAGTGATTGAAACGCCAGCCATCAGCCACTCGACAACCTCACAGGTGATCTTGTCTCCAGAAAGATCAGTGACAGTTGGGGGCTGAAACGGATGCAACTCAGCCGTGATGCTCTCCTCCCTCTAATCCCAGCACCTGCCATCCCCACCTTATGCCTCTTGCAACCTAGTAGCATTGTGCTCAACAGTGTTAGGATCCGGCGAAGGAGTGCGATGTCGAGGGGATACTTTCACATCTCCAATACGTGCAAAAAAGGAATAGAAAATGCCTGTCAAAAAAGTTAATTTGATAGATAATTCAAGTAAAAAATGTAGAAAAAGAAATGCATCAGCCGCGAATCGAACGCGGGGCCCATCGATGGCAACGATGGATTTTACCACTAAACCACTGATGCTTAGATGTTAGGCTCGTCGGATTTTGCACTACTTATAGCTGCATGCCGCTAGATACAAACAAGCACAAGTGAGAACACCAAATCTTCGGTGAACTGCTTTTCCATCTTGTTAACAAACCAAATACATATTTTTGTTTTGTAGGACATAATAGGGAGGTTATTACACACGTCCCGTATTACTTCACGTCTTATCACTTCACACCTTTTTCCTTGGAACCCTTCACTTCGACATCAATCTTCCAGATGCGCCGACTCTTCTTGTCACGTCCCAAGTCCTCAACATCTCCGCCGTTTTCTAATTTCACAGGGCGCTCTTCGCCAACGGGTAACACCAACGTGACGCCGTTCTTGACCCACAACGGCTCAAATTCGCTATATTTCTTCAAAACCACCCTGGCGCGGATATGCTCACTTGATACGCCGTAGTCGATACTAGCCTCGCAGAGCGTTGGCTTATCCGCTGGACTTACGCCGTCGTCCTCGAGCCACGTGTTGCTGAACCATTTTATCTCCGCAGGAGCGTGATCAGGACTCGAAATTTCATTACCCTTAGGCCAGTGAGGGTATCGGGCCTGCGGCGGAGGGAAAATCTCAACTCCCCGATAGTCGTCCTTCTCCATACTTGGAAATTCCGGGTCTTCCGCAGCAATGCACGTAGTTGGCCTAGGTTTTCCCGTCGAAATGACGGACCCGATACGCGCGAGTACTGGGATCGAGCTATACCAAGTCGAAGAGATCTCGTGCCATCTACCGGCTTCGAGATACTGATATGGCGCCGTGAGGTTCAAGAATCCCAGGTCGCTCCCGCTTTGATTTGGAAGGTAAACCCTTGCGCTGGAGACGCCGGGCTCGTAGACACCTGCAATGAGCAGAGAATCCCCAAACCAGTATTGAGTATCGCCTTTTAGTAACTCCTTAGTCCAGACCTCAGGGTCAGACTCATAACCCCAGCCAGTCCATCGTTGAGGTGGAATTGCCTCCTGATGAGACTTTAACATGAGCGAGTACGTATATGGTATCAGCTCGTATCTACGCTCAATCGCATCTCGAATGATTGGCGCCACAGACGGATATTGCCACGGCTCAATCACCTCGCCTATAAGGTTGTCGTCCGGATTGGTTTTGTAACAATTGATAGCGAAACGTGGCGAGTGGATGCCAAGCTGTATCCAACGGACGAGGTGCTCCGGCGTAGGTTGAGGACCTTCGAAGCCGCCAATATCGTGGCCGTAGCACTTTTATAAGTGAGCCGTAGAACTCTCAGGTGGGATCAAACTCGAAGCACTTCAGCTTAATACTTACCTGAAGCAAAGAAAACCCTGCGTTTAACGCCAACGCGTTCGCGCCTTTCATTCCTTCCCAGCTTGTTACGTTGTCGCCGCTCCAAGAGCTAGCGCAATATCGCATGGTTCCCGCTGTCGCGCTGCGGGTGAGAACGAAAGGACGGACTTTGGGTTCGATTTCGATCGCGGCATCGTGAGAGCTCTTACCCATGAGCTCAGTATGCAATGCTCTACCCCAGAACCCAACATGCTTGCGAGGTTCGCCGGGAGGCACGGCAATAGTTTCGAGTGCGCATTGCCAATCGTCATTGGGAAGATTGTATTCGTTATTATCATTCCACATGGCGTCAATTCCAACCTCTTTCAAGGCCTTTACTCCATTGTACCACCAATTATATCCCGCCTTGGAAGTAAAATCAAGATGACTACCCTCTTCGCTCTCTCCTCCTCCAGCGCTCCAGAGTCGCGTGACTGCAGTAGTCGAAGTATAGGGGTCCTTGAAGAAAGCACCAGATTGCGACAGTTCCGTATAAGCTGGATGGGTTGCCAGAACGTACGGCTTGATGTTTGCCAAAAGACGAACACCATGCTTGTGACACTCGCGCGTGAATCCCCGCGGGTCTGGGAAGCGGTGGCGATTCCAAGTGAAGACGTTCCTCGTTTTGGGCTCGGTTTCGGCTACCGTGTACCCCGAGCTCATCTGAAAAGCCGAACACGGCATGCCGTGCTTTTCACAGTTCTTGATGAAATTGAGGATGGAGTCGCATGCGCGCGGAGAGTCCTCCATACTGTATTTCATGCCACCGCCGATGTAGCCCATCATGTACCGGGGCGCAAGCAACGGGAAACCTATCAACTCAGCGTAAGATCGCACAACTTCGGCAATGGTCTTCCCAACGATAAGGTACTCTTCAAGTCCGCCGTGGGCTTGTCGGTAGACCTTGTAATGGCCCCACAGTCCGTCTAGTTCCGACCCAACAGCCCAGGTTGCTCGGGAATGAGAAGTCGAGAAGATACCGACACAACCATCGGGAGTGGCGTTTATTAGCAGAGGGATGTGCTTGTACAAAGGGTCTGTCCGGTAAGCATCGTACCCAAAAGTATCGCTTGCAGTTATATTAAACCCTCGGCCGCTGAGGTCCATCGGCGCGGCCTTCTCTCCAAGCCCAACGTGTAAGCTATCCGACTTGTAAGTCGTGTAATGCGCGATTCCGGTGCCATCGACCGTATATGATCGGAAGTCTAGATCGCGATGGATCGGCTTCTTCTGGTCGTCTATAGAAAGAGAGACAATTGGCGTGTTCGACCAATTGATATCAATTTTTATATGGCCAAGGTTGATAGTTTGGGAATGCTTTTCTACGTCAACGCTGACCTCGGGGTTGACATCTCCGAGAGATGGCTTCAGACGGTTTGCGCTGGGATACGGCGGTAATGAGTGCTCTTGAGTGGTGAAAGTGGTACGAAACACATTTGGACGCAGCACTTCGAACACGAAATGACACTTTTCATGGTTGTTTTTGCCGTTGGACAAGAGCGTAAGTAAGAGAGTCTTCTCTGGGCTTGTCTCGTGTGGAGTGACCAGCTCATAATTGGTTGGTACGTATTCGTACTGCTTAAACATCTTTAAGGTCTTTATTGGAGTTGGAATAGATATCTCTTGGAGGATTTACGTTTGGTAGGATATAGTTATGGCTTTAAAAAGTATCATCTAGAGTTTGATTGAGATGATAGATAGCCACAGGGAAAGCAGGGGGAAGGAGACACATCAAATAAGTTCATCACCAGTTGCTTCTGAGCTCCGAGTGAATAGGGAAGCTTTAATGCTATTAACTCAACTTTTACAATTGCCAAGACTAATGCTCAAACTACATATTATAAGAGAGATCTCCGATGGAGGTCCGGAAGATAATCATTTACGGAGCAAGCGGAGCGGGGATGAAGGCAATGCCGCGGGGAGTGTTCAGCTTTGGAGTACTGCCTAATAGCTTCATCAAAAATATAAGTTGGAGACGACGCTTTAAGCCCTGTAAGCCAGCCAATTCTCCCACATGACTGTCTCTAATGCGTACCTAACATAGACGTACATAGATGTATGTATCCTAGCGGCACAAGGAAATCTATATGCGGGGCTGCGATCGCATACGGCATTTAACGACGGCGAGAGGATCCTCTCTCTTTTACGTCGTCGTATCCGTGGTTGGTGCTAATTTGAGGTTGTCGCGTAACCGAACCAACCAATCACGGTTGAGATCTGATCAGGTTGACCTGCTTCGGACAGAGATAGGCCGGCGGTCCTTACCGGTTCAAACTTGGTATATTACCGTAACCCTGGCGCCGAACGCTTGGATCGAAGCTAAATAAGCCAGGCACCACTACCTAAGGTATAAATAGTTTTCCTTACTTAGGTACCTAACGATATCTATAGGTCGATACTGGATTCGAAGTAGGAGTGAGACGCCGGTTACTGAAAGCCCAATTGGAGATATAACTAATTGTATACCACATTATTCGTATTTACGTCCTATATATTAATATAATTCAGAGTTTCTCTCAATTATGTAGCGCCTTTTCTTCCCCAGGCCCATCTATGCAGAAAGAGAACACCGAGTCTTCAGAGCTTCTGAAATACCACGGTACTGAGAATGGTGAATGTTTGGAATCATCTAGGGCGTAAGGAAGACGCGTCGGTATTTCATATCTGCCTATAACTTGCCGCTGTAGACTCTTCTCAATATTTTCGCTTGAGTGCACGCATTAGGTACCCCATCATCAGCAACTGACTCGCTACAACTTTCCCAACTGCATTTAGCTTGTACGCGATTGTACGCCTAGGTCACCCGCATAGAACTAACTACGGCTTATTCCGTAGCCGAGCACATGTTTAACGGGACGTTGTCATTCTCCTACAGAACATGGATCCAATGTCGTCAGAGTTGTACGTCTTACCAGTAACCCCTGGCGCTATCACAATCGTCTGAGTACCTAGGTAGGATATTGAGAGATCATCTGGTACATGAATTGTAGCTACAATGAGAGCTGGTCGTGAAGGGAGGTTCTAAAGTGATCCGAAGTGTAAAAATATTTGAATATGTCCGAATGGGTGTAGCTTGATACCTAGAATTGACGTTGTGATGTACGGAGGTTTCCGAGAAGAGGATGCACTATACTGTATCGGCATGTAAAATCGAACTCTTCGAGTTAGACAAGGAAATGTTAAAAATAAAGTCTAAATAGCAACGGAGTTTCCCTTGCATAAGTGTCTTTGTGACGTATATAGAAAGTTTGTTTACTCTAGTGGATAGTGATTGGAGTCGGTTAGGGGGCCAGTAAATACATATCCTTCGGCGCGTGGTAGCTACGAAAAGATCACTCAGATCTGAATTAACCTTCGCTGGCCTCTATACTCTTGGCTCTACTCTTGGCTCTAAACTAGAGCCTCCTAAACACTCACCTCGGGACTTGACTAGATGGACTAAGAGATCGAATATTGTGAATAGTAATCAATTTAGGCACCTGGTAAGCCTGATTCTCGAATTATGTCACAACGTGATCATGTCAGGTTTTGGGCAGAAGCTGTGTCTTGCACGAAGTGACGAAGAAACTGAGTTGTCAACTGAGAGGTAGTTGTAGGAATAGGAGGAAGAAAAATAAAATAAAATAAAATAAAAATAACCTTCGTACGAACCCTACCTAATCTTAGGAGGTATGTGCCTGTTACCTAGCAACCATCACGTTACGCATAAATACCTTACCTCTCCCCCTTATCTACCGCTTGCCATACTTTTCAACTCGAGATGGATTGTACCTTCATTTTACGTTTTTTCTCAGGAATTGAACTTAGCCCTTCTAAGATCAGCAACACGTTCCTAATGTCTCCTAGTCTTGGAAACATCGTCGACATATAAGTATAAAATCCGTCGCGCGACAACAAGTTTCCAAGGCCGACGTCTTACTCTTCCAGCGCCGTATACACCAAGCCGCTACTCCCTACCTATTAGTTAATAATAATAATAATAATCATAATTTCCGCGGGCTACATACCTAGTAAGTCCCGCTCGCTCATCGTTCTACACTTAGGTAGGTATACCCGTTAGCAAATACTCAGCAAATTCGGGATATAGATCTTCCCATGGAGAACGGGGTGAAATTTCTCGTATCCTCGGGCCTGAACACGCCGGCGGAAAACGGGTACAACATCATCCTGGACATCCTGGCCGAGATGCGCGAGCAAGGCGTCGACGTGCCGCCCGTGGTCCTCGGGCTCGTGACGCAGCTCTACGCGCGGGCGTACGCGGCGGAGCAGAGCGGCGACCGCCTGTCCAGCAAGTATGTGCTGCTGCAGGCCGAGCACAGCCAGCTCGTGGTCGAGTTCAACCGGTGCTGCCGGGACAACAACAAGGCGTGGAAGACGAAGGCGGAGACGACCCTGTACGACGACATGCAGCGGTCCGTGGACGCGCTCGTCGAGGCTAGGAGGGAGCTGCGCGGCGCCATGAAGAGCCTGTTTGACGAGCGCTTGGCTACGACCACGGAGGTGGTCGCCCTGAGAAAGGAGGTAGAGAAGCTACGGAAGGAGAATGCTGCGCTGGCGGCTTAGATACCTGCTACCGGAAACTCTGGCAAATGAAGGAATCTACCTAGGTACTGAACGGTGAATTTTTGATTCCTGGATTATGTGAATTATGCTTGCTATCGGCGTTATGTTGGATATTCGTGCAGGGACCGGCGGCAAATGCGTCGTTACCATGGTGTTTATTATTCCCGTCATTTAATTACTCTGTACAATATTCCAACTCTAATCATGTATATAGGGTACTGGAGGTATCTGTGTACTTTATGAGGGATGCGCTCCCCTTTAGGTCCTTGTAAATAGTCACATCGTTAACGCAGATGAGAGAAAGGCTTCCCCCTACGCGATATGTCGTAGAATGGAGAAACATCGGCTTCAGTTTATTAACAAACAAAATAAAGAATTTATCCAAAAGGGTATCACCAACCTAGCGTATCTAAATCTACGTAAGCTAGCCCAATTCAATCCTACGACTCTGGTATACGCGGTATAAGTTCTATCTATTTCTGACAGGTCCCAAAAACCGTAACGCAAGCCCGGATAGAAGTCGCTCCCCCGTTTCCCAGTCGCGAGGTAGAGCATTTATATAAAGCGATCATTCCCCCTATTGACGAATATCTACGCCAATGCTCCAAAAATATTCACAATGACTTTGTAAATCCTCATCGACAGTTTCCATCATAGTACTACCGCCTGTTTCGAATAGGAGTCGGTTCTGGTCATCCTCGTCCCATTTCTCCCAGTATGCTGAGCCGGTGTGGCGGTGCGTATTCGGATCGAAAGTACGGATAAAACTCGTCCAGTACGCCTGAATGACGGGGATGACTGGAACGTTAATGCCGTCATTTGTATAACTCGCCGGCGCACCCCCAGCATTTTCAGGACCCCATATTGCTGCCAGCTCTGCCGTGTGAGGTACACCTAGCCCCTGTGCGATCTGATCCGGATCCTCGACGTTGTAGTGGTAATTATATGAGCGACTGACACCATGTTTCCTCATAGCCGAGGATATATATAATGTGGGACACATATATCTCAAATCACCATAAACGTCGCTAACCTGGCGCCAGTAGCAGCCAGTACTGGGGCAGCTATCGTTCTGGTTTGGATACATTTCACTGATCTCGTCCAGCTGGTCCCGGGTTAGGTAAGGAAATTGAGCACGGAGAAATGCCTCGCTTTCAGCTAATGTCGAGGTGCTTCTAGGTGTGAAGACTGTCCCACCATTGGTATCATCGCCGTATATCACGGGTATTTTGACAAACTTGCCCTTGGCGAACGAGTTGTACGTGTAGTCCGTGAGAAAGTCGTAGTCGAGCACCGGGTTCCAAGCATATAACGGTTTCGACATCTCGCCTGGATAAGGCAAGCCTGTGTTCTGGCTCTGGAGTTCTGCGGCAGTCTTATTTCTAAGACAAGCGAGAGAGTCAGACCCCGAACATCCGACGAGTGCCGAAAGATTATTATAAAGGTACTGACTCTCATCGACGGTAAGAACAGTGGCAAAGGATACGGATTCTGCCGCAGCGGCATGGAACAAATCAGTCTTCTTGCCATTATATGCTACCATTTGAAGACTGATACTAGCGGCGCCCGCCGAATCACCGCCCAGAACGACATGTCCAGGATCGCCGCCAAATTGGGATATATTGTCTTGCACCCATTGGAGTGCTTTCCGCTGGTCGCGCAAGCCATTGTTAGGCGTAATCTCGTCCTCATGAGTGATGAATCCATACGGCCCTACACGGTAATTAAAGGTAACGACGACAATCGAATTCCCGCTCGCTTCAATCAAACCGGATCCATTAAAATTCGGATTGCTGAGGACGTTGAAACCCCCACCCTGGATGAAGAAAAATACGGGTAGTTTGGAGTGCTGAGTCGCCTCCGTCGGCGCATACACATCGAGAAACAAGCAATCTTCCGAATGAGTACTGTCTGGCGGAGAATTGCTCGTTGAAAGACAAAGCATCCCGTGCTATTACAGAAACAAATGTCTCAGCAAAGATGACCGGATAGGGAGTTTATGCCATTAGATTATATCTGGAGAAACACGCACCTGGTCAGCTATTTGTGTTGTATTGTTGCATGGAGGATCCTGCGGAGGCATAAACCTCAAATCGCCGACGGGCGGCGCGGCGTACCGGATGCCAAGCCATTGCGTGATGCCGTTCGGCGTAGCGAAACCGACGTACTTATTACATGATAAGTCGACAGTGGTATCGACGGCGAATACAAGTCGGCACAAGTGGCACAACACGAGAACAGCTACGTTTATCGTGATCATTGAAGTTCCACGAGCCTCGGAAACCCTCCGAGCGGGAACTGGACGACGTATCGCGTAGATTAAAGGGGGGTGTAGGAAAGCGGCATTATCCAAGGACCGGGTATCGCGGTGTTCATATACTCGATATATACCTAGGTAGGTAAGGAAACGGGAAGATGGTAGAAGTAAATACGGTTACTGTATGGGAACTCCCCTAGAAGGGCAGGCTAATACGCATTCCACGACATCATCTGACGGAATTCCACTACGACTTCCGTGCTCCAGGTCTGAGGTCTATTCTCACTTCCCTGTCTTCCTTGTCTCTCCTCGCCAGTGTCTCCCTCAGCCTCCCTTTTCCAAGATACGAGGCGGCGTGACCCTGCAAGCTGACAGCATTCCAAGTAGTTGGCAAGCCGATGCACCACGATGCATATTCTCTCCTAGGCCTAGACCAGAGAGAGCGAGCAGCGTTAGCAATCAAGAGCATGGGGTACGCGTGACTTGGGTTGACTTGGGTTGACTTGGGTGATTTCAGACTGTAGGAACTCGGGTGCAGACGGTAACATTAGGCGCCGCCGCTGAGCGGGTTGCGGCAACGCCATGCAGATGGACAGTATCTTGACTTGATATGGGAGATGCAAAAAGTTGGAGAAGCGAAAAGAAAAGAAAACCTTAGGTTGGTACAATAGGTACAGGTTAGGTACCTATACAAGTAAACATGTACCCGACCCAAGCTTTTTTTTGGCTTTGGCTTTGTTTTTCGGCATCGGGGTTATGGGTTTGCGGGGGAACATGGGGATTAAACTTTTTCTATTACCTACCTGTATTAGCACCTGCATTGTGATGTGCTTGCTGTGTGATTATTCTTACCTAAGGGATTGTACGACATTACGGAGCCTTAGCAGGGGTTTCTTAATAAGTTTTACCCATCTTTGCCCAATCGGCACCTTTTAAGGCTGGTACCTAGAGGTGAAGGTAGCTAACGTATCCAAGTACTTCGTACCAAGACAAATTTAATTCTTGTTCCCCTTGCAGATGGCTTGCATAGATCAGTTTAGGGGGGGATGTCAGTAATACCGATAGACCGATAGCCGTCTGATAAGTTCTCACCCGTTGAACAATAATAAAACCCCATAATCGTTTAACCCTTGACAAATCAATCCCAAATCAATCCCTTCTCACATATTACAACCCTCGGGCCTCCGATACCACGGTTCTCAATAATCGGGCCCTTGCCTTATTTCCTACCTTATTTCCTGCTTTAACTTGGACAAGATGCGAAATACGAAAGTTAGAGCTTCAATACTCTACTGCAATGAACCGTCGATGTGATGTCCGTAAACTATTCCCACAAGCGTGACGCTTATGGTACCGTACCGTACCGTACCATGCCGTACAGTATCCGGTATCTCTTGGCGACGACTCGTGGCCGGGATTGGATCTTCAGACCTATCCTATCATACTATGTTACAACCTGACAGTGTTTGTCAACGTGGAATGCAGGTACGTGCAGTAGGGTATCACATTACCTATGGATAGTATCACAGAAAGGAGCCGCTGTCTCGCATCAATTTCTTTTCGGGCGGTTTGCAACTCAGCTGAAGAAAGTGCATTTACTTGTGTGATCTGGCTAAAGCTCCTAAGGGTATTAAGAATGCGCCATCGATCTGGTGGAAATGAGGTTCATATTTAACAGCTGCCTATGACCTCTTCTTATTCACAGCTTTGGTCAAATCCATGATGTATCATACATAGAATAGAGGTAGCCCCTCGCCCAGGGTTTTACTTTTATCAATTTGCTTTTTCGAAACTTGCAGTCTGCATGTTGTAGATTGCCGATTTCGACATATTAACTTTCTGATCTAATACTATAAATATAACAGATAACTAGCAGATGAATAGTGTAAATCCCGAAGGTTGCAGCTCGTACGACCTTGCCAGCCCATTCGTCTCTTCGACCACTGGTGGTAATTTTATTTTATGCAGCAACTGATTATCATTGGTCCGTTAGGTAGTTTCTCATCTCTTAGCTGCGGCATGTCTGAGTTGAAGGTGAAATTCAACACACCCTACGTATCAATGGACGTGGGAAGGACGCGTCAGTTAAATTTGTTGCGACAGCATAGCATAATTTCGAAACGGAAAACCCCGTCAGAGCTCTTGGTGCTCTTGAAACAGTTAACGTCACTCGATTCTATGAATGTTTTCTTCAGACACGTCTGCGACGAATAATTTCAATATCTTATGATAGCTCAGTTTTCCTCTCTGGTCTTCGAGGTCATAAGATAAACCAGGGAGACCTTTCAACGACCCCGTGATACCAACAGCTTCGTGAACCAACCCGCATATTATTATCGCTGTAGGCAGTTTAAACCGACCTCGCCTGATGTTGAATGAGCCGTCGGTCTTATTATGCGCATATGTCATGATGACTATTCGCATGTTACCGCTACTATCTACGTACTAGCATTAAGATCCCCCCATATGCTTGGTTTTTCCCAATGGAACCTCCGATGAAACTTATTAGATTATACCGTCGAGCTCTACTATACTATTGTTATGAAAGATTTAGATCGTGATAACGTCATATATACGAATAAGCAAATACTCATCTCATTGTAGTCACTCCAAGCAAACCCATAGGCGAGGAAGAGCAGACTAGAAGCATATCCGTATATGCTTACATCGCCGAAGCCTCTATTTCGGTGATCGGGTTAATGCTGATCGACTTCAGAGCCGAGTGCCCTGAACATGGCACCGGCAGTCGTGATCACAAGTATAGCAATTAGTCGAGACCGATCTATGTCGAACAAAACGAGATAAGTCTTTGCATGTGACCTTTGATCCTTGACAGACACGCGACGGAGTGCGGAGTAAAAGTCACTATCCTGGAATAGAACGAGGAGTCATCCCGGCTCTTTCCCACTTACTCCTCATTCCCGGACCTGGTTATCGGTAACGCGTTTCTGCATCATGTGCTTCACTTATATCACAGGGTGCTACCAAGTTGTGGGCGAGAGTAAGAAATATCTTACGTTACGAGAAGCATCACAATGGGTGTGACCAAGGCATCAGCAGCAGAAGTCGCATATGCAATCCCGCCGCCAAATACCCACCGTGAAGGGCACGACGGCAATGGCGGCAGAGACATCGCAGCTTCGTTCCTCGCTAAAGCCGTTGCGGAGCAGAGAATATCCGTGACTCCGGCGGAGTCGGCGCGTGTCCTACGCCGCATCGACATCGTCATACTTCCTATCATGCTGACGGTCTACTTTCTGCAGGGACTGGACAAGACAACGCTTGCGTACGCTTCCGTGTTCGGTCTGATCGAGGACACGAGACTCGTAGGCGATCAGTACAGCTGGCTGGGCAGCATCGTGTACTTGGCGCAGCTCGTTATGCAGCCGCCTCTGGCGTGGTTGCTCGTGCGCCTCCCTATCGCCAAATTCACGAGCGCTATGGCGTTGCTCTGGGGCGTGTCGCTTACCTGTATGGCGGCTGCGCATAACTTCGGCGGCCTACTAGCGACGCGTTTCTTCCTAGGCGTGTTCGAGGCGAGCGTTGCGCCTAGCTTTGTCGCTATCACTCAGATGTGGTGGAGAAGACGAGAGCAGACTGTTAGAACCAGCTATTGGTAGTAAGTTTGCCTCTATACTCTCTCACAGCCCATACTATATTGCGGTATGGTCCGCGCGTCATGTACAAAACTTGTCTTTGAAGTATTTATACTCTTAAGAGGTATGCGACTTCAAAGATCGCCTACCCCTGAAAACTCTAAGCGAGGCCGAAACGTGTTAAAATCGGATATTCTAGTGCCATGAATGGATTCACGAATATGGTATGCTATGCCTCCTATCCTACAAAGTACTTGCTTTGCTGAAGTCAACGAAGTTTGGCAGTTTGATCACTTACGGCTTGGGCCATATATCGTCACCATTGCATTCCTATCAGGTGAATTATGTGCTTCCTATTATACGTACCGTATTTTAAGCTAACAATACCATCCAGATCATATTTCTATTCTTCGGAATCATAACAATCGTATTCAGCTTCGTCATGTTGGCCTTCATGCCAGATTCGCCGGTAGAAGCAAAGTTCCTAAGCGAGAAGGACAAGCTGATAGCCGTCGAGCGCTTGCGCATGAACCAAATGGGCGTCGTATCCCGCGAGTGGAGAAGCGATCATCTCAAGGAGTCACTCTTGGATCCAAAATCGTGGCTCTGGTTCGCACTAATGTTCTCAATCAGCATCCCGTCCGGTGGCATCTCGACGTTCGGGCCGTTGATAGTGAAGACTTTTGGATTCGATCCATTCGGAACTATCCTCTTCAATATCCCTTTCGGGTTCGTACAACTAGTCGCAACTGTTGGCGGGGCATTTATAGCTCAAAAGATCAAGAAGAAGGGGCCTGTCATCGCTGCGCTTTGTATACCCCCTATAGCGGGCTGCGTGATGCTCATGGTACTTCCCCGAGACGCACCTCACCGAGCGCCCCTTTTGGCCGGTTACTACCTTATTTCCGTTTATCCCGGCATCAGTGAGTATTATAGCACGATTGTCCCCAACAGAGATACTAACGGATATGTAAAAGCTCCGCTCATTTACTCGTGGGCATCTCAAAACACAGCTGGAGATACCAAGAAGAAATGTACTAATGCTGTGCTTTTTATCGGCCAGTCCGTAGGAAACGTGATTGGCCCATTGCTCTACTCACAGAAGGAAGCCCCGGGCTACGCTAAGGGCTTGCGTTCCAACCTGGCACTCTATATCGTAATCATCATTTTAACTGTGATCACTACGACGTATCTCAAGATTCTAAACGCAAGCCACGCCAAGAGACGTGTGGCCATGGGTAAAAGCGCAATTATCGTCGATACTAGCTTGGATTCTTCAGAGGATGCCGCAGCAACGCAGCAAAGAAACGACGATGGCATCAGGAGCGCAGCTAACACCGAGGAAGGCGATGTGACGGCTACAGCTTCGACCAAAGATGTGGAAAAACCTGGTGACCGAGCGTTTGAGAACTTAACTGACCTCCAAAATGAGGAGTTTGTCTTTGTCTTTTGAGTTTTTGCTAGCCCCTCAACACCCGGCAGGGAGGATTTCCACGACATCCCTACTAAATAGGATACACAATATCTTCTGACCTATGAGTTTGAACATCTTGGCCAGATTTTCGAGCTATGTATTTAACTTCTTTGCCTCATATAGGAAATTCTTCGTTTCTTGCTCTATCGTAGTTTAGGTACATAAAAGCTTCTCCAGCTGCCAGGGCAGATGCGTCTTCAGATTAAGGGTGCTTTATTTCATACGGATCATATCTATCGTGGCCATGAAACTCCCTTTACCAAACCAGAGTGTCCAAGTAAACCAATAATAACATCTGCCACGGGTCGTTACTCCAAAGCATGCGAAAATGGCTGAGAAATCGGGTTCGAAGCACAATATGTAACTGAGTATTTGCAAAGTAGATGATGAATCCATAGCAGGTAATAGTCCATACTTTGGTATTATCTTGGCCTGCAATTATCAAATTATGGAGGTTTATGCAGGTACCTCAAAACTATTAATCACGTCGTATGTATAAAGCCATTAATCGTTTCTAGTGGTAGCTCGTCTGATAATATGAAGAGACGGGCCTTGCCGACGAGAAAGTAACTTGGAACTAATACAAAAATTACGTCAAGCATAACTAACTACCTCGACTAAAACTACGAAATGTTCGTACTAAATTTTATTAACTCTGTGCGGTCGATCTGTCCGGTCTGTTTAACGGTTCAGCTTAACAATATCGTCCGATCCATCAATCCATCGACGATCTCTCCACGGATGACGCCAGTCGCATCCTGGCCCTGGCTGTTGGCTATTAAGGCCATTAGCGTCACTAAAGACCTGCAGATCCGGATTAGCAAATCAAACCGACTTTTACATAGTAGGTCAGCATCGGAGCCGCAAGCCAAACTACCTACGAGTGGCCCATGAGAAATCCGGATCCTGGTTCTGGGGTCTGACAAAGGCTAATAGAACAAGTTTCTACCCACACCTCTGACGCAAGCCACAGAAGGTATGCGTTCATGTGGCGTCTGTTCGTAGGTGAGCATAAGTTTCTAGCAAGAGGGGGGTTACATCATATTATACCCTTTGGCTTGTTGATAATATAGGAATAGAAACAACCACTTGGCTCTATAAATTGAAGTAAATCCCCGAGAATGGTTGGAAAACGAACCTGTACATGGTTAACTACGAAACACGCTTCTATTCAGACAACTTTACATACAAGAAATTCCGTCACTTCGCTTCACTTGATCACTAAGTTACGAAGAATAAAATAAAATCTACACACGAAAGTTAACTACCACTTCACAATCCACAATGTCGAACAATAACCAGAACGGCGGACTCCTCGGCGGTCTAGTCGGCGGCGTCGATAACGTGCTAACCGGGGGCGAGAAGGCCAAGGGCCAAGGCGGACTCCTCGGAGGTGTCGGCGGCGCCCTCGGTAGCACGACCGAAGGACTCGGAAACGGGCTGAACTCAACTACCAGGGGAGTAGGAAGCGCCGTGGGCAAGACGACCGAAGGTGTCGGCAACACCGTCGGCGGCGTGACGAGTTCTGTTGGGAACACCGTCGGCGGTGTCACCGGAGCGGGTGGAGCCCCTAAGAAGAACGACGACGGCGCGTTTAAGAGCTACGGTATCTGAAAGTAGGGAAAGTAGCTGGTGGGTGATGCGACATAAGTTAGAGGTACCTGAAGGATTATATACAAGGTATCTACCTAATGAACCTGGGTTTTGGAAATTGGGAATCGGCTTGATTAATGTTTGGACTTTTGTAATAAATCTCTTGCTTCTGAGCGGTGTTGGTTAAAGGAATAAATCTCACTGCGTTGTGCTCAATGACTGACATGATGCATGTGAAAATGCTGTGGCTTTTGTAGGGTTTGTGGCTAGATGCTGAGCTTTTCGTGGCTTGATTTACTGTCACTGTCAATTGGAACATTGAACAGTGGAACACTGAACATACATTGTACATCCGAGTGCATTGAATGGATGCTATCGATTAGTGGGGTTACCTGGTCTAACGGTTGGTGTTCGCAATCTGTAAAGTACAATACAATACCAGGTACCTAGAAACACTGGAACCTGTACAATACATCTCTTTTCAATTTCAAAGGACGTTCAACTCGTCCCGATATCCCGCTAATATCCTACATGGCAGCCCACGAGGATGAAGATGCGTCCTACGTCGATTACGATACCTTTCTCGACCCGGACTTCAGCCCCTCTTCTTTCGCTAATAGCCTTGTTCTCGCTACAAATAACCCCAACGATACTCCCTTAGACCTGTCGACGCCGTTATCTAAAGTGCTTTTCGATGCCCAAGAGGTTGATTCTCATATCGACCTTCTTACTACCCGGTCCGCGATCCCGCTTTTAACCTATACCAAAGAACAGACAGAAGCGAGTGGAAAGATAATATCTGAAATTGACAACCAGGTCAAGAGCTTAAACGAGAGCTATAAACAGCTAGAAAAAGAGGTTATACAAAAACATGCCGAAGCTGATGAAGTACGCCAAGTTGCTGCCAGATTATGGGAAACCTTGAAGCTGGGAAGGTCTGTCGGTCGCTGTCTTCAACTAGGTCGCCAGCTTGAGATCCAACATTCCGAAATATCTAGCTCAGCATCAGCTACTACGACGACTAGCAGCAGCAAAAAAGAGGATCATAGAGCGCTAGTACGCTGCGCACATACCATCTTATCATTACGGGAGATCCTCGACAAGAAAGAACCCGGGGAAGAAGGTTGCGGTCTCGATAGGGTCAACGCGATCAAGAGTTTACAGGACAACGTCATAACGCCGATCGAAAGATCGGTTAAAAACACCTCGGAACAGATCGTAAGAGAGTTCAGCATCGGTTCCGCTTCGGGAACAGCTACTTTTGCGCAGAGTGAGGAGGTCAAGGCTCGAACGATATCTGCTGCTATCACTCTTTACCTTATATCGCCCATTACCGGCGCGAAACCTGATAAATGGACGCCTCAGCTACTCCTACAAATCCTCGAGATATATCTGCGCAACGCGTTACAGAGTTCTATCACATCTCTGGCGAGGTCACTTGCGACGCTACCGTCGCTAGACAGGACATTGGCCGAAATCTCTTCGAGATGCCAAAACATAATCGCCCTAGAGATGACACTTGCTTCAACAAATGCGCCTGCGCATCCACTTCTGCCGGCGCATAAGCACGCATCCGACAAATCCAACCTTCTACAGCCCCTGCTGGCATATCTCGAGACTGGCTCGCTTGCATCTTACTTTTGGAGGACTATGGCAAGCATCTTAGCAACACGGGTTCAAGAAATTGTAAACCGCGGAGGCGTTTCAGCTCGTACATTGAAGGCAAACCGCAACAGCGTAGGAGAAGCCATCAGAGAATGCGTTATCCGGGGCACTCAGCCTCCTAGCACTGTGGCGGCCGCCAAGGGGAAGACCCCCAAAGGAGAGAACGAAAAAGGTGGCGGCGGGTGGGACCGCGAAGTAGCGGTGATGGTTAGTAGTGTCGTTGGCAATCTTGGTAGATAATACCAATACGACAATGTATCGAGTCCAAGCTCCCTACCCCGTAGAAGCGTTCCTGGAAATATGGGTCGCCGTCCCATGTTAGCGGAATCTCTGGAGCGACTATTGATGCGAGCCCCTTTTCCCAGGGAATAGGGACAGCTTTACCGCCCCTGAAAGTGGTGTAAAGCATGTCGGCTGGCAATACCAAGGTGCTACGAAAGGGACATAACCGATCTTCCATGGCAAAATTCTAGAACCGAGGTAGATCTCTGCAAGAATATAGTGTAAAACGCGTAATGCACGATTAAAAAGCACTATCAACCGCATCGCGGGGGTTACCGGGCCGTGAATGCCCTCATCACCCTCTACTCCAATTTACTAGTACTATAGTAACGACAACATGTAATCCCGCAGCGCAAAATCCCTCAACGCTTAATCTCGACGCATCTTTATAATATTATGTACCTACATCAAGCCAAGGCTACATGTGATTTTTATTTACATCCGATTTAAGCGTCTTTTATAAGGGCTCCTTTGGGGCGGAGATTATCGGGTTCGTCACATCGTGGACTAATGGTTCGACTTATATATACAACAATTATATTATTTTTGAGGTCGATTGCCCGACATCTCGGTTACAGATGGACAGATGTGAGAGGCCCAAAGACGGCCCGTTTTACTGCAGTAGTAGTAGAGACAGGTCTCGAACATGCAACATCGCTGCTCTTCTATGTGTGTTAATACTTTCAAGGAGTTTGAATTATATTGCCCGCATCCACTAATAGGAGAGAGATTTATCTAGGGGATGCGACTTGTTGGTAACCAATAACCAAATTGTTATGTAGCCTATTTAGAGGAAGTTTTGTTTTTGTTTTGTTTTTTTTTTTAATTCGTTAACCCAGAAAGGGGTTAGAGAAGCCCCAATCATGATGGTTTCGATAGTGCTTATAAACATGAACGTATTACTTACCGCGCAGCCCTCAGGAGACCTTGTTTGCAGGACTGTATTTAGTGTAGTGTAAACCCGTTCGGCCGACCAGGTTGGGTAGTGATTACGCTACATGTATTCCATGCTTCTTTCTCCAGTTAGAAAGCACCTAATTGCATAGCCGGTTAGGTACTTTAGAAGGTATTCATATTAGTGCGCCTAAGCGTGTTATACCAGTTATGTTAGCTCTTCTTTCCCCACAGAATCACGTTGACACAGTTGCCTTTTTTTTTTTTTTTTTCTTGCCCAGTTGTTACCTATACCATCTTATACGTCATTAATGTACGTACCCCCCCAGAAGAGATTAGTCTGGGGTCCCCCTCCCCCCCCCCGGTTGACCAATGGTATTTCCATGCCTTTCCATTCTTCTTCCTTGTCCATGATGTCTTCCATTGTCCACAATTTCTTCCCAGCCTGTCTTTCAGCATGTGCCAGCGTCACAGGCTCACAAAAAGTCTTACCCCACTACCGAAGACATAGAATTACGCATGGACGTCTGCAATCAATCTGTAATCACCTCAATTACCTCGTCTGGGGAGTTCTGCAACACATAATAGGTCAACTTACCTGATTGCTCGGTTTAACGTGCCTCTTAATTTGACCACCCTTCCTGTTTTTTTAATTAAGTTCGAATTGAGTTCCTTCCATGGTTAGTTTATTATAAAATATATTAAAAAAAAAAAGCACATGCTTTCTACCTACCCATATTCAGCAACCAACATACATACCATACCATATCACCTGCTGTTTACCGCACAGCCTAGACGGAAGAAAACGCCAAGTCTAAATCTGGGGACGAAGAAAGACCGAGATCAGATCACCTTCGAAGGTTGACCTTGCTCTTTGGCTTCTCACTATACTCACTATAGTGGGTTTCCGTGCTTTGGCGCATTTTTCGAGAACTTGTCGCTAGGTATTTGGAGCCCACATCGCTCAGGAGCAAAACCTCCCGGTTGCATTCTACCACACTCTAACCACACCTCTCACCTCTCACCTATCAATATCACTAGGTATATCACTATCAGGTATCATTACTCTAACTTCTATACCCCACTATCGTACCTAAAAAAAAAAAAAAAAAGTAAGAATAAACCAATTATCACGACAACGATGGTTGCCCCGCTATGAGTCCATGCTGTTCTGGCCTTCTAGATTCTACTTTTCCACTGCTTCTCTCCCCCCCTACCTTTCCTTCCCCGTATTTGAAGCTGCCTTTTGCCTACGCATACCTAGCCTTTAGGCTCCCTTCTCTACGTTTTTCTTCCTGGCCTCGATTGCCCTATTGGTGTTGTCCTTCGTCTATTATCATCAGTGTTATAGCCTAACCAATTGTTGTTATAACCCTGCACCTTTTCCCCTTAATCTTGTCACCGCTACATCTCATAGTTTAATAGAACTTCAAAACTGTCATATTATTCTGCCACTTGGTTATCGAGGGGGAACACAACTAAACAGTTATGGCAGAACGTACGCAAGAAACCGACAACCCCGTCGCTAACAGCATCATAAAGGAGGCCGAGCAAATGTCTCTCTCCCCTCGCGAAGCGCTCAACGAAAGCGATTCTCAACAATCGCCTGACCTACCTCCTCACCTTCGAAAGTCTATTACGAGAGTCCCCGTAACTCCAGGCATTCAACCTTCTACCTATTCGTCACAAACAAGCACTGGTTCTACCAACTCGGCCAGTCCGAGCTACTTCACACGGGATCCTGCTGGTCACAGCAGCGGTTCGTTTCGACCACCTCCGACAGATCAGCCATCGGACGGATCTTCTCCAACAAATTTGGTGAAGGGTGCAACTTCAGACCATGAAGTCTTGCGACGGATGAGCATTTCGACGAAGGGGCGGAGAGAGTCTATATCGGAAATCCGAGCTGCGGCTCCTGATTTAGCTCTCAGCGGGAACATCATCTCGGTTACCTTTACAACGCCCTACTCTCTTAAATACCACAAAAATGGAGAATGGGTTAGTTTGATGTAATTTGCGGAGCATATTTGTCTTAAAACTAACGCAGAACAGGAATTGGACCATCGTCGTGGTCAATCAGCTCTATTCGACTCGTTTTCCTACCTTTCGTCCGACGAAGCGCCTTGGAATCATACCGTAGTTGCGTGGACTGGCGAGGTTGAGTCGCCTTCCCAGTCCTTGTCTGCACCAGAGACTATCCACGACACGACTGCTAATATTCCAGGCCTGAGCCATCTCTCCGCTCCCATACCCTTGGACGGAGAAGCGCCGCCAACACCCCCTGAAGTTGACGGCTTGTGGATTACACGCGAACACCAATTGAAGTTAGAGCAACAACTGGCCCACGACAGGCGTATTAAAGCAGTCCCCGTATGGCTTGCCGACGACAACGAGACGAGCGACGAGGGCATTACGCTGAACAACCAGGCACGATGGCGCCGGTACGCTGAGCACACGATATACCCCCTATTTCACTATAAGCAACATGAACCTAACGATGGCCGTTCGGAACGTATCGAATGGGCCGATTACTTCCGTACCAATCTAAAGTTTGCCGATAAGATCATCGAGATCTATAAGCCAGGGGATATCGTCGTGATTCATGACTACTACCTGTTGCTACTCCCTAGCATGCTACGGCAGAGGATACCCAACATGTACATCTCGTTCTTCCTTCATTGCCCGTTCCCCAGTAGCGAATTTTTGAGATGTCTACCGCGAAGAAAGGAGGTCCTTGAAGGCATGCTTGGTGCAAACTTGGTCGGTTTCCAGTCGTATAGCTACTCACGCCACTTTGCTAGCTGCTGTACACGGATCCTTGACTTCCCGTCAGATTCCGTCGGCGTAGATGCGTACGGGGCCCGGGTCGAAGTCGGCGTTTTCCCTATCGGCATTGACGTACAAAAGGTGGAGCAGATGGCGTGGTCAAAGGAAGTATCAGATATGTATAATGCTTTAAAGGACCTCTATAAGGACAAGCAAATCATCGTGGGACGTGATCGGCTGGATAGTGTCCGGGGTGTGGCGCAAAAGCTTATGGCGTTCGAAAGGTTCCTCGAGCTTTATCCCGAGTGGAGGGAGAAGGTAGTCTTAGTTCAAGTCACTTCCCCAAACACAATTGAAGAGGGAGGAGAGGAACCTGAGAACAAGATAGCAAGCAGAGTTAACGAGTTGGTCATGAGAATCAACGGTACATATGGAAGCTTAGGATTCTCACCGGTACAGCATTATCCGCAGTATTTGTCACCAGAGGAATATTTTGCGTTGCTCAGAGCCGCAGACATCGGCCTAATAACCTCGGTCCGGGACGGTATGAATACAACCAGTCTGGAATATGTCGTGTGCCAGCGCGATACGCATGGACCGCTGATCCTTTCCGAGTTTAGCGGTACTGCAGGGAGCCTGCGCGACGCTATACATATCAACCCTTGGGATCTCACCGATGTTGCCCACCAAATACACAACGCTCTCACCATGTCTGCCGAGAAACGTATGGCGATGCAGTCGAGCCTCTATAAGCACGTAACAACCCAGAACGTTCAAATTTGGATCACTAAGTTCCTGCGCAAGCTAGTCGGCACGCTGGCGTCAACAAAGAACCAGAATGTCACACCGCTACTGGACCGTACACTAATGCTGAAGCAGTACCGCGAGGCCAAGAAGCGTCTGTTTATGTTCGACTACGATGGTACACTTACCCCAATCGTAAGGGATCCTCAGGCTGCTGTTCCATCGGAGCGCGTTATCCAAACCCTGAAAGCCCTCGCAGCAGACCACCAGAACGCTGTCTGGATCATTTCTGGCAGAGACCAAGATTTCTTGCAGCAGCATCTGGGCCACATCTCGGAACTTGGCTTCAGCGCAGAGCATGGAAGCTTTATCAGACATCCTGGCAGCGACACGTGGGAGAATTTGGCTGAGAAGTTAGACATGGGCTGGCAGGCGGACGTGGTCGAAGTCTTCCAGAAGTATACCGACCGCGTACCTGGTGAGTTTACCTTATAGTTCTTTAATGGTCACGCTAACGAATAATTGCTAGGTTCATTCATCGAGCGTAAACGATGTGCGTTAACTTGGCACTACCGCCAAGCCGATCCCGAACAAGGTGTCCACGCGTCCCAAGCACTGCACAAGGAGCTAGAGTCGACCGTGGTCAAGAAGTGGGATGTTGATGTAATGAAAGGCAAGGCCAACCTTGAAGTGCGGCCAACGTTCATCAATAAAGGCGAGATCGCCAAGCGCTTGGTCAACGATTACAATTCCGATATTGCACACATAACCTCCGGACCGCAGAACGCCAAGAACCAAGAAGGACGGCTCGAGTTCGTCTTATGTATGGGTGATGACTTCACAGACGAAGATATGTTCAGGGCTTTGAACGGTCTCAGCGGCACACAAGTCGATAGGGATCATGTCTTCACCGTGACCGTCGGTGCCAGCACAAAGGTCACGTTGGCTAAGTGGCACATGCTAGAGCCAGCGGATGTTGTAGAGTCGATAGCTCTCCTCGCGGGAGTTGGACTGAGCGGCGAGGCGCACGAGCAGCTTAGCCAAGTTAACCTTGCTACTGTTGCCGGACTCGAAGGCCGAGTACCTGAATGACTAGGCAAATCGAAGTTATGATTATACTAGGAACAGTAGGCAACATAGAAAAAGCGTGGCGCTAGGTAGTTGGGGCTCGGTCTAGAGGGTTTGTTCGTACATTCGAACTAAAGCATGTCGCTTTTTCGTTCCCACGCAGAATAGCCTCAAAAGAGAGCATAGAACCGCAGACGGCCGACGTCCCGGAGGTGATAGTCGCAATCTCGAGATGGCCTCCTTAAGCTAAGCGGATAGGTGGACGGTTCTCGTTCGGGGTCTACTGCGCCTTGTTTGGATACATGTCTATCTGTCTTCGGGTTTGGGGGAGGCGGCCCGTCCATCCCGAGTATGGGATATATACATAGACACGGTAATAAATAACAGATACCTAACCGTCTGAACTTCTCGAATTGGCAATAGTGTTTTGTGCTATTTCTATTCTGACTTCTATGAAGCAGATAGGATAATCTAGTAGTATTAATTGGTCGTCGAAGCATACATTAGTTAGTTAGGGGGCCGACTAATATACAAAGCAACCCCTGAAATCGTTTGGAGCCATCCGCGAAGAGTGCGTGCAGACATGTATACCTACCTAAGGTTAGGTACCTGATATGTGCTATAATAAGGAGAATAGGAAGTTATAAAGGGTTTTTTTTTCCCTTCGCGCAACTCCAAGGTGCTTATTTTATTAGCTTCGCGTATTAGATGGGATGTGCCGTTATTGGGGGTGGTGAAAGACGAGAAAAGACGAGAAGAGAAGGCAAGGAAGGAAATACGAGTTGGGGCCGTTTCATTTTTATCACGGAAGCTAGGTAATTTAGGTAGGCTTCTAGAGGTAAGGTAAAGTGGTAGATGATTGAGGCGCAATACTGAGAATGCGGGCTCTTCTCCGCGGGGGGTAGTGGTGGTGGTAGAGGTGGTGGAGGTGGGTAGCGTGAGGTGGGTAGCATGAAGAATATGAAACCGCGGGGGCTGGGTTGATGGCTCGGGGTTCGTCTTATGTGAGGTGAGAGAGGGTGAGAGGTGAGATTTAGCATGCTGGCTGTGTGGTGATAGCGGTGGTGGTGGTGGTGGTTGGGGAAGGCTGCGGAGGGGAGAAAGGATAAGCAGGTTGTTGTACGTGGTAGGTAGTACAATAAGTGATAGTTGGCTAGTTTGGGGTAAAGAATAGAAGCGGGAGACGGGAGATATGCATACCTAGGAGGTAGGTAGCGAATGGGCAACGTAGCAGTGCAGTGCAGCGCGTATGCATGGAATAGGTGTCCGCCACGCTGTCATCTTACCGTAGGTAGGCCTCGGGAAGTTATACTTACCTCCTACCTGACCTAGCCTTAGCATAGGTAGGTATTTTAGCTTTTGGGGAGGGGTATGAGAATAAAGTAAGACCGGACATATGCCTCTGATCGTTATCGACCCCGAACCCGAGCCCCCGTCCACGGATATGTAGAAGCGTGGCGTTGTCACACGACATACGAGATGGGAGGAGGCCACAAGATACCGGCACATTGAGGAAAGTTCGGCTGCAGTTGCATGTCCAAGGTTACGTACGTAGGTAGGTACTTGGCAGCAGATAGGCAGATGCAATGGTACCATGCCGCCATCGTGCATAGGGCTGGTAGGTAATTGTAGCAAGCCAGTATCAATCTATGTGGCCTTCCAGACGGTGTATGCAGGTACATGGCTGACGTACATACCTTATACATAGCAGATAATCTACCTAGCCACTGACCAACATGTCATGACCTAATTTTATCTTGTTCTTCAGCCTTATATATGTACCTTGGTATCGTATGGTAAGGTGCGGATGGGTCGACGGGTAGTTCCAGAATCAGCCCCAGGCTGGTAGATACCATCTGGCGTCTCGGGTAGATTAGAGTAGTATAGAGACCATGTGGTATATGCTACATAGAAGAAGAATGTCGGCCAATAAAGCAACCTAGGGTTGCAATTTATACGGATTCTTCAGGAAGACTACCTAGGTACCTATTCTATTTTGAGGAACTGCAACTTGAGAAAATTAGGTATATTTCTGCCTGCTATTAGTTTGCATTATATTAGGAGACGCGTGATGAATCTCAAAAATATAGTATTAGTTAAAGACGAGGAACTAAATATACAACCGGTGTACGTTTGCTAATGTGTAGAATATCATTAAGCTAGGTAGGGTTCTTCTCTGCGTTAAAGCTGCTGCCTTATGCGAGCTAAGATGCTTATGGTGGTGCAAACTCAACAGCCTATTACATCTGCTAGATCGCCGAGTGGGGAGTCCGAAGCCTCTGCTGGGTATTACGCTATGAGGCTCAGGAGAAATGTCTCTGTGAGACTTGGGAGTTTGTAGAATGACGGTGTGAACATTGGTAATATTATGGATTTCATGAGTGTTTATCGAGTTTATAAGATTAGGTAGGCACCTACCTACCAAGAGAGATTTAACCTAGTTCTCATGCGAAGTGCATGATGTTGGATCAAGGATGCTGAAAATATGAATTCAACTTATCGGTCCTTACATCAGTTATAGTAGAGAGAGTGGCATCCGAGTTTTCCACAATATAGATGTAGAGTGTTTTAGATATGAAATAAATCTTTGGCAAACTCTTCGGAATATAACTTAGTAGACAACTCATGCAGTCTATTTTTTCTCTCTGGCGAGGTAAAGGTATAAGTAATCTCTATATCTTGATTGAATAATGCCTTGAAATGGAGTGGCATACATACAGGTTACATACCTTATATTGAGGGGTTACGCCTTAGATACAAGAACTTGACCTAAAAAATCATCACTGGTCCTATAATCTCGATATTCAATGTTAGTAAGACTAGTGTCGAGCTTACATATACCACTGCGTAAAAAAGACATTCATCAAAGGTAAATAGCATGATTGTTGTTGTTGTTGTTGTTATGTCTGGAGATAAGGCTCGTTGGCATTGCATCTAAGGCGCGTGGTATTTAATAGTCCCTCTAATTTCGAGCCGGTTGATAATGATCTGGGAAGCTACCTAGGTACATACCTAGGTAGGTAGATATATATTTCGAATAGGCCATAGGTAGTGCATCGATGGTAGTAGCTTCCACCTGTATATTCAGTTCATGAGGGAAGCGGATTCTTTACCTTCTCGCACACGAGGGGCGTCTCAGAGGTAGATACCGCCATATCATAGTCTAAGGGCAAGGAAAAGTTATGAAAAGTTACTTTGATGGACATATCAAGGCGAGGAGGTACTTGGTAGATATGGCCTGCTTTTTATGCTGGGCGCCAACTCCGGCAACTCGAATCTAGGCTCATTCAGCAATCGACTTATCTTCGTCTTTAATTTAGATAGTTAATCGCCCTCATCAAGTCCATACTATAAACTTCTCACTTCTTATGTCATAAAAGCCCTCTCCGAGTCTAGCGCATGTAAGACGGCTGGATTGTCTTGGGACGAGGGATTTAGGCACATTAGCAAACAAGGTGCTTAGTCTATCCTTTTCGCATCATACAGCCAGCCGTAGACTCGGTCGGAAATCGAAACGGCACTCCCAACCTTGGAAAGTCCCGTGTCATGGAAAAATGGAAAAATGGAAATCTCCGAAGCGCCGCGAGACTGACGGGGCTCCGAGCAAAATGAGATCACACGCTCTTGGGCGCTGCGCTGTAAGATACCTATGTGTAAGCGGTATAATCCAGAGATACTTTGATACTTGGACGAGTTGCCTCAGGTTAGGTACCTACCCACCTAGGTAAGTTTCCTCGTGAGAAATGCCGAGCTATGTTAGGTACCTAACCTAGACTGTTGTGGACCAAGCTGTTGCTATCGGCCGTAACAAGGGCGCTTGCAGCAAAGATGCATATCGTGGGGGTTAACACGCCATCCTGGAAGCACACGCAAGGCTGGAAGAGAAGTAGAAATGTCCATCTCTGCATGCAACGTTATGATATAAGTTTCACGAAACGGGCTTTCATAAGCAACTTGGTAACATATACTATTACGAAAGGTACCATTGTTTGCGACGCGGCGGGTGTCTTCCCAAGTACATACCTACCTACCTAAGGTAAGTACCTACCTATGCATATCTGCATGCGTACCTAATGCATGGTAGGCTCCGAGCTAGGGACTTGCCTGCGCCGGTCTTCCCGATGGACAACAGGGGCTAAAAGAAAAGGAAAGGAAAGGAAGACAAGAAAGGGAGAGAGAAGAAGAAAAAGGGGGGAAACGAAATAGATTGGCTTAATTGTCGGCTTCCCGGGGTCCCGATAAGCGGCCGGGGAGATGAATGAGGCCGGGGAAACTACGGGATCGAGGCGGAGTTGTAGAATTTCAGTAACCGGGGGGCAGGAGCGCGACTTAGAGATCCTTCCTCCTCGGCATCGGTACCGAAAACGGCAAAGATTTGGGGTTAGTGGGACTTTAGATGGCGAGAGATGAGGGATACCAGCTGGAAGGGTTTGGTTTTAATACACTATTACAGCTGCATGCATTAGGTACGGATGCAAGATTGATAAAATGCTGCTGCATATATGCTTATTACAGTATCTAAGGGAGTTTCAAAACGTTGCAACATTGACCGGAGATAGAGAGGCAGATGTTTCGTTTCCCTATTCCGTAGGGCAACGCGATGAGCCAGGGCCATCCTTGCTCAACCCTACTGCTGTTCGGGTCATTCCATCGTCACCACGTGGCGTAGGGATTATATTGCCAGGCCCCCCTGAGACCCTCCCTTCAGACTCGGGACTTCGGGACTTCGGATCTACAATAAAAACGTGGGTTTTATGCAAGACCTCGGTGTGGAAAATGTTTCCGTCAACGAATAACAATTGTGTTGGGCTACTGTAGGTGGTACCTTAGCTTACCTAGGAGGTTCGTATCGTATTGTACCTACCAATCTATGGTGCCTAGATTTAGGTACTCGTGTATGATTTGTGGTATGTTGCTCGGTTCGAATTCAATGACACGCGCAGCGCCGCCAGACGATTATGCAGAACACATTTTGTACAGTGGGTAGTAGTACCTTGCAGAAAATATACGAGAGCGTTATGGAGTGATACGCTCTTGTCTGACCAACTCCCGTTATGCATACCTAATGGTCGGATACAAACGAGCGAGAACGGGATTGGTCGTAGCGTAGTATGCTTCAGAGGCACCTTTTCTAGGCGCTAAGAGGGACTGGTTGGCGTGGGATGGCTTGGCCTCGAGGATAGATAATGTCAGCTTGATTACTGACACCCTCTGGAAAAGGAAGATACAGTATTTTCCTACCATACGGCTTGCATATAGTCCTAAAAGAAAAAGAAAAGGTGCAGCATTGGCATGGACAATCTCTCTAAACCACGTGCCAGCCCAGTAGATATCTATCCCAGTAAAGTCGTGCATAGACATGCCGGAATGATGGAAAGTGGAGAAAGGTAGGACGCCAATTCGTCACATCTCAACCTGCCAGGGACACGAGGTAGTATCTACCTACCTAAGCTCGCGATTGGAGACTTGGCAATGCGGCGTGGGCGTAGATGGTGGTTAACTCATGGCATGTAGGACCTATCGCGCTGCAAGGTAGCACTCTTCTTGCGCAACCGAAGCGTGCTGAAACTCTCTAGATCCTCCATCTAGTCCAATAGCCGGTTGAGAACATGGTTTATTGGTCTTAGGCCAAAAAAAACGGCTCATCCCAGATGCAGCAGTGATGTACAATATGCACGATGGAACCACTAGTACATAACGTCGACAGAATGAGAAGGCTGATGAGCATTGACTAATTTGTCTTGGTATATTGCCGCCAGTGACGTTGTGAAGTTGTATATCAATGGCTGAGAGCTAAGCTTCTGGTAGACTAACTTGCTAGCCTGCGCGTTTGTCGTACAGGCGGCCGGTCAGCCCGATTGGATGGGATTATGTGTGTGCGCATGGGGGACTGCCAAGTCAGGCTCGAGCCGCAAACCCCTGGCCTGAGCCTTCTTGACAGGGACTTGGATCGCTAATCTATGGGGAAAAGTGTACCTAGATTAACTTTGCCTAAGCACGTGGGAGACAGGGTCTAGGGATTACATAGTACACGTGTGGGAACAGTTCAAGAGCAGTGCCATGGTACTGTTTACACAAGATGATTAGCCGATGGCTGCGCCATATACCTGGAAGTGAGAACAGCAAAAACTTTTATTGATGAACTGCTTTGGAACGGAAAAGTCCCAACATTCCACTAGTGCATCCTTCTGTGAAAATCGAGAGGTAACTAAAGGGTATATGTTACATGAATAAGAAAAAAAAAAAGCCACATCGTGAAATATTCCCATGCTCGAAATCTAGCTAGGCATACATGTTACGAGGAGAAATGCTCGTGTTATACATAAAGTCCGTGACATTTATCCATCCGAGAAGAAACCCGCGATCTTCCACTCATGAGTAGAAGAAAGACATAAGATAGCTCCGCCTCTAATAATTAGAACACTAGTGAAGATGTGAAGCACGCCATAAGGAGTGATGACGTGGAAAGAACCCCTAATAAAATCGTCGACAGCAGCAGCAGAAAGATATGGCGTCCACCTTTGACGCGCCATCTGTCGTATGGATAGCATTGTATATAATGGTCATTAAGTCGTCCTGTGGGATGGAAAGTGGCTAGTTGGAATTGCCATTGCTTGCCGACGATCCATTTGTTGCGTTGGAAGGGAGTCGGGGTGTCAAATCAGCTAGCGTCTGTCTCATAGTCGCCGTGTGGTCGTAAGAACTAGCTCTTCCGCTGAGATAGCGGTCGGTAAAGCTGTCAGTACCTGACTGCTGCGACATAGCAAGGCGTTGGTCTCGCATCTGGCCGAGCTTTTCAGGAGATTCAGTGGCCGACCGGTGTCTAAAAAAGTACAAAGTTAGTAACAAGCCTGCCAATGTTGCTCCGGGAAGAAACCCACGGGCCAGATGAACAATATTCGAGGTTGACTTGGATCGAGGAAGACATGATGGTAAGTTATATGGTGAATTGACAGAAAAATTATAATAGTCAGGAGGAGCTGTAGGAATGAAGCGACAACAGGGTATAGGAGAAAGGTGTTTGTCGGATCTTATGAAATGCAATGGATATAAGTCGTTGTTATAATTCGGGCCTTAAGGGGACGGAAACGTCTGTCTTTTAAGTCAGATAGTCAAGTGGGTTGAAGCTACAGAAAACCAGGCGGCGATTGGCCTTATATAAGTGATGGAATCTATTATGGCGATAGTATACGTCTCCCTATTCTAATCTTTGACCCAGCAGGGGTTACTCTTCACAAGTCGTCAACGATCAACGGGTGTATGTAGAGAGGTATGTACAATTGCGGCTCAGACCTACATACCAAAAAGATTTGCTCAAACACATAGAGTAGATTAAAATGCGTGTGAAGTGGGCGGTGGAATAGGTACCTAAGGTAACAAAAGTACGAGACTGGTGCGGGTGTATGAGAGAGAAGTACACTCCCCCCTCTTACCTATACTTAACCTTGGGGGGAGTGTGATGTATATCCAAGGTGACGGAGCGATGAGGAACCCGTTTCGACAATGAACGGCTGCGGTGTGCGCTCGGCAAGAAAGCAACCCGGATCTCAAGGATCGCGGTATCATATTGGAAGAGTTGACTTTGGGATAATAACTATGGGGGCAATTAAGACGTTAGGAAGCCAAAGCATACGTCCCTTGCTCGTCCATGTATAATTAACTGTAATAACATGTATCAATATCAAGCACAGGACAATTAAGAAGTATCTGCAGCAGGGAATGAAGCGGATTCTGGGTAAGGATGGGGGTGTCTTTTTAGACATAGCTTCTCGACTTGGGGGCATATGTGCATGTGAATAAGATTAGTTGGTGGTCACAAGAACAGTACGGGATGCGCAAAATCAAGTTGCAGCCGGGGGGAGGGGAGGGGGGGAAGGCTGAAATGCTAAAGAAGTGTGGTTCGCGAACTGAATGCCTCAGCCTTGTCTTGGAGAAACTGATGGTCTATGAAGTGATACCAAGATAGAAAAATGTAACACCGTATCTAGATATAGAGGTTAACGGTCAACTTAAGAATATATACTTTATACCTTGCATACCTTATCTTAGGTTAGGTACAGGTACCTAACCTTGTAAGTTGGCATAACTACATGGAGCCCTTGATGGATGTAATCTGTCATTTTAGTCTGCTCTTCCCCATCTCCCATGTCTTGATAATATTGAGACAGCCTGGCAGAGGTTAGCGGGGAAGAACCGAAGACAACCGACGGGCCCCGTACGCAACTAAATTTGCCCACCCAAAATAGTACAACCTGAAACAATAAACTCGAAGGGACATCAGTTAAGGTACCTAAGTTAAAACGAAGACGTGCGATATACTAGCGAGATGAGATGATTATCCCGAACTCAATTACACAACTCCGGCCCTGAAACGTTGAGTACGTATGCAACTGGTTAGCGTTCCGGTGGCAATTATAAAGAAAAAATGAAAAAAGGAAGATTGGAGAGATCTAAACTGGGTATGCGATGAGGTACCGGGTAGCAGTTGGGGTCCTTAAAAATGGTGGTCAGCATGACAATAACAAGTCATCAAAATCTGCAGGTACAGATAACATAAACCCCTGCATTTATTCTCGCTTCCAAAAATTGTGCAATTCGATCAACTTAAAAACTTTGCCTCGTACGTCGTTTCAACGTTGTTGATTTTCAACAACGTTATTATCCTATAAGCATCTGGGTTAGTTAGGCCACATGGTCAGAAAAATCGGTAGCGCTCCACCTCCGTGCAGGTTTTCGTCTTTCATGAAATGAGATGTAATTTGTGCTAGACACAAAAATACACACGAGGCTTAGACAGCTACGTCTCCTGGGCGACATGCGGGTGGACTCACTACAAGAGGGACATGGACCAGTCGCTAGACCTTGTTGAGCTTTATTTACACATCAAGGATGCTGCATATAGTTCACCGTTCCGTGTTCAGGAGGAACTATACAGTTTATTTCTCTTCAGCGCCAAGAAGGCCAAACTCCACAGCTGTCGAATGTTGCTTTCTGTCAAACACGTTAGCCGGTTGACTCCATAATTATCCATCATCTTCCACGGACCAACTGGGCTTTGCCCGTCAGGGGCTGCTAGAGCACCTAAAGGTGTGTATTGAAATTTGTCGTTCTTATAGACCCAACTCCAGACTTCCTTACTTAGGTGCTCACGATTAGCGTCAATCAGATCCCATAAATGGGTATACGCCTCGAGTACGCGCCCGTGCAATCTCGTGTCTGCGCAAAACGCTAACTCTTCTCTATCGCATCGCTCGAGCTGTTTCTCCAAGCCAGCGGCCATCATCGCAAGTTGCCAACTCCAGACCACTGTGCCATGGTATGAACTTTCTGTAAACTCTTTTACGTTGACAGATCCATCACTATAAGCTGGATTTGCAACAACCAGCCCGACCGTTGTGGAAAGGCCAAGAGGGAATTGGTGCAGGATATTATCTGCCACTTGAGAGAGGAAAGCAGAAACTTGGACTTCGTTAGTACTGTTAAGAAGGAAAAGCCGGAAGCAGTCATCTGTATTCATCACCTGGATAATAGATTGACCATCGCCAGCGAGAGCTAAACCGTGGAATACAACCGGCGAGCTCAGGTCCGACGAATTGACCTTTCCTGGGAAATTTGCCTCCTCGACGTAGCTCTCAACAAGTCCACGGGCTCGCTCTGCTGTGATATTGACTTGGAAAAAAGCGAGTGTATTCTGCTCCCAGACGGAGGCACGATTTTTGCCTACTGTGTTCCAGTCTGGATGTGAAGGGAAAAACTTATTGTCGGATAATGAAGCGATAGATTTGAGTGCTGCCGGGGCTAAAGCTGTATTCACATCGTACGGTATACGGCCACCGCCTAACCCGTTAGGACTGTCGCGCCATTGCCCGACCGTTTGGCCCTCGTTAATATGTATAAGATTTTCTTTCATGGGTGATTGCTCAAAGTCAGCGGTGACTTTCATGATTTTTTCCGCGGTAGCTAAAACAAGATCCATATATGTGAGCCCACGGTTCTCTGAGAGGATAGATGCATTTCTAGAGAAAAAGGGACCGATGCGAGTTCTCCCAACAGCGGAATTGGTAAAATACTCGTTGATTGCGATGAGAAGAAAGAAATCAGTGTCGATCATCTTATAGTCGCATAAGGGATCTGTGCTGTCTATTCCCTGTCGGTCGTTCAAGTACGATGCGTAATCGCCTATGGTTTCTTCATGACAGACGCTCCCATCTTTGGAGTTAATACGTTCGATGGCTGCCTCAAGAATAGCCTCGACTGCACCTCCGTCACCCTCGCTAAGTATTGGTTTTAGTAGGAGAAGCGATATCAGACTATCGCGTCCGAAATAGGTAAGAAACCGCCAAGCTCCAGCCAAGATCTTAGAACGATATGATAAAAATGAGAGTGACTCTATATCCTTCTGATTTTCTGAGATGAGGGACTTAGAGGCAGGGCTGACGACTTCCGCGGCCCCAAGTTGGTCAAGTTGCGGATAGCTGCTCCAAGCATTGAAGGTATAAGCACCACCTACCAGATGGGGTTGTCCATCTTTAACCGGAATTGATGTACTATTCAGGTTGTGCATCGTGAGAAATGTCTCCGTGGTTCTGTCAAGCCATATACGACTGAGTTGGATGCCGCCATCAGGCAACGACTGAATTTTGATTGCGTTTTGGATCTTAGGTGAAAGAGTGCTTGGTCCTTCAACAAATTCCCGTATTGTCCTGATACTTCCTAAAATAGCCAAGTCAAGTGTAGCAGACGAGTTGAGAGACAAGATACCGCTTACTCCACCTATTAGCGGGTTTAAAGTACGATTTACGCCTGGGAGATTCTCAAGTTGTACGCCGAGTGTTCCGTTGACGCCACTTTCTGGAGAGAAATACAACGCTATTCCGCTATTGCCGGCCGGCCAAGCAATCTAATATGTGTCAGTCTCAACTGTTATGTAGGTTCTACATAGAGAAAAGAGAAAAAAACCGAAAGAAAAAAAAACCGAGAAGGGCTGCCATTCTTACGAGAAGCCTTGGTCCGATAATTCTGAGGTCGCTATCAGGTAAGGGACTAGTTATGACAACTTGGCTTGCGCTGCTGCAATCGGCAGAGAAGTAATTATAATACGGTGGATCGCTTAGGTGAAAGTAACTGGGAGCACACCGGTTTTGGCCGTCTTCTCCAGATGGTACCTTTTCATCTGAATTAGGCTCGGGTAATGAGAATAGCTTCTCGTTGGAACAACTTTAAGTTATAAGTACCTAAACTTTACCGTATATCTCTATACTCTATATAATATGACGAACGACTTACGAGAATAGGTGAGGTAGATAGCAATCGTTACCGCATCGTAATGTGCGTTTCCTATCAACAACCGGGCAAAGAAAATTGCCGTGATAGCACGTGTGCTTTTTTATGTATATGTATATTTAGATTTCAGGTTAAAACAACGAGCGCGGTGTTAACTCACATTATTAATCGAGTATCTTGAATTACCACACGGTAGCAAGCCGTCAACTCGGGGCGCGAGGGTAGCGTGCCGACGAGGCAGCAATACCGCCAGCAATAAGCCAGCTAATACGGCCAAGAAAATGGCATATTGACATGACTTATTTTGCCAGGAGGTGCCGTGACGATAGCTTCTTGCTGCTAGTTTTGGTGATGGTGAAGTTGAATCTGAGCTCTCAAGTGGAATTCCTAATGCGTCGTCCTCGAGTAAAGCCTGGCTATCAGCATGTGTTTGGGGACTTTTGGCAGCCAATCGATATAGGGATCCTAATAATGGTAGTCTCGCTAATCCGGGGAATCGTCTCATAGACATCGTCCGTTACAGATATAAACCATTAAAAATGGGAAGTTTGAAATGAAGTTGAGAGGTCAATGAATTGCGCGTCGTGAGAGAGCTACTGCTCTAATTGCCTAACCCGGATTAGGTACTAAGAGGCTTTGCCAGAGCTTCGGGTTAGCTGGTAAGATCCACTACGCTAAGCACCCGCGTATCCGGCACACCAGGTACCTAATCTGGACCTAGGTGGTAGGTAGGGTTGGCTAGGAAGTAGGAAGGCACGAAGCTTTTTACATGTCAGCTTGACTTGATGCTTGTTTGCGGATGTAAAGTATTAGGTAAGAGTTTAATTTAAAATGAGCTTTCATGTTTTCCTTATAAGGTACTTATAGTTAAGTTAATTGGTTCATACAACTTAGATAACTTTAAGGTAAATATATCTTAAGTACCTCACTTATGGAACAAGTTCACCAATATTAAAGACTTCCACCCTTAATCCCTTTACACTCACTCTTTCATACCCCGTCAGCCACGAGCGTCAGCAGCCACCGATTCCTTTAACCTTACTAACCTCCCCTCCGTCCAAGCTCTATGCCACGCATCGACCTTCCCGCCTAGAACGGCGCACGTCGTCGGCTCCAGAAGGACGACTCCACGCGCGACCGTCGTGCCTCGTTTCAGAATCATCTTCTCCCCGATATTCAACGAGCCGATACCGATGCGGTCGATGCGCTTGAGCTCCAGCCCGTGCACCTTCTGGCCCTTGCAGTCCTGCAGCACGAGCCTGTGCGTCGCGTTTCTTGCCGCCGCCGCCGCCGCCGAATTCGCCGCATTAGCATTGGCGGCCGCGCCCTGGCTGACCGCACCCCCGTCTTCGTCTTCCTCGTTGCCGCCGGTGGGCAGGCGGATGATTTCGCGACCTCGGGTCTGCTCCCCGCGCGCGATGGCCTCGAGCTCCTCGACTTGATCCCATTTGCTCTTGGACAAGTTGTCGATATCCAAGACTTGCACGGGGACGTCCCGGGGCAGTTTGACCTCTTTTACCTCGGGGTTACCCAAGTTGGATGGCAACGCTGGTGACGGCGAGTCGAAGAGACCCGGGGTTGTCAGGTCAGCGGCCAGTAGACGGGTCTTGATCGTAGCTACCAATACGGGCAGAGGAGGTAGCGGGTTTCGATTTGGCATAGCACTTTGTATCCAAGTCAGAGACGGGACTGACAACCCCTGATTCTGTAGGGTGGCACGGATTTGTGCTTGTAGCTCCGAACTCATGGTGAAATTCGACGGGTGATGACTAGTAGGTTTATGCGAAATTTCATTTTTCTTGGGTTCATATTTTTGGTGAAACAAGCAGGATCCATTCGCAAAGTAGGAAAAAAAAAAAAGTGTTCTGAGGAGAGTATTAGTTAATAGATACGAGTTGCATCTTTAACAAACGAACATAGCGCGACAGGTACAAGACTAAATAAGGAGGTACCTATGAGATGAGGTACCGTGCGGGTCCAGCATGTTGGGCTCTTTTTAATAGGGGCACACATTGGCACTGACAGCTACCGCCACAGTGGCTTTACACCCTAACGTTGCGGGAGATCGGCAACTAATGCGCTACAGCCTCACTAATACATACCTCCTACACCTTCACCTAAATCTGGCATCTGTCATTTGGCATCTGTACATAAAACGCCAACGTCTCACATCCCACCGACCATACGGAGAAAGCATAGCCTTCATACATTAAGTAGACTTTATTATACGCCGAAATGTCTACAATTGCTTCACCCCGCGACCCGCCGCGGCGCATCAACTCAGCTATAACGCCGACCTCTTCGAACCGACCCAGTCTCGATGTCTCGCGATCGCCCATCGCCTCGCCGAACCCGAACGGCGGCGGCAGTCCGAACGCGGTCGTCATCTCTAACCCCCCGGCCGCAAAACGCAATCGTGCTGCTTTGCGCGAGTATTACAACCTCAAGAAACAACCTGCTGCAACGCCGCCTCAGGTCGAAATCACGGATCCGTTCGGAGAAACCTCAGGCGGTGCGCATGAGCAATACTCGGAAGTGCCACCTAGTGAGATGGACAAAGAAGGTTTTGACGTGGATGCTTTTGTTAAGAAAGCTCTAGCTGAGAACGGCATGGAAGAATTACTACGATTATATACGCGGGTCCTGTGTGAGATAAGGGCGCTGGACGCCGAGAAGAAGGCTCTGGTATACGACAACTATAGCAAATTAATTACAGCTACTGAGACGATACGTAAGGTTAGTTTTATCCTTGTATAGCATGCATGATGGTGTAAGGTTACAAGGAGGGTGATATATTGATAGATGTATTAGATGCGAACAAATATGGATCCATTGAACCCGATGGCTTCTACGCTGGATCCAGCAATCGCTCAGATATATTCTCAAGCCTCAGAGATACGAGATTCTCTACGGAAATCAGTCCCACCACCGGATAAAGATCGGAATCAGGCGGAAGAAGCGCGCCGGAAGAGGGCACGAATGAAGCAGTTAGCAATTGAGGTTTTAGATGCGCCAGATAAGATACGCGCACTTGTCAATGAAGGACGGCTAGAGGATGCGAGGCAGGCGTGGAAGATGCCGCGGAGACTTCTGCTAGTCTGGAAAGAGAAGGGCATCGGTGGTCCCGACGTAGATGCTTGCATAGAAGATGGTGACGCAGCACTGAACGGTGAACCAAGCAAGGGTGATTGGCGAGATCTGAAGACCAAGAATTCGGAATGAATAGGTGTAGGTACCTATTTATATTTAACACCACCCTCGGGAAGAAGCTGGCGATCCGGTCGACGTCGAATAGGCCGTTAATCGTGTCAATGCCGATGTTTGGAGAGTCAACCGACACGTCAATCACACACTCGACCATGTTACCAGACTGCGGTATCTAATCCTCAGGCCAGGTCCCTAACATCAATAACCTCGAATGGATCACGATCTGCCTTGCTGACGATCACGCGGGTGTCCCCATACGCTGTTGTCTCCAATTCGACTTCTAACATGGGTTTTAATCTCGTCTCGAGGTACTTTCGCTCCGAGTTGCTGTGGAATACGGTGACGACGATTTGTCCTAATTGAGTGTGTCGAAGCGCGTAATGGTGCGCCATTTCACCAGTCACCAATACCTGAGCATCGGTATCCTTCAAGACGTCAGAACCCGAACCTGCACAGACGGCTACTTTGGTAATCTCTTGCGTCTGAGTGAGGTCCTTGAGAGTTGGCGGCAGTGCAACCATCATATAACGCTGATCGCCTATGCCAGCAGAGAGTCGTCGCAGAAGGGTTTGTAAGGTGATAGGCTGAGGTAGTTCAAAAGCTCTTCCGTAGCCAGTGCCTTCGTGCCCCTCAGGCAGAGGCCGGGTAATGGGTTGAACGACTGTACGCTTCACCTGGTGTTCGCCGTCCAGCAGGATGTCGCATAGCCAGTCGTTGAGTCCTCCACTCGCTGCGTCCATGGCTGTATGGGGACAATAGACGGATATTCTTTCAGCTACTAGGCGTAAGAGAAGAGTCTGCGTAGGGTCTTTGGTTGTGAGGGATTTCAGAGGTCTGAAAATAACGGGGTCTGCATAAGTCATCAGTATCGCTTCCTCGTCAACCCTGTACGGTAATTAGGCACGTGTCATACGATAACAAACAATCATCTTGGCCCCTTCTTCCAACGCCTCATCCACCACGGCGGACGTCAAGTCGTTAGTAAGAAGAACAGTACCGCCGACCTTTTTAGAGCTCGAAGAGGGCGGCAGCGGTGCTTGTTCGAGAAGTACTATCTCATCATCAGTCTCATAATAAATAAATAACATCTAGCACCTGTAAAGTCATCTCTTACATCCAGTATTATCCCATGACTTATCCGCCAGCTCTTCGGGGAAGCTGTAAATAAGAATGTTAGCTCGTTATGAGACGCATTATGAGACGAGGCTCGCGGCCATATGAGAAATGCTATGAGAAATGCGACTGAAGGTAGACTACTGACAGTGTCCTCATCGCGGCAACCACCGCATCTGTGAGACTAGCCGGCGGTGAAGTAGTCATGGTGTTAGAAGAGCTATAAGTACGCTCGTCGTGCCTTATACTAGTACAATAGGACTTGGGATTCCCGGATTGAAGTGGATGATTCTTATTCACATCAGTGAAATTAAGCGTGAAGGTAGATTTTTTAACCTGGTGGATGCGTCTCGAGGGGTAAGCAGAGAAGGATTTAAAGATATGTTTTGACAGTGGAATGTTGAGAGGATTCGCTCGTTGTCGAAGGGACATGGCAGAAAGCATCAATAGGATGGCTTCGGTCTTCGGTGTGATTATACAAATTATACAATGCAGTTTTTATCTTATCATTACCTAGGTACCGAACCTAATGTAAGAGACACAATCTTCCCCGTAACTACAACTTTCATGCAGCTGGGGCAAGTTTAGGTACCTCATATCAGGGATCAGCTTAGGTTAGGCACCTAGGACCTACCTACACAACCCCACACCCAACTATCGATAATTCAGTTGTCGGAGCTTTTCTTTTGCTACCAAGCCGAGAGCTATGTAATGTCATCATCGCGGGGCATCTGTGTACCTACCTAAAACTATCTCTATTCTATCACCACTATACCTATCTCCTAATCTTTCTATTTAAGGCACACTTCACGCCGAAGCTACATTCGATTAAATTACTCCTATTGTTTCAACCCGCGGTAATTTAAAGTTTAGACCGCCGACGACTACCCTCAACCAACGACATGGGCGAACCCACCATCACAGAAACGTCGCTGAAGGCGGCGCTTACGGAGAGACTGAAGGCCGTCCACGTCGAAGTGACCGACATGTCCGGTAAGTTTTTATTTATTTATTTATGTCTCTTACGTCCCGCATACCTATCACCCACACACACATATACCTCACATAAGGGCCTACACACACACACACATACACACATACGTATCCGCTAACCCGGCTCCCAGGCGGCTGCGGGCAATCCTTCACGTCGCTGATCGTGTCGCCGCAGTTCGCGGGGCAGAACAGCCTGAAGCGGCACCGCGCCGTCAACGCCGCCCTGCGCGACGAGATCGCCGCCATCCACGCCTGGAGCGCCAAGTGCCTGACCCCCGACGAGTGGCAGCGCGACCGGGAGAAGAACGGCGCCGCGGCCGGGGGCCCGCCCTTGGATGGGACCGTCCAGGGGCACGTTACGGGTGTTGATGCGTGATGCGCGATGCAGGAGCAGAGGAGAGGAGAGTCGAGGAGAGAAGAGTAGAGAGATATGCGGAAAGCTAGGGTAGGAACGAAAAGAGAAGAGAAATACTCATATTGTTAAGATTGCGCGGTGGTTCTTCGGCTGGATTCGGATTTTTCTTTCTTTCTAAAAGGAGGCCCTTGGTCTACATACATGATATTTCGCTTTCCTGTTATATACCTAAGGGACGAAGACAAAAAATATCACTAGGAATACACGGGCCCATCAACAAGGTATAGAAGCTATAGGAGTACGGGGGAAAAGGGGGAACGCGATAAGACGAGGAGGATCTGTCTTCGATCCATGATTTCTCAGCTAATAAACTAGGCGTTATTCTTATCGACATTTAGCGACATCAATTCCTTCTTGACAAGCCCTTCCTGAAGTTGCCTTTCCCCCTTTTCTCGTACACTACTATTACGACCTAGTGATGCTGTCGAAATCTATTCTATTTCAGACCCAACACTAGTCGTCCCCGCTGTCCTTTCGGTGATCTTCGGCCTGTGGATTTCGTGTTTCCGCCAAACGAGGATTTTGGTCGGGGCTCGCCTAAAAGAGACCCAGTAGATCATCATTGTTCGTAGTTTTCTTCTGTTCTATACTCGCGCCTCCGTGGCCAAGTTGAACCGATGCTGGAGGAGGCTGGCTTGATCCACTCAAATCCAATCCTGCAAATCCGTTCATTAAATCATTTGCGCCGCCGCTACCGCTAGCAGGATTAGTTTGAGGCGGCGGAGCATCGAAGAGTCCCATCATATCCGCCATCCCGCTCGATGAAGTTCCACCAGCCGGACTTGCTACGCGTTCCGGGGTAGCTGACGCCGAATTCTGCTCTTGCGAAGCCGGTGCAGCACCGTCGAAATCAATATCCAAAAGGTTTTCGATGTTGCTCTGTGCCGGTGCCCCGTTTTGGGTGGCAGCTGCAACTGATGCCGCGATAGGGTTTTCAGCTGCATTCTGTCGTTGTTCCTGGATGGCAGCTCGTTGGATCTCGTCGGCACCGAAACGACCCTTACCGACGAAAGACTCAGGCGGCTTGTGATAGACCGAGGCCAAAGTTGATAGTTCGCCAAGAAGCTGCTCTAAAAGAGTTGCTGGCAAGCTCGTCATTGTGGTTGAAATGGCGGGTTTCTGCGAGAGGACGATATTCTGATACAAGTTAGTTACTAACCTATAACCCATAACCTAAAAAGGGGGTAGAAATGGGTCGAAGAACACGATACCTTTGCGACGGCAAGATCCCCCGACAGAAGCCGCCAATATACGTATGCCCGGTCACGAATATCTGGATTGTCGTTTTCTGCCGTTGCAGCTTGTAAGACCTTCTGCACCAGCCCTTGATTGTTGCTTGGCTTTTTTAAGAATAATTTAACAACAGCAGTCAGAATCTGTAGTTGCGTCTGTGTAAACTCCTCAAGGAAGACGTCCACAAAGCTCGCCAATATTTCATCTGCGTTATTAATCTTTTCCGCATACTCGCCGACAATCCATATTAGTGAACCCCTGGCGTTGGGCTCATCTAACTCATCGATGTGATTGCAGAGAGTTGGGATGACTCCTTCGTAACCCGGATATTTTCGAAGAATATCCTTAATTACCACTATCACTTCTTGAACCACATAGTTGACCTTGGTAGCGATTAGATCTAGTAGTGCATTGACACATTTTTCGCTTGCGCCCTCAATTTTAATTGCAACTTGTCCGATGGCTTTGACAGCTCGTCGAACAAAATCCATGTCTACTTCCAACGCATACTCTTTCAACTCGGCCAGCAATTGCTCGTAGTTCTTCTCGTTCGCTATCCTGACCATAATTTCGAGCTTTTGAAGCTTTACATAAGGCGGATCGTTGTACTTGCAGAAGAATACTCGTAATTCTTTACTTAGGATGTCGGGCTTGGCCTGAAGGAGGAGATCGATATTTCGTAACGCGACATATTGGACTTCGGGGGCGGATGCGACAAGCGTCACTACATATATCAGCTCAGGGTCTTAGATGAAGATGAGAAACGTAGTAACTAACCTAATGGAGGCGCCATCTTCTTGAGGTATTGCCGCACGAGATCCGCGTTGATCAATTTCATGTGAATGAATACTACCTTTACAGCAGCAAGCACGACGCTAGGGTTCACGTGTTGAAACTGAGGCGCTACTCGTTCGCAGATGTGCTCCGACTCCTTGACATCTTGGGGTGGATAATCGGCCAGGGTCGAAAGGATAGTTACCCTACCCCATTCCGTACACTCATTCAGGGCCATAAGCAGCTTCTTGAGGGTCGCCGGCGTTATAACCAATGCTCTAGTCTCGGGTGCAGTCTCGGATATTTCTGAGAGGGCTTGCACCGAGTTGGCAACCACCATAGGGTTAGGATCTCCAATCATCTCTTGAAGAATTTCGAGAAAGCCGTTTTCTATGCACATGGATGGATTTAGGTCGAAAAGCTTCGCGACGCAGATGGCAGCTGTCTTTCGCACGTATGGTGATTCGTCTCGCAGCGTTTTCCGTAGGGGCTCCTCCATATAATCCACCATCTTATCTACTCGAATGCAACCCATCGTTCTAATGGCGAGTGCTCTAATGAGGGGATTCGGGTCTTCTGAGTCTTGGACGAAGGTATTGACGGCGAGGATACACAAGTCAGGGTGCGACTTGGCGTAGTTCCTGAACTAGTGGTTAACTTCCTACCTATATATATGTTTTGAATGTCTCACGGAGATCCATCGATAGCGTGAAGCTACTTACATTAGGTAGAGATAAACGAGCTTCTTTTGGTCGAGGTCGGCGGTCGCGATATTCTTAAGCACGTCGGGAAATAGTTGTGAGACGTCTTTACCCAGGGTCATGGCCATAATTGTCTTTTGGATTGATTCCTTTCGTTCCCAGGCATATTGAGATACCAGACCAGCTCGCAACTCAAACGTCTCGCCCTTCCTAGGCACGGCGAAAGCGCCGCGAATACGACTGACCGCTGACATGTCGATACGTTTTATCGGGGGGATTTATAGAAGGTCAAAGGAGGCGGAAACAGGTTGCGAATTAAAGGCCCGTTTAGGGCTATTATAGATGTATCCGATCCCTCTTTAATTAGAAGTTATTTAAAGTTGTTTTGATTTTTTATTGGTTAATATCGTCTCTCATCTCCGTTAAAGAATAGAAAGATTTACGTGTTGAGCGATGGCAGTTGAAAGAATGTTGCCCATTCAATTCAAACCCCTGGCCGCTTCACTTATCAAAAGGCTACCTAAAGCCTGGTTGTGCAGTTGTGCAGTTGTACTTGACAGTTGACAGCTTTGGCCAAATCGGTGCCCTCTCCACGAAAAAAAAGTTGTAACAGCCACAACTTACAAGCCACAAGCATGCAGGACTGGATTTGAAATGGTGAGCACCTGCAGTGAGCACATCATTGATGTACATGTACCTAGGTATAGGGTACCTAGGTACATACTGGAAAGTCTGAACCGGGCGGGCGTCCTGCAGTTGTAGATATCTTATCATCCAAACGGTAAACCTTCCATTCCTTAAACGAGTAAAAACCCATGTTGAGACTACGGATTGAAAAAATAATCAAAAGACCCATTTAATTATTACTGCTGCTCTCACATTTGAAGCTAGTCGTATGGTAAGTTAAGTAAGGAGTCAAAACGACACCTTCGATATCTATCAACTAACAAACCCAGGCAAACTTCCCAAACCTACGCCGGCTCTTCATCGAGGCCAGGTCGGATGACGAAGAGAGGGCGATTTCGCGCAAAGCTGTAAGTAACCACACCTCGGTTTTGTCAGAATAGGTCGTCATCACATCAGTAGGTTACCTACCTCAACTAACAAAAAAAAATCAGTTTTACAATGCTGTCTTGTTCATGGGCTCAGTTGCCATTTTTAGCCTCATAGCTCAGAAGATGAATGCGGGCAAGTAATTACATGTTACATGTAGAAATACACAAACGTTATTAGGCTCATCATAAAACCCATTCGTGCCATAGCCCATATGAACAGTCTTATCCCTGTTATTATTACCTCGTAGAGCGTTTAATCAGATTCGCTGTCGCTTCCAAGGAAGGCCAAAGCAGCCATTCGCTTCGACACGCGCGAGTTCCCCTTAGATTCCCCTTTCTCGCCCTCATCCTCTTCATCATTGCTATCATCCTCGTCGTTGGACTCTTCCTGTAATGTTTTCTTGGTGGCCTTGCTTCTAGAAGCACGCCCGCCTGCTCCACTACCCCAGTTCCGATTCATCTCCGTAACAGCTTCGAGGTCAGCCATAAGTTCTCGTCTTTCCTTAATTTCCTTTGCTTTCGCTTCGGAAAAGCGGCCCTCCATCCCAACATCGCGAAGCATTCCCTTCAAATGTCTGATTTTGGCCTTGCTGTCGTCGCCATACTTTTTCAGCTCGATACCCCATATTTTGCGAACTCCACACTTGACTAATTGTCCTTGAAGTTTCTTGATCTCCGTCTCGTCTGCTGATAATTCTTTCGGCTGCTTAGGCTTAGCCGCACCTTTTGGTTCTCTTGGCTTGCGCTTCTTGGGGGGCGGGTCGTCGATGACAGATGACAAATTTGAGTCTGAGTCATTGGCGTTTGTCTCCTTAGTATCCCCGTTGTCCTTATCATCTGCAATATCAGGTTTGGATCCTTCTCCGGAGTCCTCCTCCTCCTTTGACTCGGTCTTACTATTTACCCCACGTTGAGGCTTGGCTTTCTCATCCGCAACTGTTTCGACATCATCCTTGCTGTCAGATGAGCCTTCTTCGCTGTCTGATTCCGCCTTGGTTCGCTTGGTAACTTGCTTCTTTATAGGTGCTGCACGTTTGCGCTTTTTTCCTACTGTAGAGTCCTCTAGATCACTGGTTGCTTCGTCTTTTTTTGTGACCTTGTTAGTCTTGCGCCGAGGCGTGGCCTTTTTAGCGCTCTTTGATTTCTTCCTTGGCTCATCCGAAACTTCTAGGTCGCTCAATTCGGATTCCGTCTCTTCCTTTTTGGACCCCCGACTCGAAGCAGACTTCTTGGGCTTCACCTTCTTGGGTTCATCCTCCGGCGAATCAAGTTCACTTAATTCTGAATCAGACTCGTCCTTTTTCTCGACACTTTTGTCGGTCCCCTTTTTTGGCTCTTCTTCGAAGTCGCTTTGGTCTTCCAGGTCGCTAAGCTCCGACTCTGATTCTTCTTTCTTTGCTTTGGCTCTCTTAGATGAAACAGCGCGAGATGCTTTTTTCTGGCGCTTCGGTACAGGGGAGGGCTCGTTGCTCGACTGCCGCTTGATACCATTCTTGGCTTCAGGCTCAACATCGGCCGCTGGAGATGATGGGGCATCATCTTCCTCAGCCTGTAGCTTGGCCTAGACATGACTAGTTAGTGAAATGTATAAGTATTTCTAGATAGTTATACGCTAAAGCATAACACATACGACGAATTCCTCGATGATCTTCTTACTGCGCGCCTTCCACTCTGGCGCTTTGAAAAATCCTTGCTCTAACCCTTTTTGCTCTTCCACATATTGTCGGATGTTATTCACAGTCACTTGTTCCCATCCGCGTTCGGCCACGAAAGCGCGAACCCCATTACGGAGGTCTTTCTCGAGAGTTTCGGCGGTCGGCGACATGAAGTTGGATAGTTGGCTTATGGAGTATTTTACTGATTGATGTCCTGATTGATGTCCTGATACCAATGTAGCACACTCATTGGCTTTTCCCAATACCGGTCGCAATTCATAAATCACCAATTAGGTACGGTAGGTAGCAGGTACCTAGAGTAAGTTGTTAGGATGATAGAGCGCGTTAATGGGAACTAAGGTCGCGTGTTGGTTGGGTTTTAAGTGGAGAACTTAGTAATAATACATATAGGTATGCCAGACATATTTCTGTCAAACCAACAAAGCAACAAAGGCGTGATTCGAGATAGTACCTAGGTACCACCTAACGTAACAGAGATGGATCGGAACCCACACCAATAAACCAATTGGCCAATTAAATATTTTGAATACATGTACCGAGTACCCATCAGTTACCTAGGTACCTGTGTACATCGCTAGGCAGATTTAGGTACCTAGCACTAGGTACCAGTATGTACGCCGTACGGTACATGACAGCCTCGTATACGATTCTCCAAACACCTTCATACCAGGTACCGAGGTAGTGTCCTCTACAATAAGCTCATATCCTTTAAAAACAAACACGCCATACATGAGTATAATTTCATATGGTTACCTACCTAAAGTAAGGTACCTAACTTAACTTACTTGTATCTCAACTTAAATTTCTCTACCTACCTGGTACACTTCTTCTCACTTCTCTCAAATGCCCGTAATGTAACCCCATCGCTGCCTAAGACCTACATGCCTCTAAGTTAGGTAGTCCTTTACCAACATAGGAAAATGGTAACTTGAGATAATATATTCACTAGGCATATAGGCACCACCTAACTTAAGATATTCGGTACCTAGGTAGGTATATGAATCAAGCCTTATGTACCTAATAACAGGTCAATCGAGATCGTATTCATATGTCTTCGCTTTAGGTACCAAAAACGCCTTATGTATTTCAGATTCGCGGTTGGCTGCCCGCAGCCCGGCCTGCAGTTCTCCGTACCAACGCGCGTAAAGTATGGAAGGTTCTGTTTGCCTCTCTATGCGTTGGAGCCTCATAATGCCCTAGATAACCACACTTCGTTGCCTTCCTGCATAAAAGCCTTGCGCGGGAGTCCTCCCAGACTTAAAATTCCATCTTATTCGTTTCATCTCTTATCATTTCCCCAGGACACTCACACTCTTAAAAACAACTTCCGTCTACGTTGATAAAGGTAACCATATTCAGTCAGTCACTACTTCATGAGTACCCAACCTGACCTCTACACATTCCGCTTCATGTCCTTTTCAAACCAAATAAAGCAAAAATGTCACATAGCAATCTAGGAGAGCACGCCAAACTATCCAGGGAAGAAGTCCGCTACATTATCAATCATGTGTTTCTTCCACCACAGTTGCCCCATGGGGACGATTACAAGGTCCAACATGAAGAGACATTACTAAAGATAGTCATTGAAGCTCTCTCCATGTTTAGAGGCTATGTCGAAGGACACGAGACCGATGCTGTGGATTTAGCAATCACTACCATGCAGCACCTTCATCAGAGTCACATTTTCACTGGAAGTAAATTAACTGTTGACGAAAAAGGACTCCTCGAGGCCTTTCAACTCCTCAGTCAGGAAGGTTAGTCTTTAAGGAAACCCTCATAAAACCTCTGAGCTAACCATTTGCATGTAGGCATGACAGTTGCATGTCATGTTCAAGCGCAAAATTGTGCCATCATGTTCTCGAAATCAGGTACATTCGTTCATGTCGAAATGTTCGAACTATCTGCTTCCAATCAAGCCGTCATTTCAACGAAAGGGAGACTGCGTCGACTATTCCCTGGTTCGGCAGTTTCTGTCCCCTTTTCTATCTTCCAAACTCGCGAGTTCCAAGATACACTGGCCTGCACCCTTGACAAGATGACACATCAATCAGCTCATGGTGCTCAGCCTCAGGTCCAGAAAGCCAAAGAGATGCATGAGGAACCTCGAGATACTACGCACCCAAAGATGGTCACTGAGCTCTTCTCTGCATTCCTACTATCTGTGGGCGATCGACCGGAAGTGACCAAGATCTGGAAGAATACTCGTGAGGAAGTGTTTTGGAGTAATTCCAAATTGCCGTGGCATAGGTCGGCGTTGTGGCTACTCATTCGTGTTGTCTTACAGCTTATATTCACACGATCTTCATGTTCATCTTCATGTCCGGAACATACGTACAAAGCGTTCATGATATGCTTCATGGCTTATGTTTTGGAACGAGTACCAAAGGACCTACCAAGCGATATCTTGGTAGCCATGAGCGCCAAAGTCTCCAGACGGTACCATAAAATCAATGGGCCTATCCCCGGCCCGATGATGGACTTTGTTAAGTCAACTTTATTAGCTACGAACCAGGCTCTTCGGGATCGATGGTCGCAGGTTCAGGAACAAAATCGAACTCCCAGCAATCTAGAGAGCCTTGGCGACCTTAATTTTGATAAAGATACTCACATCTCTCCCGAGAAACTTGTCAAATTTTTGGACAGTATAAAAGCACGCCAGGAAAGTGACCATTCCGTTGACGTCCCGTTAAGCTGCCCCCTTGACAGCTATAACAGCTCCCTGCTGCCTTCACTTGCATCTCCCCCTTCGAATGGCGACGTGATGTATAGGCTAGCAGCATTCGAGTCTTGGGTGGCTTCTCACCTGAACGCTTGGACAGTGGCTAAACAAGGAGGTGCCGAAACCTGCCGGGTTCTGGGGTACTTGATTGAAGATTACTACCATGATGCGTCCTCAAAGTACCAAGGCAACCCCGAGTTAAACTCCATTATGATTCTTACCATACTTGAACTGTGGGTTGCATCCGATAAATCAGCAAGAGAAAGTTACGAATTACTGGAAGAATACAAACCAGGGATACCTCAGAGCCTGTTCTTGAATTTAAATTTGCCAACGAGAGGCCAAATGGCGAGGCTATACGATGTCGAAAAATATCTCAAAGATCGCGAATCTAGAGCTCACTTCCCTTATGAAGCGCTTAATAGTTTTGGTAGCGACAGCTGCTTTTCTGTGCGCTTTTTCGACCAATCTCCTGAACATCAGGAGCTACGCGCTTCCATCGTCGACCAGGCGAATCGTGATAGGGAAGCAAAGTGCGAAGAATTCCAAAGAAAAACAGACGAGTATAAGGGCCTCCAACTCAAGCTCCAAAATATTAAGCATACGAAGGACCCGAGAGTCAATCAAAGCACGGGTGTTTGTGAAGATTTGTGTGCTTGGAACTGTGAGAAATGTGCCGTTGATGAACAGGCCAACAGTATAACAATTAACATACACGAGTGGCCACTTCCCAGCATTAATTTACAGGAAAAGTCAACTATATTTGAACTCCAAGTGCCTTGCGCATTTGGCCAGTGGCGTGACACTACGGTGTTCGTCCTTTCCGATGTCCTGAAACTTGTCACGGAAGTACGTTCGCAACCGGACTATAACCTTAAGTTAATCGACTACTTGACTTTACGCGCGCACTTCAAGCCCTTTGATCCAATGCAACGTCAACGAATAATGTTGTTATCCGACACCAAGCCTCATCAGATGACCCATCGAAATGCGAAAAATATCGCCACCGTGGTCCTGGACGAAGTCTGTCTCAGGAATGGTCTATCGTTTCGATATTATGATAACTCGAAGGATATTTTTGTCTCTTCATTCAAATGTACAGATAAATTAGCCCACCTGTGCACGTACTCATTGCCAAAAGGACAAGCAGGCGAGATGTCGCCGATACAGCCATTTATTCATCGGGTACCATCAAAGCCCAGTGGTCCGTCGCCGAACGAGGTCATAGCCACTCAATCAAACTGCCCTCTATATATTTCTCTTGAGGAATATAAGGCACTTACATCTCTTCCTTTGGGTTTCCTGATTCAATGGCAAAATATCTTGTTGCAACTCATATCACCAAGCATAGATTTCAAGAAGGAAGAGACCGCATTGATTATTTCGCAATGCATCTACCAAGTCGGACCCCAGAAGGGACACAGCGTGTTAAGAGATAGCCATATAATCCTCGCCGACGCACAGTTTTCCCGTGCCTTACTGGATAACCTGGAAAAGGCATTTTTTAGGGTTAAAGAGAATTGGCAATCTTTTCAAGCACATGGTATCTTCGTTTCCATAGCTAGACGTCTACTTTCGCTGGCATTTTCGCAAAGCATGAAAGACAGATGTCTCAGATTCTTGGCTGATATTCGAAAGATCGCTTCGCAATGGATTTACGATTTGGAGGATAAAATTCAACGCGCCGTATGCGATAGCACGAAGGATGAACTGCGAGATAGATTGACCAAGATAGCGTTGATCTGTGCGGATACTTTCAACGTCGAGGAAGAGCATCTTCGCAGGCTTTTGTCCGTGCCCGATTCCGCATGCGCTATGATGCGGTGCAGTATTGTCATTCATGAAGGGCAAAACTGCATTCCAGAAGAACCATATACCTGGACGAGTATTATGCATCGAAGGTGGGAGAGGCTTTCATATAGAGCTTTTGGTGTTCTCGCAGAAGTGATAACGAATGGCAGCCCAGCATTAGATGATGCTATCAAGAAGACTTGGTCTGCATTTCCTGCTAAAGGAGAATGGACAATACAAAAGGAGCCTCACCATCATTGGATTGTCAACCGGTCTCCTCTTGATAGCGGGGATGGCGCCTTGTACGTCCACTTCAGTCTCTTGACTGGCAAACTACTTGTCAATGGCTCTCCTCTGGGCCGACTACCTCGAGAATATGAAACGGATTACATGTATTCCATACTATTTGGAAAATCAATTCTAGAGGTAGTGCCAAGTCCAGTGCCTGGGATGCGATTTAGTGCAAAAAACACGTTCAACACACATAATCTGGATTTCGGTTTGGATAATCTGGATTTCGGTTTGGATAAACAAGCTCAGACACTTCTCATCCGAGCAGTAACCAAAGATCAAGCGTTTGAACTCGTCCCCTGGTCTGTTCTGCGGGGCTCATTTCCAACAATATTTGTTGAAAACTTTGTCCATTGGTACAGCGAATCTGATGACTGTATTGAGTTCTGTCCTAAAGAGCAACCTTGGACTCACTCCGAGGATAGCTGGAGATTAGTACGTTCGGGTGTATCAGGCAAAATCTGGCGACTACGCAAAGGTAACTCCTTGCTCGTCGACTTTGCCAGCGATACTACGAAAGCAGTGTTCAATACACATTTGAAATACCTCGAAGACGTCACTTGGGCGCCAATCATATTCCAGGACAATTCTTTAATCATCGAACTTCCCAGGTTGAAGTTAGGGTTCTATCTAAAGCAGGGAGAGACTTCAATATATTCCCAGCAATTCCGAGGTATGTCGATAGATGAAGACCAGTCCATTGGGACACTGGTTGGCCTCCAGAGGGGCAAGCTTGTGTTGAAGGGCAATAATAATCGAGTTCGGCGCAAAGTCCTTATCTCAAATGGGAACGTAACATTTAAGAAGCATGACAAGCACATATGTGTTAGCATTGACAAGCAATCTTCTACGAAGGTTTACACTTACGACGTTGACGGATTAATTGGGAGGCTCGGCAACAATGGAAATTTGCAGGGCAGATTACTACTTTCATACCTCCACGCGCTCACCTCTTTTCCCTTGCCGGATCCCTTGACAAGGAAAACAGGGACGGAGGAGGCACTGTCTATCTTGAAATCTGCTGCTGTGCGGTCTTTCATACGGCTCACAGAGGATAACCTTGGGCTACTAGAGAAAATTGCCCTCCTCACCCCTGCGAGACGCTATTACCCAGCCAACCTAACAGAAATGCAGGTTGTTGATTGGAACTCAGACCTCGGCTTTTTAGCCCAGCATAGTGGGTTTTACCAGACTGTGTTCTCTATATTCCGTCAAGCCAATGAGTCCGCATTTTTCGACCCGAGCTCATATGTTTCTCCGCCAGTTCTACATAAAGTTGAAGAGAGTCTTCTGCTCCGTGATGATATTCGTTCATCTACGTTTCGCGTCTCGGGTTACGGCGCAGAGAGTCATACTACATGCTTTGACAAAGTCTATCAACCTAGAGACAACAACCAGTCTTCTAAAGGGGCTTATCGAGCTTTTTCTATGTCAAGAATCGTATTGCAAGATCAGTTCAGCCTAAGCGAGATTGTTGAGGAGGATTTGGGAGGATATCTCTGGAACTTCCTCTCCGAACACGACATACATGGGCCTAAGTCTACTGAAACTTCGTCTCAAAGTGTTAAACTAACTTATGATTCCGGATTGCTTCTTAATCCAGCTCGGTTCGTAGCAGAACACTGGATTCGAATACACCAGGCATTGGTTGGCAGGGAAGCTAAGTTTAACAAATTCAAAGTCATGCTCTGGCTTTCCACACTTGCATTCAGTGATGATACCGATATGAAGATTATGCAAGTTCTGGCATCCTTCTTCAAAATCCCTGGAATGGCTGCGATTAGTCCACCAGAAGCTGATATTTTTCAGCTGCCCCTCGGTTTTTCTCTTGGCAGTTCAACTTTAAACAAAGCTATCGATGAGGCATGTTTCTTGTTCTGGGAAAGTCCTGAAGCTAAACTAGAGACACTTCCGGGTGAGAATGATCATGCTGCTGCGAGTCGACGATGCCGAGCATTTGAGACCAACAAATCGAACGCAGCTATAAATCTTAAACATCAATTCGAACTTCAATGGCCGTGCGAGAGTCCAATTCGTCCTCCATACCTTGAATTAGATGGCGTGGAATGGTGGCGGTATATACACGCAGATCAAGCCGTACATAGAATGGCTGAGATATTCAGGCCACGCTATCACAACCATCTATTCATGGAGTATCTCAACCAGATCAGTCATAGTGTTCCTCGAGGCGTCTTTCAAGCTAGAATTCCTACACTTAGTTCGCCTGATCCTGGCTGGAATCGTCCGACTAATCCCGGGTTTATCAGCAATGAAGAAGTATTCATCCCCGCAGCGCCTGCTATATTACCATGCATCATTGACGATATGACGCAATATGTGTCCTTGGTCGGCGACAGAATTACAGAGAAGTCGAATATTCCTCGGCTGTTGTTGAGGTTAGATGAGCAAATGGAATCTGAATACGAGAGACGCTACGTATCAGATCTTAAGAATAGCGCCCAGTCGCTACAAGGCTTCAATAAAAGCAAATGTTTGACGAAAAACATACAAGAGATCGAGGGATTTCTTATCTGCCATCGTGGTAATTGTCAGAAGGTCGTGGACGAGACTTATAATAACATGGTCAACGCTATTATTTCTGACCAAGGAAGCGAACAATTTACTTCACGAGCTCTTCTAGCCTCAACCTACCAATGGCCAAGGCTTTCTCCATGCTTCTTCTTGCAACACCTCTGTCAAAGCAGGTGGCAGAATTTACGAAATGACTGGAAGAACTGTATAGTCCATTACGCGGTAGCCATTTCTCAGCTACAGAGAGCAGATCGTCTGCTCAATGCACTTAACAATCGGTCTATCCTAATTAGCGAACTGGCAAACCCTGGTCATACGAACTGGCAACCTCGGGATTACCCAGAATCACTACTCCTAGAAATAGAAGGCGACCTTATGATCCGTCCAGTCCAGGAGCAAATTGCTAAGACTATGAGAAGCTCCGAAGGGGATAAAAACGCCGTCATGCAGTTAAATATGGGCGAAGGGAAATCATCTGTCATCGTACCCATGGTCGCGACAGCTCTCGCAGACGGCTCTCGCTTGGTTCGGGTAATCGTTGGAAAGCCGCAGTCTAAGCAGATGTACCAAATGCTTATCTCTAAACTCGGAGGACTGCTAGACCGACGGATCTACCATTTGCCATTCTCTCGAGCCGTGAAGGTTGGAGGAACCGAGATACAGCAAATGAGAACTATGCTAGAGGACTGCAAAAGGGACAGGGGAATATTCTTACTCCAGCCTGAACACATCTTATCTTTCAAGCTCATGGGTATCGAGTGTATGCTCACAGGAAAGGAGGCAATCGGCCGTCCCTTGGTAGAAAGCCAAGAGTACCTCAATGCCAATGCACGTGATATCGTCGATGAGAGCGACGAGAACTTCAGCGTGAAATTTGAGCTTGTTTATACGATGGGTGCACAACGCCCAACCCAATACAGCCCAGAAAGATGGGTGTGTATCCATCACGTTCTGGATGTAGTTAAAGAAGTTGTCTTGGAGAGTCGCGCTAAGCTTTCCGATGCCCTAGAGGTTTATCCTCCGTATCATGGACGTTTCCCACGGACCCGTATTTTGCAACGGGGCGCCGCAGATCAGATTCTCGCTCAGGTCACAGAGCGTATATGCAAAACAGGCTTTACCGGCTTTCCCATTATAAGGCAACGGGAGCACATTCGTCAAGCAATAATCAGATACATTACCGAGGCTGAACCATCTATCGGAGACATTGCCCTCGTCGAGGATACAGGCCTAAACGGATTCTGGACTGGTGCTAGCGAACCTCTCCTTTTATTGCGAGGTCTCATAGCTGGAGGCGTACTGGGCTTTACTCTTGGGCATAAACGGTGGAGAGTTGATTATGGCCTTGATCCAAATAGGCAACCGAACACTCAACTCGCGGTACCATACAGAGCGAAAGACAACCCGTCACTAAGGTCCGAGTTCAGCCACCCAGACGTTGTTATTATTCTCACTTCTTTGTGTTACTACTATGGCGGGCTCAGCTACGAAGACTTATTGCAAACGTTTAAGCATCTGGTTAGGTCATACCAGGCCGACCAGGAGTTTGGCGTGTGGGTTAAGGATGCAAATGATCTATCCGAGAACTTCAAAACCTTGGTAGGCATTAACCTCGAAGATAGCGAATGTACGCAATCTCTATTCAGATCATTTCGACATGCCAAAGGTGTCATAGACTATTTCTTAGCTCACTTAGTCTTCCCAAAGGAGATGAAAGAGTTTCCGAACAGGCTTTCCGCCTCCGGCTGGGATATAGGCGAAGTTAAGACCCATAAAATGACGGGATTTAGCGGCACAAACGACTCTCGCCAGGTACTACCACTTGATGTTAAGCAGCTGGATCTGAAAACCCAGAAACATACCAACGCATTGGTCTTAGATAATTTGCTCCGTCCTGAGAATTCTGTTACGCTCCTACCACCGCGCCAGGAGAGTGAAAAATCGGTCGCCGAGGTACTACTGAATACTATTACAAAGCTCGATCCACCCACGCGAGTAATACTGGATGTTGGGGCTCAGATACTGGAGCTCGACAACTTTGAAGTGGCAAGGACGTGGTTACAGAAGACATCAGACGACACCCAAATTGAAGCAGCCATTTTTGTGGACGACCATGACGAGATTTGCGTCCTTGATAGAAAGGGGCATTTCGAGCCTCTTCATACTTCCTCATTTGCATCACGGCTTGATGTGTGTGTTGTTTTCTTGGACGAAGCGGTATGTTCCTGACGTTGGCAGTTCTTTCTCTCAATTTTGTGGCCCCTTTATATATCAGGAAATGTTTTCTCGAGACTGCCGCCAGTCCGTTATAATATGGTGACATTTAAAGGAAGCAATTGCTAACCATAATAATCACAGCATACCAGAGGCACTGACCTGAAACTGGCAAGAAATTACCGTGCAGCCGTTACATTGGGGGCAAATTTAACGAAGGACAGATTAGTGCAAGGTAAGAAAAACCGGCGCCCTATTTTCATACCGGTACCCTGTCGGCTGACTCGTATTAGCTTGTATGCGGATGAGGATGTTGGGAGAGGGACAGTCGGTAGTATTCTGCGTTCCTGACGAGATCCAAAGAAAGATTCGAGCGTGGAGAGCTGATGCAGGGCTGCCCAAAGATGAGGATATCTCAGTCTTAGATATCTTAGACTGGTCAATCGGCGAAACTTGGAGAGATATCCATAAGAATATGGCATTATGGGCAAAACAAGGTCGTCGCAATATACAGCACAAGAAAATATGGGCAGATGCACGTTCTGATCAGCAGATAAATCTCACTAAGGCCCTAGCTGAAAGATATCTTGAAGATGAAGCCAAGACATTGGATTATCGGTATCGGCCTCGTGGGGATATCAACACGTCGTCGCAACCGGCGGATACGGAAGCCACGGACCCAATAACCTTGCGTTGTAAGGAGTTCAAGAATCTAAGGCTCGATTCGGCCGATCTTCAAGAAGAGGAAGAACGCGAGCTATCTCCGGAAATCGAACAGGAGAGGGAAGATCAAAGACCACCCCCGGCAGAACCGGCCATGCATAAAATTCACGACGATATCAAAAGATTTGTCGAATTTGGCACCATCCGCGAAAAGTCTACTGGATATATGCCTGCATTCCTTTCCCTGCGCGATACTTCATCGGGGGCTAGTTTCGACGTGTCCCAGTTTCGTACCGGTTTACTTGTCTCTAGTGACTTCGCAAACACTGTCAAGCGCCGCAGCACGTCGGATCAGTTAGATTCATACCAACGTGCTATTCAATGGATTCTGACAAGTACGCCCCTTAGCGATGAGGACTCTGCGGATCGCCCCATAAAGTACATGATGGTCATCAGCCCATTTGAAGCAAACGACCTATTGCCGCTGATTGAGAAATCTAACATTACCGCCTTGCATATATATGCACCCCGGGCGAACTCAAGCTACCCTAATCTCGATAAATTAGACTTATACACGGTACCCGAGAAGCTGGCGTCGCGCAAGATGCCGCAAAGTCTTATCACCGAACTAAACTTGTTCGCGGGGCAGCTGTATTTTAGCTCATACGAAGAATACGTGGGTGTGTGCCGGTTTCTGGGCATTAGCTACAGCACACCCGGCGAGGAAGAAGAGATCACGGCCGAGGGCTTCATAGCCAAAGACAGCGCCGGTAGGATTGGCGGGGAGTCAGGCTTAAGGAGCAGCCCGGTAACGTTCTTCAAGATCCTCCACACGAAGATCCGGCGCAATTGCGAGAGCATTGAGAAGACGCATATGGGAAAGCTGCTAGGTAATCAGCTACTGAAGCCTCAAGATTTCGAGTAATGGTAGGATATACATGGTTGAGCCATGTGGACAGATAATGAGCTAGATACCGGTTACCAATTGATAATGCCATTACCATAACATTTTCATCATATAAATCTTTATATTATCCCGTAAGGTTAACCCATATATTAAATAAGTGCGTATCACGCTTTAATTGGGCTCGTAAATGTGTTTAGTGATAGCAATCTAACCTCTTAATGTAACCCCTCACAGCTTAGAAGCCTCCCGGTAAGGGGCTTAATCATTGAGAGGTATTCAATTCTAAATTTCATGCATAGAAGCGGAACATTCCTCGAAATCGAGACTTGATGACATCGAACTACTAAGGTTTTTCCACAAGATTTATTAATCTCACTTCGAATGCACCAGTCTCGGGAAACTAAACCACATTACTCCCTTGTTCCAGAAAGTTAAAGAAACTATAAACACCGAAGTATCCCCAAACATCTCGATGTCTGAACAATTACTATATAATGGATTGCCTAAGTCAATACAGGGTACTCGAGCGGGATCTCACATCTCTTGTCATAGAACATTTACAAAAAATCAATTTTAGAAATTTATTAATTTGTAACTACCTAATCTAACACCTTAGGTACCTACCTGTATCCACCTAAGCAACATGGCGTCAAGCACATATATATGCCCTGTATGCCTTGAAAGTAAGCCGGCGACTGCCTTTCCAAGCATACCACTGACGCTTCACTGTAACCATGGCTACTGCATTGAATGTGTTACCCAGTATGTCGATTTTCAACTTCGAGATCACTCCGTGGATACGCTCAGATGCCCCGAATGTGGAAATCCGTTGGATCACACTATCATCCAGTCCTACGGAAATAAGGATTTATTTTGCTTGTAAGTCTAAATTCTAATACGAAATCCTCTGATACTGGTGCATAGCTCCATGGAGTGCTTACAGAACCTAACTCACTACAACAGATATAAAACACGAACAGTCAACGGCATCCTCTCTAATATGGACAATTTCATTTGGTGTCCCCTTGGTTGCGGGCAAGGTCAACTGCTCAACCCCAGAGAAAGCCAGCCGTGGGTTTTCTGCCCCAACGATAGGGACTACTTCTGCGTCCGCCACAGAGTTGCCTGGCACCATGGTTTTACCTGCGAGGCATTCGACGCCTTGACCAACCGCCAGAGCTTCCAACACGAAGTCCCGATACAGACTCATCAACGAGACGCCGACCAGAAACGAAAAGAAAAAGAAGAATTGGAGCAGCGTCGGGCGAGGTTAGCAGCCGAAGAGGCTGCCACAGACAAAATTACAATGCTTTGCGAAAGATGCCCGAGAAGAATTATCAAGGACGGTGGTTGGTGAGTATATCTATCAGTGCGAAAGCAAGTAACCATGGATGGCTTGCTAATTCGGTCTCTTGTAGCTTTAACATGAGATGTATGACACACACGATAAGCATAATATGTTATACTATTCAATTTATGTGCTGATAGTGACTTCCCACAGGTGTTTGCGGCCATTATTTTCATTGGAAACGACGTTAGGTACCTAGTTGAGGTTGGTGGAATGTACGAGATCCAAATTCTGCGGCTATTATCGTCCACAGCCGTCACAAGATAAGGCCGGTCCTATTGGATTGACTACCTCCTAGGTCTCCTTGGAGCAAGGGGTTTTGTAATGTAATTCTTTTTCTGGAAACACTTCAATATGCCAGGAGAACTTTTACCAATAAATACTCTGGAGAACTGGTTATGTCGACTGAGTACCTAAACCACCAGAAACTGTCATAGATAGCAAGCTCTTTAGACATGAAAGTGCTCAAGGTATCAAGTAGATTAGCTGTTCCCGGAGTCCATAATGTGCTGTGCATGACTTAGAGACTTGAACAGAAAAGGAGCCCTACATATTTTGGTATATTTAACAGTTTTCTTACCTGGAAGCTAATAAAAGTAAAATAACCACAGAATTAATCCATGATCAACGTCGATATAAGGAGGCGGCCGTTTCTTTCCCATGGGAACTACCATTTTCGAATTATACAAACACAAGGCGTGCCACTGCACCCTTCTCCCCGGATGCCCAGCAGATACCCCCTTTCACACACTCCACGCTGTCAAGGCTACTATTGTCAAATCCATGCCAGTTCCTACCTCCATCGAGCGTGTAGTCCGAACCTGTTGGGCCTACCGCGAGAGCAACACCGCAACGTCCGGGAACCCAGGACGATCCAGAGCGGTAACCGCCGGGAAACGAAGTAGAGGGCACCCAAGTTACACCGCCATCTTTAGACCACGCTGCATTGTCAATGGCTCCCGTAGGTGCCGAGTAGTTTCCGCCAACAGCGATGCCATGCTTCGCGTCGCGGAATTGCACCGAGAAGACACCAGAACCCTCGCCACCAGCTATGGAGGCGTCCGACACGGCCCAGTGAAGCCCATCGCTACTCCGGAATACCCGACCGGGGTTAACCCCCCCAGATGCAACATACCAGCGACCAGCCGCCGTCGCGAGACACGTTCCGCTCGCGGCAAACCCCGACTCGCCTTCCAGCGCGGGCACCATGCCGCCAGCGTCGACAACATCCCAGGTCTCCCCACCGTCGCGCGTCTTGATCAGCCGGATCTTGCCGTCGACAGGATCGCTCACCGCCATCCCGCGCTCCGGGCTCGCGAACGCGACGCAGTCGTAAAACGCGCCCGGCTCCGCGTTCGCAAACGTCTGCGACCAGGTCTCCCCGCCGTCGCGCGTCGCGTAGATGCGCGAGCTGGCGCCCTCGCCGATGGACAGCACGACGGCCTTTTCCGCCGACCACGCCTCGATGTCCCGGAACTCGAGCGCGGAGTCGGCTTCGGATAACTGGGGGCCGACGGGCTCCCACGTCTCGCCGCCGTCGGTGGTCCGGAGGACGGTCCCGCTCGTGCCTGAGACCCACGCGATCTGGTCTGACACGGGTGCTAGGCCGCGGAAACGCGCGGCGGTTCCCGTGGACAGGCGCTTCCATGTCGGTTGGGGGAATGCGGCGCTCTTTGGAGAGATGGATAGCCCGGCGCTTACGTTCGCCAGGGTAGCGATGCCCAGCAATAATGGAACCGCCGATAGACGCGTCATGGTTACCTTCTCTTGCTCTTTACTGCGATTCACCGAGCGGCGAGTAGTAACGCGGCGGGAACAACCCAACGGCAGGGATGGGGACATGTCTCTTTTTAAATTGGGAGTTACCTAGGTATTTTATCTCACTCTTATGTTTGTTTGATCTAAGTATCTTGCGGCATAGCGCTCTCCCGGCAGTCCGGGTCTTCGCGGACCCTTGCTGCTCAAGCATATTTTCCCGATTAGGCAGGTCGGTCACTCATAACGCGGGTTGGAAGAGAATAAAACTGATTCCCTTTATTGTCTACCTAAAGTTATTCTATTCTTTATGGTAAGGCCCAAGATATCATCATTGTCATCCTACTTTTCGTCAACATTGAAACTTCTTAACAGGAAACAGGTAGATAACTTTAGGTACCTAATAACACAATATTCTCACGAACAGCTTCTTGGGGCACCATACGATGGCTCGCAATAATTACATCATCATCATCATCATTTATTAGAACCTATTTTGCTTCTGAAGGGAAAATATCTAGGCGGTCGCGGATATCCTGCCAAAGTCAAGCAGGGCTTTTTGTCTAGATATCTGTCCTTGGCACATGGCTTCGGAGCATTGGAGAATGCACTTCTGGAGAGCGGTGGTTTGGATCCAGAGCCCACGCGCGGAGCCGACCCGCGTCGAACGGGCTTCAACTCCCGCTCCCGCTCCCACTCCGGCTCGGGCTCCGGTTCCGGTTCCGGTTCCAAGTAGATCATATCAGCCGCCATAGGCTGAACGCCATGACTCAGACTCACCTGTGAGATGTTTCCTGATGATGCAGCTTCCAAGGTTACTTCCATGTCGTATCCTTCGAATTGCTCGCCCGAGTCTATTGGCTTAGGAAGTGGTACACCTGCGAACACGGATGCGACGGAGATGTTTGCTTCCTCGGGGTAGATTACATCTGACACCTGTTCGTCCATCCGGGATTGCCCCTCAGCGTCTAAATCGGGTGGCCCGGCCTCGTTTCCTGGTGAATCCGTAGCATTGATCCCAGTCGTGCCTTTATCTTTATTGCGACTCTTGAACCGGGCCTGCATCACAGCTTCTAATTTTATCGGGTCAAACGGTGCGGGCATGGGGTCCGAACACGGCCACTTGATTCGTAAGTATTCTTCTATTTTCATAAACTCGATATCCCCCTTGGAAAATCCTGCGCTGGTCGGTCCTAGCTGGTGCCAGGCGACTTTGGTCTGGGGAGGCATGTCCGGATCATTTGGGATGTCACTGAACGTATGGCATGTCTTTTAGAAACGCTACGAGGGTTGCTGGAAATGACCCGGTCATCATTGCTGACGCGTTCTTTTGAATACAATGGCAGTCTTTGAGAAGTGGGTGCTTCTTTATTAGGCATCGCGTACCTGACAGACAATAGACATGTTGCTATTGGCTCGAAGGAACTGGATGGGACCATCAACCAACTTACAATAAAGCGGATTATAGGTACAAATTAACGTCCACTCAGAGTAGGACATCCATTGTCAAGCGGGTTTTTTGACTAAGCTTCTGTTATGGCATCCCCGAACAAGAATACTAATGCAGCGAGGACACCCCGAACTTGGCCTTTGATTGAAGCTCCCATCGTTTGTTTACTAGGGCGATGCGGACTGTCCCGACTTGGTTGCGTTAGATGGCTCCACTTGAAGTTGTTTACAACTCCAACGAAAGTTCTCTTCTTTTTACCAAGTCACCAAAGGGATACGGAAACTTGTTTAAGTGATTGAGTTCTACTAAGGCTTGTGCCCTTTGATTCATGTACCTACAATAGGTACCTAAGGTAACCCGTCTAAACATTACGTGGCGGTCAGAATGCCTCCGGCTTAAAACATAAGACATGCAGTAAATAGTTAAAGCCGTCGAATTAAATTATTAGTGGTTCGCCATCATCTTACAACGCTAGCCACTACAGAGATTTAGATCTATCAATAACTTACCACACTTGCTAGTGGCCCCCTATCTTCATGCAGGCACAGCCCTATTATTTTTGGGTCCAAGTTGAAAGTCTAAGGATGATGACTTTTGTAACTTTTCTGATAACGCCGTCTCACCTGGAGGTAGAATCTTACGACGGTGTAACTTGTAGCTATGTTCTGGACAGGCTTGGCTCTGTTGTACGTATATAATAGATAAACCGAGGCACATACCTTATAGTTGGACAGGGTGCTACGGGTTTTTCCAACGGATACGTGCTGCCACGGGACGATTGCTCCCCGTGCCGTTAATCTTACGGAATAATTTTACCAGAACCGTCAGGTGTCTGATATGCGGTACCTATGGTTTGTTGGGGAATTGGGAAGCTTTCCTGGCAATAAAATGCTTCATAACTGTTCGTATTAATAGGAGAATAGCAACCAGGCTATATCGTATCGCCAAACTCGTCTCCGGGTTGAGTAAGGACGTTCGCATGTTGCGAGGGATTTAATGCCTTCGTGCATACAGGATACGAAGAAACTGACCGAGCTGTGAATTTTGGACCCGAGACTCTGGATACAAACCAATTAACTTCACCGAACTTGATGTGTCCTATGCATTGTATGTAATGCGATAGGTTCCACGACAGTAAAGCTGTAGTACATCTTCTATTTTCATCTTACACCGAATTTTCATCTTTTCGTGGAAGATGAACAAGAGCCAGCCTTCACCATGTCACATGTAGCATTTCGCATCAGTACCCCGCGTCATCGACGACATGAATATTCGAAATTCTCGTGTCGTGAGATAAAGCGATAGGTTCAAGGCTTGTGGTGTAGGTCATGGCCGGACCGACTGCCAAGATTCAGTAATTGGTGAGGCTGAATGCGGTAATGTCCCATGCCACTCACCCCGCCGCTACGGCGAAGGATCACGGTTGGGTCTCCTGCGATGAGTTAAGGGCTAACTTTTTAAGGGAATCTTTAGGGTGCTTTAGGTAGAAAAAGAATCTCCTCGTGAAGATAAGCCACGAACCCGGCAGCATAATTGATGAAGTCATTTTACATAAGGGACTTTTACCTTAAGCGAAGCGAGGTTGATAGCTTGACTGGTCTGCTGAGTGATGAGTGATCGCATATCCCATCTCTTCGGATGCTGGGGGCTGACTCGGGGCATCGTATATCGCATGTTGGCGATGATCTGCACTGGAATAGGCAAACAACTTCGAGATTAGCATTAGCATTAGCTTTTTCGGGTTGTTAGCTGGTGGTGATACAACATCACAGCTTATAGTGACGATAATATGGTGACAGGAAAGCTCCGATAGCCAGTCATAACCGAAGGTTTTCTCTCTACTTCTTTACTAGCGTACCTAATCCAAGTTCATGTAAGCATCGTGATATGTCACGATTTAGATATCACGTTTTCTTACCTGCCTAAAGTACGTGGATGGTGGTGTTAGTGCTAGAGACGTCATATACCTAGTTGCAAACCGCAAACGGATTGATCAGAACTAGGTAACTTGACTCGGAAATATACATGGCTAGACCTCCATGTTGTCCTGTGTACCAAACACCGTTCGGATAACGGCCCGGCCCTTCGGTGATTTGTTGTTTAATTTTATTTTACTTTTTGTTTTATTTTGGTTTAAAGTTAGAATCAGTATCAGGTATGTCTTTAAACCAGGTTTCTTATTAATAAAACCTCGAGGGATGCCATAAACGGTAAAGGAGGGGCCTAGACTGCGCCGCCAATGGTTCACCGGGAAATTCATAGAGTGAATACAACTAGCCTCTCCATCTAAGACTTGATAGTTGGGGCTCATATCTGGATTACCTTAGATACCTAAGGTACCTACCTATCCAACTCGATCTTAACGTCATAACGTGCCATCTGGATTTTGATGGCTTCAAGGATATGGGCAGTCGGCAATCATAAGAATAAAACTACTGCAAACCCCGCATTGGCGTTGGCGGGCACAAGGATCGTTGCGCTGCCAGGAGTCTAGGACTAGCCGGACTCGGGTCAACCGGCAGAGTTTGGTCTAAGGGACGCTATCGTGGAAACCGGTCCCAAGAGAACGGGATTGTCTGTCTGACGCAAAGAATCGATGGTTGAAAAAAAGAAAAGGACCCACGCTTTGTCCCCCGCCTGGGAAGCCGAGTCGACAGTTACACGGTAAAGACGGTGGTGATCGTCAAGGGCTAGACCAAACACAGCATGTGGCTTTGTATTCCTGCCAGCAAAGCGATGCGCCAAATACGTGTGGTGACGCCCGGCGCTCCCAAATTCTCGTATTTGTCGACAACTTGCGGTCTCTGCCGCTGCACTAGGCGCTCGATGGTACCTAATGTACAATAATACACACATACTGCGCATACTATACATACCTACTACATAGGAATTAAACATGATACAGATAGACAAAGTCACATTTAAAGTCGCATGCATACCTACTACTATTGTGTATTCTATTCCCTATAAAGTACCTACATAAGGCAATACCCCTGCCAGGTCAGGGGTTCAGCTCACAGCCTTATTTGGCATAAGCGTATAAGCGTATAAGCGCCAACCCCGTCACAACCGTTTCTAGGATCTCCTAACTAAATGTTTCCACTGCTCTGAGGCTATGACGTTTCCTAGGATCTTTGTGCCGGAACATTGCCTTTCTTGTCTTTGAACGCAACTAAGTACCAAAAAACTAAAGTATATACTTCGTACTATCAAAGGGACCGGCGTTTTGTCTTAATACATACAAAATGAGGATCAACAATCAACAATTGTTTTCTGGGGCTCCGAAGAGCACAACATTTAAAGAACTTCCTTCCTTCACTACATCTATCCAACGATCAATTCGAAATCTTGTCTTACATTTAATTCCCTTAATAATATTAATATTAGCCTGTAGCTCTGAGCTTGACTATTCCATCTGTGTTAACATCCTCTCCGTACCTTCGCTTTTCAAAATATAATAATAATAATAATAGTAATCTCTCTCGAAGACCAACGGCCCATCTTGATTGACCGCCACAATGAGATCTGAGCTCGCTATTCAAGCCCTCGTCGGCGCCGTCGCCGTGTCGGCTCTGGCTGTCCCCCCCTCCCTTGAGAAGCGATTAAAACTTATCGACCTTGGACAGTTCGGCAGCTTCCCAACTATTACACCCGAGCAGGCCCATGTTGAAGCTGAGAAGATAGAAGGCCCTTTCCGCGATGGACCCGAGTTTAACTTCCCTAAGATTGTTATTGGCGGTAATAAGACTCCTGCTGCCGGAGAGGACGAGGTTGCCGCTACAAGTAACGCCGCTGTTAGCGGCACCTGCGATCGGAATAACCCGAAGGTTCGCGTCGAATGGCGGAATTACTCCCAAGCTGACCGGAAAGCCTTTGTCAATGCTATCAAATGTCTAATGGGTAAGCCGTCTGCAGGAGGATTCCAAGGCTCAACAAGCCGTTACGAAGATATCGTGTCCGTACATCAGCAAATGACCCATAACATTCACCAGAGCGCCGTGTTCCTGCCTTGGCACAGATACTACGTCTCGGCTTTCGAGGACCTGATGCGAAACGAATGCGGATTCACTGCCGCTTTTCCATGGTGGGACGAGACGAAAGACGCCGGTCACTTTGCTGATTCGGATCTATTCACCGACGATTATTTCGGTCCTCTTCCCGGGAAGACTTCAAATGACCAAGGAACCTGTATTGAGTCAGGCGTAAGTATTCCCATTTTTACTCTGAATGATACAATTTGGACGTAGACTAACTGCCGCTGCAGACATTCGGTGGACTCACTCTTCACATTGGCCCCGGCAGCGGGTTCCAAAATCATTGTCTTTCGCGGGCTGTCGACGAGAGCTTGACTGGTACCGTCAGTGCCCAATTCGTCCAGGACTGCAATTCACGGACTTCATACGATGATATGCGGGGTTGCCAAGAACTTGGGTAAGTTCCATCCCTTACTTCATTCACTATACTCGATATGAACATTCGCTAACAGAAACTCGTAGCCCGCACGCTTATGGTCACAACGGCGTTGGCGCAGTTATGTCCGAGGTCCAGGCTTCACCCGGAGACCCGATCTTCTTCATGCACCATCTCTTCGTCGATCACTCGTTCCGCATCTGGCAAAATGCCAATGCCTCGCGCACCACATCCATCAACGGCTGTGCCGGCTCTAGCAGCCCATGCACCCCAATTACTTTGGATTACGTCCTCTCTTCTAACGGACTTAAAGCCGATACTACCATTGGCAACGTCATGGATACATTAGGTGGCTACTTATGCTACCGTTACGACTACTAGTTCTCGAATGCCATGCCTTTTGGCGATGCTCAGCGTGGTTTCTTTTTTTAAAAAAAATATTTATTACGACGTCTTTATTTTATCTCGCACTCGCATCTGCGTAGAATTGGCATTGGGGTTACGGAAGGGCTTATAATACGGCAATAAGATGGCATCCGGTTGGTTATTTGGATGATACCTTTTGGGATAGAGAACGAGTTAACCAAAAAAAGCATTCCTTGGAGAGTATATACCGGGAAGTGTTTCGTACATAGCAAAATTATAAATGTATATAGAGGTATGTTTATGAACTTTTTTTCTCTCTTGAAAAAGATCTTCACCAATAAGCTTCTCCGCGTCACCCGAGATGATCGACGCTGCAATGATCCGTAGCCTTAATCAACCCAAGGTACATATGCATGAGGTTAGTACATTTCGAGTGGGATGCGTTCATGCTTGATTCAATCAAGTTGATTGCAACCATACCACGCCACCATGGTCACGTTGAACACGTGTTTGTAAAACATAACAGACATCAAATATACATAGATCTACGGGCGGTTATCACCTAAAGTTAGTATATCCATATGCCCCTATCATGACTAATTCCTATCAACAGTCGGCGCGAAAACCGATATGATTTCCCCCTTTTTTTCCGCTTTCCAGAGTTACCCTTAGCTAAGGTACCTCCCACTATACCTATAGAATAAACGTCATCAGTTTTCATGTCGCACCTAGCATAAGCCGACTATAGCGAAAAGGTCATTGTTCCAATTTCCTTTATTTGTCTGCACCAAGTACATATTCAAGCAGCGGCTCTTTTTCGGCATCATTGCTGATAGATTCCGGGCACTCCGTGACTTCATTATCGACTGTAAATAGAACAATTCCATTCTTGCGGAACTTTTTATACACTAACACTCAAACGATGACTTATGATGTATAACGGCAATGTAGTATACCTTAGGTAGGTAGCTATTTGATATTGTATGCGTGGCAACGGAACCCACATGACTTCGCTTAACACTAGGAAGTCTAACAAAGAATTTAAGACTTACAGTACGGGATGCTATCAGTGACAGCATAGGGTTGAAGTTGATAAAGGAATGATCTACTTACGATGAAATGTCTCAGGTATAGGGGTAATCGAGATACAATGTAAAATTAAATGAACAAAATTAAACTTCATGGTTGCTCCAGTAATTCGAATGCATCATAGAAGTCTGGCTATGATTTTCAATGGATATTTACAACGTTTCAAGACATAGTGGAACATAATCAGAACGCTTTACTGCACCAAGACCTAGAGTACAGGTAGGTATCTGAAGCGTTGACAATAGCGATGGATTTATAGCAGTACGTGAGTGCATAGTTGTTGACGTAGTCTTATAATCTAACATCATACCACTAAGTTCTATCTCGGATAGGTGAAATCAAGAGTGCCTATATGATAACTTTGTTACAAATGACTACCTAGACCTAACCTAACCTAGACACGTAGTCTACCTAGGTACATAAGTTATTCCATTGGCGCCATACGAGGCATAATCATGTAGAAACTAAGACTGCGCCGGCGCACAAGACACCTCAGCCTTTTCCATCACATTCTCCATATCATACTGCTCCCCATCGATGTTCCCGCTTTTCAACAGGGCCGGCCCGACGATGATCTCGACGTATTTATGGCAGTATTGATCTGACGACGGGGTCTCCTCCTCGTCCAGATCCATGTCCTTCATAATAGCATCGTCGAAGATGGCTCTCAGCGCGGTGGGCATCGCAGCTGCATTGCCGCCAGGGACGGGCTGTTGCCTCGTAGCCGGGAAACGTACCGACCACGACGCGCGTTGACGCCTGAGCAAGCGGGAGAGCTCCAGCGCCGGCTTGTAGACGTTTTCGATCAGCCGCTGGGTGGTATCGTGCTCGTGCCCGAGAGGACTAATGACTTTCATCACGGCTGCTGCGTTTTCTGCCATCACGTCTTCCTCGGTGAAGTTAGGGTATGTCTTGGCGAGGAGCGCCATGGTAATTGCGCGCCACTGGTGGAAGTTGCTCAGTGTTATGGAATGTCCTAGTAATGTCGCTGCGTATCAGCTTCTATGTTTACATTCCACGGCATTCATGATCAGAGGACGAACTGACCTGAGTTCAACAAGGCTCTTTCTACATCTACCAGTCCCCGACGTGTCTGTTCCGGGATCCAATAATCGGTACCAGAATCCCACTATAATGTTTGGAGTGCGAATTAGTCTTCCGAATATCTCTATAGTGGTGAAAGCTTCAAGCGAGTGTTTACCTGGTAACTCTTGGATGGCAACGTTCGAAACATAGTTTCGGTGACATTTAACGCCACCCAGCCACGAACGAACTTCCGTCGCCGCTTGCTATCGGAGAGACAGGTAGCCCAGTCTTCGACGTTGCTCATCATTGGAAGCACGCGTTGAAGAAGCTTGAACTGCTCTTCGTCGGGAAATGCTAGTTTGATAGGCTTGTCGCTGTTGACGCAGAACTTGTTGGACCACGTTCTGATTTGATGGTACAAGCTACGGAACTTGGAAGTGATGGCTTCGTCAGACTCCTGATACCCTAGGGCAGACTCTCTATTGTCTACGTAGCCCTGCAGCTTGTCATTGCGTCTTTTGATGATTTGATTTGACTCCTCCAGCGCTTGGACCTGGTTCTGAAGGTGTTCCATTTCTATCTGTTGCTTCTTATTCTTTTCCTTGGTCTGATGGTACTTCGCTTCCAGTTTATCGAAGCGTTCCTCGCACGCGAGGTCCGCCGGAGAAGGACCGCCCCAGTTAAGACGGTCAACCATCTATCCACAGTAACAATTAGTAGAGTGACTCGCTAGAATATTAGGTGGTCTACCTACGCCACGAAAACCTGAAAATGAGTTTCCAGTACCCTGTGTAGAAGTATCACGACTACTACGCTTGGGTTGGCCCCGTTGACCTTGGCCATTCCCTGGTGGGTGAGCTGGGTATCCTAAGGTAGGTTAGTTTTCGAGAACAGGAATAAGAAAGCATCACAAGCTTACTTGATTCGTCTATGATGAACGCATCATTCGACCCTCTACCATCAACTACCTCATCATCTGTAATTCTTCTCATGCCTTTTCTGGAAAGCTTATTTCCAGACCGAGGAGGCACTGGCGGCCCTTGTTGATTGTTATTATCACGTTCTTCATGGCTTTCATACCCTTGAATATCTCGCGAATGGATTGACCGATTCATCGTTGCTACGGAAGGTATAAACTTTGCAGGAAAGTAGTTGAATAAGAGAAAATAGCCTAACCTATAGGATTCAAAATTCAATGAGGGAGAGTGCTAAAGAAAATTGGTTCTGGGGGGGACGGCAGAATCAATTTGGGAAGAACCGCAGACTGGCCCAGGGGCGTATGCTCTATTACCATGCGCTCGGTGTGCATCTAGTCCATCCACGCAGCCTTCACGGAGCTGAGCATCAACTCAGGCAGCCTACCTATACCAAAACGTAGCTATGTAGCGAATCGTCTTGGCCCCCAACGCACCATATCTGGCAGCCTGAACAACTCTTTATGGTCAAACCCTGCTATACTACTGCTTTATAACGTAATCCCAAACTAGGTGCTAACTGCCGCCATTCGCCACATCTTTGGAGTTTCGCGAGAGTATTTCCTTTTTAATCTTGATTACCTCTGTTCTGGAACAGGGGGTAGTAGCGCGCTTCTCATGCAAGTAAGATGCAGAAACCTGTATGGAGGCTTGTAGGACTTGGCACAGTGCTTGCAACATAAGCCTTCGTTCATTATGAATACTCACCTAAATACATTCAAAGTATGTATTAAGGTATATAAGTATTTTGAAAGTGAAATCAATGGCATGTTAGATGCGTAACTTGAAGCGGTGTAGACTTTCATTTTATAACTGACTTGGGTGATATTGTATTGCAACCCATATGTATCGTATTGAGATGTCTATTCTAAACAGCATACTAAGAAAAAATCAAAGCTGAGGTGAAAACTAATTATACAATCAACCGTTTCACTATACGACTCACCGCAGAGGTAGTTCGTAAACAATCTAGCTAGAGGAATCCTCGCTCAATAATCCGCCTATCCATGAAGTGAATATATCACCTACTCCAGGCGGCACACCGACGAATAGGAACAGTATGTTTAGAGCCATTGGCGCATACGGAAGAACTTTACCGAGCCCTTTCATGAACCTTTGTCTCTTAGTCTCCTTCTTAATTTCCTCTTGGACCTCCCCGGCGATGTCCCGTTCAAGACTGACCTGTTGTTGCTCAGCGCTTTTGAGCCGGTCCCTCTCGCGCTGTATATCCAGCTGTACTTGGCGCTTCATCATCCTGTCGCTCTCTTGTAGCTCTCTCCGGAGATTCTCAAGCGCTTGTAATTCCCTTTCGTACTTGGCTTTTAGCTCGTCGAGACCATCGCTGACATATGAGCCAGCAGCTGTTTCGTTTAGTTGTAAGCCGCCATTGACCATTTCTTCCTGAAGCTTCAAGGTGACTGTTTCCTTGATGAGTAGCTGGGCGGCAATGGTTCGAGCCGAATCGCGATCACCGTGAAAGCGATTCATGCACGAGCCTCGACCGAGCATGTAAGCCCACTGTAATGTACGATTAGCAACTGTGCAACCAAGTGAACTACTTGTGTTCCGAGTGATACACGGTCGATAGGGCATGGCTTAAAATTACTCACAAACTTTTCGCGAAGTTGACGCTCCCGGCTCGCCCCAGTCGGCTCGTCAACCTCGTTCCATCGGCTAGTAATAAGAACGACGTTCTTCATCGCCTCGTCTCCGCAAATTCGCCTAAAGATCTCGAAAGTCTTCACAGCCGACCCCGCATACCGGTTGTCCGTAATGCGGTGAACATAGATGATCCCTTTTAGCTGGAAGCCGAGAGTGTACTGGCTCGCAAGTAGCCTTGCAATCTCAGTTAGGATATCTGAATCCGTGCGGTCGGAGTCGTCGAAACCGGGTGTGTCGATGAGAAGAGTCCGCGTGCTGCCAATAGATACGGGAACTACTTCACATCGTTGTGTGCCTGTGCATTTAATTGTTAGAATAGTCTCCTGATACGTACTAGGTAGCGAGACCTACATGAGTCCAATCGTGCCCCCTCTGCAACCGCGGGGAGACCTGCGAGCTTGTTGATGAAATAGCTCTTTCCTGACCCAGTTACACCCATAATTACAATCATAGGAAGGCCAAGTTGAGGAGTTGGCGTAGGAGAGCCGTCAAACGGCGACGAATCTGTTGGACTATCCATGGCTGATTCTTACAAACTGGATAATTTCGTATTGATTCTCTGAGTGTTTTACATCTCTAACTCAAACGGCCGGAATAGCGAACAGGGTAAAACACAATTCGCTTTATGAATGTTTGATAGCAGCAGGTACATACCTAGGACATTAATGCACGTGTTAATGGCTTCTAGAGTTATACTGTGTATTCCTGCGCAAGGCTGTAGAAGTGTGTGGGAAGCAGTGCAGGCGGATTCTCTACCTGGTAAACCTGATCAACAGCCGTAAGCGCTCCCATCCTCAATGCGGCGAGCTGATACGTTCATTGGCTTAGGTAAAGTTGCACTTCTTCTCTTATTGGGGAAGATTATGATACTCCAAACAAACATCTAGGTTGCGTGATTTAGGCCTATGGGAGCTGAGGCGGTCAGTTGGAGTAAGGAACCTTCTGTCATATCATTCATATGATGGTGGCGTCGACTAGACTCACGCCGTTACTTTGAACAGGCATACACTTCTCGCCAAGTCGAAATCTTGTCTAAATTTATGATTTTAGTTCCGCGCTTCTCTCCCCAAAAGGGGACTCAGGCCGGCTCTAGTTGCAGCAGCGCGTGGCTGTAGGCGTTGCTTCTAGATTGATGACTAGCTGTCCCCCATAGAAGATCTGACATGCGCCCTCGATCTGCCATACCCTAGGTGATTTACTTGGCAAACTCGCCTGGGACCATTCGTCAAAGTTAGGGTAAATCTAGCCTACGCCTCTAAATAGGCCTCCAAGAGACTCTCAGCATTCTCAATTCTCCCGTTAGTCACATAGCTTCGGCATGATCAGGTTCAGCAATGAAGAGTTTACGAAGTAGAAGCTCTCTTGGAAGCTCCCTTGCTTCTAGTTCTCGCGTCTCTACAGCAGCAACATCAATGGACTTACTCGGACCAGAGATAGTTGTTGGTATCGACTTTGGTACAACGTCAGTCACTTACGTAATGATCTAGTTAAAGGGGGTATTCGCTAAATACACAGTGTTTAGGCACTCGGGAGTTTGCTGGGCCATAAACGAAGGCCAGAAGAAGATACGGCTCATAACAGACTGGACAAACCCACAAGCTGTTAACGCGAATGCCGAGAAAGTTCCCTCCGTTATCTCGTATAAAAATGGCCAAGTTAGCAATTGGGGATATGAGGTCACGATGCGAGAGGACAGCTTTCGGTGGATCAAGATACTACTTGAGCCTGAGCACAAGTACGCTAAGACAATCGATGATGTTAAGCAAAGCAACGCGCTCCTCACCAAGTTGAACAAAACTGCCGATGAAGTAGTGTCTGACTACTTGCGAGCTCTATGGGCATACACGAAGGAAGACATTCGCAAGCGAATCGATGATGAGAACTGGGAAAACACATTTCGGCTCCGTGTCGTACTGACGGTGCCGGCAATGTGGTCCCATCAAGCCAAGGACAGAACCGCCAAAGCCGCTCGAGCTGCTGGTCTCCCCGTCGACATCTCGATGGTGACGGAGCCTGAGGCGGCCGCTTTAGCGACGTTAAGGGGGAAAGCAGAGGAAGACACACTTCGGGTAAGCTATTTGTGTTTCTTGAGCCCATCACTGCCTAGTCATCAGGGTCTTTTGTCGCATGTTAATAACGAGAGTAGCCCGGTGACTCGTTTGTAGTCTGCGATGCTGGCGGTGGGACAGTGGTAAGTATGCACTTAGTCCATTATCTGAGTATTTGATCTCTAACCGGAATTTTCAGGATTTAATAAGCTATAAAGTAAACAGCATTCACCCATTAAGAGTGGAAGAATGTGCTATCGGGGACGGTGCGCTCCGCTTAATGATCCGCTCTAATCCCATATGCTGACACACAGGCTAGGCGACCTATGCGGATCAGTATTCCTCGACTTAGCGTTCGTCAAATATATCGCCGCACTGATAGGCGAAAAACAGTACGCGAAGATCAAAGAAGTGAGCAAGAAAAAGATGCTTAAAGAGTTCGAGTTCGGCATCAAGCGATCGTTCATGGGCGACGATAATAAGGATTATTCTGTTGATCTAAGAGGCGTCGAAGATAATGAGGAAGAGGGTATTGTAGATGATAATGTGCCACTGAAAGCGTAGGTTTAACGGAAATCCCTCTCAATTTCATGTTTTACTCATTTACCACCTTATAGTAATATGTTGCGCACAGTCTTCGACCATATTTGTGGTCAGATAGACACTCTGGTTCAAAATCAGACAATGGAGGTCCAGGGTCGAGGGCTCAAGGTAAAGGTACGTCTACCATAACACCTATCATAACGTAGACAGAAGCTAATAATGAATCTGAAGGCTATCCTCCTTGTTGGAGGATTCGGGGAGAGCAAGTATCTCCATAGCCGTCTCGAAAATGCATATACCTCGGAAGGAATCAGAGTTCTTCAAGTCGATGGCGCGTAAGTACCTAGATTAAATTCACTAAACATGAGGGACAGATTCACTTACCAAGACAGTTGGTCGGCTATATGCCGTGGTGCATGCATGTGGGGGTTGGAACAAGTACGAAAGCCTCTTTCACAAACGGAAAAGGGCCTGCCTCCCTATAGTGCTATCGACAATGCAGGTATTCCTGCGACTCCCAAGATGGACTCAACCATTGTTTCGCGCATCTCAAGGTACAGTTACGGAGTTCCTGTGATGGAGAATTTCGACCCGAAGAAGCACCTCTGGCGGGACCGTATACTGGACCCAAGCACCGGCCAATATGCGGCGGATAACCAGATGAGGTGGCTGTTAAAGAGAGTAGGTAATCCGGTCTTCAACTTTGGTTGACAGTAGCTAATATTTCATCAGGGCGAGATGATGCGGGAGAATGATATACTTCCAATTGACATCCAACAAGCGGTGCACGGTATCGGTTGGACTAGTACAGGCGCTCGCGAGTTCTCGCAGGTGTTACTATACTCTGACCAACAAGAGCCGCCTACTAGGAGGGATGAGAGTAAGTGACCTTTCCTCACGAGCCAAATTAAGCGGGATGCTTATATCCAATGTCGTAATAGGCGTTAAGAAACTGTGCGAACTAAGCTTTGTGATTCCCGAGAGCGTTATATGGTCGCACACGGGGAGCTATAAGAGCCCCGTGGAGAAGGGTAAATGGAGAGATTGCATCTTTAACTTGATGGTTATCCTGGGGAGCGCAACTCTCGAGTTTGAAGTATATTATCATGGATATCGAGTTGCTCATACGGAGGCGAAATACGCGCAAGATACGTAAATGAACGGAGGCGCGGTCCAGTGTATTTGTATAAAAGGTATCATACGGATTTCTTTAATGTTATAGTGGCTACGTACTGTTGTTGAAGTTGCTTGGCTTAGGAGCCTGCCATCTTAAACTCAGGTTTTTGCGTGAAGAACATCTTCCTTAATTCTGAATTAATAGTTCTCTTAGTGACAGGACATGATCGGAAATGACTTGCACTTGACAACTCGTCACTTCAGTTCAGTTCTGTGTATAGTAAGTAAAAAATGCAGTGCATCTCTCTGCGTTTCGTCCAAGAATCGAATACTTGACATTTCCCGTTACGACAATACGGACGTTTTGGTCCGAAAGCTTGCATTCAAATTCACTCGATTGGGTTGAACCTCGAGATATGATTGGTGGAATTGGACCGGGTAGGACAGCTGGAGACGGCTAGGCGGATATAGCTATCGGATTCACTATGGCGGGATCGGGATTATATATTAGGTACCTTAGGTTAGGTAGGTACCTCTCTACCTTGGATCATGGACGTAGGTTGGGAAAATCGAACCAAAATTCGACAGAGCATGGTAGCTTCGAGAAGCATCCCGTCATCAGTTTTCGAATGAACCCGAGACTAAGCTAAAATTGGCCTTGGCGTAAAGTTGGGAATAGCATCGACCAATGGTTCGTCAAAGTTGTATGATTCCAGAAATTTTCTTGGAAGAGTTGAATGAAATGCCCAAGTGAAAAGAATGTGTAAGAGGTCACTGACCGATTGTGGTATGGATATTCGATGTGATCGTTGAGAGAAGTAATATACACTCTTGCGCTTAGCATCCGGTAAGGTACAATGTCCCCTGCGGTGGTTAGATTGAATATGTACCTCCTAAGGTACGTTATAGTAGGTGTAAAAAGCTATCGGGCCTATAGTTGAGATATTTTTAACGAGGGCCATGTTGTTTTTCTGGTTGTGATCCTGCGCTGATACCCGTGTCCTCTTATTTTGAAGTTGTAAGTAAGTACCTTTCTTGTCTTATAGCTTTAGGTCTGTTAGATAAAATTCACCATTGTTCAAGATTTGAGATGCGCGGTACTTAATAGTTGTCGTAATACAGCATAATTAGCGGCAACTATCTTCAGCCTGACACTTGGATAAGCTGGATAGCAACTGATACCTTACCCGAAAGACCCCGCCAGTTGCCCCGCTATAAAAAAAAAAAAAAAAGATAAAGACTAGCAATTACGTAGCTGGCCAAGACAAAGCGGATCAAAGCTCAAGGTACACTACCTCCAATAGAGGATAAAGCGGACTAGGCCCTGGGCTCTGGTTCTGGTTCTCGGCGGGGCTGCGGTTTCTGAGGGATTTCGCTGCTCTTGCATCTTGATTGCATCAAACCCAAGATTTCTGCCCAACCAGATTGCGCGCTTGAGAACGTACCTACCTAAAATAATAACATGACATTATACACTAGGAACTTTAGGTAACACACCAGGTACCTACCTTCCATGAAATCCATGCCACCCAGGCCACCTTCAAACCATTCCCCGCCTAAAAGCGAATCACCTACGAATTTCCATCTCTATCGCTTTTGCGGCCCCTCCCATTTTCTCTTTTCTCCCCTGTCAATAATAACAAAAAGGCAACTTGATACTTCCCCGTCATCAGTGAATCACGCATTTAATAAAACGCCACTGGTCTATGGAACGAATCATACTCGCTTCTTATTGCTTGGGCTTTTACACTCTTGTATTGTATCACACCTCTCTATTCCACTTATAAACTTAACTTCATAAGTCCAATTTGCGTTGCTGCAGCTTTAGCATTGGAAAGGCTCTTCTTCCTCTTTGCCACCTTGAGCGCCTACTTGTAATCTCGTTTCTTTAAAGCAAGGGCGCATTGTTACGATAATTGCTTGCTCCTATCGCAACTAGCAAATAAATAATAGAGACAAATAGAGAGGGACCTACCCAACATGCCACCAACCGACGAGAGCGATTCTTCCTGTACCGGCGACCGCCGGCTGTTGCTGGTATCCAACCGTCTTCCGATTACCATAAAACGAAAAGAGGAGGGAGACTATAGCTTTTCCATGTCTTCTGGAGGGTTGGTTACTGGATTGAGTGGTCTGAGCAAAACAACAAGCTTCCAATGGTACGGCTGGCCTGGCTTAGAAGTCCCCGAAGCGGAGATAGCTGGCGTAAAGCAGCAGCTTAAGGACCAATATAATGCGCATCCCATCTTCGTCGACGACGAACTCGCTGACAGACATTATAATGGCTTCTCAAGTACGACCTGACCTGCCCGTCTTTGTATAATCAATATATAAACCTCTCCAATCAATGCTGACTTTTAATTCATAGACTCGATCCTCTGGCCTCTATTCCACTACCACCCCGGTGAGATCACCTTCGATGAGAATGCCTGGGCGGCCTATAAGGAGGTTAATAGGCTATTCGCCAAGACTGTTCTGAAAGATGTTCGAGACGGCGATTTGATCTGGGTACACGACTACCACCTCATGCTTTTACCAGAAATGCTACGCAACGAACTGGGTGACCGGAAAGACGTAAAGATCGGTTTTTTCCTACACACCCCATTCCCCAGTAGCGAAATCTACCGTATCCTCCCCGTTCGTGAAGCCTTACTCGAAGGTCTCCTGCAATGCGACCTGATAGGCTTTCACACCTACGACTATGCTCGACACTTCCTTAGCTCCTGTTCGCGTATCTTAGAAGCACCGACGACCCCAAATGGCGTTGAATATAGAGGAAAGTTCGTAACGGTCGGAGCGTTCCCTATCGGAATAGATCCCGATAAATTCGTGGAGGGACTGCAAAAGTCGAAGGTGCAGGAGCGAATCGCCGCGCTGTCTCGCAAATTCGAAGGCGTGAAGCTCATTGTCGGTGTTGATCGGCTCGACTACATCAAGGGTGTTCCGCAGAAGCTACACGCTCTGGAAGTGTTCTTGACGGAACATCCCGAGTGGATTGGCAAAATCGTGCTTGTCCAAGTTGCTGTGCCCTCAAGACAAGACGTCGAGGAGTATCAGAACCTCAGAGCAGTTGTCAACGAATTGGTAGGAAGAATCAACGGCCGGTTTGGAACCGTCGAGTTTATGCCTATCCACTTCCTGCATCAAAGCGTCCAGTTCGACGAACTATGCGCGCTCTATGCAGTTTCGGATGTCTGTCTCGTAAGTTCTACGCGAGACGGAATGAACCTTGTGTCGTACGAGTACATCGCAACTCAGCAGAAACGCCATGGCGTTATGATCCTTTCCGAATTCACAGGCGCTGCTCAGTCGCTGAACGGCAGCCTGATAGTTAACCCTTGGAACACGGAAGAGCTAGCCAACGCGATCCACGACGCGGTTACCATGTCCCCCGAGATGCGCGAGGCTAATTATCGCAAGCTGGAGAGATATGTCTTCAAATACACTTCGGCGTGGTGGGGTCAAAGTTTTGTTAACGAGCTCACCAAAGTCAGCAGCGCCCATCGCCACGGGGTTGATAGTAAAGTCGGCCCAGACGCAAGGCCAATACTAAGCAATGAAATCGGCCGTGCATTGTCCGGAGTTTTCGAGAGCGTTAAGGCAGCTACTAGTGCGGCCGCTCCGTCTGGTAGCGCGTTGGGTTTGCTGAAATGAATGGGAATAGGTATCGTGGGTCAAGTTAGTTGACTAGAATGAACTGCTCCTCGGGATAGCGTAGGGGATTAATATTTACTCGACGAGGCTAGTAATAGCCAAGGTCACCTGAGACTACATGATTGAAGCGGGCATATTTGCTTGAGGTTGAATCGAACTCATAGATGATGATAACGACAACGACGAGAGGGGGTGACGAAGAAAAACGAAAAGTAGGCGATTGAGACAAGGTCTGGGACGGAGTTTTACGGGATTGGTAGATCATTCGGTACCTAATGGAGGCTTGGGGACCTTATTTCGTAGAAATGTGCATAGCACCATTTTTCAGAAGTTTGTACGTAGAGTCGACATGGTAATTACATGTATGTACGTAAATTTCGACCTTTATATCGTCAATATACAGTAGGATACTCTACATCTGAACTTAGCGAAGTATCCTTATTTTATGGAAGATTCGGTTCATTCTACGGGGCCCGATGTGCTCAGGATACCTACCTAGGTACCTAAGGTAAATACTCAATATGTTAGGTACCTCCTAGCCAAGTATTGAAGGTATGTACGTTGTGATGTTGTGCATCGTGGGAAAAGTGGGGCTATAAGGGGTAATAAAAAGGGGGTAAGAGAATTCTCATAATCACCGTTCTAAAGTACGACTCCGTCCTTTTTCACCTCAAGGACTCAGCATATAAGCTGTATATTTACTTTCTACTTTTCTATAGAACACTTCGAAGTTGTGTATATATTCCGAGGAATGTCTGGCTAGTATGTTACGTCAAGATCTCTCCGCTATTTCGCATGCCTGTTATTTAATAGAATGACATCGGAATGCAAAACGATAATCCCATTCGAGGACTCGGCGACCAACCTGTACGTAAGGTAATATATCTCTAAAGCACATGCTCTACTAAGGAAGAGAATATCTATGTTGATGAATGGTTGACGCGGCTTGTCCGCATTCCGATAGCTGTTTAGGTACCTGATAATGTCATATTATGATCCTTCGTGGCCTCTCATCCTTCTAGTATAGGTACATATACGCTGGTAGAAATGGCGGCCTTTCGTAACAAAAACGATTGAAACTTGCCAAAGATAATGTGTTACAGCCAGTAATTCTAAACTCTGCCGAGCTTGTTTTACTCTTTCCTACGCAACCTCGTCCTCAACGCCAACGGCACAACACTAACCGCCCCCCCATCCCCCGGCACCGTGAAAACAAACTGGTCAAGCGGCATGTCCGCGTACACAGCCGTCGTCTGGCCGACCCACGTCCCGCAATTCGTCGAGAACATATCCCCGCTCCGATCCTCCAGATCGAGGTTCTCCACCACCGCTTTGAACGCCACCTTCCGCACCCCCGGCTGCCCCCGAACCTCCGTCTCCAGCCCCGTCGGGTACAGCCGGATGGCCGGCGCCGTCACGTTGTAGTTCAGCGTGTACCGCACCGCGACCGGTATCATGTCCGTCCCGTTGCTGATCCAGCGCTCGACGCCGAGCCCCGGCCGCGACGGGTCCGTGGTCAGCACCAGGCTGCTGTTCAGCTGCTGCTGCCCCTGCCCGTCGTCGTCTGCAGTATACGTCCCCGCGAACGCGGCCGCCGCCTGCTCGCGCGCGGCGTCCTCCAGCGCGGGGACCAGGGCCGCGCCGACCGCGTCCGCCATGTCCCAGTTGGCGTTGCCGGGCCAGCCGCCGGCCAGCAGGGCCGCGACGCCGACGTCGTAGTCCGGGAGCAGGACGAGCAGCGACATGTACACGTTGATGCTGCCGGCCTTGCTGTACGCGTCGACGACGCGGCTGCCGTCGCCTAGGGGGATGCGGCGGATGCCCCACGGCGAACCGATGCCCTCGCGGATGTCGGACGTGAGCGCGGTGGGCTTGAGCCAGCGCCGCGTCTGCGCGGGCGGGATCAGCGTGTGCCGGAAGATTGCGCGGCCGAGACGCGATAGGTCGCTTACCGAGGAGTACATGTTCCCCGTTCTTCATTCTGGCGTTAGTCCCGCCTCATCGCGATGCTAAAATACTAAGAAAAAAAGAAAGGGGAATGCAGAATGTTGCTAAAAGGATGAGACAGAAAAAAGAACATTAGAACCAGGGAGAAACATACGGGCTCGCCTCGCCGATGCTAAACGCCCAGTTATCTTCGTGGCCCTGGGGAATAACGCCTAGCTTGTCGTCGGGCTTCTGGTAGAACGTGTGCTGGAGTCCAAGCTTGTCGATGACATCCGCCTGCAGCATCTCCGCGTACTGCTTCTTTGTGATGGCCTCGAGAGCGTATGCTAGTATTTGGTATCCGGCGTTCGAATACCCTGCTGTCCACGACGGCGAGAAGGACGGCGGGACGTTGCTTAGGCCGCTGAAGAACTCTGGGAGGTGTTTTGTTAGTTGGATATGTCAGACCCTGTTTCGCTTATTTCTCCATTCTCTCTGGCTTTTTAATACTTCTCTTACGTACTGATGCGCGAAGGGTTATGGGAGTTCACTTACGAGCGCGATTACATGGTATGAACTCTCCACACACGGGCGTTTCGTTCGTCGGTGCTGGCGGGAAACCCTGAGATTTCAGGACGGTTTGATTGTGTTCTTGGGTAAGTTCTCCCTCGATGGCGTCTAGCGAATGGAGTTCACAGTCTCAGCTCGGCAATCCTTTTGTATATTCATCTCCTATTTTCCTAGCATCTAACGTCCCAATCCCATAGACCGGCATGCAAACACGAAGCACCAACAACGAAAACCACTTACAATCTCTCACGATGCCCGCCATGTGGCTTGCCAGATCCTGCAGCGTAATGCTATCCCAGTCGACATTCATAATCGGATCGTATTGGGCCTTTCCCGCGAGAAGTTCGAGCTCCGGGACCCATTGCGTCACTGGCGTGTTCCAATACGTGTCACCGGCCTCGATCAGGAACGTCAGAATGGTGAAAATCTTAGTTACGCTTCCAAGCCGGTAGACAGTATTTCCGTCGATACTTTTGACTCCGGGCGTATTAGCCGCCAGCAGATCCGTCGCCGTGTGGTAATGACTCCATACTGGCACGTCTTCGTCCGGGTCAGAGGCAGAGAATACTTGAATCGACCACGATGTGCCATTGGGGTTCCTGCTCGGGTCCATGCCCCGAGCGTCGAAGGTCGCTGTTAGGTTCGCGATTGCCGTTTTAATAATATCGGAAGACGCGAGTGCTGTTGGTTTTGGGAATGCTGGGCCTGGATATGGGCAGTTGGGAATACCGTTAACCGGGGCAAACACATATACCCCGAGGAACAGTGTCGCCAGAGAAATACAAGGAAGCGAGTTCATCGCGGCGAGGTGACAGGACAAGGGAAATTTAAGGGATTGAAGTAATGAATGACAGTGGTAAGGGAAGAGATCGTCCTGGGAAGACGACGTTAGGAAAGAACGCGCACAGAATCTCGCCGCAATTATAATTTTACTGCGAACTCAGAGAAGAATCCAGATAATCAGTGCTATATTTGAACATCCTTGGCTTTAACCCTATAAGTGCGACCTTGAGATTTTTCAAAGCCTGCAACTTATCATTCACCCGAAAACGTGGTCTTAATAACGCGTCCTAAACAGGATCTCGGTCAAACCGGGTCGGCGGCGGCGCGGGATGACTCGATGGGGATAGTTACATCGAGAAGTCCAGAGGCATGTGATAAGTGCCATAATGACGATACATACCGGCGTATTGGGTCGTAGGTATTGCCTATCTCCCACCCGGAGCCAAGTGGGCAGTCCAATAAAAGGGGGAAAGAACAGTTGAGAGGCTCACCACATTTGGTACCACATCTCACAATATTGATCTCCAAAAGCAAAGGCCTCTGATGACGAGGTATCATCACGCCGCGAACCGGTCTTAGCTGCGTAGTATGATCATCAACGTCGTATAGTTGCGACGTAGTTTGCCTACGGTCTTTTGGCTGAATGCAAGTTGCCCGATCTTTTACGGTATTAGGGGAAATCCAAGGAACAGGAATGATAGTAAATCAATCACAAACACACCACAACATCCTAGTCTAAATACTACTTCGTAACTCTTTCACTCGTTACTAATTATTTGGTAGTATGGTAATCTCATTTCGGAATTTAGTAAATTGGTATTGTGTGCAGTATCGCCAAGCTGTCTCAGGAGTCTACTACATTACACGCATGGATACCTCTAATAAGCCTCTTTTATCCTTCCCCATTTCACTCATTCACACTCCATGGGATGCTACCTACATCGTGTCTTATATATCGTAAGTATGATGACACCATGCAGAAGCCTTCATATAAGTAATTCACCGAGCGAGCCTCCAAGCCAACTATCTATACTATATTATCCTAAGCACATAAACCCCACGCTCTACAATCATCTACTACCTAACCTAGGTAAGAAACATGGCAAACCATAAGTATTACCGCGTACTTCCGACCGTGAACTTGGTATCTGGGCTAACGATTGTGCCTCTTTCAACCAAACGAAGATAGGAAGAGCCAATAGGAATGATTCCTAAAGGTAGTACTACAAAAGGATATAGTCGCAGACTGACACTATCTTTATCAAAGAAAGCGAGCGAAGAGTGGCACAATTTGTTCGGACATACGAATAGATCATGCGGTGCGGCTCGTGAAATGTGAACTATTCACCCAACGAATGAGATATCAATAAAGTTCATTACTGACTACCTCCTATCTGATATGAAAATCGCCAATATCGCGCGATGAGAATCAGGTATCACCTTAAGCAAAAATGGCTTGTGCCAGGTCAACGAATGAACACCAGTCTCCATCCCCCTCCTAAACGCCATTGGGGTATGTATCGTAGGAAAAGTGCGATCCCACCCTTAACACGAGGGCAACCCAGGAATAACAAACAAATTGATTGTGAAGCCATCCATTTGACACATACGCGGGGCCTCAAATTTAGTAAGGTGAGTTTACCACGTCGTCTTTACCGAGCTTGTAACGACCACTTGCCCGCGTACCGATCCGTCCCGAACTTTGCCTCGGTGTACCTAATCGTTGGAAATCACCAGCAATACTCTCTCTCGTAGGCTTCTTGAGGTGCTGCTTGCCAACCATGTTCACCCAGTTGGGTAAAGTAACAATGACATTTTGATCGGTACCAAACTTGAAGTCATCGGCCTTAACAGTGTCTTCGTAGCGCTTGATGATGTATGGTGTCTTGGATCCACGAATGACCTTTTCAAGGTTCCAATCGACAATGTATGGGCCGGTGGCAGTGATAATTGATGTCTCGTTATTTGTCTTGCTTGTGTTGAAACGAGCAGGAGTAAATGAAACACCCTTTCCGGTTTCGTGATGAAATTGAGCGACATGCTCGGGGTTTAATGCCAGACGACGGGGTTGAGGTTTAGAATCCGCGGCAAACGACTTCTCAAAACCCAATTTGCCCTCATTCTTGCCAGACTTCTGTAGAGCATCGATGAGTAGTAGATATGTACGGCAGGTCGCAAGCACCCAACGACCGTCCGCAGACACATCAAGGCCAATAATAGGCTCACCAAGGGCCGGGATTACAGTCTTCGCATTGATGCCGAGACGATCGAAAAGTCGAATATCACCTTTGTTGGAGGCAACAGCTATATAACCCTTCTCTGTAGTAGATACTGCGGAGAAATCGTTCTTTGATGCATACTGTTTGAGTTGAGAGTCGACTAGCTTGTTTCCGGATAGACGAGGGTCAACTCGGAATAAGGCATTACGAGAGATACCGAGGAAAGTAGGCTCATGTGTCATCTGCGCGAATTTGTTTTCTGGTGCGAACGTAACAACCGGAATATCATCATGAACATTCCATTCATCGACCACCTTTCCGTACTCTAGATCCATCCGATACAATTTGTTGGGATCCGTGTCGTTCTGTAGAATCAGGTTTCGATCCTCGTTGTGCAACATGACTTTCTTAGGAACGAAAGATTTGCCTTGTGGAGTCTCAACTTTAGAGATATTGGTAGTAAATTCCAAGTGGTTTTTGGGTGTGTGCTTGAATACGCCGATTCGGGGACCTCGGACAACAAAGGAACGATCGTGCTTGTATCCAACAGCCAACGCAGAATTGGTATGAGGATCCTTGGGTTGAGTCTCAACGTCATCTTGCTCCTCATCGCTGTCATAATGCTCGCTCTGCGGCGCATCATCCTCTTCAGGTTCCTCGGCCTCAGGCTCTTCTTCTTCTTCTTCGACCGGTGCATCTTCCATGTTAAGATCCTCGAAAGCGTCCAAGACATACTGACGGTCCTGTTCTTTGACTTTAGTCCATTTGACTTCGTTCAACTGCTCCCAGAGTGCTCTCATGAGACCATCTTGGAATCTTTCAAGAGTCTTGTTGTCCTTGAATCTCAATAGCCAGGAATAGGCCGAACCATCTTCGGTAAACTGGTTGAAGATAAAGGAAAGGTATTCGAAATTGAAGACTGGGTTAATATCGGCGACGACGGGGATACCAAGCCATTGACGATCTGAACTAGCAATATGCAGCCAGTAGTTCCAGTTGCCAATGTCCGACACTTGAGCAGTGACGGACGAATCCTGGAGAACAAATGCGCCGGAAGGGAAATCGAAAAAGTGCAACTCTCCGATTTCCATTGCGAAGATCTCCAGAGGTTCGGGTTGGGATGGGGGCAGTGGGGGGCCTGCTTGCTTCGAGTTGTGCGTATCAACTTCTTCCTCTTCGTAGGGTTCCGGCTCCGCTAGTATAGAAGCTGCAGAGGGTACGCTATCCCGCTTGGTACCAACGTTCGCTTCGCTCTTTAGCTGAAACATGGCGTCGGAGGATTCGATAGACCTTGCGAGGGTTGGACTATGAATGGGACTAGCCTGAGGGATGGGCTGTTCTTCGAAAATGAACTGCTCTAGGTCGGTTGCAGAAGCTGTAGAATGAGGCTTTCGGTACTTGCGCTCGTACTGACACTGTCTTGCGATGCGCTCGAATGCCTCAACCTGGGCAGATTTAGTTGAAGGGTCGCAGACAAATTCGTAAAGATCGCCGGCGTCTCCGCTTAGGTCTTTCCAAGCAAGCACCTTCTCTGATCCTTCTCTGCCCTCAACACGGAAGTGAAGAGCCTCGTCAAGTAAAAAGGTCTTCTCGTCGCGCTCAGCAGCAAGTGCGTTAAGCTCCTCGTCTTCGCCTTCCTCGCCCGCTAACTCAGCTTCGCCCTCTTCGTAAACTCTTTGTACGACAAGTTGGTACTGGAAGTCCTGTCCAGTACGACGAATTCGAGCGGTAGCGTCCTTGAAGATCAACTCGGAGTATCCCTTAGGCGATAGCGGTCGAACTAGATAAAGTTGGCCTTGGGGCAACTCGATCATAGACTCTTGGCTGCCGGTGCCGAAAATCAACTTTCCAACTATTGTATTGTCAAATTAATGGTCTGTTTACTTATATTGTAGCTAAGAATGGGTAGCCTTGCGACAAGGAGGAACACTTACCGTTTTTGAGGACAAACATGTTGTCCGTTGAATCTCCCAAAGGATGAGCCCAACTTGATAAGAGAATCAAATGGTTCAGCAAGAGAAAGGATTCAAGCCCAATTTAATTTATTTCAATTTTTTAATTTTAACAAACGGTGGCGGGATTGGTCGCGGGCGCGATCAACGCCAGATCTTGTTTTCTTTTACGTTTTGTGAATGGTGGGGAGAAAGCAGCAGAAATGGTGCGTCATAATAAAGCAATCCCACTTTGACCTTTTGCCCAGCTGCCCAGGTAACCGCAAGGTTCTTGGCACGCTAAAACGCTAAAACGTTAAGGCAGGCATAAAAGTCAGGGTTTTAAAGTTTTGAAAGAGGAGTGTGTGGCGCGTTGTGGCCGTGCCACATGTACCCTGTATTGTACATAATGTACTTTTCAACCATTAATCAACTGATGTAGGTACACCCAAACGGGCATCTGCCTTTAGTGCATTACCTCACTTGATCGTACATATGTACAGCATGCGGATACCTGCATTTACATGTGATTGATCATTAACAGCGTCTGTGAGACACCAAGACAACATCAAGACAATAATACTATATTCCATTGTCCAGAGATAGTCCGTTTAGATCGCTTATTTTCCTTCTTGTTGTCACCGGGGTTCTCCCGTTCACGATGCAATTTTTATTTCTATTTCTACCACTCTCACTTCCGTCCCCTTTAATTGGCTCCTGAGAGTCATTGACCAAAAATGCAGCCAAGACTTCGAGACAATGTATACAGGGTTGATAATAGAGAATGGGACATATTCAAGTACGCTCGATACGTTGATAATCAAGCTTGTGGCTTGGATTCCAAGTGAGGTAGGAGTTTCATAGTAAGGTAAACCGGCCTATGAATATTGATATCAATCTCTTAATCAGCTTTTGAGAGGCAGTCTTCAAGTGTTTGTTTCTGGATTTGTAACGGCCTTTGCACACTAGGATTGTTAAAGGTACCTAGGTAGACAGTCAAGCTCGGGGTGATCACTAGTAGTACGACTAACAAAGGGTACAACATCGGTTATTGAACCGGTGTCGAGAACATAGTATCCAGTAGCACCTATTTCCTCGGTAGCTGCCTTTAGTTTTGACTCTGTTCGACTAACAACTAGTAATAACCTTTTTGCCTTTCCATGTAAAATCATCCTAGAGGGCCCTCCCAATCCCTCCACCTCCATCTGTCACAAGCGCACAATTGAAACCCAAGTTTCCGGGTGCCACGATAACCAGGAAGAGGGTAGTGAAATACCAATACCTATCTTTATCACCTTGAAAAACTATAATGTACGCTATATATATATATATATATTTAGGTAGGTAGGTATTGCCTACTTGTAATGTTCATTGGCAGATAAGTGATGTAGTCCATATCATGAATACGTCATACAATGATACATCATTTAAGCTTAACTACCTCCTACCTGATGCAGTCCAAAGTATCTAAATTTGATGAAGCAAGCTACAATAACTAGGTACCTAGATAAATAATTAAAACCATAACGAGGGACTTCATATTATCGATTTCATACTTCTAGGTAGGTATATATATAATACCAGCTCTCTTGTTTGTATCGCCCACTTTATTACGCATTATGTTTTGTGTCAAATGTTTGCCTGAATTTTAGTATAAGGGTGACATAAATCCATTTTCGGTATTCAATATTTTGGTTGGCAAAATGTCCCGAGGAATATATCATTATTATCAGCAGGAAGTATATCCCAGCATAAGTTGTCTTTACCTTTAGAAGTACCGATACGGTATATATTTTATCAAGAATGTCATATATATCACTTTATTCGAGCTTTTAATATCCATTTGGTAAGTTTGATAATCTAAGGCTATCTATCTAATTCCGAACTATGAAATATCGAACCGTGTGGTTGCGCCTGTAAGATGCCCATCTAGCACCGAAAAAAATCCAACCCGAATATCAAATTGCAGAAAGGATAATACGATGTACAGAGAAAATAATTATAGACGTTGGCGCGTGATATGGTACAGTAATGATACAAACTCTATGCCTCTTTTGATCCAACAAAGGAAAAGCTGGCCTTGCAGCTGACGATTGCATCGCGTGGTAGTCGAAAATCACATTGGAATTTTCCCCAATCCTTAATCTTTCTTCCCCTGTTCTAGTTGAACCTCGATCTTACCATCCCAGCGGGTTGAAACACGGTACTTCCCGCCGAGCACTAGGTCTTTTGCGACTAATTCCCTTGTGCGGCCCAAACTCTCAATAGCAGCAATCCGGTCAAGAGTATCTTGGAGGAATTCTCGGAACCCGGGCTCGGAACATATCTCCCTGAATGCGCGCTGCATGGGTACGGAGCTAGCGCGTACGTGAGCTTCGCTGTCTATGGTAAAAAGATTTAATCGGTCAAGTTCCCGGATGAAATCCGCCCGAGTCATGATTTCTTGCGCCTTGTGCATCGGAAAATGCGGGAGAATATGCCCTGTCTCCGGGTCGTAGGTTTTTTCCATCTCGCCTTCTTTGTCAACAAGGGCTAATGCGAGTACCATGGAAGCTGACTGTAGTTGGAGGTTAGTGAAACTTTACAATACTAGGACATTTGACGTTTTTACAAGTCAACTTGGAGGGTGGTCAAGTGTGTAGGCATGTCACGCGGTTACCACGCTCATCGTCTTATATTTCTGTCGCACACTCCGGTCGGGGTATACGTTGTTCAATTGCCAATCCAAGGGAAAACTCACCGAGAACTTTTGCTGGTCCATTACATCATCGTCCATCTCCGATCCAAGTATGGCGCAAGAATTCAAAAACCACGTCTTCTCAATCTCTTTAATGCTATCGCATGTAGCAAGCATATCCTGCGACTTAGCTACTCGGTTCAGAAAGGAGAGCCGACCGCCAACTCTATCGTAGACCTCTTCGAGGATAGACGTATGTACGTCTTCCGCGAAGTAACGGTGTCTATATCTCTGTAGTGCCATTATCGCCTGGGGTTTCGGAAGATCGTTAATTGGCATAACAACCATTCGCTCTGTGGCACGCCGCTTTAATCGCTCATAGATCCAATAATCATCAGTCGCGAAGACGACCGAAACGAGATTTGAAGCACACCACGCTTCTGCTCGGTGCTGAAGTAGCTCTAATAAATCTTTGCCTTCGTCGTCGTCTCGGATTAAATGAATCTGGTTAATGATGAGAAGCAGGGGCTTCTTCTTCTTCGCCCGGTTTATGAGTGCCACTTTCTCCAATTTATTCATCGCCCTCTCTATGTCGAGGAGCGCCGTGGATTCTCTGGGTCCGCGCTCGCTGAAATAACCTCCGATATAATCTTCATGATATTCGTAGTCAATTGCCTTGCCTAGCCTTATGCGGAATACTTCGACGCTGTTAGATGCTTCAAGCATGGCACATCCGTCTCCATCCACTTTTCTCATTGCTTCGATCAGCATGCTGCTTTTCCCGCATCCTTTATCACCCATTAGGAGGTAATAATGGCCCGTCTCCTTCCCCGCGATAATATTGTCTATCCTGGCTTGCTCCTCTCGGACAACCCAATTGGGTGGTACTGGTACATTTTTACCAGCCAATGCTAGAATTGGCTCGGCTCCTGGCTCGAACGCGTGTTGAATCTTCTGAAGTTGCAACCACTTGTACGACTGATGATAGGCGTAACCAGCGCCGGCGAAGCCAAGACCCAAAACTACAACCGAAGCAAGAGTAGTGGCAGCGGTCTCTCCCATTTTAGAGAATAAGGACTGTCTCGCCTCTGGTTCCGGGCCAATCTGGTACCTCATCCTCATTGTTGTGGAGAACAATCGCTGTGGGGGCCAAACCAAGCCAGCGCGTGTCGACGTAGCATTGAGGCGCTTACGTGCTGACCCTCTAAAAGGGGTAATCCGGCTCGCTAGTCGCGGCAACATCTTGAACAGAAAATGTTGGTCATGAAGAAAATGATAAAACGAGCGAACTGTAAAACTTTTTAGTTGACCCCGAGAATTGAGAAGTGGAACATGACAAGACTACGGGAAGAAGTCGCCAAGGAGAGTCCGGGAGATTGCGTTCTCCTTCCTTGTAACGAGCCACACTTATCGGAGGCCTTTTAATTGAATTGATATTTCTCGGGAGTGGCGCAGTCGTATCCAACCAGCCGGGATCTACCCCCTTATTATTTTTCTTTTTATGACGCCGTCTGAGCGGTCCGTCGTTGTAATACCTCTCTAATTTAATATATATACCTAATATATATAAATTACCAAAAGTAGTTACTCACGTACCAAAGTATTCCTGATCCTTTAATCCTCTTACTTAGGTAAAGTACCGAGTCTTCGTGAACATCATCACTTGAATATGGATGAAGAACGGTAAATTTTACATATGAAAGATTTTTAAAAAGTCGAGACGAACAAAGGAAGCCCCTCTTTTTTTGTTCAATATCAAGGGAGTCATTCAGAAAACCTAAGTACCTACACTGATACAACAGTGATCTTGGAGATTTAAACTCGAGGAATAATTCAAGAATATGTTTATAGAAGTATCTAAAACAATATGGATGATTTTATTATAACATTGTTGATCTAGTATCAGGTATCAGGTATCAGGTATCAAACAGGTAATCACAACAAGAAATAAATGGCGATTGGTCCTTCGTTCTGAAAATACAATTATTGAATATTTTTGTTCTCAGCTTTTATTCAGTGAATCATTTGCCTGTGCCTGTTATCATTGGTCCATACCTAACTTCCTAAGGTGCCGGCAAGTGCAAGCGTGCAAGCATGTAAGTGTGCAAGTTTGCGTGCCTGCCATTTCAGATTCGTTCACCCCTCGCCGACTTGGTTGTGCATAGTATCGCCTTTTCTCCCACACTTTTTTTTTTCTTTTTTCATTCAATAACTTTTTTGCCTTGCACACAAATTTATTTTGGGTGAATTTCTAGGCATTCAATTTCTAGCAGATTTTTGTGCAAGTCAGACGCACCTTATTCCCAATCTCGTAACGATTCTTGCCAGTTCGTTTTGACCACCACACATTTACAAAAACGTACCTGGATAGATTGCTACCTATCGTTTTGATCGTTGCCTTTTAGTAAGTCTACAATCTAGAATTGTCAATTATTCTATCCTATCTCCGTCTGGAATATTACCAAAAAAAGCAGTTCCGTCGCCGTTATTCAAAAATACTAACATCCTGCTTAAGGTAGAACTTCACTTTATAGTCGTATCGCGTCGCAACAGCAATTATGTCTGAAAGACGTCATAGATACGTTTTATATCCCCAACCCGACAGGGTCCCGACACAGGCGTCAAGTATCCCAACTCCTGTGCCATCAGGGTGTCGGCGCGATGCCCGGAACCAGGGCAATCCGCCCATGACTTCACGGGGAGAATTCACAAGGGAGGTGAGAGGCAATCCTGCTAACATCTCGCCACGAAGAAGGTCAGTCGAAAGCTTTATTGACGCCTACATGTCCCCGGAGAGTGCCTCAATTCTAAAGACATGCCTCTTTAGTGAACATGTCCCGGCTCTTCACACTCAGCCAGAAGAGGATCCAAAAGAGACTTCCCAACTTCTTTCTCTTCAAGACCCGTCACCGTCACAGAAGTTGTCCTCTACAACAACTTCAAAGATTCCAACATCCCGAAATGTGACGGTCTCAGTGACAAATCAATCGGCCTTTGATGGAGATGTGGAAAGCCTAGCGGACGACTCACCAGAGCCTTCAAAGCGTAATGTTAGCCCCTCAAATACTACCAGAGTCTTAAGAACAGGGGCAAGGAAACAGGAATCTGTCAGACATAATGACACGGGTCATGAAGGTATGTCATATTATTCACACTTCATTAACACTCACTATGCAGCAACCCCTTTATCCATATATTCCAATCAATGAATCCCAGCTAACATTTATTGTGAAATTTTAGATGTACAAGGAGAACATGTAAATAGACCAAGTGAAGGACGTGTTGGGAATAGAGCTGCAGGACCTGTTAGCCCTATTAGCCCTGCGGTTAGAGATCATGCTGCTGAGATACGGGCCATTGTCAGTCCTGGGTATCTTGGCGCCCCGGTACCTGACGATGACGTTAGCATTAACCCTCCTGATCGTAGACGCTTTGGACGTTACGGAAGGTTTGATTCTACAAATCTTAGTGACTACCGGCGACGCCCCGATATGCCTCATGCCACTCCTAGCTCTCATACTGCTGGTAGCTCTCATATTGCTGGGGCCTCTCATGTTGCTGGTGGTGGCTCTCAGGTCGCCGGTAGCCCCTATTCCGGCAACATCATCACCACCACCAACCAGATGAACGTCACGATCAACGAGAATTCCCACAATTCTCGTTCTACTGGGGATTCCCAACAAAAAGCTATGGCGGGTCCTACCCAGGCAGCTCCACGTTTTCAAACTAGACTTCAAAAAGAGCCACCTTTCCCACCTCCCAACTTCCCACCTCCACCTCCTCCTTCCAGACATCATTCCAGCACACAAAATCTCAAGGGAATCAAAAATCGCCACGCAAAAGCTACATTAACTTCCAGCAGGACCACTGAGGACTTACTTGCATTAGCAGAAGAACTAGCAGCGAAGTGCGCTCTTCATTCCCAACAGGAAACATCGTCGGCTGGTGTGATGCCTGCGGGGGAATCGGTACCTGAACCACGATTGGCGGCAAGCACGGTGCGATTCCCTTCATTCGGAGATAGTAGCTCGGTTTACGACTCGTCTTCTGTTTACTCTCTAAGTTCGCACGAGGAAGCTGAACTGCTAGGTCTTATCCAGAACAACGACGACGGTCCTCATTTGCCTCAAGTGACGGCGCAGACCATGGACAATCATCTCCAGAAAGAAGGCTCCTTCTCGGGACAGTCCGATGAAATGGACGCCTGCAGCTCTTCTGGCTACAATGGTACGTTATCTAATCTTTTTTTTTTTTTCTTTTTTCCTTTTTGGAGGGTTATCGGATGAACAATCTGACAGTAAATAGATCGTAGCCTAGAGCACCAGTCCTCGGAGGGCCCGTCTACCAAGCAATCGCTCCCCGAGCACCCGCCCTCAGAGCACTCGCACAAGGGACAAGGCGGCGATAAAAAGGGTAAATCGGTTCAAACTGCTTCGCAGCTTTTTTCTGGTAAGTAATAAATTGTCTCCGCACCCCCAAAAAACCATTTTGTTTCGCAAGCTTATGCAATCGACCTGCAGAATCTCCTCTTGCCCATCGCGGAACAATCGTGGATCGATTTACTATCCGCCACACTCATAGTAAGGCTACGATATATTTTTTATGCACACTCTTGAGGTTTTTCGCTAACTTTTAAAACTTATAGCCACGCCCCAAAGCGTGATGGACGCGACTTCGGAGCTCAAGCGTATGGTTGAAGGCTATTCATCGGATACCCAGCCTAATACCCCTCTGATTGACCGCTTCCAGAGAACCCGTCATCGCCAGGTACAGCTGCAGGTCGATTCTGAGGACTCGGATCCCGAAGACCTTCCCAAGGCTCCGGTGATCAACCGTCCCCAGTCTCGCCGAGTTCGTCGTGGCAATGAACAGATCCACCCGTCCTCGATTGTTGCCGCAAGCACGCCTACTCGTGCTCTGACCAACGAGAATATCCGAGCCCTCATCCGTGAGGAGATGGCCCGATTCCAGAATGACGACTACACCGGACGAGTTAGTCGGCCCGCTGCTTTGGCTGCAATGCAGCATAGCCTATATCAGCAGCCCCTACGAACCGAGGCCGGATTACGAACTTTTATCCGACACCAGGTTGTTTTACGTGCTCCTGGAATTTCTGCGTTTTAGAGCACCGCGGAACTCCATGCGCACAATACTACGGCTGAGGATCGAATCTTCGATGAGCTTATGCACGCCATCGATGTCCAACAAAACACTAGCCAACAGGCAGGCATGCTGCAGGATGACCCCTTCTATCACGCTCCGAACCAGGGTCTCTTCTATTCGGCCCCAAGCCCTCCTCATGCTGTGGTTCAAGGGCATGCGCAGGGATATGCGCAGGGACATGCACAGGGACAGTTACAGTGGCAGGTGCAGCACCAGCACCAGCACCAGCACCAGCACCAGCACCAGCACCAGCCCGCACCCATGCCCGCGCCCATGCCCGCGCCCGAGCCAGAGGTCGCCCCCCTGTTTCCGGCTCCTTTGCCAACCCCTCCGGAGCCCACGCCCCGCGTGTCCTCCGCTCTTAGCTCGACGGGAAGCCGTCCATCTCGCGCCGGCTCACACCCCGCCAGCAGCAACGTCTCCGCAAATCCCATGTGGATCAACACCACTGGGGACGAGCACGTGGTGGTGCGACCCGCTCCGGGCCCGTTCCTCTACTCGCCCGTAGACCCGGAGGAGCAGAAGCGCCGGGACGAGGAGAGGCGCGTCCAGCGCCAGCAGCGCGAGAAGGAGCGCGCGCAGAAGAAGGAACAGAAGGCCAAGAGCAAGGCCGGCCAGAGAGCGGAGAAGCAGGTCCGCAAGTCGAGCTCCCAGCAGTCCGACTCGACCAGCTCGGCCGCCGCCACCCTCCGACCCGCGGCCAGCTTCTCGGGCTCTCTGCGCCGCGCCTTCCAGGCGCTGAAGAAGTCCTCGACTGCCGCCCCTACCCTCCCCACGGCGGACGAAGGCGAGGGCGATGAGGAGGAAGAGGAGGAGAAGCGTCGTCACTAAAGGTGGCGATGGCGATAGGGAGAAGGGGGGATAGGGGCCCAGGAGTAGAGTAAATCCTCCTGAGGCGATGGATAAATGAAGGATAATAAGAAGGGATGATACCGTTTGTTTTCTTGCGAAAAAAAAGAGTTAAAAAAAAAAAGAATCGGGGACCGTCATGTAACTAATCGCCAAGGATTCCGCGCTGGTAAAAGTCGGCAGCATAGAGTAATCCCTTTGCCTTTTCCGTTGTTTTTAAGTAATGGACGCTCGCATCGATGATTTACAGCTTTGCGCTCTTCGCTATGCCAGATTCCAGATAGGTGCAGGTGCCTTTATTAATTGATTTCCGCGTGCTTTCTCTAGAAAGAAGTTTATCCTATTCAGACAGTTCTGATCGTAAGTAAGCTATGGAACCGTAAATAGCTTCAGGGGTATTTATGTGACTGTCTGTGGCATCGACAAGACCCATGAATGGTAGGGCTAGTATAACCATAAAAGCCCATCATTATAAGGTTATACTCTAATACGTATAAATAATTGATGCAGATACGCTCGAACTGTTCCTCTAACCTAGAGTTGTGTAGGGTTCCATTTATTCTAATTACCTATGTGAACTGGGACAGCCGTCGATTAGGTTGCGTATAAAGCCGGGAAGCTTCAGCATTGGGCTAAGACATAATGTTATACGGATAGCTTCCGAAACGTTGCCTGCCTATAACCTATACTACTTAGCTCGCAACTACCTAATGATAAGGAGGAAAACAACGGGAAAATTGAAATACCTAAGTCATAGCTAATATACCCGTAATGGTGTTGTTATCTTGGTGGGGTGTCGCGAGCTTAACCACCCCTTGCAAGTCATACTGGAACCTTCCCCGATTGGTCAGGTCTTGTCCAAGATCGTGGGGTTATTGGAGGTTCCCGAATGATCAACACCAGCCTCCTTTATACTTAAACTCCCCTTCTCTTCTTCTTTCCCTACTCTTTCATCCGTTATACGGTAAATCGCATCGGACGAAATGGAGTACGAGAAGGGAGGGCTTCCTCCGTATAGTGCCGTGGCCAGACCAGATTGGCGCAGGCGCAAGTCTGTACGGCGTTCTCGGGCTATTAAGCTCTTCGCTTTAACCTGTCTCGCATTCATCGTTTATGCGCAATGGAGGCAGATAGACGGTCACCCAAAGGGTCGTTTAGTATCCCAACTATCGATAGAAAAGCTGAGCGAAGACTTGAAAACTTGCGCTAAGCTGCGCTCTAAGCCACAGGATCCCGTGGGCCTGGGCCGTGAGCGAAACGCGCGTTATATTGATGGGCATAAACCTACTTTGATCAAGAATGCGACCATTTGGGTTGGGGAGCCCGCCGACGGAACTACTGATGAGGATGCTCGCGCTGGAAAGGGATTTTCGTGGATTAATGCCGACCTTCTATTGGAATATGGTCTTATCAAGGAAGTCCGGAAAGATATTGATGCTAGTTCGCTCCCGCCGGATACTTTGGTATGGGACGCTAAAGGTCGTCAACTCACGAGTGGTATTATCGACATGCACAGCCACGCCGGCGTCGATAGTCTACCGGAGTTAGTTGGAAACGATGATACAAATGAGATGGGCTCCAATATAACCCCATACATCCGTTCTATTGATGGTATCAATATCTTCGATCATCACATCCAGGTCATTAAGTCTGGAGGAGTAACGACAAGCTTAATATTGCCTGGCTCTAGCAACAACATCGGCGGCGAAGCCTTCGTTATCAAGCACGCAGTTGGCAAGCCTGACGGTCGCAATGAGACCTCGATAAATGACTTATTGGCCGACCCTGATCGTTCTTGGAGATACATCAAGATGGCGTGCGGCGAGAATTCTAAGCGAACGTACGGTAAAGTTGGCGAACACGGTCCTACTAGTCGGCTTGGTGAGTCTTGGGAATTCCGACACGCTTTCGAGCAGGCTGCAAAGCAGGTCCAAGCTCAAAATGACTGGTGTACTTTGGCCGAGTCTGTCGGTATTGAACAGATGGACAATTATCTACCGCAAGATTTGGAGTGGGAGACATTAGCTGCTGTGCTTCGTGGACAAGTTCATGTCAATACCCATTGCTACACTGTCCCAGATCTAGAAGCATTTGTGGACCATACCAACGAGTTCAAGTTCCCAGTTCGCGCATTTCACCATGCTCACCAGACATTCCTTGTTCCGGAGATTTTAAAACGTGCATACGGCGACACGCCGCCTGCATCAGCCCTGTTTGCCGATAACATGTGGTACAAGGCCGAATCCTACATTGGGTCCGAATATGCTGGTAAAGTCCTGTATGACAACGGACTAACCCCGATTTACGTGAGCGACAACCCAGTTCTGAATGCACAACATGTTGTCTTCGAGGCTGCGAAGGCATTCGGATATGGACTGCCTTATCATGCTGCATTAGCTTCGGTCACGACAGCGCCGGCTGAGCGACTGGGTCTTGGACAGCGAATAGGCAAAGTTAAGCCCGGGTTCGATGCTGATATTGTTGTATGGGACAGTGACCCATTGAGTGTTGGAGCTGCACCGGTTCAAGTTTGGATAGACGGAACAGCACAATTTGACAATCCTGTCGAGTTGAAAAAGCCATTTGCTACCCCTCGTAACTCCGAGCTGGAAGTTCCTATCGCTACAGAAGAATCAGTTATTGCAGGCGATGTAATATTTACGGGAATCTCCAAATCATTTTTGCCGTCTCCACGGAGTAACTCCAACAGCAATAATTTGTCAGTCGTAATATCACAGGGCAAGATTGGATGTATTGGAGACTGCGTAGCTGAGCTCGAGTCGGCTTCAAAATCGGGAGTTAGAATCATCAATCTCAAAAACGGTCATCTAACAAAGCCGTTCACGGTATTCGGTTCTCTGCTAGGACTGAACGGTATTGACGCCGAATCGGATACTGATAATGGAGGCAGTCCAGAGATCTTCAGCCGAGGCATCGATGGGCTCGCGTTTGGAACTAAGAAATTATATTACGCGCATAAATACGGTGTAACCAGAGCCATCTCGGCACCCAAATACTCGGGACAAGCTACCCACCAGGGCACCAGCGTGGGTTTCCGCACTGTTGCTAAGCACGCCCTCGATGAGGATGCCATATTTGCCGATGACGTAGCGGTGCATTATACGTTGGATCTAACCGCAAAGCGTGGCAGCATCTCAATCTCGAATGCTGTCAATGCATTACGCCACAAGCTTCTCGAAGCTATTGGTGCAAATTCGACCACTACAGACCCTTATACCGAAGCATCCTTTTTGAGTAAAGTCGTTGACGGTTCTCTGCCATTAGCCATTACGGTTCATAGTGCTGATGTTATCGCTACACTATTAAAGGTAAAACGGTCTGTGGATAATGCTATTGCTTCATCTCGAGGTAGTGGTAGCATTTCTCTTGTCATCATTGGCGGTGCCGAGTCTTTCCTGCTAGCGGATGAGTTGGCAGCAGCCAATGTCGGTGTTGTCCTCAGTCCTCTGCTCTCATACCGTACCACTTGGGATCAGAGGCGAGCATTAACTGGTGCGCCTCTAACAAATGGTACTGCGGTCGACAAGCTTGTCGAGGCCGGAGTTCGCGTAGCTATTAGCATCAATGAGGACTGGCTAGTGCGTGATGTAGGTTTACTCGCTGGTATTGCATATAGAAATAGTCAGGGGGGGCTCAGTGAGGAAGAAGCGCTGGATCTGGTCTCGGATAATGTGTATGAGCTGCTGGGACTGAAGGGGAGCGATGATTCTAGGGAGTTTGTTGTGTTCGAGGGCAGTCCTCTGGAGATTGGGGTTCGGGTTCGAGCAGTGGGAGGTGGTGTAGGAAATGAGGTTACGTTGTTTATGTAGTATAGCGTGGTGTAACTATATTGATTTGTCATGTTTCTTTCTATTGCTAATTTCTCCCCGAGTCTTGAGACTACGTTTTCATCTGTTCCTAGTTCTGTTAAAGGTTAAGTTAAGTAAGTACAGAATAGACTTGAGACAAGTTTCACATGTAAACAAGGCGTAAGGTTTGATATCTTATCTAATCTATAGACTTTATGGTACTAACTAGGTCGTGCCTACCTGCATATGGTAAGGTAAACACATTCCTGCTGAAGTGTACCTACCCAACAAAGCTGCACAAAAATAGGTCGTACAGGGCAGTTGCCAGTACCTAAGGTACCTAAGGTACCTATGTACGAAGTACGTAGTACCTGAGGTAGACTAGGGAGACCCCGCAAAAAACGAAAGCGCACAGAGAGAACGGCGCATAGACCACAAAGAACCCCTGTAAGTTTTCACCGCAAGTGGGTAATCACCTTCTTTCCTTTTTTTTTTTTTTTCTTCACCTTGACGCGACCGAATGTCACACATCACCAATTTTGTAACGCGTACCCCAATTAATCTCGCATTTGCTCTTTAGGCAGACCTTCTCCCTTTCTTTGCCTCGCCGTCGTATTTGAAGAGGGGAATTACCCACTTCTCTTGGCGCCTGTGAATACCGCGGTTTGTGTCTTTTTGCAATGAAGTCACATTTTATCTAAGGACGGTTTTGCAGCAATTCGACGCTTTGACGCTTTGACACTTCGACACTTCGCACGTTTATTGCATTTGGTGGTGCCGTGCAGCACCGCGCTCTCCTTCTACATCTCAATACGCCCGTTTGCCTCTTTTGTCCGAGATTATAGCGTCGCCGAAAAAGAGTCTACACTTTTGTTTTCCTTTCATATCATATCGATAATTACCTAAATATATTCTACTTGGTACCTCGCATAGCCTTTCACCAATGGAAAAATGTACTAAATCATGGGAAATCAACTGAGTACTGAAGCCAAAACTGAATTTGACGGTGCAGAAGCAGAACGAGAACGAGAACGAGATACAGATTCGTCGCCCTCTAATCTTTCTCACCCGCCGTTCGCTCCTCAATCCCCGGAAATTGTCTTCTCTAGTCAAGTTGCCCCATCCGGAAACCGCCTACCGCCTAGCCCGACTCACCAACGAAATAATACTCAATCAGACATAGCCATGTCTAGCTCACCTGCCGCCACGTCGTCAAGGCCAGGTGCCAGGGTCGAAATACCTGAATCTCCAGAGTATAAACAACAGACGTCAACACCAGTCCCTGGAGCAAACAAGTCTAGAAAGCGAAGACGTTTAAACCGTCCCAATCTGATATCACTGTCTAGTTTGGTCGATTCCGATGATGGAGAGGATAATGGGGCCGGTGTCAACGGTTCCTCGCCAGCTTCCGAGGGATTTTCCCTCAGTGTACGCAAGAAGCGTAAGATGAAGAATGAGATGCGCCGGCAGAAAGTATCGTTGCAAGCTTCTCCTGATTTAGGCAATCTCGAAATCCCAACCGATCCTATAGAGTCTGTCGAAGCCGACGAAATCCAAGAGACTCAGCAAGAATCTGCGCTTAATTTGCGCCCTATCGATACTGCGACTGTCGAGTCCACGCCGTCGAGCACCTCACTACCCAAGAAAAGAAAGACACGGGGTTCAGCTAGCAAGGAAACAAAGAAACAAAAGCGCACCAGTAATGGAAATGCCGGAGTAGATTCGACAACTTCATTCAGCGGTCTTGCAGAGAGTCTCTATGCTGGCCGCAGAAAGAATAAGAAGGCCCTTGAAGTCATTGAGGATGACTCTGTAGATACCAGTACCTCGGAAACGTCGGAACATCCCAGGCAAAAATACATGGCACATATTTCTTCCGTCCCTGGTTTAAATATGAATGGCACCGATCTAAACTCAGGGCGAGCGGCGCAACTTCGTGAAAAATCCGACGAGGCGGAGATGGAACAATCTGAAAAGAGTTCCTCTAGTGCTAATCTACCACCAAACAGTACCCAACAAGACAACCAGAATCAAGTTGTTGTTCATCAGAGTGGAAGAGGTGAAGATTCAGAATCTTACGGAGCGAGCGATGATAGAGAACAACAAGGAAGCAACAATGCTAGCAATTCAATTCCCCAAACTGTGGCCAAAGTCGATACTATTAAGGGTAAACACCAACCAGATGCTGATAGGCCACTTCGACCTAAGCAAGGCTCAGCGCGAAAACGCGTGGTTAAACCGACATTCTTTGAACGTGAGGCGGACGGCCATACTAATGGTTTGGCCAGACCTTCTTCCTCTTCTACCACAGGCAAGAAACAAGCAAAACTTTCTTCTATGCTCCAAGGACACGACGCTGATAGTCCCACACCGAATAAAACGCCGTCCAAACATCGCACTCCTCAAAAGACGAGGCAGGCTCATGAATTGGTTACTGGCCAGTTCAGCGAATTCGAGCTTCGTAATATTACACAGGCGGTTGAGCGTTGGAGAGATGATCATAACTTGACCCAGTCCGAAGTGAACGACCTCATCCAAGGCAACCCCCGGGAAGTCAAATCTCAAGAGTTTTGGGGTCGTATTGTTGCAACTTGTCCGAATCGCCGGCGCCAGAAAGTCATAAATCAGTGCCGTCGAAAGTTCCACAACTTCGTTGCCCGTGGTTCATGGACCCCTGAGCAGCATGACGAATTGAAGCAGATGTGGGAGATACACGGAAGTAAATATGCTGTAATAGGGAAGCTTATCAATCGACACCCCGAAGATGTACGAGATCGCATACGGAACTACGTCGTGTGCGGCGAGAATCGTCGAGTTGACCCATGGACTTATGAGGAAGAGGAGAAACTTCGCTCAATAATAATCGAGGCCGTCAAAACAATTCAGGAGCGTCGTCAAGAGGGGCATATAGTATCGGATGAGTCTGATGAGGACTTAATTGACTGGCAAAGGGTTAGCGAATTGATGAATCGAACACGGAGCCGACTCCAGTGTATACAGAAATGGAAGCTTATGCAGAAGCAAGTGCAAGACGGTGTCGCAGGAATAGATGGTGGCGAGGCCCTTCCCGTCCCCCAAATCATCGAGAAGGCTCGTGGTGAAGCAGCTGCAATGTCCAGCCAAGATCGGTATAATATTGTCAAGGCTATCCGAGCTTTTGATATCAACGCGGACAGCCGGATTCCATGGACCAAGGTTAGGACGAAACAGCTGCGTAATCGTTGGTCGCGCCCTACAATTATCTTGGTCTGGTATCGCTTAAAGCACACCGTTCCTGACCATGCTATCATGACCGTACCGGAGATTATCAAGCAGCTTAGTATAAAATACCACGAGACCAAAGAGCTCAGCTTCCCGAGTGACGAAGACTACGATCAGGATGCCGAGTACAGCGAAATCGAGCGCAAGGTCAACAAGATTCTAACGAATGCCCAACGTACACCAAAAACCCCAAACACAGTTGTTAAAACCGACGACGAGGATGAGGATGAGGATGAGGATGAGGATGAGGATGAGGATGCGGATGAGGGCGAGAATGAGGGCGAGGATGAGAGCGAGGATGATGACGAAATTGCGGAAAAGGATAAGGGCAGTAGTGCAAGTGAGGAGAGCCGCCAAGACGATGCACAAAGCGATGAAGAGATTCAGCAGAATGAGACGGAACAGGATGATACGGAGGATCAGAGCAGCAAAGTTAACAAAGCTGGAGGCCAACGCGCAGCGGACAGTGACGATGAGAATGGCTCTACTGACAAGTCGGGAGATGAAGGGCTTCCGAACCAAATTGAGACGGGTCACAAATCTAATGATGACACCGGCCTGAAAGGCAATGTGGAAGAAGACGAAAACTCCGATCGCGAATCCCCAATCGATACTCCCTTTCTCTCGAAGGCCAGATCACAGAGGTCTTCCAAGAGCCGGAAGCGTTATAGCTCATCGAGCAAAACTGCGACTTCTCGAACTCCAGTTCCCAGCAAACGTAGAGTTGCCAAGAGCGCGGACAAAGCCAGCGTTAAGAAATCTGGCCCAGTTGAAGAAGAGTTGAGTAGTGATACAAACGCGAGCGAAGTGGAAAGTATTCCAGCACGTTTGTAGTGTTGACTACGAATATATCACGAATCCTGTTGCTTCCTATGATCTCGGAAGGACCTAGTTTGGTCAAGTTATCATTGGTATTCCATTCTATGAACGCCGGATTATTTCGTGATTATTTCTGGACCCAGCACTTCCCCGATTCGAAATCTTCGGCCATCGTTACGACAATATGGCAAAGCCCAAATCCTTATGTCAGCAAGCAATGAATAATGCATTGCATTTATAATTCCTTGTTCTAGTTATTGCTCGAGCTTATCATGATCGCAATACAGAATAGGCAGATTCTCGATTTAGGGTCGGGTGTTCTTTGACGTCGTTACAGACGGTATTCGGCTCATTGTTCTAGTGAAATTAAGCAATCCAATTATTTGCGAGTTCTGCATGCTGGAGAAGATAATCACTAGGACGAAGAGCGCGAGAATAATGGATGGCCACAATACCCATTTATTGTATGTTTATGTATGTATATACCTACCTAGGTCTTAGTAACGCCAGACGAGCTTGCAGGTGGACGAGACATCGGACTCGGACTTTTACGAGGAAGCCTATTCTACAGCCACAGGCTAAAACACGAATACGATCGCCCCACGTGGCTTCTTGTACATATGAAGTAATACAATTCTCTTGCGAATTGACAGGGAAACAAAAAGTCCCGGGGTACCTAACAACCTCTTTTCGCTACGGGTTAAGATATTACATCACATAGTTAGGCCGGGTGCGGCGGATGTGACAATAAATACCGATCGGTCCTCTAAGATACAGCCCCTTGGTTACTAGGTATATTTAGCAGCCGCTAGATTATGATTTCCCGTAACTATTGCAGTATTAAAGAAAGGGGCCTTCCGAAAAGAGGTGGCTTCCGAAAAGAGGCGGCTTTCGAAAAGAAGCGGCTTTTGAAGGGAAGTGCGGATGTCCTAACCCACACTCCCTGGGATGTAACTAAGAAAACATTTCTTCAGCGACGATACACCCAATCAAAACGCTTCAAGGCTTAAAGTGTTGCACACCGACAAACAGGTAGACGAGACGAGACGAGACGAGATGAGACATGCTGATTTGCAATGAATATAACCACAAGGGCGTAGATAATCCACGAAATTTAGTCAATTATATTATTGACATATAGGTAGAGTCGGCTTTACTTTTCTTCAATTTAACGGACTGATAATTGTGCCGGTTGATAATCGCCACCTAAACCTTGGGTGCCCTGACTCTATCTAATTAATAATCATACCTCCTAAAAGGCTCACGAGATTCATTCTCTGCCCCGCAATGTCCATACGAAGGTGATAATAACTAACGGGATTAGGTTTGAAACCCGTCGGAGAAGGGTTATACATGGTAGGTATTTCAGGCAAGGAAAACACAGAACTAATGCTGAACGATGGAGTTGGAGTAAAGGAGTAAAGGCGCTATATCCACTCGCATCCTAATAACAGGTTCTTACACCCTTAACATTCAACGTATGTACTTAGACTTACCTATATAATCGTTCTAGTAGCCCACAGGTTGCCTTAGGTACCTCATTTACATCGCCTACATCACCTACGATAACTCCAGCCATCACTTCAACATCTCGAGATTTTATTCTTTACAAGTCCCTTTACACAATGGCTCGCAAAAATCACACGTTTTACTTCGCTGAACGACCCGTGGGCGAAATTGTCCCGGGACGAACTTTTAACTATGTAGAGGCCGATGCGCCTACCGCCGAGGAGCTTAAAGATGGCCAAGTCCTCGTGGAAACTCTCTACTTGTCCCTAGATCCTGCTATGCGCGGCTGGCTACAGGGTTAGTTATACATTCTCCATATCATGCTTTTCAAATATTTTATATCGAATCTGACAGAAACGATTGGGCTCACATTCTCTAGAATTCCGGTCTTACATGCCACCAGTTGCCATTGGGGATAGGATGCGGGGAGATATCGTTGGCAGAGTCCTCGCAAGCAAAAGCTCTAAGGCGAAAGAAGGCGACTTGGTCTATAGCTTCGCCGGATGGACCGAGATGCTCATTCTTGATGAATCAAACATCAACGTCCTCAAATTACCACCTGGCGCGAAGCCTACCCATGCCCTAGGAGTACTTGGTACGTTAACTTTCGTCACTGCATTACGTACCTAGGCACGAATGTAACGGCTAACGCATCGCACACAAAATAGGCTTGACTGGATTGACAGCCTATTTTGGCCTTTCCAAAATCGGCCAACCGAAGCCTGGCGACACTGTTGTCGTCTCAGGGGCTGCGGGTGCGGTGGGATCCGTCGCCGGACAACTAGCCAGAATCATGGGCGCTAAGCACATCGTCGGCATCGCGGGTTCGGAAGAGAAGTGCAAGCTCTTAACGGAGGAGCTCGGCTTCGATGCCGCTATCAACTACAAGTCGCCGACCTTCCGTGAGGATTTCTCCAAAGCTGTACCTGATTATATCAATGTCTTTTTTGATAATGTGGGCGGCGAGGGTAAGTTTACTTTTCCACACCTATGATTTTGTCAAAAAGAGAGAGAAAATAAAAGCATGAAAATAAAACTTTAATGGCTAACCTACCTCTTATGACAGTTCTCGAAACGGCACTCCATCTGGCAGCACCATTCTCGCGTTTCGTAATGTGTGGTAGCATCAGCGGCTACAACAAGTTCGCCGAGGGAACTGATGGTATACCCGAGATAGCAGGTGTCCGCAACCTGTACCGAGTAATCACCCATCGTGTCCGTATGGAAGGTTTCATCTTCACAGACTTCTTGCAGGAAGTCCCGGAGGCGCGAGCGCAACTGGCGCAGTGGCTTGCCGAGGGTGAGATCAAGGCCAAGGAGACGATTGTCAAGGGCGGCTTGAAGGTCGCAGATACTGCGATAAACCAGTTATTTACTGGTGGAAATACCGGTAAGCTCATCGTCGAGGTTAAGCCGTACGAAGAGGTAAGTAACTCCTCTAATTTTGTTAACTATATGAACTTTACTGATAGGAACTAGTGAACAAAAGAAGTGAATCTACACGATATGCGATGAGAAGTTAGAAATCCTAGTAATGCTACCTGTTATTAATCAATGCTTCCAATAATCTGTTTCGCCGTGCTTATCCTTTGCTTGAATTACGCGTGGCTTATTCCGAAAACTGCTCTATAGTCAATTTTCTATTTTGTTAATAAAAGCCAACACGAGTACATAATTTTACCTAACTTACACCATTGCACAACATGCTAACACAGTGTGAGCTTTAACGCAGAGCCAGTTTGAATCAACTGGTGTGAAACAGCGGCGGAGAGCCTCTCATCATGAGGAGCATAAAATGAAACAAAAATTATTTGCTAACTATTATATCACTTCGTAGTAAGGTCAAAGGTATTTAATCCGTATCACGACATTACTTCTAGTGCCATGTGGCCCGAAGGGGATAGGTTGAGATACTATTCCTTTCCGGGTAAATAGCTCTTTATTGCTGCTATAGTCTAGTCGGCAGCACGTCCCGCCGTGACGATCTGCCGAGTCCTCGTCTAAATATAATCTCTGCTGCGGTATAGAGATAGACCGAAAGATCGAGACACCCCATCCAATCGCACAAGAACCTAATATGAATGCGTTATTGGATGTACGGGACTTCCAAGCCGAGATAAGAATGCCGTGCCGTGATGTCGCCGTATATAGAGATCACAAATAACATATAAGTTTGTTTTCATGTGAGTATAGTTTGATGAAGTTTCAGCTCTATAGAGCGGAGAGCTTCTATAGTCAATTTTGTTAGAAATTATTGGAATTATGAAGCTCCACGGCTCCCTGGCCGCGGTAGCGGCGGCAGTGACCACGTTCTTTGAAGTTGCGCAGGCACACTGTTATATCTATGTAAGTAATAACGAAGTGGAAGCAGCATGCCATTAACCTCGATGCTCATTTCTACTCGACATTGTAATAATTACCAGTGAATTTGGAGTGCCTAACGTCAAGATTCTAATGCTCTCATTTGCCTCTAGTCCGTCTATGTCAACGGTGTCGATAGCGGCACCTTCTCGGGGATCCGCACGCCAGCGTACAATGGACCGCCGCCGTACGGCTTCGCCAACGGCCCTGTTAAAGACCTCGACAGCATTGACTTGCGATGCAACGTGATGGGCGATCGCCAAGTGCCTCACACGATCCAAGTAACACCGGGCGATAACCTTACGAGTTAGTATTCAAAACCCTTTACTTCAGAAACAGGCACTGCTATATAAAGAGATGATAATATTAATGAAATATACATGCTTGTAGTGGAGTGGCATCACGACGCACGCACGTCTACTGACGACATCATCGCGTCCTCACATCACGGCCCTGCGATGGTGTATATCAGCCCCGACCCACCAACCGAGAACTCGTTCGTCAAGATCTGGGAGGAAGGAAAATTCGCTCAAGGGGAGGGCCCAAGGGCACCCGGGAAATGGGCCACTACCGCTGACATTGCCGGCAACGGAGGCAAGATGAACGTGAGAATCCCCAAGGGCTTGAAAGCTGGCTTGTGAGTACCTATCTAATAAACGCACTTCCCTTAAATTCCATTCTATTCACCTTACGTTAGGCTAGGTAGATGTTTGCTAATCAGTTGGTACCTAGCTACCTTATCCGGGCTGAGATGGTTGGGCTCCACGAGGCGGAAGTTAGCTACAAGAAGAACCCCATTCGCGGGGCCCAGTTCTACCCAAATTGTATTCAGATAGAAGTCCTGGGCGACGGTGATGTCAGCCTACCTGAAGGCGTCAGTTTCCCAGGGGCTTATAAGTGGGACGACCCCGGTATTATCTACGATGTATGTTTAACCCCTCTATCCTCCCCCTTTCTTGGCTTATATTGTTGACAACCCCAGGTCTACTGTTCGACGAAGACTACTACCACCGCCCCCTGCACCACAACTTACCAGGTCCCGGGTCCGACCGTATGGTCCGGTGCGTGGCCCGATACGCCGTCGGTTGAACTTGGTGCTATGACTGGGGTTACAAAGGTTACGAGCTGGAATACATGGATCTCAAAGTCGGTCGTCACATCGGCGTCAGCCGGAAAGGTCTTGGGTACCTCTACTTATCAGGCTCAGTGGTCATCTACCTACCATGCGCCTACGCCAACTGCATAGACGATATGGGGAGATAGTTGATGGATTAGGTATTCACGTTTGAGAGTTTCAGGGGTCATGCAAAATGGTAAAATTGCCATTGATAAATCCAAACTATTCATGAGATAAGTGAGAATGTAAATGTACATTAGGTACCTCGCATTGCTCAGGTTAATGCCATTTGTATCGTGATACCTGCCCATCTTTAAGGAACTAGTTACAGACACATATAGGTACCTGTTAGATTATGCCAACTCTAACTAACCCTTAGCTCTCTCTGATTAGACTTCGCGTCCAAACAAACAAGCGACTATGGCCAATGTTATCCAGACTCAGATATAAAACATAGTATCTCTAATATTAGCATGAAGCCTTATCCCGGAATCAGATGGGGTATCACGCTGATCGTGAACTTCCCCTTCCCACTCACCCGGATTGTCAAACAACCGGTCGAGATAGCAGCGCGCCCGCTCGCACGCTATGTCCGCGTAGTACGCGGGAGTGCACACGCTAACCGGCATCGTGGCGCGGCCGAACATGTAGCATAGCCCTTGCGTCAGGCCCTCGAGCTCCCCGGCGGCGTTGCGCATCTTGCCGAATATCTCGTCATGCACCACGAAGTAATGGATCGGGCGCGCGGTCCCCTTTATCGCGTGGTGCGGCTGCAGGTAGAAATCCCAGTGCCGCGCCTCCGTCACGCCGCGGTCGACGACGGTCCCCGGGCCAGGGTTGGACGGCGCGGCGCCGGATGCGTAGAACCGCGTGTGGTGGCGCTTTGCGACGATGATTACGGTAAGGAGCGGGGGCCTCTGCTTGTAGGCTGGGATGCTGTTGCACGCTTCTTTCAACAGAGGGAGCTCGTTATCAACGACGGTGTTATATTGGCCTTCTGATACGCCGTCGCGATAGACTATGATGTTCCTCGGGTAGACTTTGCTGGTCTTTTTCCAAAGCTCAAGCCGCGACCTGAGCATATCTGCGAGTCTCGATACCATTTCCTGTCGGGCCTGTGTCTGTCGCCGAATCACGGCCGGCCATTGGCCCATAGAGGAGTCGATTGTCGCAACGACGGCAGCGATGCTAGGTGCATTTTTGTCGGACGAAGGTGATGGGTGGGTGACGTCGATGCCCACTATCATAGTCTCATTGAAGTTGAGCGAGGAAAAGTCCTGGAATCGGACGCGTTGGTTGTTCCCGCCGAGCTTTAGATTGAGCTTCATACAGACGTTGGCCAGGTATTGATCAGGAAACTTGGTTTTGCGTAGCTTACCACCGTCAATGCAAATCGTCGTAATGCCGGCGTGGAGATCGCCAATCCTCTTGATGGAGTTGTAAAATGGCGCCGGAGCCTTTTTAGGCAAGACGACGAGGAGCCAGTTCAACTTATTTGCTACAGGGGCATGAAAAATCCGCGGGATGTCTTTTACGTCTTGAATGGTAATCGTAGAGTCCGCGCCCAGTTCCACCGGCTCTGTGTATCTAATTCCAACCCCCATGGCAGCACTTTTGAACATGTTTTCCAGATCATTGCGTTCTCTACTCCCCTTGAACTGGTTTTGCCCTTGACTGTCTCCCATGACCACATACGACCATCTTCCCATTGCGAAGGTCGTGGTGAATTGTACATTTCGAAGATTCCAGGATCTGTTATGTTCGTTTAACCTGGTACTTCCGTTCCGGTAAAAGACACTTGCTGCTTGCAAAATACGGGCAGGAACTGTTATTAGGCTTGGCAGAGCATGTTCCTGTGGAAATCGGATATTGAAACGGCCCTACATTCGTTATCAGTGAAATGTTGAGAAATCTAGGGGTGAAATGTATTGCGTTACCAAAGTTGGGTTTCTGCCTCTAAGTCCAACTGATGTCAGTCCAGTCCCTTGAATATTCGTCGTATCTCTCAAGGGGCCACCAGTGCAAAAGTCAATCATGCTCTGCGATTGATCGGGTGTTAATTTGGTCCTCGCAACCTTTCCGGGCAATACCGTGCAGACATCAGGAACGAGGTATGTGGGGTTCTCTGACGTCCCGACGTTGATGACCGGCCCCTGAATTGGGCTTATATTATATCCTAAAGATATTAGCCTGTATACGTCCAAACATGGCAAGTAAGGCTAGGATTCTTACTTTCTCTGAAGTAGTCATAGACACTCATATAAGCTCCTTTTGACTCCATCCAGAATCTCACTTCCTTAGAGTCAGCGCCGAGTCGACCTACTATCGGCCGATGTTCCAGATTCTGTCCATCTCTTGTCGTAGCAAGGCCCCGAATTGTCCTAATTCTAGAAGCAGCGTGTCGGTCCTTGCTGGTTCTATTAAGGTGATCTACTTGCACTCTAAGCCCGTTCAGAAAGAATGCTAGACGAAGATCTGACAGTGCTACCTTCTCTCGGTATTCCCTTATCAAATCGTTGAGTTTAATGGGTTTATAGAATGTTGCGCGGCAGACATTCACGTTTAGAAGGAAACGGGAAGTAATCCATCTGACACTCGTGAAGTAGCCCATTATCACCTCTAAACCACCGCCGAGGTCACGCCTGTCCCTGGAATTTCCAATGGGGAAAAGCTTCTTTGACCCGGAAGTAGCAAGGCTATCTGTGATCTCTGAGTAGTGATTGAATAGAATATTCAAAGCTTGTACTATGTCCATTTTGATATCGTCGATTGTTGAGATATCGGTGGAGTTGGCATATTCAGTAAGGTCAGATACGGAGAGGACCTTCTCGAACTTAAGCGTGACGGTATACTGCTTTGCGCCCATGCGTGGTTGAGCTTCGTCCTCGGCACGATACACGATCTCGCAAGAGTCACCGGGCAATTCAATCTTATTTAGTGATAGAAGGATAGACCTAAAATCAGTAATGATGCCCCGTGCATCTTGAACCGTAGATAGCGACTGAAGGAATAATTTGATAACCTGAATGTTTCTTCGTCGGTTACATTCTGGGCTAATTGCGATATTATATCGGTACAACTCCAGGTCCCCTACGCTCATTGCAACATAGTTAGTCCAGAGCGTAACTGACGCGCCCTTTCCATAGTGTGGGCGTGATGGGAATTTTTGACACTGCTTCTTAGCGTTGAGGTCTTTGACAATTGAATCTTCGTCATTCTCGAACTTTGTATCACGGGTCGCTTTGGGCCATTGAGATCTGTAAACACTTAGATTAGGCCAAGAACACATAATAACATCACATGAATTTGGGGCTTACTGGTTAGCTGTTTGATGTTGGCTATGTCGAGACATGTTCGGAAAATGAATGATACGATTTACGTTTAAGCAGAGCTGCTTGGGAGGACACGAACTAGTTGACGATTTCCAAAAAAGGCCAACTTGACTACTACCCAGCGGGGATGAAATGCTTAGGAATAGATGCGACAAGAAGATGAAGAATCCCATTAGAAAGCTACAAAAGAACCTACAAGAGGGAGAAGTACAGGAAGAAGAGGACATGGACTAGCAATTTATAACCTGAAAAGCTGAGGTTAGCAATCTTACATTATGAAAACTGACACATGTTGCATACGTGAGTTGGATATACCAAATGCAGTTTGATCTTAAGACAGGAATAAATGATATGTGATGCCATAAAGCCACAAATAGGTAATGAAAACACCAAAGTTCGTATAAGGTACCTTTAGTACCTACCCAGGTAGGTATGAGAGGTACCTAAGGTAGAGGTCAGCTTGCTCGCAAAAGGTAGCAAACGGCCAGGAAGAGATTTATGCCGTTAATAAATGTATTATACAGTGTAGATACCAGAGACTTACAATACAGTACATTGGGTTGAACTTATAACGTCGGGATTTCAATCTTCGTGTGAATAGCTACTGCTAACCTTTTACTATTATCATCGCGCTGTCTTATGGCCACCTCGCCGTTTCTGATTTCTCAACCACCGTTTATGGCGTTTTCTTTCTCGTCTCGCCTTCTCTCGCGCCGTTTCCTCTTGTTCCTCTTTCCTCGCCTTTCTAGATTCCTCAGTCCGCTCCGCTATGTCGTTTAGATCAGCCCAACCATGCGGAAGGCCGTGACGTTTGAGCATTTCGGCCTTTAGCTCGGGGTCCATTCTCAATAGCTTATTATAGATGCTCAACCTCTCCGGGTTTATAGCGGAAATCCTCTCTTCGAGGATCTCGAATATCTCATTGAAATCTTCAAATGGCTCTTCAGGCTCTTGCTGTAGCTCATAGAACCTAGAGACGATGGTAAGCTCTTGAGAGTTCACCAGCTCCCGATCTCTCATTAAGGCCGCTTGTTCTCTGGTTCTGCGCTCCTTTTCAGCGACTAGCATGTTCAACTCATCGTCGGATAGACTCTTAGGGTCTATGCGATCTCGCCGTATTGCGACGTCCATGCTTATGCATATATAGGATGCTAGATGCTGCGAGCTTGCTGTGTTTTGGTTGTCTAATCGTTTAGTAGGAGTTGGCTGTGCTGTTGAAGCTTCGCCCGGATGGGGTTTATCGTCTCGTCGCAACTAGTTTAGGTACCTTAGGTTAGGTAGGTAGACAGGAAAAGTGTAAAACAATTATGACGATCCTATGATAGTTCTGATAGTAGGTTAAAAAAGGTAATTATCCAAGTTTCATCCTTCAGACATGAGTTGCTTGAGCAAAGACAGGTAGGTACGGTAGCTAATAGAAAATTTGCAGGCATCAAAATTGTGTTATCAATAACACATTAATAAACATACATTAACAAACATTAGGTACCTACTTACACTTTTCCTTCTTTGTTACTTGGTGTTTGCCCCTGATTATTTCTATGACGACTGGATATCAAACAGAGGAGTGGGCAATAATAAATGATCAATTCTCTATCGGGACACAGCGAATACAGTGTCAAGGTGTGTAGTATTATGACCGTGATAGCGCTTATTCTTCTCCCTTCTCTCTTTTCTCTAGTCGTCCCTATCCCTCTTCTTATATCTAAAGCATCTCACCACCTCTCGGACCTCCGTAAACCCTGATCTCACAGCTATCTCTCGGTCAAAGTCTGACCATCAAAACTGTTAAATTCCATTAATCCGAAAATTTAGTTACTTTCCTCTGGATACCTGGTACCTGTTATGTGATCCTTACCTTTTATGTGATATGCACTGGTTTAGATGTTCACCTCTTTAGTCTAAACCTAAAGAATACAGGCAAAAATACTCTGGGCGCTCATTTTGTATGTACTTATGTGACTCCCATTTGACTTGTTATATGGTTAATCTCGTAATAGTAAGTGCAAACTGCGCCGGTAATCCTTGAATAATTATACCGCAATCCTATTGCATCTTAAAACGTATTTTCTGTAGTTTAGATGTAGGTACGCTATGATTGGTCATTGCGATATATCATAAAGATGATGTAGGTATCCTAACCTAAAGTAATATAAGATACTTCACGTGTGAGTAACCAGAGGTAGTGGAAACGATAGTAAATTATTTAGATGAGCCGTGTAAAACACGAGATGGTATTGAGAACGATGAAGAGATCATACGTCTTCCAGGGACGGGAATTTGCTCGACACCTTTGAACTTGGTAATAAATACCTAGTAAATATAGATACGTGGAATATGAATGCAATATATGATATGTTCCCCAAGCCAATATGCATTTATGTTCAAGCCGCAACAAAAGCAGCGGGGAGTAGGATACCGCTTGATATGTATGTGTGTACTTAAATCGATGGCCATGCTCCAGTAAGAAAAGGCAAGAAAAAGCAAAACCAAAAATGCAAGATGAGATAACGCCGCCCAGAATACCTAACTCCGTTTAGATATAAGTAGTATGTCGAATGACCAAGTCCGCCGTCCCCAGGATAATCCAGTTGACCCAAAGATGAACCCCCCTCCCTCCCCGTCCAACCAAAGCCTCCTCCAGAGGAAACGCCGCGTCCTCGAAAACCACGAGGTGGAATGGAATGCCCAACCGGCTACCCGTTAACGCTTGTCCACCGAACCGATTTTTAGGAGTCACTAAGAAATCCGGACTGCACCAAAAGAGTTGCGAGGGGGTAGTCTAGAAGATATAGAAAGATTGGCCGAGCCCTAGGGTCTGTGTGGCTCGGGCCATCTAGGTATTCTGACCTCCTGTTTATTTGCCGCACCTATTTCATACGAAAATCCCGTGGTAATGTCCCCAAAAAGCGCCGCCCTCCATCACCGCCGTCGCCGTCGCCGTCGCCGCCCCGCCGCCAACAATGACCATGGTATATAATTCCGAACTGTATTTGATTTAATATGAGCCAGACCTATGACTTGGGGTATATGTGTAAAAATAGTTGTGGTGACCAAATGAGCGGTAGAACCCAGGTGTATATGTATGAAAAAAATGAAAATCATGAAAATGAAGTTGTATGTCAAATGTCCTTTTTTGGTTTTTTTGGTGTATGATAGCCGGAATATCGTCTTATGTCTTGCGTGTATCGGGTCTCTCTCTAGACTCCTGATCCGAGAAACACTACTCTTCAAGACTAGGCGGAAAACTGGCAACGGCCTTAAGCGCACGAGAAGTCGAGGCCCATGCTTCTCGCGACGCCTTGCCAGTCCCACACGCGTGCCCAGTCGCCGCGATCCATCAACCGCCAGACTTCTTCGAGGACTTCGGCGACGCGGTCGCAGTTGCGCAGTCCGGTGTACCCTCGGACGATTCGGATTGCAATCCGTACCCTGTCCCGTTGTGCGGGGGCGAAGCAGGCGCAGCCGATGACGAGGCACGGCACTAGAAGCAGAGTCTGCACGGGATCGCTCGGCTTGAAGGAGTCTAGGATCGCTAACGACTCGTCGACGGCAAGGGTTATGCGGCGGTCATGGTGAGGTGGGTATCGGTTCGGTGCTGGAGATTCGGCACGAGGCGGTGTCGTGTGGCTGCTTGTCGGCCGCTCGGACGAAGGTGGGGTATGGGTAGAGTGAGATTGTGAAGTCGGCGATAAAGGAACGACACTCGTCGTCGTCGTCGTCGTCGTTGTCGGCTGTGTGAATAGCGTGGAGGTAGGTGTTGTCGATGACGGTGGGTAGATAGTTCTAAACAGATATACCCACATCATCTGCTTGTACAAGAGCCCGACACGATCGCGACTGTCCCCCGGGGGCCAATGAGGTGTCCACTCTCGAATGGCAGAATCAATCTCAGCAGCTCGGTATAGTGAGGTGTAGTCTACGACCGGGTCCGCCTCGGCAGCGATGTTCGCTCTGATAGTGTTGCGGATAGTTGTTATCCGCGCGAGATAATGAAACAAGCCGTCGGCGATGCCAATTAGACGTGCAGGCTGGATTTCAAGCCAAGGTTCCCAATCCTCCGTTGCTAGGCGGGGTGTGTGAATATCAGGGTGACGTATCAACTCGTCTGCAAAGACACGATACTGGAAGAATTCGGTGATAAATATCAAGAAAGCGTTGTCTGGCGGTGGCGACTGTTGGATGAGGTTCTTGTATGCCTGAAGATGAACCCGATGCTCGCCATTTGGATTACCTTCCGCCAAGGTTTGCAAGAGCAGGCAGAGCATTTGACCATACCGGGGAGATAAGTTTGTCTTATTTTTAGGATCGCTCTCATTATCCATCGGTTCGCAAAGTTTGCTCATCGCCTCATGGTGGTGAAACTGTGATCTGTTTAGTAGCGAAGCCATGTTAACCTTTGGGTTTGAATTCAGGATTTTAACGCCATATGGGGTGTCGTAATCGATGTGTCTGCTGGCTACGGAAAGGATAGAGTGCATAAGACCTCGGTGCTCTACCGCCATCTGGAGTAGCATATCCTTGAACGCGTTCTTGTGCTGCCCTTCCACCGTAAGTACGCCACTTAGATGGTTGATATAGTGATTTAAGAAGACCATATCTTCGGGCGTCTCTACTCCTTCGAATATAGGCTGAAGAGTAATATGTGGCAACCTGAGCCGCTTCTGATTCTCTGCGTCGAGTATTAGAGGATGAGCGTACACCCAAGTGCTGGTTATCAATATTACCTTCGTGTCTCTCTTTGCCGCTTTTCCATATGGTCTTCTCATGATATCCCTCACAAACGACAGCATTTTTCTCACAATTTAAACCTAAATGGATTAGATGCGCGGTAATGGGCTGATGGAATTTTTAACTTACAGCGTGGTTTTGCCTCGTCGCATTTCTTTTTCCTTTTACGGCATGTGATGCATCCGGTCTTGGAACGACCCTTGGCGACTTTATTTGTTGCTACCTGGGGCGTGAGGGGGTGCTTGCGAGGCCGGCCTCTCGGCCTCTTCAATTTCATCTGGGGAGCCGGCGCAGCATTGGAATCTGTAGTCGGGGTGTGTGGAGCTTCCTTGACTTCGTCCATCTGGAAGCCATCATCTTCGAGGGGCTCAATCTTGGGAATTGTCAATGCGTCGTCCGAATTTCTCTCCCATGACATATCATGTTCGGTTTCACCACCCGGCCCCGCGTCCTCGCTATAGCTGGTACTCCAGGTTTCCGCACATGATGATGTGGCGGAATGAATCATGGTCGGCACGGCAGATGAAGCGCCACCTACGGGCGGGATCTCGAGTTCGGTGCTGATAGGAGACAACTGGCCGGTATTCATTCGGCTGGCCTGGACGGGATTTGTCCATAACGGTGATGCTGGTACGACTGCCGAAGAGCTTCCTTCGGAGGCCATGCTGTGACAATCTGACCAAGGCATATCTTCTTCATCTGCTACTAAAGCCAACGGGCAGTCCATAGCTCGTGGAATGAAATATCATTCCCACGAGTAATTCTATGAAAAGGCAGGATCCGTCTCAAGAGCCACCGGGATTCGTAGCTCATATGAAAGGGACGGTTTTTTTAACGAGAATCCGGAGTGGCGAATTTCCCCGAAGATGGAATACTGGTGTATACAGTCATAGGCTCATCCCCAAGGACAATTCTGCAGAGGTATGGAGACTTGTTAAGCTGGTCTGAATGATACAGATGGACTGATTGGCCTTCTCAAACGGAGCCTTGCTGCAGTAGTCGGCAAAAGGCAAACGGGCAGGTAGGTAGTTGAAACGACCCGGTGTCTGTTCAAAGCTGCAGCGATAAATGGCACGTCTCATGGAGAAGCGAGAAAACAGATGGAGGGGTCGGCCTTAGGTAGCGGAGATGGAGTGTAGGTCTTATTTGGACCGTGGATGTGATACCGTGGGGCGGCTAGCGGAAAACGAAGATACGTGGGCGGGAGATGCACATCAGCAACGTACCGTAGTATGTAGGGGTAGGACTAATGGGGCACAGGGTTGGATGGGGATGGGCAGACGTCGAAGGCCCGAAGACGCACTGAGCTTTCTCCACCCCCATTCCCGGGCCCTTGTACGACTTAGAGAGGGGGAAAGAGAACCAGCTAGTCGAGCTTGTGGACCGTCAACCGCGAGAAAGGCATGAGAAAGCATGGAGAATACGGAGAATACAGCGCAGTAAGCAAGTTGGGAAGCTATACCTTTAGGTATGACGGTAAATGACATTCATCGGGGTTAGCAGCTACCAGAGACCAGCTCAGCAGGACTATATCGACGACTACATACATGGGCGATATGGTGGCTTCACGTGTACGGGTCTTATGTGAGAGAGACCTTGTTGCGACCCACGGTGAAGCACAGAAAAGCCCGGTAATGAGTGAACAAAGATGGCTGCGATGGATATGGCGATGCGAATGCAAGTAGGATGGGGTTACTACTCCTTGGCGCCTCTCGAACCCCCTGTCGTCCATTCTAACTTCTAAGACCCCAGCAAAGCTCCCACCACTATGTGGTCCCAACATGCACATGCATCGTTAGCGGGACCCTCCGAGACCACAAGGTACTTTGGTGATACTTGGAATAGTGTACCTAGTATCTCTTAGCAGAGAAGGTATTCCCGCAAGACCCTCCCTAATTCTAAGCAGAGCTAATATGGAGGTATCCAGCATAGTAAATTTTACTCGACAATTCTCATGCCCATACTAACTAAACCCAGCTTTCCTACCTATATAAATGTACTATCTCCAGCCTGCCATTCGCCTCAAGATCATCGCAGCCTCGTGGAACTTGTATATAGTATATGACAGGGCAATGACATGGTGAGGGGTCTATTAGTGAGCTGTGCAAAGTAGGACTGCGGGGCTGCAACAGTTCAAAAAGACGGCCATTAGACCGAGATGGCTCTTTTAGCGGACCGGATCCGATGGAAACTTGTCTTGATAAGCTCATAAGTCGCCGTATGACGGAATGCCAACTAAGAGTCAGCAGCGAATATGATTTATTAAAGAGTCCTTCATTCCCTCTCTCCGGTATATTGTAAGAAATCCTGCGTCCAAATGGTTTAAGGCGCCTTACTACCATGACAAAGCGGACGCCCGAGTTATATCGATACACCGTGTGTGCGATATCGTCTTTACAGCTCTTGCCATTAATGATATGAATGGCATGCCCATCTTTTATTATGAGATTATCTCATGCCCTTTGAATTAGTATAAAAAAAATAAAAATAAATAAAAATATAAAAAAAAAAGCCTTTCCGGGGGGAGCATGGAAGTTCTAGCGTCGTAAGAACAGCATTAGGTAAATTGGACCTACGGGAGCAGAGGCGGGTTATTGAATGTTATGAGCTTAGCAACGGCTCGGTGAGTATAATTGAACTCCGTAGTAGCTTGTCCTCATTTTTTGGGGGTCATAAGCATTATGTTCTTCTGTACGAAGCTGGAATAAGGGAACCTGGAAAAGGAGACAACAAGTTGGGATGACAAACAGAATATGATTCGGCCGGGCTTGACGGATGAGGCGCCCGACCCTAGCTGTGGCTATCGTTCTACCATCGCTGTTACTGTCGTGCATTCATGGATTCTAGAGTTTGATTTAGCGAAATGCATCTACCCAGTGTAAACATCCCCCCTGTATTTTATATTTTACCAAGTACATATATTCGACAGCCACATACAATATTACGATAACCTATCTTCCAGATCGAGCCGCGAATCAATCCAGGAACCACTAGCATATTGACAAGATGCTTGAAGATAAGAGAAAAGTAACCATTAGTATTCATTCGCGTCGATGCGACGTCTAGCAACATTGCAGAATAATCCGGCTTGAGATAGCCCGAAAGCTACGAAAGAGATTGAGCCGCAACATCGAGATCGGAACATTTGTTCTTGTGAGGTCTTCAGCTAATCTTTTAAGTTTTAGGTCAACCTGGACAGTGTGATACCCAATGACTTGATTCAAGGTTTGATTTGATATTCGATGTGAAGGATATGATAGAGGTACCTAAGCTTAGGTATGTTAGAGTAAAAGACAAGGATTTAATATTCGGCGTTAACCTGATCAATCTTTTATCCAAATGTCTTTTAGCAGGGAAACTTTAGCTATCACCCAGTACTTAAGCTACATCCTTGCCCCATTCTTGGTCAGGTCAGGGGTCCATCCGAACCCCCCTTTAACGGGAAGCGGGATCCAAATCGCAGATCTCTTCTTTTTTTTTCCTCCCATCTTTTATTACAGATAATAGGCAACCTTAAAGTTTTTTTTTTTTTGAAAATGTCAAATATCAAATACCAAACGCGAAACTAGTTGCTCGTTAAAATACGTTGTACTTATTCTCATGTGCAGTTCGACTCCTTGTCACCTTTGCTGTTAAATTACTTTCTAGATCCCTACAAAATCCATTCATGTCAGATATATGTAAATCTGTTCTAACCTCGTCAGGTTTACTTATAGTTTTGTAGTAAGTTTTTAGTATAGGTATATGAGATGTGTGCGTGTAGATCTTACAAGTACTAATAGTATTGTACCAACCTCCTCTGATTCGTCATCTCTGCTCACAGCTGATGCCGACGGAAAGGCAAGCCAATCATACCTCTGGAAGATTAACCAAAACTAATGAAGACACTCTGGAATCAAATATCGTGCCATAACGTCGTCATAGGCCAAAAAGAGGCTGCGCCAACCTTTTCTAGTTATCATGCGGCACCTAGGTATGGAGATGAAGCTAATGTATTGTACATATATCATCATGTTAGGTAGTAACTTGTTGCCTTTGGAGGACATTCGCTCTCTCAGGGGTCTTAAAATTACTCCACATAGCAACAACTACGAAGTATATACCGCATGGTATATTGTTGGTACATCGCAGTACTAGGTATGTAAAGAAAAGGTGCAAACAGGGGTTCTTGCATCACAGGTATGTACCTCCAACTACCATACATGACCCCCACAGCTTCAATAACTGTTTTCACAGATGCTAGGTGCTTTGGTTTTGGGGGCGTTGGTGATTCCCCAGAAACCACAACTTGGAGCAATGATCCCTTTTCAAGCGTCAGATACCTTGCCGATCCTACAGGCATTCTCTCCGTTCTCTTTACCATAACCCTTCTTTAAGAAGCCGTGTAACAACCCCCAAGAACTGAACCGTCAACTCTCACATTTGTACGTCTACCGAAATACTCCAACCCGTGGTCTCTCGGTCGTACAGCAACCACATATGATGCCGCCATCGCGAGAAGATTAGAAGGAAAAATCTAAAAGAAAAAAAGAAAAACTAAATGGCTCGTCGTCGCATAGCACAAAAAGGTCATAACTAGGTCATCATACATTATCATATATTTATCGCCAGCCCTCTTTGCTGCATTGTGTCATCATCCTCACGCGTTGCGGTGACGACTTTAGCCAATGTAATGGGTAGGTGTGCAGGCTATGCGACAGACAGAAGCTCAAAAGAGGGGGCTCGGGGTGATGAAGAGACGCGGACAGTAGGAGGTATTTTGGGCTAGATCATTCCTATGCAACAGCGCTACATGGACGGGCGTCGTATGCAGCTGCCAGAAAGCGTGTTTCCGGCTTACCCCGAAAAAAACAAAAACAAAAAGAGGACATTTCTCGATTTCCGGGGATGGGATCTGTCACAATTCGACGGTTTCTTGGCGATCAAGACATATGATAGCCGAGCCCATGTCCAAGCATTGAAATGAATACAGATGAAACTCACCGAAATCCGAACGAGGTCGTGAAATAAGACTGGTAAGGACGGGCAAACAAGACATAGGAGTATTTTATGACAAACATAAAGGTCCACTTCATTTAGTAGGTGCAGGTTAGGTTAGATAGGTAGGTTTAGGTACGCTTCAAAAGTGAGGCATTCCCTAACCATCTTCTCTACCTAATGTATGTATGGTTGCGGCATCTGGGTATCTTCGACTAGCAGGGGGCAGCTGATACGAACGTAACGTCGGCTACTTAAATTTGTGTAAGAGGCGCAGATCGCCGCCACTACTTATTAAGCCGTTAGGTCCATGTACAATAATACCAGAAACACCAACTGGACTAACAATAAAGCGATGCGTAGGATGACGATGATTCGAAGCTAGGTGTCTATCATGGCATAGCAACGAATGGGCATGGTTAACTCTAAGAAGCCTAAGCGTATTTGCTGCAGATCCATTCATATACTCTCCTTTATAGGCCTACTCCTTCATGAGCATGCGAGGATCCATTAAGCTGCATTCGCATATCTTGCGCAAGCCGTTAATCAATCGGTTTAATAGCTTCGTATCGGCTGGGGTCAACAGCGAATCCTAGCTTGAGCATCAAATCGGCTCTGTAATAGCAACACGCATTTTGCTACTCCAAAGAGGCTAACATGAACAGTACTGGTTGGTTTATAAGAGGTACTTTTAGGTACATTGACAGGTAGTAACTCCATAATCTCTATGTCCGGTATTTATCCGTATACTCGTTCGTGTTTGAGCTCGGTGAGTTGTCGATCAATAGCTGTTTCTCGAATAGTTCTACGAGACTACCTAACCTAGGTAGGTTTACCTCTAAATAACTAGGTAGATACTGAAGGTAAACGTGTTCTTCTTTAGTTCAGCGTCCCCATCAAGACTCCGTTGAATGTCAAGGATAAATCAGCTGCATACGTACTACGTACTACGTACGGTGAAGCTGGTGAGAATTATGAGGATCCCCCATAGTGGATTAGCATCCTTTGTTACCGTTTGGATCCACACAACTATACCCTTTGGGTGGATAGAAGATAGATGGCTTCTTTGCCTAGGCCTCTTGGCATCAAGATTCACTGCTGTCTTGCCAGTAGTAGCAATCCCGACGCTTGAAAACGTAGCCTATCCAGCCTATCCAACCTACCTAACGCTGCTAAGGTTAGGATGCATGGCTTTAGTCGTTGATCATCCAACTTTTCGAATTGTTCTTAGATAACCGCTTGTCCCACCTCTACAAATAGAATCCAAGATTTACATGATCGGCAGCTAGCGTATGGGATATCTTTTGAAGTCGGAGTTCTCTACCCAGATTCCATCGGAGCGGGTTCGATGTTCTCTAGTTGTTGATCGTAGGTAGCTGTCAAGACACTAGAGGCCGCACATGAAACCCCATAACGACTGGTTCAGTGAACACACTAATACCTAATAAGCTAACTGGCACTCCTTCAACTACCTCTCTAGGTTAAATGTAGCAGATGACTTAATTTAGAGTCGAATATGGGATGATTTGCATAAAAAGGATGTGGTGAGGCGACCAATAGTCTCTCAACAGAAATTTCCAACTTCACTCTTTCTATCTTAGTAGAGTAAATGCCTTGTCTAGTCGTTCTACGTTACCTATTGCTGCTTTAGAGGATCCGCGAAGGGTTTCTATGCAAGAGAAGTTTCTGGCTAAGCCTCACTTGACCATTAGGTGCATAAGATACCTAGCTGCAGGTTTGACGAAAATGATGCCTGTGTTTTCTCTTGAAGTGGGTTTCTGGAGACTGACGAACCAAAATCGACTCCGCCAGGATTGGTGCCTGAATTCCGAATTGCGAGCTGTATATTGTGATAATAGGAAAAAGTAGCATTGTCTCGTATAATATGCAACATATTTATTACAATATTCCAATTATCATTTGCTCATCATTAGCTCTCGGTTCTTTCAAGGGATAGTGTATGTATTAGAGGTAAATAGTAGTTGAGGTATTAGCCAGATGGACTCTCCTAAAGCAGTATAATATTATCGGCGATACGTCACATGCAACTATAGTATAGTATACTAGTAACGTGGGGCCATGATTTGTATGTAAAGTACCTAAGCATGGAAATTATAGAGAAAGAGGTAAGCAATTAATGAAATCCATCAAGATTAGCTCGGACCGGCGCGAGATTCTCCATCGTAAACGTCCAGTTGGGACTGCTAAGCTACATACTACTTTGACGCTATCAGCAGCTGCTGCATCTAAGCTAGTATGCTGTTAGTTTTCCCCTCTTTCTTAAGGCTCAAGACACTTGGCTGTTTACCTAGTTGGGTATCTAAATCCTCATCGTCGGCAGCTAAGATGCAGCTTAGTCTCTAGCCACGGTATAGGTAGTAAAATTCGTACGACTATGACGGCATCATCATCTACTCATATTCCGCTACATCTCGACCTACACTTATCGCAAGTCCTTCTCGGTGGTTAACGAGCTGTGAATATCTCTTCGATCGCCCTACACCGCTTCGTACGATCATGTTCCGATCCCAACTACTAGAATAGAGCCACATCATCGCCGAGAATGCCTTGGTTGGGTGCCTATCGTTGATTTGGTTAATTTACTTCTACTGCCCAAGCCCTTCCGCTCAAGATGGCCAGAAGTGTGATTTTACGGTGAGAATAGGTATTTCACCCAAACACACTTCGAGTTTGCAACGTGGTGAAACAAGACTGGAGTCTTTCAGAGTCATGATGCAATTCAATATTGACACTAGCTCCGTGACATTACTATCGAGGAGACGAATTAGATGATAAAGTGTCTGAAAAATAGCTAGGCGTGTAACCTTTCCATCAATCTTCTTTGTTTACTCACAGGTTATACCTGTATCCACCCTCTAAGCTACCTCACAACTCTAAGGATCCTATCCGTCTGTCTTATTCAAGGATGAAAGTTTCCGTGCGTAACCGTGCAAAAGCGGTTCCATACCGGGCACCTCTTTTTCCCAGTATCGCCGTTGGGCTTTTCGGCGTAATAGTAGTCTTGCTTACCGAAGTAGACAATCTCGGGACATATCTCATCGATAGGAACCGGCAGACTAGAATGACTGGATGGACCATGTTTAGGAACAAGAGGGGAGCGGGGGAAGGGACTTTTGATTCGTGGGCATCACATGAAAAGGTTCCGCTGGATTGGGCTATGGTGACCCAACGACATAGATATTCTGGTCTCTAGTGAGGCTGGAACTTCATGTGCATATTGGCATGCTCGGCAGAAGATGATTGCGAGAACCATTGGGGCATAGTAATAAAAGGGGCCGATTATAGCTTGTTTTATACTACCCACTATCGCGATATATTTCAGTACCAAATAGTCAATATGAGGTACATATATTTTGATGTGGCTTAATACATTATAACACTTTCACATGTAGCGTATTTGGGAAAAGTTACGCTGTGAAGAATTACTTCTAGGTACTCAAATATAATATACTTTTAACAACAAGAGCTTCATTATATTCCGTTTCCAAATAAATTAACGTGGTAGAAACCAGCCGCCAATCAGGTATTTTCTGTTTATATCCAATACCCACTCCTTATATCTCATGTCGTTCGTGGCTTTACAATAGTTTACTTGTAGTATTGGGCCTAGATGGTCGATATTATAAAAATGAGGCGCTTTCCCCAATATTTCCATATGCTTCCAAAAACCTCCTTCCGAAACTTACATACTGCGGAGATAATCTACGTAAAAAAAGTTTTTGACAAGCCAACGCCGTGCCGAAATTCTCGTTCCAAAGGAAAAAGACGATCGTTTCCGCTTTTCCCCAAGATATGAGCCAGTGGTAACGTTGGAAGGACTCGCGGCACGCAGGGTTACATCCGGTGCGGTTCATGCATTTTGGTAGGTGCGCATGCAGTCGAGCTGTAAATCGCTGTGCTGGTAGAGAGAGAGAGAGAGAGAGAGAGAGAGAGAGAGGACAGGACGTAAGAAGGGTCTTGAGGGATGGTTATTATTTTGACTGGTAATAATAAGCTCGCTGTACCCCCACCGGATAATGACCCAGCAACAAGATCGAGACGGTATGTGCATGCAAGATGATAACGACGGTGCCATAACGCTCACTAGGTATCCCATACATTCTCGGTGGCTGTTTTGCAGTACGTTAGCCGTTGCTATACCCATTTTCCCCAGCCGAGGTTCTTTAACAATACCTATCTATGGCGTAATCCGGGGTCGAGAACCATGGAAAGGGGAATTTCTTATAATATTTACTATCTAACTGTTCGGCATAGTTAGTCAAAAACCAAGTCTTCTACAACTGCGGACATGGAGGTCTCAGAAACCACCACTAATTGTCTTTCCATGGTTTGGTAGAGTTGGATTTTGGCCAGTGTTGCAAAAGCTGTGACTGCAACTCAAAGCAGGTGACGCTAAGAGACCTCAACTGAGCGTAAACGGACGTCATTCTTCGAGTAAATGGGATACACGGAGTTTTTCGGTATTCTTTATAGTGCTCGCCTATGTGATGCCATGCACTGATCTATCTGATACTGCTGCTTAATTATTTCCATGGTATATTATACCATATTATCCTTACAACGATGCCAGGTAAAGCCTTAGCGAGTCGTTACAGATTGAAAACTTATTCACTTTTGCGTTGTATGTATCTTGCTATATATGACTATCTCTTATATTTGAAATTAGCCTCGGTAGAGGTAGGTAAGTATCAATACATATATGAAATCGTATAGATTTTGGTATTACTACTTATAATAGTCTTGTTTCTCTAGGTACAACTTTTGGTATACTCGGTCTAAACTCTATCAGTTGAGTCTTGGCCCGCCTTGGCTAAAGCCTGAGTTGTATCTTGTACCTATGTTTGGTACTCCTCTCCTTCTAGATGCAGTCTCGTTGAATCCGACGTACTCTCCTATACTCGGTGGCAGGTCTTTGACAGCTGTACCCCAGGAGCTTTCATTCTTCCCTAACGTAAGAACAAGTTCCTTGCCTTCTGTGAAGAAGCTGTGGTCAATCCAGTTCTTCGTGTATGGCTCTCCGTCGAGCGTTGCGCTCTGGATGTAGATGCCTTCGTAGGAGGGATCGAAGTTGACGTTGCGGATAGTTGCTGTTTTGCCGGTTTGGGGGTGTGTAATATTCACACTCTCGAAGAATGGAGGGATTATAAGGTACACGTTTTGCCCGGGGTTTGGGAATAAGCCCATCATGGAGAAAGCCACAAATGACCCCATCGCGCCGCTGTCGTCGTTTCCTGGAAGACCTTCAGGAGTGGTATCGAAGAACCGAGGAATGTAGAAATGTGCACGCCGCGCTGACAAAGCCGGCCGACCAGCATAGTGGTACTGAAATACAGTCAGGAAAGCTGGCTCGTTCCCAATATAGGTAATGTTCTGATCATGCAGGAAATCAAGGCGGCGGACGTATTCGGCTGGGCCTCCGTAAAGGGTAATCAGGTCACCTTGGTTGTGTGGTACGAAAAAGCCATACTCCCAGATGCTGCTCTCAAAGGTTTCGTGTGCCGTGTTTTGAAGAGAGCAGGCGGCGCCAGAGTTGTCGATATTACTACATAGTAGAGGGTCCTGTTCACCCCAAGTACCGTTAAGATATTTAGGTGCGTAGAAACCCTTGAATCCTGTATCTTGGCCGTTGGCGAATTTGGAGGTTTGGTCTTCCTTGTACAAGTTCTTCCAATTATCGCTAGACTGCAAATATTTCTCGGCATCAGCACTATTGTTCCTTAGTTGCGACATCTGAGCGATGACGAAGTCGTTGTAGCTATATTCAAGAGTTCGAGAGATGGATCTGGTCATGGTTCCAAAGCCTTTCCAGTCAAGGTCTTGCACAGGGTGGTGGATGTTAGCTTAGAGTGCGCTGAAGTTGAGTTAAGGGTAGACTTATAATATATCCGAGGCGTTTCCAGCTGTCAATGCCGCCGCGTCCATGGCTGGACCAATCGAATGGCTCAACTTCAGCATCCTTTATGACAGCCTCATATCCCACGTCCCACTGCCCCAAAATATCCAGTTATTACGTGGTTCGGATAGACGATAAATCCTGGGGTTTGGAAGTGTGCTTACATCAATACCAGCTTTAATCCCTTTGAGATATCCATCCGCCAAGACTACATCAGCATTCGAGCCACCCTAGGAACTTTTAGTTAAGCCCATATTTTAACGATTAGAAAAAATCTAACCTGCGTGTAGCCTTTGGAGAAAGTCATACGGCAATCTGGCAACCAGCCCTCGTATCTGTATGTATCAATCAAGGAGCGAATCATCTCAGCAACTGCATCTGGATCTATCAGTGTGAGAAATGGGATTTGACTCCTGAAACTATCCCAGAGGCTTGTTCCTGTTAGCGGGTACGAGGTGGAGGTTTGAACGGCTCTTAGCTTACCAATAGAATGAATCAAAATAAGGCTCGCCCGTGTTGAATATAGGGTTCTCTCCGGTGTAGTTTTGAGGGTTCACCATTGTGCGATATATACCACTGTAGAAGTTCTTGATCTGATTATCATCTACCCCACCTGGCGTGATAGTGACTGGACTGAGTTTCTGCCTCCAAGCATCAGCAGCAGCCTGCTCGAGCTCATCGAACTTGTAGTCCGGAATTTCGGCCTCGCCATTTGAGCACGCTTGTTCGGAGCTTATGAAACTCAAACCCACGCGAGCAAGGACGGGTGTAGCTGTTGACGCAAATCGAACAAAAGCTCCTCCAGGAAGAGGATATCCGTTAATCGATCTAGAAATTGTCAAATTTTTGGCATCTGTGGTAGCCCTACTATTTACGAAAATGCCATTGTCGAATATTTCAGGGCCCGAAAAGTCGGTACAGAAGTAAGCTACACTATGTTGATGAAAATTAGTACCTAGAGGTAATTATATCATAAATACGTTGAAAATGAGACTCACTATTTTCCCTGGCTGAAGCTTGACTGGAAAAGGGCACTTCCAGTGATTCTTCCAGTTTTCTCATCAACGGAAACGGTACCGTTATCTTGGCGCGAGTCGGAAAGGTCTGTTAGATCTTGTAAAATGAGAGGATGCGAGGTGTTCCCGTCCGATGCAGGGAAGGTGAATTGAAACAGCGCAGCATGTTTACTGGCGGTCATGGCAGCTTTAACGCCGGAGTTAAGAGTAACCTCAAAATACCCCGGGCGCGCCACCACCTTACTCTGGTCAAATTGGCCGTGGCTGGCACGGGTCTTCTTGGGGAAATCGCATCGATCAATATCATCACCTGGGCAGCTCGCGTACGGGAAGAGTGGGAAATTCCCCAAGGACGGCGAGCCTCCAGTTCCCGAGTCGTGCAGCGCCGAGAAACCAGAGATCGGTGCCCCGTCAAGCGTGAACCCTCCCTGATTACTTCCACTGGTAGTGTCTGCGACAGCTTTTGCCATGCCGTAAGGGATTGTGGCACCAGGAAAGATATTTCCTCCATTTCGACTTCCGATCAATTGATCCACGTACGAAAGAGGATCTATGTCGGCAGCCGGGGCCGCGGCAGCGGCATCACTGCCCAGGGCCGTTGCCAAGGCAATAAAAGCGATCGAATACGAGCGCAAGCCGAACGAAGGCATGGCGACGACTCAAGTTTCTTGCCGCTGAGAGCAAGACGGAGAATAAGGAAAATAAACGAATGTGATATGCTCCCTATATTATATCCTAACTTCATAAACAGTTACCCTGGCAATCAATGCATTCCAGGGAGGGTGACGATGCGCCTGACGACCCCATGGTTGAGATAAACAATCCGGGGACAAGAATTCGTCCGGGGTGATAAGATAAACGCGTCGAGATAGTCTCCAAGTGGTAAGTAGGAGCGAGAGGGAGAGACATGTCTTGGACCTGCCCTATGGTCGTGACCGGCTCTCGTGTCCGTTCAGGTGGAAAAGGTGGAAATAACCTTCCATTCCTGGCGTTCCGGCGTGCTGGCCGGATACGCAGTATGGTACTGCATCATGCAAACTGCACCAAAGCGTCGCCAGTGACCGTAGCAGGTATCCTAATCCTCGTCCCCACGGTTACATCGAACGATGTCTACCTTGCCTTAGGTTAGGTTAGGTAGGTTAGGTAGGTATGAACCTACGCGGCATACGGTGCGCGTCTAACCCCCATCATGTATGTCGGGAAGCGCGGGGTATCGAATCCTACGGGAGTTGGTAAACGAGAAGGTGAGCTTGTCGCATATACCCATGCCACTTTACGCCACATAATATCAGGGGTTTGCCCCTACCTAAGGTTGATAAGCAATGAGGAGCCGGTCCGATCACAACCAGATCTATAAATCTTAAGGGCCACTGTGTCTCCTTGCATTGGCGGATCTTTTGTGCTTGTTGCTTGTTCCTGCATATTGGATGCTTAAATGCTAGGTTTGCTACCTAAAACCTAGGAATGTTAGGAATGCTTGGGACGCTATATAAAGTGAGGAAGGTTGGCGGCTGCAGCATACCGTTAAGCAACCAGTTCTCTGGCCGTACTTATCGCTCAATTTGGTTTGCCCGTTGGTTCTTGGTGTTTCGTTACATCAAAAATAGAAGCAGTTATACAAAGTTGTATCTACATGTAAAAATCACGGGTAACAACATCACATGTATGAATGCGCAAGTACTGCATATCCTACAAGGAACAGGTACCTAGCTCTACCAAAATATGGCGCAATTGACGGTTACATTCAATCTGTAAGTGGCCATCAAACAGCGCTTGGCCTATGAGATATCATTGCGGTACCTAACCCATGTACCTAAGCTGTGAAAGTGAGGCATCGCAAGATGTCCAAGACGTCCGATAGTGAAAGGAAGTAGTATACCTTAGGTAAGTTTTAAAGGTTAAAGGTTAAGGTTATAATAAATCCATTTACGTGGAAACTCAAGTACATGGGATAATGCAGTAACTATATGCAAGCTTTGGGGTGAGACACTGGATCATCCAGACCACTCAACGCCGCTAAAGAAACAGTATCTAAGTCTCAAAATATATCTCCTACTCGTCACTCTTTAAGACAGGCCCCGACAGTTTCAGCCTTCAGCCATACCCGCGGTGGCGTAATAGATGGTTCTATATGGTGTTAACCAAGTCTGTCGAGCTCAATTGATGGACATGGTGATACCTGATAATGTCCGTCAACCACTATCGCGTCTTCGCTCGTCTTTGCTGACGTTTCTTCCCTCCAAAGAACATCAGACACTGGGGGTGCCATCCGAAGAGCCTCGTCGATGCACGCGCGGCGGACATACTCGCAACTTTTGTCGACCACGTCTAATATATTATATACAACTGGGGCCTGTATCGTGACCAAGTATTACAGTTGCGATTTGGATAACCGCTCATTATTATATATATATCTTGAACGCCAAATTTTAGCCATTTGCGCCGCGGGGGGTTAATAGAGGTACCTATAGATACATGCCTCTCAAAGCGACGGTAGAGTTAGAACCCAGTTTATTTGGAACAAGTATTATCATGGGGCTTAGCACGTCAGTGAAGGTATCCAAAAACATTGAATTATAGGTCTCCCTGCCGTAGTCAAGATGTAGGCGCTTCGAAGCAACATGGTAGAGGCTGTATATGTCCGTAAACTTGCCGGCTAGGGGTCCAGGATATTTGCTCAAGGGGTAGAGTGTTATTCTATATTCAAGGAGAAAATGTATACAAAACAGTCAGATGCCTACTATCTATGTTTTGGCCCTGCTTGCGATGTAGTCCGTCCCAGGCTTGCTTGACCTCCTCCATGTATGTTGGTGCCAATCTTACATCATACGTGACTTATTGACACGGAAACTTAGGTACGAAAACAAGTCTGTTGTAATGCAGCATTCTATTATATAAATACTGTCACGTATAGTGAAAGGAGATTTTAGAGGTAATATAACGGTTGATTAAGAAGGAAAAGAGATCTAGGCTAGTAGTCTACAGGAGATCGCCACATACTGCGATAAATACCCAATATCAGGTAGTCTCTAAAACATAACAATTATTCCCTCCGGAGATAACATCTTCGCCAGTCTTTATCAACCCCTCCCAAATATCTGAGAGTATATCAGCACTTTTACTCCTTCCAATCCGATACCATCATTCCCTGTATTGTTTTCCACACCACTAGGCGCCATTCATAAATTATTTTTTCATGTCCCGCTTAAAACAGCCCGGCTCTAATATCAAACAGTCCCACGCCAAAATCTACCTGCCAATTATTCGACAATGAAAACGAAATATCAAGTGTGTTGAACCATAGGCTCCCCTGGCGAAGTATCGAGGTTCTAATCCCGAAGACTATAGCTTCGTCTCTATTATAGTTAATTAGCCACCCCTCCAAGACATATCGTTGCGACATTACTTACCCGCCAACGCTTGCCACATGTATCTGGTGTCCGGGTACCCATCACGCACTGGCTGTCTACCCCTAGGCTTGGACTTGCTGTCGTTCTCCCGTAACTTCAGCTTGACCTTCTCCACAGCTTCACCCATCTTCACGGGGAGCCAACTGTTCCTAGCTTCAGCTTTGACGCTGGGGGGTGGCTTGTGATCTTCGTAAGGGCCAAAAGTTAGCGCGATTGGTTGGAAGAATCGAAAAAGAGTTAGTTAAAGTAGTTGGAAGTAGATAACTAACATTTTTTACTCTCTTGAGATTTCTCTTTGGTAGCATCTTCTATCTGACTTGGCGTATCTACTAGGGTTTTCTCCGAGGCAATTGACGACCGCCTTAGGCTTGTTGTATTTGTAGGAGACGGCAATCTTGGCTGGTGTGGCATTTTGGCAATTTTTATGCCCAGTACGCGTACCGCTATAGGGAGACGAGTTGTTCTCAACACGACGGATTGTAAGTTTAGGTGGGTAAGGGGTATGAAGGTTCACCGAGTCGTATACGATCTTATTGATAATTCCAATTTCTGGGCGAAGGAATCTATTGTTTTATATAATAGTCAATTCTCACAAGTCTCGCGCCTTCTTTATATTTCTTCAAATTCCCTGTCCACGACATTAATCATATTTTATATTTTGTTTTGGTTTCTAAGCCGAGACAGTGCACCGAGCGCCGAGTTCATTTGTGAGTTGTCATTCGATTCTGATTTGACGAATCATAGGCCTATTAGTGGGGTTAGCCTGACGGATTTGGTTTCTTTCTCCTATGTCGAACCGAAGCCGAAGCCGATCTAGCGTTTGTCTTTTACTTCACCTTACTTCCGCGTTGACACAGCTCGGAATCAACATTTTTAGTTTACGGCTTCGGATTTAGGTACTCTCGAAGACTCATTTTATACGTAATTGTATTTCCCCCCGGTCTCTGTCTCTCAATGAACGGGCGTCCGAACACACCACTACTTCTGCGCCGCAACGGTCGACCTCAAGCATGCGATGTAAGTAATCGTCTCGGGATGCCTTCTCTGTTTATTAATTGAAATAATAGCCTTGTCGTAAACGTAAGCTTGCTTGCGATCATTCACAACCTGTTTGCAGTCGGTGCAAGAAGAGGAAACAAGATGCCGAATGCGTGTATCTGGTATTGGGCTCAAGGATATCGACACCTAGAAGCCCATTACCAACCCCTGCATCTTCTACGCCGCTCGCATTTCCTCGGCGCGGAAGTCTTCAGAATCCCCAACATAGCTCGGCTTTAACACCGGATGTTCCTGTCTCGGGACATAACAGACCTGGCTATCTTGGCCCAACTAGTTACTGTAACATCTACGAAGATACTGAGAATAGCTTGTCACTCCTGCGGGGATCGACCAGTGTCGCTACTCAATCCGATAGCTTTGCTCACCATGCACATATCGAGGGCACTCAGACCAATATGTCTGTTCGGGTTTGCGACATGGCTCTGACAGTGCTACGCAGTGTACCCGATCCGACTCAAGGGAGCGCACTACGATTTAAGCCGGGATGCGATGGCTGGATCCGTTTTATCGCAGATCGAGTATCCAGGTCTCTATACGAGGCCTTCGGAGATTATTTCAGTCCTGGGAACCGTTCAACAGCTAAATTAGAAGAGCTTGCTCGGACTATCTGTACTAATACTTCGAGACCGTTCTCGGACGAAGAAACCGACCCGGAGAAGTGGTTCGACCAATTCTCAGGGAAGAACATACGGTGGGAGTCGATAGGAGTACTATGCGTCTTTTGGGAATTCGTCCCCGGTTCCAATACCGAGTTTTGGAAAGGGAAACGTTCCGCGGAGTTTGATCGGGGCTTCCGTATATCGAGAGAGGTAATGCACCTCTGCCTTGAGTTATCGAAAGAATTCTCATCTGGGAATTCGATGATGCTCTGTCTAAGCCAGAGGTGCACTGTTACGGATTCCAGTACGTGTTACTCCTTTCACCCTACAGTCACATTACTCCCTGAAACTAGTAGGCACATACTAAGCATAATACCTATTACTAACTCTTATCATAGTGTCCGTCGGAGACGCCGGTAAGTGGCCTATGTCTACAGTCATCACGTCAACTATACGCATCATATTACAATACCAGAGTCGCCTATTACTAACCGTTTAATTTGTAGACTTAGTTGTTTGGAGGGTACACGCGGAAACAATCGCATTGCTTACTTTCCTAGGGTTCCACGCCGTCGAAGAAAGAGATCGCCATGAAACATCCCTGGCGACGGAGATCAAGAAGAGGTTTTTCTATCATATGTTCACGATGGACATGGTGGTTGTCTCGTTCACTGGACGGCCGCCGCTGATTAGTTCACGGTACTCGTCGACGCCTCTGCCGCTCGATATTAGCAGTGAGGAACTATTCTCCGATCGCGACACTTTCATGGAAGCTGTTTCGCGCCTCGACGAAAAGGGTTGGAATACCGACGGGGAATTGTATCCCTCGACTATTATTCGTGCCCGGGGTATTATCGCAATAATTCGCGAGGAAATATTCAAGATCGCTCTCGACCATAGACAGAACAGTTCGCCAAACGCATTTTCTATAGAAACACTTCTGTAAGTGAGCTTTCAAGAAATGTGTTCGCAGCTATCTATAGATACCTTACGCATTAGCTAAAACTAGTAGTCAACTTCGATCCCGTGAGCTTGCAGCGGTTGCTGAATTTCCTCCGCGGTTACATTTCGACCCTCGAGATATTGAAAACTACGATATCCCTTCAAATGATCTAGCAGCAAGGTCGATTATCCAGCTAGAACATCTGCAAAATATGTTCTTTATCGAAAGGCTTTTGCTTCGATTCGGCCATCAAGACAAAGGCGATTTGTTGAAAGTCAGCTATGACTTGGTTAATCAGACCTTACCTTGGTATGTTTAGGAACCTCCTTAAACTAACCCGCACTCGTAGTCATTAATCCCAGAGGCTAACAGCATTGCAGTACGTTGAAGCCCCTTGTACCGGATATCTCATATTCTTTAAGAATGAGATGAACAATGCACCTTGCGTATCTGTAGTGAATACTAACGCATAGCAGATTATCTGCATTTAGATAGGATGTCATCTTTTAGGAATGACTGCGAATGGCTTGTAAGTTGACATATGTGCGTTATGCCGACGTTGCCGCTTTCTAACGAAAATGTTAAGGTCATGGCTTACGCTGTTCCTGCCGGCGGCATTCTCTGCCTAGAGCTTCTGAAGCCCACGCTTCATTTGAGACCCCATAGCGATTCCGGAATTACTCGCTCTAATATCATCCAGAAGCTGAGTCTCCTTGTCGCATTCCTCGACTGGATCAGTCCGTCAGCTCCAAACGGAGATTTATGCAGCGACGCCAAATCAGTAATTCAACGTGTCCTCGACCAAACGTTGAATGCAGCATCGAGCATATACGAGCCTCCGGCAGTATTCCAGTGGGATTCATCAACGCAGTTAGACTTCAGTTTTGACCTCCTTGATACTTTCGACTGGAACCGGCCAGATTTTCCATCCAGCCAGCAATCAAATCAATAAGGCGCCGAATACAGGGGATCTTATGATTGTAAGGCGCAACCTCCGTAATAGGTTTCCCGCTCTTATGATTTAGTATATGCTTAATAGGCGTTTGTGACTCCGGCGCATACGGAAACAGGGATATAAACCCACTACGTCTGATAAACATACCTCCATTGATGTTGCCCATCTAGGAGGTACTTAGCATAGCACAATAAATATACCGAATACCAGATTTAATCTCGGCGTATGTAGGTTCATACTGCCTGCGGGGAGTCCCTGGATATTATTGCGAGATAAATCGCCAATTGTTAGTAAATCTGAGACTTACGAGGATCTCTTGATACTCCGCAAAGCAGCCAGACTGCCGGGATGCTATGGAGACGGCGCGATTTTAGGGTGGCGTAGCGAGAATAGACGCGCAGCGCCGTCTAAATTAGCAAGTCAAAATTCTTAAAAAGAGGATTTCTCTATCAAGAAAATGGCAAAGATATCAGATATGAGCAAGGAGTCATGATTCCGATGGTTCGGGCCCGGCGCGGAGTAGCTTCGCAGTTAGCCGACGGGATGATCGAAATTTTACCCCTGGTTATTCGTGAAGTCGATGAGACAAAAGCGCTTAGTCAAGTAGGAAAACTCTTTTAGGCGTGACATCCCCGGCTTGTGGACGTGAGCCAATCTCCTGACTTGCTTCCACGGTTATATGGGTAGAATTGTGAAGTTTAAAACTCCACACCTATTACTACGCCTATTAGATGATCGTGGGCCGCGTAAAGGATGATGTTTGCCTGGATTGGTTCAAGACAAACAGACGGTATTAGCCCCCGAAAAGGCTATTCCAGTTAGTAATCGGGAAGTGGAGCATTGATGAGTTGGTAAGATGGTAAGCTGTTGGAGTTGGTGAGTTGGTGAGTTGGAAAAGTGACCATAAGCAATTCTACCCCGTGATGAGATGGGAAAGTCGAAAGTCGAGACCCTCGTCGCCGAAAACTACCGAAAATATTACCATACAATTACATGATAAATATTCGGAGAACCGGCGCGTAACGACGACAGCTGAATGGGGGATTTTGCCCAAATGCGATGGTGAAATGAAGCCATTCGTGGTATAATCAATTGAGTGACGAATCGACTCCAAGTTTACTCGAATTTATCGAGAAACGATTGCTCGATAAAAACCTATGGTTCGGTTTCCGATAGTCTGGTCCACACTGTCCGTCCTGTTGGGGCGCATCGACGTAACACGGACGTCAAGACAAGAGATCTGTACAGGTACCTAGAATGTGATGGAACGAACTCTGGAACAATTCTCTGGGCGTGCATATGTAATGTTCATCATCATGGGCATCTTATATTATTAGTAGTAGGAATGAAATTAAGTGAGAGAGGTTTAATAATTGATATATGATATTTTGCCATTAACATGTTATTTCAGGCATCTATCGTGAACTCTGAATTGGGATTGAAATATGTAAGTGGTAAGGTGAAAGATAAAAAAGTTGAGATCTTCAGGAAAAAAAAAACCGCTTTGTCGCAAGTACCGGTAAGGTCCGATATGGATCTGATTACGACTTCGAGGTAGGTATTGGCTAAAGTCAGTCAAGCAAGTCAAGTTCCCCCCCTCCCCCTGGTTCCCTTACAGATAGAGGGAAGGAGAAAACAGAATATCGAACTATCGAACTAATGCAAGTCATAGCCTCTCTTTCCTGGGCTAAAGAGTTATTAACCAATCAGAGAAGACCGATAACAAGCATTGTCCAATTCGGGAGTTCCGCCAATTCTTCTTTTTTTTTTTTTTTCTCGTTCTTTCTTTCTGCTCTTATCATCTATCATCCATCATCTTATTACATACATCCATACATCCTACTCAATGTACCCTCTTACACACTATCCACTATCCACTTATCTTTATCCACACCCGCTCTAAGCCACTTCCCGTCTTTCTCTTATCTCTCCCTCTCTCTCTCTCTCAAACTACCATTCCCGTGATGTTCTCGACCTATCTTCTTAGGCGGTTACGCCCTTCTGAATCAGGGCCTTGTCAGCAAAGACTAGCCCGACTCTTCCCTATCCTCGAGAGGTAGTTTCGAATTAGTCTCAAGAATAACCCTCTCGCACTCACACTCGCCAGGGTTCTAACTACGCTATTCAACCCCTTTTACCGAGGCTAACCCTATAACCCACCGCAGTCTACCGTAACTCTACCGTAGTCCACCGCAGTCCGCAACAAGTCCACAGCTTACACAAACGGGTTCACCGCCCGCAATATCGTACTATCGTACTATCCTACTAGAGTCAGCCGAACTATTAAACGGTCCTCGTAGCGGTATCGCTGCTGACTGGGCCTTTAGTTTTTCTGAGTAGAATCCGAAACACCGTAGGTTCAAAGCGTGACTTCGCTTACTCGATCGTATCCATCTTCTAGTTTGCCTTCCTTTTCCTTCGTTTTTCTCGGCTCTCTTTTCTCGGCTCTCTCCCAATCTTCCTGTCATATATCCTCAACGTAGTACGCTTCTCGTCAGTAGGTCTTGTCCTCTCCGGGCTATCATTTTACTTTCACTCTAGTTATCATCATTGTACAATCGTACAATACAATCCGTACATACTATACCGTTATCACCACTGACCTGCGATACACTCCCTCAATTCTTCACTGCATACTATCCTTTTGTCCTTATCTCGTGTCCCTTGTCACCCTTGGCACCCTTGGCACCCTTGTCTTATCACTCGGCGGCCAGCCTGTAGTCAAAGACATTGTGATAAGCGCAGATATCTATCTGCTTTGTTCTTTTTCGCTGCCAGACCATCCTTATCTTTTTGCCAACCAACACGGCGTTTCACTTCTATTAAGATATTAGCTTGTCTTGTAGCATCAGAAACTCAACAAGTCGATCTTACATAATGACCGTCACTTCTAGAACAACTGCCGGACCCTTAACCGTCCTCGTGTCGACGAGGGCCGTTATCACACTACCAGACGACACCCTCTTACTTACACCAGCTACTATATCCATCTCTCCCGTCACTGGGAAGATAGAAGCGATTGTGCCTACTGTCCTGCCCAGATCGTCGTTTCCACCGTCGACGACGTATATCAACTATGGATCCAAGCTGTTGATTCCCGGACTTGTGGATGCTCATGTACACCTTAATGAGCCAGGCCGGACGGAATGGGAAGGATTCAACACCGGCACCAGAGCAGCAGCTTCTGGTGGCGTAACCACCGTTGTCGACATGCCTCTTAATGCTATCCCTCCAACCACCACTTTAGCGGGGTTTAAGGAGAAGCTAGCCGCCAGTCAGGGCCAATGCTGGGTCGACGTGGGGTTTTACGGGGGAGTTATCCCCGGAAACGCGGACGAACTTCTTCCTTTAGTAGACGCGGGCGTTCGCGGATTTAAAGGCTTCCTAATCGAGTCGGGTGTAAGTTTGGACGTACAGAAAGTCAATACTTGTCCGGATATATATCGCTGACAATGGTTGATAGGTCGAAGAGTTTCCTGCCATCTCGTCAACGGACATTGAGCTTGCAATGAAGACACTAAATGGTACGCCGACAACCCTCATGTTCCACGCCGAAATGATCCCTCCGATTTCGGATTCGGTTGGCGATGCAGTACAAGTCTCCGAGCCTCCTCTAGCACCGCATGGCGAGTTGAAATCGTATAGAACGTTCCTCGAGTCGCGACCCCCATCCTTCGAAACTTACGCCATAGACGAGATCGTCTCTCTTGCACACCTCGCCCCTGATCTACACCTACACATCGTACACTTGTCTGCAACGCAAGCAATCCCGATCCTGAAGGCTGCTCGCAAGGTTGGAGTCAATATTACCGCCGAGACTTGTTTCCATTATCTAGGCTTGGCGGCTGAGGGCGTTGAGGATGGCGATTGCAGATACAAATGCTGCCCACCAATCCGGGAGCAGCAAAACCAAGATGGGCTTTGGGAAGAGCTCACAGCACCGGACTCATGCATTAAAACCATCGTCTCTGACCATTCGCCCTGTACTCCCGAGCTCAAGCTCCTTCCGTCTCATCTCCAAACCATCGAAGCTCCGCCAATGCATCATTCCGATTCAGGTATTGATATGACGGCTGACTTGGCTGACGCTAATGGAGGTAAAACCGCCGATACGACGCAAATTGCAAAGGGCGTAGGAGATTTCTTTGCCGCTTGGGGCGGCATCTCGTCGGTCGGACTCGGTTTACCCATCCTTTACACATCGGCCAAGCAGCGAGCGGCAGCGGGGAGCAAATCGGCTCCTACGATCACCGATATCGTGCGCCTATGTTGTGCCGCCACAGCTAAGCAAGTCGGACTATCGCATCGCAAGGGTGCTCTCAAGGTCGGTATGGATGCGGATATTTGCGTATTTGATGATACCGAGGAGTGGATATTACACTCGGGCGGTATGCATTGGAAGAACCGCTGCTCGCCGTGGGAGGGACACAAATTCGTCGGCCGTGTCAAAGAGACTTGGCTCAGAGGCCAAAAAGTCTTTGAACATGGAGGTATTAATGGTGGATTCGTGACGGGTAAGCCGGTCGGTACGGCTATTGTCGAGAAGAGATTTGCCTAGGAACGAGAGGTTGGGGGTAAGGTGGCGGGCGACCTGATCCTCAACGAGCTGAGCGACGATGATGATTGATTGTTATGATGACTTGATGATACTGCATGTCCTGCGACAAGAGCGAGTTTAGATGGAGTTTTAGGAGTTTCCGAGACCCCCCTAGCATTTGATTAGGTTTACGAGGTAGTTAGACTTTAGTAGACGGTCCGTAGATTCACAATATTTGATTTCTGTTGGATTCGGTATGAGGTGCCACATATCACGCCAATTGACGTGCTTCAAAGGTTAGGTGCCGGCGCAATTATTGGAGAGGAATGCGTCTGACGCGGAGAACCCTGATCACTTTGTCCAATTGGCTTTTCGACTTGTGCCACACCTTCTTTGGCCGGTGCCCTTTCTGGGTTACTGTCATTGGAGAAGAGTACCAAACAAAGCAAAGTTGTTGCTCTCATCATCTGACAAGTCTCTCTTTTACATAGACCCGATTGTTTTATTTTATAAAACGCTGGTTCTATTCTACGCCTAACGGCCAAGTCTATGACGCAGGCTTAATTCTAGATATGTACCTAAATAAGCCTTATTTAAGTGTGTTAATAGATTGATAGATGGTGATGGTTTTGGATCTTTGCTGAATTGGGTAGCTTCGAAGTTATCATGAATCCTAATAACCTACCTTGGCTTCGAAGCAAAGACGACTAGAACCGAGATCGCCAAGCGATACTCCTTATTTCATTTCCCATCCTTTGCTCTTTGATCGATGTGGGGAACCACCGAGTGTGTTTTATGCGATGTACATATGTACCTACCTATACCGTACGCGATGAGGTGTGGTGTATTTTGAAATACCTGCCTCCTACCTAGCTCCTTCAAATAATATCGGTGTATTCTTGAAGTCCATGTTTACTTACATAGATGGTACTTAGTTACATACATAGTATGGTTATCTCGTTTATTCCAATCAGGGACTTGGGACTTTGACAGCTTACGGGCTTAGACCGAAAATGTAATCCCGGCTAGGTAACGCAAGCGAAACGGAACGCTTCGTTTCCGGGTGCGCGACCTTACTAGATTCAGCTTACTTCCAACGCATGCGCCACAGAGATCTTTTTTAAATCTTTTTTTATCATCTGATAATCGTCGTGGTTGTTGTTATTGTGATGTGTTACCTAGTAGACGTATTCTTTTCTCGTCTCGGTAAAAATTCGTGATATTTTTTCTTAACTCTGTTATATATAATACTGTATATGCTTTATACATGTATAGTAAGGATATAAGAAGATACCTCTTTAGGTTCCCATATTATTAAGAAAATAAGGCGTATACTACTATATATGCGTGTAAGTACCAGCTCTATGGAAACGACACAGCTTTAAGCTCGCTTAGCGAACCGTCTCCATCGACGGGACTAGGCCGCTGCTAATCCATCTAGCATCTAACCGAGGCGCGATGCAGGACTAGGTACCTTAGGTTAGCAGCTTTGGGTACGAAGAGTGGTAGTTAGTTGTATACGGTCCCCAACCTGGCACTCGGATTGGGCTGAACTGAATTAGCAGGTAGCATTGCGTAGGTACCTAATATAGATATTCCCTGGACTAGACGCCGTTTCTCCAAAATCCACCTTCGCTTAGAAACATCTAATATCTTGCATTACAAGCTACCTCCCTCTCTGTATTATTATAGACCCAAGGTTTTCGTGCCGTTGAACTGTCTTATATGTTAGATACTCCTATTTTCCGGTTGAAAGCACGTGGCGTGAGACAAGGATAGAGTACCTAGGTTAGGTACCTGAAAGCATGTTAGCTTCATTCGTTATATTCAGCATATTATGCAGTCTGGTAATGTAGGAGGGACATGTGGGGTTGACCGGCAATGAGTAGGTATGTATGTTAGTAGGAGGTCGTTCTGGGGTCTGAAGATGATGTAGGAGGGGTACCTTATAGTAATGGACTAACATCTCGCCAAGTTTAACTTACTATTACAGGTCGGGCATAGACGAATGGGCTTTTGATATTAGTTACTGCCTACCTACGTATTCGGCCTCTTAGATGTTTTTTAGCGATATATAATTGATTATTTTTCGGTAACTAGGCTAATATGTCTTCTGGGCCGGCACCAACAGAGAAGAATTCGGGGGCGGGGGTGTTCGTTAACGATACTACACAGAACTATCCAAGGTCTAGAGCCCACTAGAAGGGTTACTTGTTTCTAAGCTCAGTCGCAGTCGGTTGCAGATTGCAGCTATCCTTGGTTCCAATTAAGGACCATGGGCAAGGATAACGTGGTTCGCTGAGCTCGCGTGGGATTAATCCTAGTCAGCTTTGATGTTGCATCTTACATTTTACTATGTATGGGTACAGTACAGCATCTCGGTAAGCCTTTTTCGAGGGGGCGACCAGGTCTTTGCGACCTCGTCATTTTGATATTCTCGATGTTGGATCTTTCTGTTGTTGCTTTTTTGCGCGGTTCGCATCTGTTTGGCACCAACGGAACACATACCTGCCTGCACATATACGCTACAATAGAGAGGAGACAAGTGGTTTGGTTTTGGGAATGCTATCATAACCGTTCGAGCTTTGCTCGACGTTTCTTATTTTTGGATAGGCGTATATCTATCTATCACTCTTTTGATAGCTCTAGCCACTGATAACAATCAGACCTATGACGGACGTTCCAGATATGGCCTCTTCAAACTTAAACACCACGACTTCAAATAGTCACAACGAACAAAATGGCGAGAAACCCGTTACCATCGATATCGACGCAAACGAGCCTCCGAGCTCTCTTTCTAAATCGATGGATCTTGGAAGACCGGACCTAAGCCGGCGAAGATCGGTGCCGGCAGTCGGCCAACTATCTTTAGACGACGTTGAGGCCGTCGAGGTTCAAATACGAAATCTATCCGTTACTGTCGATACGTCGCCATCGATATGGGATCCTGCTACTTACCCCGATTTATTAAAATCCTTTCGGAAAGGTCGCAGCGGCCCAACGACTAAATCTCTCCTGAATTCGGTCAACGCCTCCTTGAAGCCCGGTACTTTGACGGCGATTCTTGGTGGCAGTGGCTCCGGAAAGACGACTCTGTTGAATACAGTCGCGGAACGTATGTTCAGCTCTCGGCTTTCGCAAAGTGGAACCACCACGTTCAATGGACAGCAAGGGGTGCATTCTGTAAGGCACGCATATGTAATGCAACAGGACATACTGCTCCCAACTCTGACGGTACGAGAAACGCTGCAATATTCGGCCGACTTAAGATTACCGCCACCAACTACGAAGGAAGAGCGTATGCGCATCGTGGAAGAGGTCATCCTCGAATTGGGTCTGAAGGATTGTGCGAACACCAGGATCGGCAATCACCAGCATCGAGGATGCAGCGGTGGAGAAAAGCGAAGAGTGAGCATCGGCGTGCAACTCCTGGCAAACCCGTCGATTCTCTTCTTGGACGAGCCGACTACCGGGTTGGACGCGACGAGCGCTTACCAACTCGTCAGGACTCTCAAGGCTCTGGCGAACAAGGGCCGGACTATCATCACCACTATCCACCAACCGCGTTCCGAGATATGGGATCTGTTCGATAATCTAGTGATCTTGTCCAAGGGAAGTCCGGTTTACTCTGGCGCGATGAGAGAGTGCATCCCGTGGTTTTCAGATCTTGGATTCCAACTGCCTGCTTTTGTTAACCCCGCCGAATTCCTCATCGACCAAGCCGCCGTCGATAACCGCTCTCCTGAGCTCGAGGAGGAGAGTACTATCAGGGTCGAGCGTCTGAAGGCGGCTTGGAACGAAGAGTCGCAGAGGCTTTTCTCGACGTCTTCGTCTGAGAAGACCGTCGAGTCGAATGGTACACCCAAACGACCCAGGATAGGACAGCATGCAAATTTCTTCCGTCAGCTACGAGTACTAACAGACAGGGCGCTTAAGGTGACCTACAGAGACCCGATGGGAATGGCTGGTTCTATAATGGAGGCGATTCTCATGGGGATCATCACGGGGTACATCTTCTTCAACCTTTCCCGGGATCAACCCGGCATCCGATCGAGGCAGGCCGCATTGTATATCTCGGTCGGTCTACAAGGCTATCTGTTTCTAACATTCGAAATATTTCGTTTGACCTTGGACATCCCAACGTTCGACCGCGAGAACAGCGAAGGCTGCGTGACCGCTCTTCCATTCGTCTTATCCCGTCGACTAGCGCGTCTGTTTACCGAAGATATACCCGTTCCGTTTTTGTACAGCGTCATCTTTTACTTCATGGTGGACTTCGACTCGGACGCGTCCAAGTTCTTTACGTTCTTCTCCATAATTCTTCTTAACCATTACATTGCCGTCACGTTGGCTATGACGGCCGTTGCCGCTGTGAGGCACTTCCCAGGAGCCAGTCTGATCGCCAACCTTGCGTACACCCTGCAAAGCATGGCTTGTGGCTATTTCATACAAAGTAACACGATGCCTGTTTACGTAAGGTGGACGAAGTATATCACATATACGGTAAGTTGAGCATGTCTCTGTCGCCGTGAGGACTTGTGTTGATATCTGATAGTATTATGCGTTTGGGGCTCTTTGTGGCAACGAGTTCGAGGACAGCTTCTACGATTGCCCCTTACCCGGCGGTGAGTCCAATCCGGCCTGCGCTCAATATACCGGAAGATACATCATGGAGAACCTGGGATTTCCTCGAAACTGGGTGGCGAGACCAATCATCGTCTTGGTTGCCTTCGCTCTTCTCTTCTTGACCACGTCCTGGGTCGGATTGGCCTTCCTCAAGGTAGAGATGACAATTGCACGAGCTCGAGTGTCTGATACAGATCTTTCAGCCGGAAAAGAAAAGATGATGGCGAGGTCGATTCATGAAGTGCGGGCTATAGACGTTGGCCTAGACGAATTCTCTTTGGCGTTGGATAAACGATCGATAACTGGGAGAAAGTTACCAACTAAGACAATACTTAATCCTGTTACGGCAACCTTCCAAGCTGGGACACTTAATGTGATAATGGGACCATCCGGGTCGGGAAAGACAAGTCTACTTAACGCTATGGCTTTGCGCCTGAATAATACGATTGGAACTAGGTACCGGCCATCGGGGAAGCTATCTTTCAACGACGCTGTCCCATCAGATTCGGTAATACGATCGGTCGTGTCATACGTCTGCCAAGACGACGACGGTTTGCTTCCATCTCTCACGGTACGCGAGACTCTACGCTTTGCAGCGGGTCTTCGTCTTCCCTCATGGATGAGTAAATCGGAAAAATATCAGCGAGCAGAGGAGATTCTGGTTAAGATGGGTCTGAAAGACTGCGCGGACAACTTGGTCGGCAACGAGCTCGTGAAGGGTATCTCGGGAGGAGAGAAGCGTCGAGTTAGTATAGCGGTACAGATTCTCACGGATCCCCGAGTACTATTATTAGACGAGCCGACGAGTGGATTGGATGCATTTACAGCAAGCAGTATCTTGGAAGTGCTCCAAGGTTTAGCTAGAGAAGGTCGCACGCTTATTCTCACTATACACCAAGCTAGATCCGATATCTTCAACCATTTCGGGAATGTTTTGTTGCTCGCTAGGGGTGGTTCTCCCGCCTATGCCGGCCCAGCGAAGGATATGTTGCCTTATTTCAGCAAACTTGGCTACCAATGTCCCCAACATACGAACCCGGCCGATTTCGCACTCGACCTCATTACTATCGACTTGCAAGAGGCGAACCGAGAAGCGGAAAGTCGGGAAAAGGTCCAAAAGCTTATTGAATCATGGGATATGGTAGCGAAAGGTAAAATCCCATCGACATCACATACTAACCCCCGGCTTTCAAACATTAGCGAGACAGACGAGTCGGATAGGAAGATGGAGAATGAAAAGGGGACAAGTATTGGGCGACCTGTTAGTTCCGAGGGCGCTAAAAACGGTGAAGCAGTTGATTCAGGAGAAGGAGGTGAACCGGTCAAAGAAATTGCTACCGAGTCAGATGGAGCACTGGAAAGGCGCCTCTCAAATCCAGTGCCCCGGCGTTCGTTAAATAAAAACGCTTTAGCAACGCCGGCGGAGCTAGGAGCCCTCGTCCACAAGCGTGCATCCTTTATAACGGCATTCCCGCTCCTATTACACCGCGCAACCATCAACTTCCGGCGACAACCGCCTCTTATCTTAGCACGCACGATGCAGGTCCTAGGATTAGCCATCGTCCTAGCGTTGTTCTTCGCGCCGGTGCATAACGACTACTACAGCGTGCAGAACCGCGTGGGCTTCATACAGGAAATAGGCGCTTTCTACTTCGTCGGCATGCTCCAGAACGTCGCGGTGTATCCGGCCGAGAGGGAAGTATTCTACCGCGAGGACGACGACGCCGTGTATAGCGTCGAAGCTTTCCTCACGACGTACACGCTCCTCGAGGTACCCTTTGAGATTCTAGCCTGTCTGCTCTTCGGTATCTTAACCGACTTTGCTGTTGGTTTCCCCCGCACCGCGGAGATGTACTTCGTATGGGTGTTCAGCTGTTTCGGGGTCGTATCGTGTGGCGAGAGTCTAGGAATTATGTTCAATACTCTGTTCAACCACACCGGCTTCGCTGTCAACTTAATCTCTATCCTATTATCAGTCGCCCAGATCATGGCGGGTATCATGTCGATCAACATGCCGGAGCTATTCAAGATCTTCAACTATATCAGCCCACTGAAGTATGCGACGGCGGCTTTGTCGCCGTATACACTGAGGGGTGTTAAGTTTACATGCGATGACACTCAAAGATTACCCAACGGCCGGTGCACAATCGAGACAGGCGAGCAGGTTCTAGATCTTTACAAGCTGAACGTCGACCCTATAGTCAACATCGGCGCGTTAGCAGCGACAATTGTTGCATACCGACTTGTCGCATGGCTCTTGTTGAGGCTAGTTAGAACAAGATGGAAGAGTGTTGTTGAGAAGACGAGGTTATGAGGAGGTATAGTACATATTTTGCGAATGAATGAATTGGATATACTTTGAATTCATGTACCACATAAGCGAGCGACATATACGGGGATAATACCACAGTACCTGATTTAGCGATTTTTTGTGTTGAGCTTATAGTTAATCATCTCTCAGCACCTCCACTGTTAAGTGTGAGGTTCTATAAAAACAAGTTTGTACAATACAAACGGTTCTAGGAGTATATACCCTCGAAAGAACTAGGATCTATTATAATATGTAGCAAATGCGCCCTTGATTACACTTATCCTCCATTGTCATACTTTACTAGGACATTGAGTATATTGTCTTCGCTCGTGAACCTAGGAACAGTGACATTGGATGGAATACGCAAGGTCGAAATATCAAGACAGAATATATAGGTAGGTACCTATATAAGCACCTAAACTACCATGCTCTAATCAACCGACTGTGTCATTATCATCATAACTTCATATAAGAAACATCCTTCGGATCCTTAAAACACGCTTGTGCGACAGAAACAGGATGCTTTGATCGGCACATCAGCTCCAGCTATCGCGGCATCCAACTGCGGCTTTATAGCCCTAGCTTCGTCAATACGTCCTAGTTTTACCAGGCATTCGTGATATCCATGTAACGACCAGACGTTTTTAGGGTGTTGCAATGCGCGCGGGAGCTTGCCGCTTATACCGAGATCATCGGCGTAAACTTCGACGGCTTCGTCGTAATGGCCTTGTTCGACTAGTAGTGCCCCGTACGCGTGGCTCGGCGGCTGCATCCAACCCCACGGTTCGTCGTAACGGAGAGCAGCGCTTCGCTCAATTGCCACGCGTAGGTGGGAATAGGCCAAGTCATAATTACCCCTTCGATATTCCAGCTCGCCGTCTAGCATGGCTTCCGCGACACCCAGTATATCAACACACTTATTATTAAATACCGTGCGAGAATCCGGAACAACCTTCACAACTTCGGCAAACAGCTCGCGCTGCTTCGACGCCTCGTCAATCCTACCCGTGGCAGCTAATGCTATCCCTTTCGCGTAGTGATTCAGCGCATTAGTAGTGCAGTAGAGCTCCTCGTCTTCATGAAAGGGTAGGTCGATGATCTCCTGCCATCGTCCGAACCGAATAAGGCCGTGCACACGCATTCCGAGGAAACCTTCCATCCAATCTGCCATAGGTGGCGACTTGACGTGCAGGATTTCATCCGTCAAGGTCTGCTCGAGCCGTGTAATAGTTTCCAAGGTGGTCTTCAACTGACCGGCGAACATGGCGGCATATATGCGGAAGTGGATATTGTGTACGCGGTACAGCGTGTAAAATTTCAGGGGGTCCTCTCTCGAGAAGAAGATGTCATCGGCGATAATGGCCTTCTGGTTGGATTCGATAGCATTCTGGTAGTCGCCGAGTATAATGTCGATATGCGTTGGCATGTGGATGAGGTGACCAGCATCGGGAACAAGATCTCGAAGCGTGTTTGCTACATCCAAGGCTGCTTCAGGGGTCGTAGACATCTCCATGAGATGTATGTAGAGATGGAGTAGGCCCGGGTGTCGATCCCCGCCAGGCTGAGCTATTGCACGCTCTAGGATATCCTTGGCCTCCAACGTGCGGGCTCCCGATGCTGGTTCTCCAGTAGCAATATCCCAAAGTTCCCATGGAGTCAAGTTCATCAGTGCATCCACGTACAAGGTGGCGACGTCGAGATCATCTGGGAACTCTTTGTAGACCTTTTCCATCGCATCGGCATACCTTTGATTCCATATCGGCCAGTCCTTATCCCATGAGTCCTCCTCCTGCGGATATCGGTATTTCAGGGTGTCGACAAGTGCTTTCTCGACGGGTAGAGCATTTCCCACCCTTGCCCTCGCCTGCTTGGCCACATCATTCGCACGTTCCATAACGCTATTAAATTCATCTTCATCAAAGAATTCCCAAGGTTTATTGTAGTTCGGGCCCAAGACATAAGCTAGACCCCAATAAGCTAAGATGCAGTCGTTGTCGGAAACGATAGCGCGCTCAAAGCATTTGGCAGACTCTTCGTGATTGAATGCGTAGCTCCAGATCAAACCGCGATTGAACCATTCCCGAGCTTCTTCGCTGTTCGATGCCGCCTTTCGCCTATAAGATCCAAGGTTATAATAATCATTAAGTACATTGCTTGTGCGTATTTCTTTAGGTTCGTCACCCATGGCGAATAATGTGTTTTTTTTTTCCTCCTTTTTTGAGGGGTTGTTGAGTGAATGAAACCTTTGTGATGGCACCATTCATTAGGTATTTTAGGGGAGTATGAGATTAGGTACCTACCTTAGAGGTAGGTACCTAGGTACTTATTTAGGGGCGTATACGCATATCAATAATTAGTCCCTCAGCTGTGGCTCTTTCTCCAAATATCATCACCCGGCAGGGTGGCTCCACGATGCGGATAAGGTACCTTAGGTATGTACCTAATTACATCCACACCTTTACTGTAACCAAATCAAATAACCCCCCCCCCCCCTTTCCGCTCATGTAAAATACCTATAACCATTAGCCTGGGTGAGGTCCTGAATAATTTTGTGTTTCGACACGAATTCTCCGTCTATGAACTGCAGGTGGTCCTTTAACCACTTTTATATGCGCTGGCTTCGGTTTTGGTAGGCTATCATCCCAAATGCCAATCTTGTTCTTTAAATCAACTAAGTTCCAATCACGCTCAAAGCAAACCCCTATCTCTTTGCCAAATTTTACCAAAGAACCTAGAATAGTCTGCTTCTGCCACTCTTCAGCGGCGCTCTGTGACTCGAACACCACTGCCATACCACGAGAACAGCTTCGCACACATACCAAGCCTTGAGCACAGGGAAGCCAGACATCATATGGCGTTTCCGCAAGAATTCGTGCCTCCGTATTCAGGGCCTGGTAGGCTTTAGCATAGGTTCGGCGCTGAAATTGGAGACAGAACTCTTTCGACTCGAAATCGTATAGGAAAGATATATTCGCTTCGGACATTGTCGTATCAAATGTTCATGCTGCCCCGAAATTCTAGTGCAGCTCAAGTCTAGACGAAATGAAAACACTCTATCGTGTTCATCTATTTCTTAACTTTCGATTTGATAGGCACCCCGAAAACGATCAAGATGTCTTCGTTTGATAGTTCTATAGGTTCGACTTGTGAGTGACAGGTTATCAATCGCAATGCGCTGTTGAAAAGAGGCACGTTAACAGGTACCTTAGGTATATTAAGGAGTGTATCTGAAAAAAAACAGCCATAAGAATAAATCGTACCAACGACCACATACGCGACAAGTACGTTTAAATATAGTAGGCTCGGTAGGTAAATCATTCTTCGAAGAGAAATGCGCCTCCACATATAATGTATTATTCTCGGAGAAGGCCGAGGAAGATCGTGGAAAAATTTCAATTAATTTATTGGAATGCGCTGGCTTATGGCTGAGTCAAAGTGCAATTATTTCGTATGACTGCATAATCCGAGAATTCAGCTTGTTCACAGCCCCCGGGCTTTATTGGAATACTAGAAAATGCTCTCCATCGATACTGTATATCACTGTAATACTCAAATGTAGCCTACCTTACCTGAGTTCTCGGATAACGAGCCTGAATTATACCCGATAGAATTACAACTTTCCATACTAATAAAGATGAAAATACCATCATAGAGACAAAACAACCAGTATATTGAGATAATCACCTCACAACTATACCAAAGGAAATCTTCGGTACTAGAGGTCCAGTTAGATACCTAGGTATCTAGCTCATACCGTAGCCTGGCCAGATCTCACAACTGGAGAGGGTTCGATTGCTCCCACGCATATACACTCTTAAACATACCTACTACTAAACGAATTAGCATCATGGAGGCAGGAAGAAGAGGTAAAACACTCTCTACACTATTCCTCATCTAAGTTCAAGCCAAAGTTATCTGTTCGTGTATAGCCACAAAAATGCAGAATGACGATACGGCGGAGTTTCTCGTCGATCACCTCAAAAAAGATATTTTTGAAATACGCCCCCAGAAGATGCCAATTAGCTTTTTACGGCGTGTGCCAAGGTAAGTGATATGAAGGACAAGCTGGATCATTTCATTTCAACATACGGTTACGGATATAGATTGCTAATCAGGTACCCATTCCAAAGGCGCGTGAATGATCCGGAACACATTGGAAGGCCTTCTGATGTCGAAAATAGGGACGGCAACAAGGGCCGAGTGACGATGAAGCTTAGCATAGCAGCACTCAGTCGGATGCGGATGCGGAAACTTCAGATAGAGCTTACCAACCGAATCATGAGGATGCATTTCTTTAAAGAGCTTCCTGAGGATTGGGAAAATTTGTTAGAAAAGTACAGTAGGTGAAGTCTCACGATGCTCTTACATCCTAGGACGGCCAAAACTAATAAAGAAGTTACCGCAACTCGCGATAACGACTACATCAAAACTTGCGTCGATCGAGGTATGCACGATCCTTTTCTTATCAAAAGTGAGAGGAAAGTGGATGCCGCCGTACTTCAAGCAGCTCTCTCGGAGATTCCGGCGGAAAAGCTTGACAAAGGGCTATTCAACATGCGAGGTAGGGGCAGGACACCAAAGTTCAACCTCGTTCCCCCCTTGGAGAAAACCCCAACAGCTATTGGGGACGAGATGATTCAGAAACAGCGAACCGAAGAATTCGTAACGCGAGTTATAGTTTCCGCCATAGGAGGCGCGTTTCTAATCGTCCCTGTTTGGATAATGGTGTTGGTAAAATCTACATACACGTCGCTTATAACGACAACCGTGTTCGTATTCGTAGGCGGCTTTGCAGCAGCAGCGGTACTCAAGGATAACCTCCAGGTCGTTTCGGTGACGGCGGCATACGCGGCTGTACTGGTTGTTTTCGTCGGTGCAAATGGTCCTTCGACATAGACATAGACGTACTCTGTTTGGGATCTCATTGCACTTACTGCCTCCCACACACTCGAGTTTCCTACAGATATCTATGAAGAAAGAAAGGGTCAATGTAATTTTAGGTATATTATATATTGTTACTAATATGAGGGGGCTACATTTACCCAGCTAACATGGAGACTTTTCTGGGGCATTTAAATAATATTATCCATGCCTTTGAAAGGTCCCCAAATAGGAGAAAATACCAGTCCCAGATTTAGGTACAGAAGGTAGATAGAGTATGATTGCAAGACAAACCCTTCTTTAAGGTGATAAATATTGCAGAAATATTCCTAAAGCATTGAATGATAAATTATTCACCTTTTTATATTGTATAGAGTGTTAATAGGAATATCTTTAACCTAGTAGGTATACTAAGGTAACTCTTCGTGAATCATCTTATGAGTACCGAAGGTTTTCATCTAGGAAGCAGAAGTTGATGTGATTGGGTGTTTAAGGGGCGAGTGAACTAAACGTTCTTGCAGCTACATGTAACACATCAAACAGAATCTAAATGCCCTTTATCGACGTTTATGTAAGTGAATATAACCTTCTTATTGAGGTGCTCGGGCCTTTCCTCGCCTAATGCTCTACATCGTGACAAGCTGATAATTAAAAATATTCACACTACAGGCATTCGTCATGTCTATTACCTCGTACCAAATCAGATGGTAAGTCCATAGCTCCTTGGATATATAAACTCCTTATTCCTTTCGAGATTTCCTTTATTGACTTTTTATGTCAGACCATTCTCTTGTGCTGCTACAGACCACATCAAGATGGCGCAAAACCCAAAGACGTTTCTCGACCTTCCGGTTGCTTTGAGATACCGGATCCTAGATTACGCCGGTATCGCCCGCGGACTCAGGATTCGTTTCGCGAAAAATCAATCGCGTCCGACACCTAGTCTCCCTCGTATCTATTGGGGGTTTACGTATAATATTCTTCAGACTTGTAAGGCGATCTATGAAGATGCCATGTCGCTAATTCTTGCCAACAACTGCGTTCGTACTATGGTCCAGAACATCGACTCCGAACTTGATTTCCTTGGCAGGTTATCACCACGGAGCTGCTCCAGCCTCTCTGAACTCTGGATACGCTTGCATGAGCATAGCTCGAATTTATATTTCCCCGAGTGCTACCTCGCTATTACCCAAGACCAGATTTCTGCTTGGCAAGTTACTGCACGACATATCCTCTCCCATGCAACACCAGGGAAGCTAAAGTTGCATCTAATATGCGATCTGGCGGAGGAAAATAGCGAATGGATGTCTGCAGTCCTTCAGCCCTTACTGGACTTCCCCGGAGTCCTTACTCAGTGCGAATTACGATTACATAGGGGCAAGGAAAGTCACATAACTGAATTTGCCGAAGAGATGGCCCGTCGTATCAAAGGGGCCCCGCCAAATATACGAAAGAAGCCTTTTCCATTCTTGAAACTACCTCCGGAGATTAGACGAAATATTTTAACATACACTGACCTAGTTGCGCCGGGTAACGAGGTTCAATGGAATCCAAACCTAGGTTTTCACATTTGCAGGTGGAATGATTGCATCCACGGGGAGTGCAAAATGGATCGCGCCTGTAACAAATGTTGCTATTCGAGCTGCACTCCACGGACTCCTAGGGGATTTTTCCCGCTACAGGAGATCTGCCTTCTTTATGACAGCGGTTACTCTCCGAGTTGCAAATGCTGGTATCCACCGGGACCCCTGATGCTGGTCAGTCGTACCATGTATCGTGATGCCTGCGATGTCTTTTATGGCTGTAACCGCATCATTATCCATCCCGCCGTCTTGAGGTGGCATTGGATAGCTCGCTCTACGGATGACGGTAATGCATGTCCAGTGCAATTATCTGTGTCGCAATTTATCTTCAGATATAAGTGGCCGAGCATCCTCTCTTATCTCCGCCGTCTCGAGATCGTATTTCCACCCATTGATGCGGATGCGTACCCAGAGGAGCCCCATCCACTTTACGCCGAGTGGGCGCGTGTCATAGACCTTCTCAAGGCTCACGCGAATGTTGCGAACTTAACGATCATAATCCATATGGCATTTAGGCAGTCTGAAGACTTCAAGTCCACGTATTTCGAAGAGCGAATGAGGATAACGGGGAACAATAACGACGTCGCTTTTAAAGTCCACAAACGTCTTCTAGAGCCGTTGCGAACATTGAACGAGATGAAGCGCTTTTACGTCCACCTAGAATGGCCGTGGCATTGGTCGTCAAAGGCGTTAGAGCACCCAAATGAATGCCGAAGTCGATGTGGAGATTGTACAAGCTGCCGAGTCAACGTCATAGAAAGCTGGCTAGAAAGATCTGTCATGGGTGACGAATACAATAGTGATGCGATTGGGAAGTTGACCCAACGGCCAAGCTATTGGCTAATTAAGGAGTGGAAGTAGTTCCATTTTCCGGGTCATGAAGACCATTATTAAATCCTTTCGTTACTCTCCACGCGCTTTCTTTTTAGGTATAAGAAGTGACAGAATCCAGTCAACAAGTTCCATAAGCCAAACATGAGTTTGACTCTGCTTGGGCTTGGCTGGATTTAGCTTGGGCAGGACCTGTTTTTCTTAGTATGTTAGGTTGCCCAAGTCAAATAAATTATTATTATTATTATCATTTTATTTTTACCATGCTAATATGTGTTCAAATAAAAGTGATGATTATGAACATTTTATGTGAGTATTGTACAGTGGCTGGGCATTTGGGTAAGTGAGCCAACCCCCTATACATGAATCAGGTAGACACAACATTGAATTCAGCAGAATTACCTACCAGGGGGTGATAAGCAAAGCACGGCTTCCAATCAGCTTACCTCTAGGTATTCTCAATAGAGCGGACTGATACTAATCCGGGCCCGAAATCTAAGCCAATCCGTGAATACCCCGACCTAAGGTATCACTGACATCACCAGTTGAGCCTAAAAAGTCAAATAATTGATTTGGCTCACCTCAAGCCAGATAAGTACCTAGCCTACCTAACCTAACCTGACGATCTATTTATTTGACTCGGTCTGTCGGGACCGCTGCATTAGAATCTAACAATCTGTGTGATCAATTATTCAACCAATTGCAGGATGCTGCTTAGAACCTCAGTTAATGTATTTCGAAGATGTGTGGAAACGTCCTTCCGGCACTCAACGTTTCGATATACACAAGCCGCATCCATAGTATCCGTTTCACACATAGAAATGGGAGGAAACCCGCATGCCTCGATTCAGGTACGCTTCGAAAACCCCGAAGAATTGACTCCCATCTCCGATGCAGGGACGTCGACTCAAAAGCTCTCGAAAAATCCGGAAGAGTCAGCCACAGCCCAGAAACCCGAATGTTTCTCTGTCCTATTTGACGAAGATGGTGAATCAGCAGATGTGGCATGGACTTTTCCCGTCCGTGACGGAGAGAATTTAATAGATGCTTTAGAAAGGCATGCTATGATGATGGGACCTTCGCGAAGAGACGAAGAGTCTGATGAGTACGAAGATGCATTTATGCGATTTGCTACAGGGTTAGTTGTGCAGAAATTGGTTCTCGAGAATCTAAAGGGAAAGTCTGGGAAGGCTAGAGACAAATAGGCCAAACTGGAGTGTATGCTAGGCTGGTCACCTCTCGCAATTCGGTCCAGGCAGCCAGTGACTGGTTATACGTTGGCTCGGCCAGTAGGTACGGCAGTGCGCTGCAGAGTAGGGTCGCTCAGCACATCAGAAAGGATAAAGAAGGACGACTGGATCGAGATTCAACAAAAAATGTTAGGTACTTAAAACCGCCCGGCTGTTTTGTCACTCCTTTAGTCACTAAGCTCTAGGCTACAGACCATGGTCATTGTATTACAATCCCTTAGGGGTAGATTTTACGCTGTCCGACAATGCAATGATCAGAAGACAAGTTAATAACTTACTTCATTTACCTGATGAAAGAGCACTGTGAACTCCTCCTAAGACAACTTTACTCCGAGTACCTGCGAAATATCTTGTCATATTACAACCTTGCAACTTTCCCCAGCCTCGATAGAGACACTCTTTATTTACCAAAAGACGAGCTGGACAGCATCGCACCCCTCTGCCAAGAGAAGAGCGCATGGCCCACAGAACTCCAACAGAGGCGACGATGATGAGGGCCGACTGTCCCGGGGCCTTCCCGAAGGACGAAACCCAATGGGAACTATCCATCCGAGCAAGCCCCATGCCTAGGATGGCAGGGACCTGTCAAAATTTCGACCTTGGTGGAGAAAGATTAAGGCATACATCGAGACCTATTGTGAGGAATTCCCTGAAGATTATCATCGCATCAATTTGGTTGGTTCCCTCTTAACTGAAGAGGGCCAAACCTAGAACCAACAGAGAAGTAGCATTATGAAAAGATTGGGGTTTGAAGATAATTGTTTCACTTATGTTAAGGCGTTGAAGGAACGCTTCAATAACCCCTTAGAAAGGCACAGGAACTCAAAGATCCGCCCACGTCGCATCTCACGCGACCACAGTACGGCTAGTCGTCACGTACTATGAGATGAACACATCTGGATTCACAGGCACGAGGTCACGAAAGAAAAACAAACAAGAACCACACACTGGGAGACAACCTACCTATCATGTACTAAGATAACTCTGTCCAGTTAACAAGGGCCACGATGATGTGCAAAACTTTAGTAAACACAAAACAACATGCAAATACAACAAACCATCGTTACCCACATAGCTCAAGGTATGGACCTGGCGAATCCGTATAGAATCAAACGCCTCCATCATTTAGCTTTGGGTAACAAACGAGACCTTGGAAGGTATCAATCACTTTCACCCTCATTTTCGTAATCTATCAAAAATCCGTATGGGTCTGAACGTATCTTGTGGCATTTGGATAGCAAAAGACTTGGAGAGTCAAGAATTTTGGAATAAAACATATACCTGGAGGACTCCAGTATTAACTAATACGAATGCTCAAGATATGAACCACATAAATATACCTGTTATTAAGAGGTACCCAACTAATGCATCTGGATCCTACGTATATGCATCCTAGGATGTAGGTAAATAATTCCAATAAGAGAGACCCCTTATGTATATATGTACCTACCTACTCAAGGTGGTAAAGACGCATGCACGTAAGACGACCCCCTCTCTCTAGTTACGAATTAGATAGCTTCCAAGAATCTGAATCAGAACATCATAAACCTTCATTAGGTTAGGTACCTAGCGTATACAAGTTCCTGGTGTATATAAACCCTTTACCGAAACGAGAGAGGCGGAATCATAATGCAGCGTGACCATCTTGCTTAATTTATACATGTGATGGTAACAGAAACCTTGGGCGCCATGGATGAGCATAGCTTGTGTCAACAATGCGAAGCACTATTCTCGAAAGACGGGTTTACACAACTCCTCTCTACTAACAGATTCGTCCACTCGAGACTTGGGACTTTCCCGAACCGCTCCGCTTGCAGGTTCTGTAGTTATCTTTGGAACCAAGATTTCCTCGGAGGGTCCGTCAACGTGTTCAACACACGGTGTTTGCGCGATCTGGTTCACCCTGCGTCCGGGAGGATAAAGCCCGGGAGGCAGTCCGAGCTCGCAGCGTGCTGGGTAGTCATTACACAGCCTATAAGAAGCCAGTACATCATGGGAATCTCCGGGGCTGTCGCCAATTTAGAGCCTCTCACAGTAGACAATAACACCAGTGAAGCCGAGGGCGTTGACAGAATATTCATAACCGTAGAATCGGATACGGGACGTACTGAGTGGCAGGCATCTCGGCCATTAAGACTCGTCGTTCCTAAAGGCAAGTTTAAACCCAACCGGCTTTGATAGAGACATGATGCGCTTCTCTCTAATACTTATGTGGCTAACCATAGGGTTGTAGATAGCCCATTGGCATCATATACTAATTTTCGACCCTTTGAATGGAATGGCCTAACTGAGGAATGGTCTAGAAACATTAAGTCGATGCTTGAAAGCTGTCGAAAATCGCATCCTCAATGCCAACCCTCCGGCCCAAGGCCACTTCCGTCACGCTTGCTGCAAATCAGCGAATGCGAAGAACCATTTCCAGAAGTACGCCTAGTAGATACAAGAAAGGGCCTCAGAGAAGGATTATACGTAGCCCTGAGCTACTGCTGGGGAGGCCCGCAACCACTAGAGCTAACCAAGGACAACCTCAATGTATTCCTTGGTACTACTCTAGACAATAATTCCCTTCCACAGACAATAAAGGACGCAATAAAAGTGACTCAGTCTCTAGGATTGAGTTATCTATGGATCGATGCGCTATGCATAATTCAGGATGACCCAGAAGACAAGAGAAGAGAAATCAGTCAGATGTGCACCATCTATCAAAACGCTTTCGTCACCATTGCCGCAGCTACGTCCACCTCGGTCCACGAAAGTTTCCTCAGCAACACCAAATCGTTCAATAAACGACATGCCACCTGCACTGTTCCTTTTTCTCACAGCCCTGATAACAGCCTCCATCTCAAAAGTCCCAATACTATCACCATCTCACCCGTACACGCGCATAAGACCGATGTGTTCCCCCTAAACAAGAGAGGCTGGACGTTCCAAGAAGCCCTATTACCTCCGCGACTCCTCGTATTCGGGGACCTCGAGCCGTTCGTCCGATGCCGAACGAGGAACGTGATGAAGCGATCGTGGAGCGCCATCGACTACGAGCTCTCCACCGTGTACCCTCGGCGGATAATCGACAGCGTGGCGCGTAACCAAGCCGAGGAAAATGGCCTGATAGTCGACACGAAGGGCAGCGATCTCGACAGCATCTGGCGCGAGATCGTCGAGCAGTACACGCTTCGCCAGCTGAGTTACGCCGAGGACAGACCGCTTGCGATCAGCGGGGTAGTGGACTTCCTTTCGACTACGTTTCGGGATACGTGCCACTTCGGCGTCTGGGAATCATCGTCTGTAACCGGGCTTCTGTGGAAAACCGTGCCGCTATACGAAGACGAAAAAGAAGAAGAGGAACGAAAGGAAGAAGGAAAAGGGCGACGGAGCGTCGCCGGCTTACCTACCTGGTCTTGGATGTCAATCACGGGGCCCGTAGACCTAGATTGCGTCGTATACTTCGACAGACCGGAAGCGGTAGTCGAGTGGGACGACGACCCTTCGCATAGTCGATTACTAATCTCGTGCATCGTGTTGAGGGGGGAAGACGTGCACGCAAGTGGAATGGAAGGGAGCAATTCCAAAGTGGTGATAGACTCATGGTCTGATTTCTCCGAAGGCTCCGCCGAATACCACTTCCTGCCAGAAGAAGAGTGTTCCTTTCTAGTGCTCGCGCGCGAGACAAACGGACACTTCTTGGCACTCGTGGCGGCGTGTTACGGGGATAATGTCTATCATCGCTGTGGTGTGGCGGAGCTGAATATTCCAGGCGACTGGCATCCGGGGCCCCGCGAACGGATTGTATTGCTGTAAGGTTAAAGTTTTTACTTTCTCCGGTCTTCAAGTTGCAGTAGGTACCTCCTAGGGACTCGTGTTTCCTTACTAGAATACCGACACGCCCTTTGATCTAATCAGTGTATCATTATCACTAGAATCGGACTCATCTATACCTACTTGGTAGTTATGTTAGGTACTATAGCATCTACACTTCCGAAATGAAATGCCCACAAAATTCTTGAGACTGTTTACTGTGTTATATGGGACATGCTCTTAAGTGCCAGTGAATTGAAAGCTTGAGCGAGTAATCTTGAGTCTCACATGAACGGGAGATCGTATAGTGTGAGGCGAGAATCCGAAGAATGGATGCCCGATTTCCAATGCTGAGTTTGATGGTTCTGTCTAGGTAGAGAGGTAGGTATACACGAAGACAATAATTCTACAAATTGATACGAGAATGGCCCATTGGCCTCAGTTGCGTCCGGATCATGGCTACAACTGTGCCTGATTACACGACCGTCGAATATTACCTAGGTAAGCTATGTTATGTAGGTACCTTAGGTATTACGTGTGGGTAATAAGTAATAGATGTCTAAATGATATTATTTTTGGCGTTTCAACGTGTTCATCGCCATCTCTATGAGGCCGTCTTTCGCCTCGCTATCCGGGAAGTTGTTAAGAGCCGCGATGGCCTGTTGTGAGTAATCCTCTGCGAGCGCCCTCGTTTGTTCAATGCCGTCACTTTGGTAGACTAGCTCGCGTGCCTGTAGATGGAGTTAGCATATCCGATCGCCATAAAATTTCTGGTTTTATGATTTAATTCACCCTTTGGACGTCACCCTCTTGTCCGAACTTCCTCCCAACTAATATGCCTAACTCGGGCGTCGTCTTCCACGCAAACAATAAGGGCGCAGTCGCAAGGCCAAGCTCTAAATCGGCTCCAGCAGGCTTTCCCAGATCAGCCCCGGATTTGGTATAATCCAACATGTCGTCTACCAATTGGAATGCGAGACCTAAATTCTTCCCGTAAGAGTAGGCGGACTCAACAGTGGCTGCATCCGCTCGGCCGAGGAGCGCAGCTGCGCGACACGATTTGGAGATTAAGCTGGCCGTCTTAAGATATGTCTTTTGCAAGTAATAAGTAAATATTTCTTCGGACCATTGAGGATTCCGCTCGTCGCGCGCAGTATTTTTCAGCTGCATGAATTCGCCTTCTACTAGGTTTGCTATCACCGTAGCTAAGAGTTCGACGACCTCGGCGTTGCGCAGTCGGGCCAAAGCAACGGAGGCCCTCCCCAAGAGAAAATCACCTGCCAAAACAGCCATTTTATTCCCGAACTCGAAATTAGCGGAAGGGGATCCTCGTCGCGAGACGGAATGATCTATGACATCGTCGTGAAGGAGCGAGGCGGTATGAATGAGCTCTGTGATCTCGGCTAGTCGGCGTTGGGAAGGGAGGACATCGCTTTCCGAAGCGGGTTGCGACGAGAAGTCTGCGTGGGGTGAGGAGGGGTTGGCGTCGGCGAGGACATTGAGGGGAGATATGGAAGAGTCAATTGCGACTAGGGTCTGAGGCGAGGAAGACTCCGGAGCTTTAGGACATAATGATGTAGCTCTCGACATGAGCAAGACTATTAAAGGTCGTACGTGTTTCCCTTCGGACTGCGTGTAATACTTTGCGACTCGATCTAAAGAAGGATGCCCCGAACCTAAAAGCTGCCGTATATTTCCTGTTAAATGCTTCATTTCCTTGGCGACGGTCCGGAGCGGGTCTATAGGTAATTCGGACTTGGTAGCTCTAGTCACGGCCTTAGAGACCATATTCGAAGCGACGGATACCGCGGCGGCCCATGCTGAAGATCTTCTGGGGCTACTATGGTATAGTGATCTGGATATCCGTATCCTAAGATCTAAAGACATCGCTCTCCGGCAATCCGAACATGGTGAAAAGACTGAAGATTGACCAGTGGCCGTGTGTGCTTTGTGTGCTTTGGAGAGCAACGAAGCTCCTGTTCGAAGCTGCATAATGATCGATTTCCTGGCCTTGGGGTTAATCCAAGAGCCCAATTGGTCTATGGAAGTGGAAATTTGGGTATTCGCAGCATCGGCGATATAGTAACGAATGTAAGCTCGAGATTGCGCCCCGTCGGATTTATTTGATCTTTTTTTTTTTTTTCTTTTTTTTCTAGAAAGCTGACTACACACGATTAAAAATTCACTTAGACCGAGGCCATGTTCTCGTTGTTGAATTAAGCCGATATGGAACCGATATTGTGGCTGGTGGAGGGGGAGGGGGATCTACATCAAGGGTATACGTACCGGTATATGTGGCTGGAGCTATCACTAGTGCCGCGCTGAGGCAGGTACAAGATGGTAAGCTTTACCTCGTTGCATTTTAATCTTGGCATTGGAGGCTGCTTCTTACAAAAAAAAAACCATATTCTCATCATCACATCCCTATTTCATAAAATGGTGCTTCTCACTATGACCCCCTCCATTGTGGAGGCAATAAATCGATTACCTAAAGATGAAACTGATGATGATGAGGATCTTCAGAATAAAGAAGGCAATTCTGATATAACAGAGAACAGTGAACGCTTATTGAAGAACCCCTCGATTGGGAAGCCCATTAGTCACTGGCAAATTATCGATATTTGGAAACGCTTGAAGAGTGAAAAAGATGAATCAACGAAATTAGAGCAACTACTTCGAGGCGCGACGGTCTATATACCTCCACCTCCGCCAAAACCAGAACCGGTCAGTCCTCTATTACTCATCGTTATCATCAATATTTATTTACTAATCTCCATATCTATAGACCGAAGAGTATAAAGAATTGATGGCCCGATTACGTCGCGAAGAAGAGGAACGATCATATGAGCGCATGCTGAAGAAAGCTCTACCACGAGAATCATTCGCTCAGAGGTTTCCTTCGGGTCCCATGGCACAATCATTTGCCGAAGTTAATAGACCTCTCAGGGCTTCAGACATTGGCGAAGATATCGAACACGGAGATATACAAAAACAAATAACCCTGGTCATTAACTTCCTGGTTAGTATATTCGGGTGCGGTGCCGCGCTTTGGTTAGCTGCCGGATGGTGGAGCGTTCCAGCACGACTGTTCTTGAGTTTAGGTGGAAGTATTATTGTCGCCATCGCCGAAGTTGCCGTCTATTCAGCTTACACGTGGCGAATAGCTGAAGGAGAGAAACAGCAGAAAAAGAAGAAAGAAGTAAAAGAGATTGTTCGAACGTGGGTAGTTGGAGAAGATGATACTGTCAAGGAGGATCTCATTAAAGCAACTATACTGGAGAATACGGAATATGACGTTGACACCAACCTCCGCCGAAGGATAAAAGCGCCGACATAAGTTGAGAAAAAGATATAATATTATCTAAAGTATACACACACCTTGGTTTAGTATGATCATTTTACCTCATGCGCTCGTGCTAGCAAATTAATCCTTTAGAAAGAAAGGTAGGCGACTCGGTCGCTCAGTTAGTGATGTCACCTGCTGACAGTGGAGCAGGGATTGACCCTAGTGCACCTACAAATTATAGGTACCGCGTACCTAGATGTACCCCACATTCGCGTTTTCGAGACGCGTCTAAAGAATTCATATCAATTTATGCGTCCCCCTCGATATCAAGGTCCGCTTTAGATATTGTTTAAGCTACAATTAAGTAAATTTCAATATCAGCCAATATACAACTCTCTCCATTCTAAATATTCTCGGTTCAACAACGGAATTTATAGATGGTAGCAACTATGAAATCGCCAATTTCGGAGGTGCAAACCGAGTCAAGGTGCGCATCGCATATTCATAGAATTTGATATTCAGTATACTAACATTAGTATCGCAGAGCCGCGGCGAAACCCCAACGCACGTTAGTATATTCGAACTATTCCCATGCGATATAAGCGCTAATTTGAGCAGGCGAGTTCTCCGAACTTATAGCAAACGTACTTTGTCGAGTGATTCAGCACAACCCACTCCGAAAAGGGGACATATTGAGAAAGTCAACACAGCTGTATTGTCAAATGATGAGATATCAACCAAGTTACCTTGTGATACTACAATTCCTCCTTCTCCCACCCTTCCTCCTGCACAACCCGCGAGGAAAGGCACGATTATGAATTATTTCAAAGTGGTTCCATCATCGCCAAGCTGCACACCACACTCGCCAGAACCGTCCTCCGAACCAGCTGATCCAACATGCACACCTCCATCATCCCCTCCCGTATCCAACCTCCAACAGAAAAAAAGACGAAGACTCACCACTCGGATAGTATCTCGAGCTACATCAGTAGAATCAAAGATGAATTACATGGTGGATGAGGACGAAAAAGAAAGAGGCAATGAGGTTGACGTGGGTTCCACGTTACCCAGCAACCCGTCACCAACACTATCTGAAATTTCCTCGGCAACATTGAATCTCCCGGTCGTCAAACCAAAAAGACAACCAGATACCAAGCGCGAACGAAGTATGAAGAAGACTTCCAAAGTCACTACAGTTCAGACAACATTAAGTCTTTCAATCGAGGACAAGGGATTCACCGAATGCAAAGAATGCGATATGCTCTACAATCCCCTACACAGGGAAGATGCGAAATACCATGCCAAGCGCCACGCAGCGATACTAAAGGCGAAGTTGAGCAGCTCTAATAATACTTAGGCACTGGATCGAATAAACTTACTTACCTCTACCTAGGTATGCATCAGCTGAAAGAGTGCCGTTACGATGATTAGAGTGCTTCTCCACCATCCAATCTTCAGCTCCAAAATAGACATTCAAAAAAGCTATGAAATGGTGTCACTTAGTAGCAAAAGATTTCGTCGGAGAGGAGTGATCATACTTCAACGGTTGAATGAAAATGTCGCCATACTGTTAGACTAAGGACTTTACAGCTTCTAGGGTCATAATTTAAGCCTAGGGTGATATCAGCGCATACGAAGCGGTGCTTGCTAGGATGCGTGGAGGTGGCCACGCATCCACATGATCATCCTCGACAAGGAGACCTAGAGGGAGCGAAAGTACTACTAAAGCTTGTTTGCATGGTTTGCCTTTAAAGATAACAACCTCCGAAATCGCTCGGAAGTCTGGGCACAGAATCGGCAGTGTATTGGGGAATAAGTCGCGCATGTACCGCAATCGTTATGTTGCGCGAGGTTTCCAGCCGTGGAGGTCCTGAGATTTTCAGATAATGGTGAAATCAAGGGTGCGAGTGAGTGCACATCATAAAGTCACAAGACTATCCAATGAAGGGCGACAAACCGATCAATGGACGTCGGTATTGCGGCCTTGAAAGTTCAGCCGCAGCATGATCAATCTAACAATAGGCGAATGCTAACACGAGGTTGACGAGTTCACCTGGCATCATGCCAGCAAAGCTTGGCACAAATTGTGTCAGCAGTTGGTTAATTTTTCGCCGGCATTCCTCTTTTTTCCCGCCATCAATCCAGCGAGCATCCTTTATCATAAATGAAAACCGGCTCATTCTTTGGAAAAGCAACATAGGCGTCTCCCCATACCTGGAAGCACATGCCAAATCTCCGGATATTGCGATCACAGGACTTTAGTTGGGATGGGCGGAAAGAAGGCGAATTATCCTCCCATACTTTCTGTTTAAGGCCTCAACATCGTAGATCATCAACATGAGGGGGAAATACTCCAGCTGAATTGCGCCTGTTCCCGCGAAAAATCATTGCCGACTGCACATTCACCTTGTGTTCATTTATGCACGACAGCCATATCATTTATAGCAATTAGTCAATTACAGATATCGCAGACTATATCCCTCTCTATGACCTTCGTCTCCATAATATCAAGTTGACGTATTTCAATTAAGGGAGTAGGTATGGTACTGGCAGCCAAAAGTAGGTACTCATATTCTTATCCTAATGGTGTACGCAAGCCATGGAGGCGATTTCATATATATTTCATTCATGTTGTAGAGTCGTACGTCTTCCGCACATTTTATCCCATCAAACCCTAGTTAAGAACTACGGCAGTTTTGTACGTCAATTGCTAAGCGTCAAATAGAAAGAAATATTGCAACGATGTTGAGCATATCGTTGTTTGGGGGTTACACCCAGAGGGTTGGATCAACGGAAACTTATCGCGCCCACGTGCCAGCCGCGTACCCGCATCAGAACGTGAAGCGTGGGCATGTGGTGCTCTCATACAAGGTAATACACATAGTAGTTTTATATTCATCCGAGCATGGTGCCATACATCCATCGTGCGGCTAACGTGAACTTCATACAGATATTGTGTACTTCTACCACAACATCATACGCACAATGCCTATGGAAGCTATGTTGGGTAAATGGTTGTTGAATAACAACTTATTTTAAACCATATCTCACTACGCAGATACACGATTGCCAATACACGTAGCTTAGAGCTTTTAATAAAATAAGGGAATATAAATCACTAGGTTAGGTAGGTATTTTAACTCAACGTATACCTACGTATCATGGCGTTGATTTCTAATAGTAGACCAATACAGGTGCATATATATCAGGCGATTTTAAGGATGGATAACAGGTAGGTCAGATACCGAAGATAAGTCTCTACCTTGAGCTGATGTTCCTCCGTAAGGCTGCTGAATCGCGGGGTTTGCTGTCAGGAGGGTTCGCGGGCCGGTTATGTGGAATGTGTAGTTCCGATAAGACCCAAATCCCATATAATGTACCTATTAAACACGGGTGTAACGCATCATGGGCTACCTTAAGGGTAAGATACAGTTGACGTACCTCGAGATAATAGAGGCCAGGTACCTAGTAGGTATTTTCTTGGTTTGGAAACCCCTCAAGCAACTACGTCGTTCACGTATAACACAAGCACACGTTCTAACCAACGTGCCGTTTAATCTGCCGGCTACCCATCTAATTATTCGCCAACTTGCTAACCCAGGTTTTCAGGATTAAAATTGCTTGGGCCGTCCACTTCGGATGAGTGCACAAGCATGCGAGCTTTACAGCTATATTGTGTACAACTCAGGTTCTGGACAACCTCCCCATAACAATCAGACAAGTGTGAACCGTATACGCCGTCCAGAGTATACCTACCTACCACCTAGGTACCTAATTCTTCCCGCCCCTGTTATAGAAAAGATTAGTCAATTACCTAAAAGGGCAAATTTGGAGCGAGAATAGCCAATCACGTTTAAGGATTTACCACTGTTCCACTCAGCGTCTGGAACTAGATCTACACTTACATGCACCTATACACTAACGTTAAAAGCAACGCAAGCTTAAGTATTGTACCTTAATTGTATCTAGCCTCAAGTAAGAATCCGAAATATCAGTCAACTAACACCAAAACAGGCACAACGTTGCCCATACACCTCATGCCGCTAAACCTCGATTTCGGTTTCTCAACTACGAAAGACGCCCAGAAGTAACAACCATCGTACCGTTACGAGCCCGATTCCTCAAATCCTTCATCTGATTAATAGAATGGTTCCATTCTCTCGTCAAATATTAATTAACATAAGCCACATGATATATCTCCGGAGTCATGGAACTTGAAGATCCTTCGTTGCGTCCAGCAGGGTTGTCGTCATTCATCTTCTCAATCTCTCCAAAGTTTCCTTGTGATATCAACAAGGGAATTATATTCTTTACGCCGAGATATTATTTGCAGCTATATATCGCTTCATCATATGATGAACTATTCCTATAGTTCTTTGTCGATCATTCTCAAGCCCGTCGTCCTAGTTCTCCTCCTCATTTACGCTTAATCACGTCGGCTTCTCATTCCTGGTGAACCTTCCGCCTCCGAGCTCTCCCCTTCATCCAATAGATAGCTCTTGCTTTCTTTCTGGGGGAGAAAGTTGAGTGCTGCTCTACATACGTGAAGTCATATATATGTCATGATGCGCCTCGCGATGCAGGTGCAATTAGACCACTGATATCCCCAAGGTACATTTGGTCAAACACATCCTCTATGTCTACGGAAAGTGCACTATTATAACAATGTGTACTATAAAGAACTTGGTCATAAGTGCTACTTGGGCCCTTGCCACCGCTCTACCTAGTACCCTAAGTCGAAGCCTATTTGCCAATGTCACCATCTATCCCAATATTACCGCTACAACAGACACCCCGAAGTATTATCCCTTGAGGCCACCAGCTATTCCCTTAGCCGTCAGATCTCCGTACACCAGTGCTTGGTCTTCCACTGCTGGACGGGGAACACTCAACAACCGGAACCCGATATTTTGGTTCGGTCAGGGGTTAGGATGGGAAGGAATCGTTGTTGTCGACGGCAACTCGTTTGAGTACATGGGGAGTTCCATTAATGACTTCCCGGAGTTATCGTACTTCAACACGACAAAGCCGCTTGAAGTCAGGTTCGACTCCCAATATTCGAACTTTACTTTCTTGGCCGGCCCGGTGATTATCACTGCCAGCTTCTTCTCGCCAGTCGTACCAAAAGACATCTGCCGGAGCTCCATTCCCCTTAGCTATCTCACCACCACGGTTCAATCAACCGATGGCCATCCGCATGACGTGAAGTTCTACTCTGATGTGAACGCTCAGTGGATAGGACTGGGAAACGAATTTGATATCATCAAAGAGTTCCGTACTGGTTCTCGGAATGGGAATGGAACGAGAAACTCAACTGATATTCCGAGCAGCTGGCTCCTCCGTCCAAGGTTCCCTGCCCTCTTTGCTGAGGCTGCTCAGGTTCCGCGATGGGGTAACTTTACTTTCACCACAAGCCCCGGTAAAGCTGCCAATTTGTCGTTTCAAAGCGGACCAGCTACGGCCGTCCGATTTGGGTTCATCAACAACCACGCTCTCAATAATGACGCTGGCTCAGCAGCTCGCGGCTTTGGGAACCAAGAACCGATCCATGCTTTTGCTCACGATATGGGCGACGTAATGGAAACCTCGGTTCGTTATACCATCGGCTCGGTCCAAAACCCAATTGTGAGATACCTCCACAAGACTGGACTGTCGAACCTAGCACCGTGGTGGGAGAAATGTTACGGCGATATGAACGATATGATACTTTTCCATTGGAATGACTTTGACACTGTCGCGGCACTCGCCAACGAATTTGAGACGCAGCTCCGTGCCGACGTTGATGCATTCTACAAAGGTAACGAATCCCCAATTTATCATAATGGCACGCCTATCGCTTTCACCGATGATTCATCTTATACGCCACAAGATGCTCTAAACGGGACAGACCAATACGGGCAACAGTACGAGTTCGACCCGAACTCAGCTTACGGTTTCCTTGAACCAACAAATGCTACTGGTATCGCTGTCCCCTTCGTGTCGGAAGCTGAATCGTACTACGCGATCGTAGCCCTATCAGCTCGACAAGTTATGGGAGCTTATGTCTTCGCTGTTCCCCCATCGGTACCTGACAGTCCGAACGCGGACGACAACGTAGAGCCACTAATGTTCCAGAAGGAAATATCCAGCAATGGTAACATTAACACTGTCGATGTCCTTTATCCGACGTCTCCATTTTTTCTTTACGCAAACCCAACTCTACTCAAGTACATCTTCCAGCCGCTATGCGAATTACAGGAGGGTGGCCTTTACCCCAACACCTACTCGACGCATGATATCGGCACTCACTTCCCTCTTGCGACTGGACACGTCGAAGGCACCGACGAGTACATGCCAGTCGAAAACAGTGGAAATTTCATCCTTATGGCCTACGCGTACTACAAGTTTACTGGTGATTCCAACTGGCTCGTAACTCACTACGAGCTGTTGGCCCAGTTCGCCCAGTATCTGATCGAGTACTCGCTGGTCCCCGCGGCGCAGCTCAGCACCGACGACTTTTCCGGCGAACTGGCGAACCAGACCAACCTCGCCATCAAAGGCATCGTCGGTCTTCAAGCCATGTCGTCCATCTCCAGAGTCGTCGGGAACGCGAACGACGCGGCCAAGTTCGCCGGAAAGGCGACGTCGTACTACGCGCAGTGGGAGAAGCTGGCGATCGACCCGTCCGGGAAACACACGCTCCTCGCGTACCAGTGGCGGTCCAGCTGGGGCCTCCTGTACAACGTCTTCTTCGACAAGCTGCTGAACATGGGGCTCGTAGCTCCGCGCGTGTACGAGATGCAGTCGGCGTGGTACGCGAGCGTGTCGCAGGCGTTCGGCGTCCCACTCGACAACCGCCACCACTACACCAAGTCCGACTGGGAGATGTGGGCGGCGGCCGCGTCGTCCGCGCCCACCCGCCGCCTGCTCGTCAACGCGCTCGCCTACTGGCTCAACGAGACCGCGACCGACCTCCCCTTCTCCGACCTGTACGAGGTCGTCGGCTCGGGGGAGTACCCCCTGCAGATCGACCACTTCAGCGCGCGCCCCGTCGTCGGCGGCCACTTCGCGCTGCTGGCCCTGCGGAAGACCGGCCAGCTGGCTAGCGCCGCCGCCGGCGATACCTCCGGGAGCTTGTTTACGAAGAACGGGACCGAGGCGCTGCCGCAGGCTGCCGATGAGGTGGGGCCGCCGGCTTGGTATGCGGGGAAGCCGTTTAAGAAGCGGGTTGTGAGGAAGGCGCCGTCGCCGCCGTCGTTGAATAGGTTGCCTTGATTGGGGAATAGTGCTTTGTGGGCTTATTGATGGGCCTGTCTTTGGTTTAGATGAACTTCCCTATGGCTGACTGTCTAGACAGTAAGTACATAGTATTATGATGATTCCATGGGGGATTTATGCGATTTGATTTCCGATTTTATTTTTATATTTTGTTTTCCTGTAACTAGCCGCAGTTATCATAGATAGTATGTAAATGGGTCGCATTTCTTTACACACATGCGACAAGGCTTTGCCGAATTACATTTCTTAATTGTACCTAATGATTGAACACATTTTGATAGGTACTTTAAAGATATGTCCTCGCGCTTTTTACTAGAGTTTATATAGGAGGTGGATAATTCATGCGCTTGATCTTAACTTGAGGTCCCCTTACAGAACTAGTGTATACTTCCTTAAGCCCCCTTGTCTACCTGTGTTATCCAGACAAAGAAGTCTTCTCTTCTCTCACTTAACACTTGGTCTAAGCATATACGAAAAGCTAGGTAGGAACTAACTACTGTTGACGGCAAATTAGCGTTAGGTCATTTTACTGCAACTCGCCGTTTGTAACCTCGGTTAAGTACCTACCTACCTAAGGTAGATATGTTTCTTTAGGTCTGTACTTGTATCTTAAAGAGTTAAAGTCTGTAGGTAGGCAACTCTTGGAGAAGTATCAAGAAACTAGAGATTGCTTCACTAACGGTTCTTTGCTAACAGGACTAGAGGCACGGGCACACATAAGCAGAGAAGTTCCAACAGACTACAGCGAAGCTTATAAGAGGATTCCATACCAAGAGCTAGTAGCATGGTTCCCGTAATCGCTAGTTACTGACCACGGAGTTGATTCGCGGGATAGGTCTCGGCATTGATCTTTCAATTTCTTCGTTAAGCTGAACGAGTCCTCAAACCGAGCCTATACTGAGCTCCTAACGACTCTTACTCATTATAGCCGTTTTTTGTTTCTTATCATAACACTACGTATTTATTTATTATATTTCCAAACACTAAATACTAATATATCGTGTAGAGATTGCATCATAATAAATCTGAGCACGTACCCCCACGTTTTCCCTTTTCAAACGAAGTTCGCACGCCACAGCTCAAGACATGTATGTGTTTAATGAATGCCGAATATCCATTTCTAACGCCGCATCCAGTCATTAATGAGCCCCAAGCAAAGACCGACCAATACTATCCAAGCCATTCTTTCGAACTTGATACCCGTTAACTTATACATCTAACATACTCTTAATCTGCTGAGGCGGTCCACTAGTAGATACGCCACTAGCCGTACTAGAACTCCTCTCACCCGTCCGTGGTCTTCGAGTTTGCTCACTGGCGACTTCTAAATCTCTTCCTCTGCCAGTAGGGGTATTACTATTCGCACCAGGGAATAGAAGACCTGCGGCGAGCTCTACTGTACGCTCGGTCCTCCGCTGGCCCGACTTCCCTCCGTATGGGGTATACGGTGGCGGAGCAGCTCCAGCACGAGTGCTATTCGTGCGTCGAATCTCATTCATTTCTATACCCCTGCTTTCAGCCGCGCCTTCGGCTTCCATTTCGGCAGCCCTGCGCTCTGCAAGGATTTCGACTTGCCTAGTAGTAGGTCGTCCACCACCGACCTCACGAACATTTCGCATGATTCTATCCCTCATGCCTCCCGCCGGTATATCGCCATTGACTCGGCGCCACCAAGCGGGCTTACGGACGAGACCCAGCTCCTGATCCAGAGCCTGTCCACGCTCGCGTCTTTGGCGCATAAGTTCGCGATCTTCGTTCGGTCGCATAAAACCTGCAATGATCTGTATGACAATGATGAGGAAAGCTGGGGCGTAGCCTCCAAGATACATTGCTAATAGGCTTGTTTTGACGTTCAAAGGCGACAAGCCGAAGTCCCAGGCACATAATCCTTGGTACCCGACGACGGCCAGTGCAAGGGGTATCATCAACGTAAAGCGGAATGGCATATATCCCAAAAACCCGATGATGCGGTTAAAGAACCCGCGATTTCGCGGCTCGTAATGCCGAATCGAGTGCCATACAGAAACAAGAATGGTGCACCAAGCGACAAATAGACAAAATGTCGCTGCCTTGAAGCGCCCATCGGTGGCGGCTGGTATAGCGTTTTCAACAGTCTGTTCGGGAGATCGCTGGAGTTCGATTGCGCCCCAATTTCGAGGAATGACGAGGAAGAAATTCTAGGCAATTTATTTAACACATTATTCACTAGAAGTAGACTACGAGCGACTTACCAGCCATACCCAGAAATAGAAGAAGATAGGCAGCCACAATTCAAACATGCCTCTCTTGTCGTTTTGGTCATAGACGAAGGGGTTCGGATCGATGAACTGACGTTCCATCCAGCTACCCCAATGGCGAACACCCTCCCAAACCACTGCTATGGTCCCCATCTGCATTAAGAACCAGAAGAAGACGTTTAAGACGATAGGAAGCTCGACAACATGGTATCGGTCGACATCGATCCCGGTGAAAAGACCGACAAGAGCGGTGGCGCAAACGAATATCGACCAGTACCATTGCCATCTCCTTCCAATAGGGTAAAACCTCTTCTCAGCGGGGAGATGTAATTCGCCATGCTTCCTCAGGTTGACCAACACAAAAATCAGACACAAGACGAAGCCAACAGCAAAGCCAATACCGGCACGCGCCCGGTCTCCAATAGGATCTGTTGCCAAGTAACACCAAGTGCTATTGATAAAGGTACCATTTGTTAAAATGCCTTTCGGGGTGTAAGGCGGGTTCATGAGCATGCACCAGGATCCGTTCGAGAGGGTGCCGTTGATCGGGTAATAGGTATAATTCCAATAATTTAACGTGGAGGCATTGAAATGGATATTGTGGAAGATGGTGTCGGTCGAGTTATCGCCTTTCGGGAAGCCATCGCGGGGGCTGAGGAAAAACATGGTTGCGTCCGGAATGGGCCGCGCCGGGGAAGAGGGGAGGAGAACCGTTCGTTCGTCTTTTTGTTGTTATTGTTATTCTGGCGGGACGGATTAAGGGAGCTTCGTACGTTGGGATCGTAACGAAGTTATGGAATTTAGGCCATGACGGAATAACGAGAGGCGCGACGACAATAAGAGAAGAGGAAGAAAAGAAGAAAGGGAAAAAAAAACGCGAGGCTTATGGAAGTGGACGGTCCCGGTACTAGGTAGTGTACTTCCGGAGCTTCGGATCAGATCGCAATAAGAATTAAAAAAAGTCGCTCAGCGACCAGATGATCCCCACATTTTTATTGATCGGTACCTTAGGGTATGCAGGCCGATAACTCAAATGGGCAGAAATGGGTTACGATAAGAGGCCGGTAACAAAACTGACTACGTCATCCCGAGATACCGAGCGAAAACATAGAGTTGTACAAAGTACATACGGCTTGTGTACCTACGTACCATAGGCTAGATACAGGTAGGTACCTATGTATCTAACCCATTATCGATATAGGACTAATTATGTAATACAACAAGTCTCTTGGCTTCAATTTATCCATACAGCTTTACAGATCCATATATCGTTCCATTCTTAGATCCATTCTTTTCGTTTAGGTATCCTATTTTCAATATTATTTTAGACAATCAATAGTTACAAGAATAATTCTCTATCGTCGCAGTGAAATTATTTTAATCGTTTAACTATTACTATAAAAAGCTTACTAGGCTGTACATTACTAACTAAATTGCCTAGGTACTTAACCTTAGGTGTTAATATGATTTGTTTACATCGTCAAAGTCTCGTCGTGGTAGCTCTTTGGTTACAAGATTCCAGACCCCATAAGATGTCACCTCCAAAACTCTTGGCTTTGGCTGTTGGTTCATTGCACCTGCACCATAAAATAAGACATGGATGTGGAACAGTTGATACCTATTAAATAGCCTAGCCAGCCCTATGGCCGCTGTGGACACGATTCTTTCCTCCCCGGCTTGTCTAGCTTGTTACTATTTCCCCTGAGTTTTCATCAGTTATCTTGTAGGTTTTTTTTTTCTCTCTTTTTTTCTTCGCGGTGTTAGAATACCGTTCAATAAAAAGAAAATGCGGTTAGGCGACATAATTTGGTCGGCCTCTTTAGCCTTCGGACCTGTCCTCGGCCAGAGTTGTCCCAGTTATTCTAGTTATTCTCAGTCGCGGAACCCTCCTCTCTCGTCTGGTACTTATAAGCTTGCATACCAGCGACCCTCTACCGAATGTCGTACTTTCAACTCGAGCCTGATCGAGGATGCCATCAACAAGACGAAAAGCGCCATTGTCGACCCCGATCTATCACGCCTTTTCGAAAACACGTTCCCGAACACGCTCGACACGGCTATTAAATGGCGGGGAGTTGCTGCCAACAACTCTGAGGAAGAGTTGGCTTTCGTAATTACCGGCGACATCGACGCCATGTGGATTCGCGACTCGGCGAACCAGATAGCCCCCTATAAGACTGTTCTGAAGAAAAAGACCGACGACATCGCCTCGGTTTTCCGCGGGACTATCAACATGCAAGCTCGGTATCTGATCATATCGCCTTATTGCAACGCCTTTCAGCCGCCGCCTGAGTCGAACATCACCCCGGCGCAAAACGGGGGTATCTATTCTGTCACACCATCCTATGATCGCAATATAGTTTTCACTTGCAACTTTGAGCTCGATGATTTTGGGGGGTTCTTACAGCTTTCGCACGATTATTATAACGCGACGGGCGACTTGGATTTCTTCGGCAAGTTCCAATGGATTCATGCTGTACAGTCTATCCTTGCAGCGTCAGAAGAAATGAGACAGCCTACATATGGACCTGATGGGAAATGGATTCGTCCCGTATATACGTTCCAGTCGCAAACCATGACCGGTTCTGGTACTTTGGGAAACAATGGTATCGGAAACCCTGTTAACAGGACTGGCTTGGTACGTTCGCCGTTCCGCCCGAGCGACGACTCTGCCACATACGATTTTCAAATCCCAGCAAATATGATGTTGTCGAGGTACTTGGAATCCACGTCTGATATCATGGAACGGCTACCGAACGCGCCAAAGGGGTTAGCGCAGAAGATGAGAGATATGGCTGCTGAGATCAGGGATGCCATAAATGAATGGGGTATCGTGACTGCGCCCGACGGCAAGAAGATCTTCGCGTACGAGGTTGACGGCTTTGGCGGCCAGAATTTGATGGACGATGCCAATGTCCCGTCGCTTCTATCGGCCCCTTTTCTAGGATACCTGGATAAAAACGACACTATTTATCAGAACACGCGAGCCTTTGTTCTCAGCAGGCGTAACCCATGGTGGTGCGAGGGCCCATATCTCAAAGCCATTGGTAGCCCGCATATTAGACCGGGAGCAGCATGGCCTATGTCGTCAATCAGTAAGTACAACCCCCGGTCATTTTCCTCCCCTTATCCTCCCCTTATACCTCTTATTGAAAACATTTCACTAAACCTCTCCAGTACGAGCGATGACTTCGGATAATGACGCGGAAATCGTCACGGCCGTGAAAGAAGTGTTGAGCACTACTGATGGATATGGATTGATACACGAGAGCGTCGATAGCTTTGATACGACCAACTGGACCCGGCAGTGGTTTACATGGGCCAACGGACTGTTTGGCCAGTTGATAATGGACTTAGCAGAGAGGAAGCCGCATATACTGAAAGAGAACTTCCAACCTGTCTTTATACATTATACTTGAATTTTATCGGGGTATAAATAACTATTTCAAAATCCATGCGCTTAAGGCGAGAGACCCCGTGATACTCATTTGCGGCGTTCTTACGTGACCAACGCCAGTGTTAGTGGATATTGCATCTCTTCTAATGTATCTATATTTATCATTAGGTACCTTTATACGTCTCGGCCTCTTTCTATATCGACCAAAAATAGCATCCGTTGTAGGGCATATACTAAAGCAAAAAAAAAAAAAAAAAAACCTGTCTTCTGTCACGTCGCAGAGCATGAGGTAGGGTAACAACTTCGTTGTTCCGCAAGGAACTCTAGCTACGATAGCGCTGAAGCCAAAGCTACCTTCATTGTATGCATCTTGATGTTGTATTTCTTATGTTCTAGCCCGCCAACGAAGGAATTTGGCAATGCCCTCATTGTCCTTTAGCAAAAAACTAGATTACCTACCGGTAAGGGTAGAAACTTATCTTCTCCTACTCTCTCTCGATATTATCAGCCCTCCGCCTCCGGCAGATAATTCATCTCAACTTTCTACCCGCCCGGACTACCGGCAGGGGTAAAAGGTTATCTCAAATACGATACGCTTAATCGGCCTTTTAGGACGACTCTGTCAGGACGACTCTTTCCCACCCTCCTGAATTATTGGCAGACCTCTATCTTCAGCCTTTTGGCAGACGATCTCTCTCCCTCTCGCTCCCGATATCGATATATTACCCACCGACTTCTTCAAGACCGACTCTTCCTTCTTCGAAAAGCCTGATACTAATCGATACTACTTGAGTAAACGAGGACGTTTACATTCTTTTTCAAGAAGGTGCATCTATGAGGATAAGAGATGGAAAGACCAAAGACGTCTAAGGGCGTGGTAGATTCGAGATGATCCACGGAAATCACGTCGTGTATCTTGAGTCTGAGAGAATTCAAGACGATAGGCGAGGCGTCCAATTCGTTCAACAGGTACCTATATATAAAACAACTCCTTTGTTCCCAACAAGTCTTGAGCGAGACTCCTGACAGCATCTGACGACAACCATTCATTTTCCCGCAAGTAACTATCAACTACCTGCCATCGATGCCTATGTTTATACATTCTCTGTTCTGTATGATCTGCTGTACTTTATCATCCATGTCGTATGCTCGGCATGTTCTGGTGACTTCCACTGCCCACGAATATATTGAGACGTTCTTTAAACAATCTTCTTTGGTGTACCGCGAAGAATGGAGCTTTTGCCACGCGTCGTTTGGTTCCATCTTAAATTCCTGGAATAGCTTTTCCAGATGAAACTCGTTGTCCTCTGACATGATATGTCGCATGTCATCGGTTAATCCGGCCATGTACCATTGCATACCTGCACCTCGGTACAGCTCATGCATTCGAGCCGTCATGACTTCGGTTCTCGAAGCATTTCGTCTGTCCTGGCAGAGAGTGTGGCCCTTTGCCTGTTGGCCGGATTGCCTATAAGCTTCACGGGCTCTTTGTAGGATGGACATGCTTCTCCGTCCTTACAAGTTTCAAAGGGGAAGATGGCGCTGTCGAGGAGCGTGATGATGGTGGTTGGCTTTCCTGAGGTGAATGGGTTTCTTGCTGTTGTTGTTGATGATGTGTTTCGTGTTGTGTTTGGGTTTCTTGTGTGCTGGGAATGACGGGTTGGGCTTGTTGTGCTGAGGTAGAAACTGAAGTAGAATCCAGGTAATTGCACGCAGCATCAAAGGCTACACGAAACTTGTGTGTATCAACTACCCATTCATCAGGCAGGCGACAGCTACTCCGATCGGGCCCGTGGAAGGGAAGAACCGGCTATTTCTGCTGACGCGAAATTCCATAATATAATCCTGACAGTAACCCTAGAGAATTGAAGTCAAACCCTCCTACAATATCCCAACATTACCACCAGAAAGCCATAGCCTGTTTCAATCTTTGATTATGGCCGCAAACCCTAGGCCTCACTGCCTCTATCTTCCGTTGTGTTAACGTCTAAAGAATTCGTCCGAGGGTGGCTGCCCGAGAAAGGGTTAATCTGCTGTTCGTGATCAATCGGTCTATCATTCCGGACAAGTCCTATGCCGCACTAGAATTATTCCGTAGGTATTTCTGCGGTATTTGTCATTACGACTCGGTTTGCGAAAGCCCACTTCTTGCCGCGCCTCTCATTCTTTTGCTGTTTCCATTAATCGATGCCAATCGTCCTTGGGTCGCTCGGCGTAGATGTCCCCTCTTCCGCTCGTGTTGAACAACATATACATTGTCCTGACGAGGCTCTCCTGGACTTATCTAGAGCAGATTCCCTGTCTTCTTCGAACACTTGAAAAGAAAGTCCGGCTGGGATGGTGGCAATCCTAGTTCGGTATCCCCGTCGCTCATCAGACTGACGTGTCAAGGTTGAAGTAGATAATCGTTGTTGCACAAAGAGAGAAAGAGGTAACTAGTAAGAGTTCCCTCGTCTGGCTATCTTATAGACGCGATGGTGACCCATTAGGGTCTACGCTATAGGACCGTATCGTGACAGACGTGGCAGAGCCCAGAACACGGGAGTTGGTTGGTTTGGGCGGGGGGCTGCGCAAGGCAATATCAGGTCCTCGCTCCTCGACGACTTGGTAGCCGCGATAGCCTTGTTCCATATGCTATATTCCAATGCTTGGATTGCTCGGATAAGTCGGAGATTATTGTTACTCATAGCGGTAGAGTTAACAAAATCGGAATGTCTGTGGAGCTACCAAATGTAAGGGCTCTTTTGATCAGAAATCTTGTTGTTGTATTTATCAGTCTTCGTCGGCCGTCGTCGGCGACGTGGTACATGAGTTTGTTCTTCAGCTCGTGTCTGTACCATTTTACAGTGTCTTTCCCGGCTTGTTTTGCCAATTCAAGTGTTTCTCTCAGTCGATTGAGGCGCTTGTCGTCCTCGTAGCCTTGGATAATTCGGAGCTTGAACAGTTCGTCGATGGCGATCTCTGTTGTTAGGTAGCCGAAATCTTCAACTATGTCTTCCAATGTTGCCTTAGTTTCGTTACTCCTTTCCTTGGAGTCTTCTGGGGAGTCATTCCCAATATGGCCTTGTAATGGGTGAAAATATAAACACCATTTTGTGCCACTGATATGTAGTTTTATGTCTTCTTCTTTTTGCTATGTATTTCTTTCTTGCGTTGGATGTCGTCGGGATCTTTTCTTCTTTGCGGCCTTGTTCCAGGAGTGTTGTCTTCCTTTGTTGAAGAGGTTGGAATTTTTGTGAGTACCATGGAATATGCTTCGCAAGAACCCTGTCATCCCTATATCTTCAAGTATATCTTTAGGAACAACAATCTCTGAATCATTGTCGTTTCTGACAATGATTTTGTTCATACTGTCGTTCGACAATGTAGCATAGGCAGCCAAATCGAGTAGCTGGTACGATGGAAAGGATACGCACCAATGTACGATCAATGGTACGCCAGATATTGGATTTTGGTATGTGCTAACCCAATTTTCCTTCGCTTCGGTCTTCCTCGACATCGTTTTGCTTTGTGTCGGGAAGTTTGAGCTCGACTAAGGTCATGGGGTGTGCTTTATCGTATTATTCGTCTACCAGAATAGCCGCATTTTGCATCAGCAACTCTCTGGCGTACCATTGATCGTACATTGGTGGTATTGTATTGTTGGCCGCTAAGGCCAGTAGCAAGTGAAGCTACCAATTGTAAGGCTCTTCGTATGATAAATTATCTTGTTGTTGTATTCCTGTACCGTTGATCGTACATTGGTGCGTATCCTTTCCATCGTACCAGCTACTCGATTGTTGGGGTACGACTACTTTGTTGGACGAAGGTTCCAAGATTGAGCCTTGGCCGTATGAGCCTGAATGGGTCACTTTAAGACAGGAACTGAGCAAGCTCGAAGCTTGCCTTAATTACGAGCCCGGAAGTATACTCGGAGAAACAGAATCGCGTTAGTAGGAGGTAAATACATAAGTCGGATATTACAAAGTGGGGAGACATGCGAATAAACAGGTTAAGTATCTGTATCTCAAAAGGAAATAGGTGACCTGTCAAAATGTCGTGAAGGCGAATCCAAACACTCGAAGCTTAGTCGTGCGTCGGGCGCAAGCAGAACTGTCAAAAGTCTTGCAAAGGGAAAAGAACAATAATAACCAGAGCGGAGAGAGAGCGGAGAGAGGGCAAATTTCGTCGCCGTGATGACGCACAAGATCGCGATGATCGTATGGTAGATGCAACCAAAGGTGCTCGTTCAGAGCTGCAAAACATCACAACAGAGTTGCAGCTATTTCGAGAGGTTATTACTGACTTTGTCAGTAGTTGGAAGGAGAGTCAAATCCATCTTTCGGAGCCGTCGCTAACTGATCCTGAAAGCTGGCAACCCTTGGGCCGTAAGGTCCTTCAAGGGGTCGTTAGAAAATAATAGGCATATTTGGAAAACGCGGTCCGGTAGGACGTATAAATTATGTTGTTGCACCTGAAATTTAACTTTCTATTGCATCTTTGGATGGTGGGGCTGGATATTGGGGTGAATGGAGTAGTCCGACGTGACTTAGGACCTGAGGACGTTGCAGAGGAGATTCCTTGGGGTTTAGGAACTAATCCATTCTGAGCTAGGTATTGTCTTTCAAGACTATTGGTGTTATTTATTGCTGGAACGTAGGATACTGAATAGTCTCATGAATAGAATGACGGTAGAATGAGACTGGGAATATTTGAGGAATTGATGACTGACAAGGGATATTTATAAGGGGAGAAGAGGAAAGTAATGAAGAGAAGCGATTAGTACACTCTTCTAGCCTCTCCTTTTAAAGTTCAAGGCTCATGCCTCAACAGAAAAAGATGGTTTGCTATATGTATGCATGCCTTCCTCGGATGTCGTAAGTCTCTTCCGTATGGTTGTGTAATAGTAGCTGCCTGTTGTCGAATATTAGCTTTCGTTGCTGCCGCTATGGGACACTCATGTAAGTTACCTAACTCTAACCACCCACATATATGTAGGAAAGTTCGAAGTGTGCTTAATAGTGTGTGTTGATTGAAGCTGTAAGTTTGAACCATGTAATAGCTATGTCGCGTGATTGCAGTAGAGAGATCTCCCACCAAGCTTCTGGACACGGATTCACTTGGGGACATGATACGGCAAGTCCACTTCTCAAATGGAAGCCTGGTGCCTAGACCCGTAATAATTAGGTCTCGGAGTAGAGAGCAAGATAAGAGCAGTACAGTAAAATAGTTCAGGTGTTTGAAATGACGCGGGTGTAATTTTCGTGGCGTAAACTCTTTTAACTTTAACGTTTTGGGGGAGTTTGTCAACCTAAGGTAATTATAAAAGACACTGTAGTAACTGCCCAGGCATCCGTTACTATCAATTACTGATCACCCGTCGTCCCCTGCCAGCCCATTGAGTTTACCTCGCTTGCAGCATAAAGTAAGAAGACTGGGCACGTCTTTGATTCTCGGTACTCACGGAGGTACCAGAACTACGCAAGTACTACAGCCTTAAGCATTACCTGAAGACGATCCGTGGAAAGCACACTAGGCTCCACCCGTCAAAGAGCTCATGGACGCTTGGGGGCGGAGCGACGTCAGAAGATGGTGATTGTACGTGCTAATACAGAATCTGATTAGTTGGGCCTACCTACTACCCGGAGGTTCTAGGGGGAGCTGCGCTAACATAGGCTCAAAGGAAGACTGACTTTACTTGAGCAGAAAGTAATAGCGATAAGGTAACGTGTCTAAGAGAATACCTACCAGCCACCCGAATTTCAAGAGTCTGGAGATTGACAAGGCCGAGCGCGGCGCACAAGGAGAGTAAATACATAAATACGTTGCTGTGCGGTCTGGGGATCAGCTTTATTGTTAACTTAAGCGTCGGTGCTATTAGCTTTTGTATAGTGGTATTCGTAGGATTTGCAGAATGCGAATTTCTGCCACAGACGGCCTCATCACTTCCATAAGTATCGGCGTTTTGTCGTACCTAGTAATTAATGTTGGGGGGGGAGGAAACGACGGAAGGTTCCTCATCTACTACTCTATGTACGCGAATAGTGGCCTACTAAGGGTCTACATGATCGTGCCGTGACAGTTGCGACTAGAAATGCTGAAGGATACCGAGTATAGGCGGGAAAATGGAAAGCATGAATCGTAATACGCGACTGTGCGATTGAGGTATAATATTTCGATATTACACAGACTTATCGCTTTCATCATTGGAAGTAGATATGTCTCTGCTAGGGATCCGTAGTTGCATAGAGTAGAGTCACCTACCTATGTTACGATCCTAGATGAGGCATCAAGGACCAAGGATACCCTGTGTGTATATTTCTTTAGATATCTTTTACAGAGCTACCTTATTAGTTCCGCGAGAAATCACCAAGTTATCTCCCTGCTACTTGCTCCAAAGATATACCGTGTTACATAAGGGGGATATATCGTCATAGGGGAAAGTGTACTTCCCTTGTAAAGATCTGCCACAAGATGTATCGCCATTATCTCCTTTTGATACAAAGGAGGAAGTTTTATAGATAGGTAATAACTAGCAGATTTCGTGAAGCTCCGTTAGTTAGGAAGCCTCGCTGCGGCATAGTTGTCTGATAGGGAGGTGATTTTGATAATTAGGTACCTTACTTTCAAAATCGACATTGCAACTTCACAAGTTGCGCTGCGTTCTATAAGATTTTGGAGACGTTCATAGCTTATATTCCTTCCAAAAGCCTATAACTATAGGACTCCTATAAAAGCAGGATATAAAAATCTACAGTAATCGAGTTTAGCTAGCCAGATTATTTTTTATTCATCTCAAGGTGAGACCGGATTAGCTTCGATTGTATTGGGACTAATACTGTATCATGGAGTATAATAGTGTCTGATGGCGGTTGGTATAGTCTTGTCGGGCATTATATTAGGTATATTTCGTTTTGACTGGATTACATGACGGTAGGAATAGGGATGGAGTATATCAAATATCCAATCAACGCTTACCAATCTCTTTTAACACATTACAACAACTAATACTCTATATTATGAAGACATTTCTCACAAAAAGGAGACCTTTCCAGATATATGCATTAATACATTAAACTACTATAGTTTACATAGACTCATGTATTAAATTTGATTTATTATTCTTATCCTCATTTCTACAACGTTCGAATCTCCCTTCCATTAGCTGGGTAATAAATTCCTAACCGTCGTGAGACTAGAAACCCCGCAAAGATGCCGGCCGCAACCGCGAGCGTAGTATGCATGCAGAAACGGGTTACGGAACTAGTATAATTCAACGGGGTACCCGCCACCACGTCGTCACAGCTTTTACCTATAGAGTAAATGCTGTAGATTCAGGTCATATGGAGCGAAAGGGGCAAAGTAGATCATCTCAAATCAAATCAACCCAAGTCAACCCGCGCCCGCTCCGGACCGTCCGGGTTCTACTCTCGCGGGATGTAGGTAGGACTCGGCCGACGAATCCGATAGTCGCAAGGTGGGTTTAGGGGGGGGGGGGGGGGGGGGGGGGGGGAGAAAAACAAACAAAAAAACAAAAAAAATAAAAATAGTTATTGTGGGGGAAGATGGGTGTTAGGGTAATGTTTAGTTTGGGAT